TATTTCCATCTCTATTTCCATCTCTATTTCCATCTCTATTTCCATCTCTATTTCCAATTTTTCTATTTTCATTTTTATTTCATATTGTATTTTCCCATACTTATTTTCTTATACTTACCTTATTTTATCTATATTTCTTCTCCTTATAAGCAACCTTTTTCTTTCCAACCATTGAAACCATGGTACGTTTTTGTTCACTTGTTCGTTTATTCGGGCCTCTTCTTTCGTCATTTTTCTTCTCTCTTTTTCTTCCGCCTTTATTTTCCTATTTCTTTACGGCCTTTCAAAAATCGACCTTTTTTTTTTTTCTTCCCCGACTTTCTGCTCAAATGAAAGACTATCACCTGTCGACCATTACCCAACGACGAAAATATCTGTTTCTCTGTCTCATATATTTATATTTATATCTACATATACATATTTTTTTCTCTTCTTTTTTTTCTTATACTTTCTTCTTGCCCTTTTTCTTTTAACCATCTTCTTTATTTTTTTTTTCTTATCCTTTTCCTTTCTTTATTTTTCATCTCTTCTTGCTCTTTTCCTTTCTTTCTCTTACCCTTTTCTTGTCTTTCTTCTTATCTTATCCTTTATTTCTTTATTTTTTTAATCCCTTTTTGAGGGGGTTTGGAGGTAGAGGAGGTTTCTCATTCTATTTTTGATTTATCTTTTTTTGAAGAGGGTGCCCGGTGAGGTTTGGAGATGGGAGAGGTTTCTTCTTCTTCTTCTTCTTCTTCTTCTTCGGTTTTTTTTTTTTTCCCTCCCCTTTTTTTTTTATCAATTCATCTTTTTATCCAAACTTTTTTTTAGGTTTTTATTTTATTCAATTCATTTCGTTGGTTGGTTTATATTATATGGCTTATAGTTTTTTAATAGTTATATATAAGGTATATATAAGGTATATTTATATATATATTTCTATGACTCACGACACTGTTAAGATGCTTTAATGATAGTTGTTATAGTCTCATTATAGTCTCGTTATAGTCCCTCTATGGTTGCATTACTCTCGAGTATTTAAATAGTGAATGTAGTTGATGTAGTATATGTACCTGGTATATACCTCCCTACATTGTCATATTTGAGTTCCAATGGTCTCCCGCATAAAAAACCGTAGGAGTATTATATTTATATTTATATGTGTTTGTTTGTTTTACTTTATACCCCGTTACGCTGTACGGTGTGCCCGTTACGCTATAACGCCCGCAGCCACTTCCTGAGCGCCCGGATGTATCAACACACATTAATGTATCAACACACATTAATGTAGCAATGCATAAGTGCAGCATTGCAGCATTGCACCATTACGAGCATGAACACGGCCGTAAGTAGGACCGTAACTAGGACCGTGACGATGAATGACGACGACCAGTACTGTAGTCTGTAGTCTGTAGCTACCGTTACTGCATCTGCTCGTGCTGCTACTGATAGCTGAGCTACTTTTGATTAAGATGCAATTGTTTTTTTGAAGAAAAAAAGAAAAAGAAGAAAGAAAAAAAATGTGTTATTGAAAAGGCAACATGTCAACGGTCAGCCCTATATGACCTTTTAAGACTTTGAATAAAATCAAAGAAGAAAAAAGAAAAGAGAAAATAAAGGAAATTAGGACCTAAAATCATCGAGAAATGCGGTAATGGCCACGCTTTTGCTCCTCTTTCAAACTGTCTCGCTGGCTGGGCAGTGGTGTGCGTCTGCGCTGGGGGCCGAGAGAAAGACCTAGACCGGACATGTCGTCTCCTACGCCGCCTCCGCCGCCGCCGCCGCCGCCTCCGGGCGCGCTGAGGCCGGGGATACCACCTCCACCACCACCACCCCCAAAAGCACCAACAGGAGTATTGTGTCCAGACGAGCCGGGCTGATTATCACCGCTGTATCCCACAGGAGGTGTGCTAACACCGGGGCCGCCAGGACCAGCAGAACCGCCAGCACCTGTACCTGCAAGATTGGGAATGGGAAAGCCAGGCGGAAACTGGAAGTTCGGCGGGAGTAACCCCGGCGGGAGAATGCCGCCGGGGAAAGGCGCAGGAGCGGTGCCGGGGAGAACGGGCGGCGGAGGGGGTACACTAGACGGCGTAGAGGATAGATGATGAGGAGGGGGCGGAGGGATAACCGGAGGAGTAGAAGTTGAAGTTGATGAAGAAGGAGGAGCTGGAGCGTGGGCAGGGCCCGTTGAAGATGGATGAGGAGGAGGAGGCGGAGGAGGAGGGAGAGATCCAATCATGGCAGCGAGTTTAGAAGGGTCGAGACCGGGGATGTTTAGGCCAGGGAGAGATCCTAGAGGAGGAGGAGGTGGGGGAGGAACGACATTACCACTGGGACCACCGCCGGGTGGGGCGGGACCAGTGGTCGATACACCGACTCCGAATCCGGGGATTCCTGTGCCACCGGCGGGGGCAGCTCCAGGAGGAACAGGAGGAGGAGGAGGTACAGCACCCGCAGCACCGCCCACTAGACCGCTCAGACCGGGCAGGATAGGAGGTGGTGGCGCCGCGAGATTGCCCATTCCAGGAATCTGCGTCGGCAACGAGGGGACGCCGCCTGCAGCACCACCGCCGATACCAGGTGGTCTGGGGAGATCGGCAAGTGCGCTGGCGGGGACAGGCAGACCTGGGATGCCAGGTAGCATTGGTTGCCGCGTGGGCATTTTCTGATCGACGAGTCCTTCGGCTTCGTCTTCCATTTCGGCTTCTTCGTCTTCGCGCATCTGGCGCCGTCCGCCCCGGCGGTCCCATGTGCCTTGCGCCTCCGCGGCTGCTTCGCCAATGTGATACCGGTCGATAAAGCAGTCTGTCTCGCCTGGTCTGGCGCGGGACCAGAATCGGGTAACGCGGTCGTTGGATCCAGAGGCGAGAATGTGGCCCAGGGGATGCCAGTCGAGTGACCAGATGGCGAAATCGTGAGCGTAGGGGACACGGTGGGCGGGATAGATGGTTTGGGCGGGTGCGTTGAGGGGATCGGGAGTGTCGTATGGTGGAACAGATGGCTCGGTGCCTGGAGGCTGGTTGGGCTCGTCGAGGAGGTAGTGGAAGAGACTGCCGTCGGCGCCGCCGGTGGAGAGGAGATTGGCGTGGATAGGATGCCATGTTATTGTTGATACGTCCTTTTCGTGGCCTCGTAACAGACACACGTCGCGCATCATGCGCAGGTCAAATACGCGCGCCGTTTGGTCTCGCGCACATGTTGCGAGCAATTGGCCCCGGCGTGGCTCGAATGCGGTTTTGGAGATTGTGTTCTTGTGTCCGTAGAGCGTAGTCAAGCACCGGCCGGTTCGTGGATCCCAGAGCTTGACCTGATGATCTTTTGACCCAGAAACGAGTAGTCCCTTGGTTGGGTGCCAGTCCACGGTTTTGGCGTCCCAGTTGTGTCCCGTCAGTACAGATTCTTCGATACCGCCGGCGAAATCAAAGATCTTAAGGGAGGCGTCGTCCGAGGCAGTGACGAATTTGGAGTCGGTTGGTGAAAAGGCGAGGTCGCGAATGGGATCGTTGTGCGCTTGGATTGCCTTGACATTGTTAAAGTTTGTCTGCCAGTATTTGACGACTCCGTCTTGGTCCGCTGATACAAGCCACTCGTCGTTGTGGGAGTACGAGGCAGCGCGGATGGCGGCATCGTGAGCTTGCATAATGGTTTCAAAATTGAATCCCATTCCATTCCATAATGTAAATTCACCACTGCTCGACCCGGTGAGAAGTCGTCGTCCTTCGGGTGTCCATCGAACAATGTTGATTGGGTGTTTGATTTTGTTTAGTGACGAATGTAAGTGTTTTGAGGGTATCGCATCTGTTGAATTCTGAAGATTGGCGGCCGGTGGTAAAATCTAAATATGAAAGTGAGCAACTCTATAGAGCTTGACAGTGGATGGAGTTCACCTACGTCCATTATGTAGCTGGCACTGGGCCGCTCCATTTCGCAGACTGGAGCACCTCTGTATCGCGGCCTGCGATTGCGCATCCATTGCACCATTGAAGTTCCATAGTCGGTAACAGGACCTAAACAGTGACATTAGTAGTTGCGACTGCGTAGAATGAGAAGAAACAAATGTTAGACGTACGTCGCCCTCGAACTCTGATAAAACCAGTTCCTTCAAAGGGTGCGCTGTGACCGGCGACATGGTCACCTCGTGGATCGTAGGACATGGCTTCTACGTTCGTTTATGCAAGACGCAGCAGAATCTTATCATAATTCCATACTCTTCGATGCAGGAAAAGTGCAGAAACAGTGTAGTAAATTGTGCGCTGTGAATTGCCCAAGCTCTGCTATACTTGAAGCGCGTCGTGGAGTTGAGATCAAAGAGATAAATATAAGATTGATCTATAGATAAGATAATACCCGGCGATCGATCAGCGCCACGAGTTGTTGTTCCGTTCTACTGTTTACCACCTCCACACATTATCTTTTCAAGTAGCCAACAGCCAAAATCATAGATGAATTTAATTATATAATTAAAAGAATAATTGGCGAAATAACCAGATGATAGCATATCTGCTCGGGGTACTATCTATCCCTGAAACACCAACACGACTCAATGTGAGCTCAAATCTTCATTTCCGCAAATCATGTATGACTAGTGAGACCTGGGAATCAACGATGCGGCCGATTGCATGAAAGCAAGAAAATAGGCCTTTTTTGTCATTTGACTGTGACAATAGCCAAGGATGATCTCTATGCATCTGCCACCTTACTCGTGTCTCGTTTGTAGCTCATCTTTTCTCTATCTGTCTATTCGTCACTTGAGATATGATATACCCTGTTGTATTTGAATCGAATGTGTTTTCAATTCCTACATGTCATTGCACCTGATCTATGCATGGCAGACAAAATCCAGTGAGGTAATAGAGGGTTACATAGAGCTGGTGGTATTATAAATGATTTATTGATTTTTATATAATCAAATTACGGTAGTACCTAACGGCTAAGCGTCAAAGTTGTATCGAAGTTGTATCGAAAAGATAAAAATAGACTGTAAACTTGACACAATGTGCCTGTCTTTAACTATGGCTGAGAAATGCACAGAAAATGGCCGCTGTCGTAAAAAGGACGGGATTTGAGAGGCAGCCAAAGAAAGATCACTAGTTTTCCTCTTGGCTTGATTCAGCAGACTCTGCATGAAATATATCGACCTTGGTAGACGCGAATTTCCTGGCCGGCACCTTCTTCTCAAACAACGCATCCATTTCCGCAAAAGTACGGCCCTTGGGTTCAGGAAGGCGAAAGAAGGCCCACGTAAAGCAAAGCAAACAAATTCCTCCCCAGAAAAATCCAGCCTTGCCTCTCCAGTTCCACGCGTCCTCGTTCAGCATATATGGAAAGATGACTCCATTGATGATGCCAAAGCAATTGTAGATGTTGCGAGCAAGCACAACCGTCTTGATCCGAAGTCGCGACGCAGGAATTTCGGACACGAGCGAGAAGCACACCGGGCCTACCGTAGAGTCATAAAAGAAGGTATAGACCAGCAGCATGGATCCAGTAGCCCAGGATGTGGCTGAAGACACTGGAGCAATTGATATAAATCCGACAATGAAGAGCAGTATGCACAGTATCGCGAGGCCGCCGACATATAAGCTTCGACGCCCATAATAGGTCATTAGTACCCAAGAGAGGAGGGTCCCAAAAAAGCCAAGAGCGTACTGTCCAAGGGACAGGTCGAACGCCTGCGAAACTGGAAGTCCCGCGCGTTGGTAAAAGACGTTGGAATACCCCATTAAGCCAGCGCCACACAAGGCCTGCGCGACCCAGATACAGCAGGAGACTTCAGTCCGGCGGAGATCGTGCCCACGGAAGCAATCCCAGTAGGTGGTGCCGGCGGTGATTTTCTTCTCGAGTTCGTTAGTATGTACCATCATATCGACTGTTTCTTCGGCCTTGAAGTCGACGTCTGTGCTTGCGGTCAATCGCTGCAAAGATCGAACGGCATCCTCTCGACGACCATTGCGTACCAGCCACCATGGGCTTTCGGGGGCCAAACAAACGCCGATAAAAATTGGAATAGGCCACACCCACTGAACGGCAAAGGGGATTCGGTAAGCCCAGTGATCTGTCCGGCTAGAAACACCTTTTACGACGCCAGAAGCAAGCAGCTGGCCGATAACCCAGCAGAGATTGACAAAGGTCGTCAAGTAGGCGCGAAGCGCTACAGGGCACACTTCCGAAGCGTACGTGACGGAGAGGGTCTGGTAGACGCCAAGCGGGATTCCCATCAGCACTTCGCCAGCCACCAGAGTCTGGATGTTGTGGGCAAAAAACAACATGAAAATGAATGCAGAGGTAGCCGCCAGGGAATACATCATTGTCTTTCGATATCCGAATCGTTCGGACACGATACCGTTGGCGAAAAGCCCTAGGATCTGACCACAGATTGTGGCATTTGATAGGGCAGCTTGCCATTGCGCAGACAGGCTGTAAGAACCATCGGGCATTTGATGTCCATATTTCTTATTGAAGGCGGGTAGCCCATAGAAAGATCCTATGAGCAGCGTGTCGTAGCCTTCCATGATGATTGCAGCCGATATTAGGAGAGACCAGCCGACAGCTTTAGGGTATAATTTCAAGCCCTGCCAAACTGTCATGCGGTGCTCTTTCTCAGTAGCCTGTTTGGCTGCATGAACCAAATCGTCCATGTTGTCCCCGTGGAAGTCGTCCTTGGGATCCTCCTCGACTTTCTCGAGATGAAAGATGGTAGTCTTTGACTCCATATCAAAATTCGCTTTTTATAAATTCCTAGGGAGGAGTAGAGCGTAAAAGAGAATCGGCAAAATATGAACAGCGACCGAAGAGATGATCAAAGAACGAAAATCGTATAAAGTTTTATCCTTCTCGATTGCCTGCCTGCTGGCCATCAAAAAAAGGGGGGGCGGTGTTATGGTAATTCTCCGATCCTGGATTAAGAAGCCGGAGTTGAAAAACAGGTAAATATCCTCACAGGTATAACATCCACTGCCTTCGCTTCGATCATCTTGTCAACTCAGCGAGAAAGCGATTCTGCTTCTTTATTCTCGATATGCAGCCAAGCATTTGAAAACTACTCATGGAACAGAATTCGTCTGTCGTGCCAAGACCGATAGCATCATCAACTGTTTCAGGCGGCGAGTTCTCCGTAATTCTCGAGTTGTATGATCGACGGCAAGCTTTAGCTATGTAAGATGCTCAGAGCATGAGAGAAATTGGTTTGATCGCTGTTTCAGTCTCCTTGGTGTCGTCGTGTCCACTCTCTACCACATTGATGAGGACGAGGTTTCAGATGTTAAGACAAATATCTCATTGAGCGTAACAGCTTCATGCATTGAATGATAGAGTGCTGAATAGAAATAGATAGACAAGAAGAAGAATACAAAAATGCAAAGGAAACGAATGCGTATATTGTACAGTTATAGAAGTAAGCAGAAGCAGCCAGACAAGCCACGAAAAGGGAGGGTGAGATGACAAACAAAAACTCTGGATTGCCGAGGGTTCCCAGGCTAACAGGTTTCCCCAGGGGGGTGGCTGGTGAAGAAACAGGAAATCAATCCCAATCGATATTAATGCCAGTCGGTGAAGTCCGACATAAAGTCAGGAGAGTTGGATCTGGGCTTTAACCGCTCGAGCCCTAGCTGATTAAAGTTTGGTTGCTGCGGCTGAACATGGACTAGCGCCACACAAGCGCAACATGGGGGACTGATCTAGCCCCTGAGGCGCCCTAACCAAAACGGAAACCGTCACGCGGAAACAATATAGCATAGGGATTATCCTGGCTGAACTGTAACCACGCCAGTGCATGCCCAATAAATCATGTCAAATTTGTTACGAGATAGATTGCTTCGCTCATTGTGAATACAGCAGAGAGGAAGCGCTGATAGCCTTTACATGCCTAAGCTACTATGATACAGTAATGTCTTTCTCATTTGTCATTCCGTGCACATCACCGGTGCCCCTCTATTTTTAAGTCTCGATTCCCCTTTTCGCAATCACGTGCCTTAAGTTTCCGTCCCAGGACTGACAAAATAAAAGCCGGAAAAGATATGATTCAAAGCGAGAATATGGGGAGATTCGGTACAGCAAAGAGCAATAAGAGTGATTGAGAAAATCAACTCGAGAAAGTGTTCAGGCGTGGCTGATCGATTGATTGATAGGATAAGAATAGAGATTAGATAAGACTAGATAGTGCTGTCCGCAACAAATTCAACGGGCCGAAGACAGTATAGAAACCACCCAAACACTCTCAACGGTCGTTGACAATTAAGAGATATGTAGTATAGAGAGATTGAATCATTAGAATGATGATACATTGAGACACCCCTCCAAATCTATTGTTACAGTAAACATCTATAAAGCTGATGATCGACAAAACGTTGTCGTCTAACTACTCCGCAATCCGCGACAGGTGGGTTGACCCGCTTTCACATGGTTGGCAAGTTACGTAGTCCAACTCAACAACAGCCTCCCCCGACCATCCCGCCCGTTCACAGCTCACCTTGCTTTGTACTTTACTGCATATCCTAGACTCAGCTCCTCTCACTCTTTTCGCTTTCTTCAGATGTTTTTATCGCATATATACAGATACATTGGTGTCTTGCAGAATTAGACTCTGCATTGTATTTGCTCCCTTGGTTCCCGCATTTCACATCTCGCGCTCGACTCCTCCCTTGGTCCAAGCTGCCACCCTTTCCGCCTACTCATGCCAATCATTTCCCTTCCCAATGAATGAGGGTTTTCGCATATGATTGCTATCAGCAACACCTGAGACGACTCAATTGCACTTGAGCATGGCAACAGTCACCAAAACTACCGCCACAATGCATACTGGGCGATCAAATAAAGGCCACCGGCGCAATAAATCCGGGCCTCGCGCCAACGGAAGCTCGGGCCGGATGCTGAACGATTCGGCCATGACTTCAGCTCGACAAAATTCAACTCAGACGAATAAGAAATATAGACATTTCGCGGCAGTTCACTCAAAGCTAAAAACATCATGTCTAAGCGCCGACGCTGAGGCTTCTCCAAGTTTTCTGGGCTTTCGAAACCTCATGGTCATTGTGTTGGGTAAGGTCCTGACGTACAGTGAAAAGGGTCAGTGTATTAATAAATGGTTGAATTAGTTGTTTCAAACTTGCGCCTGATGATCGAGAACTTTATGAAGGTACGCTTCGACTCAAAAGCTAGAGGAGGAAATGCTTATTTGCTCACTCACAACGCGCAGTACGGTGTTTTGATTTGCCTTCGATGCCACGACTATAGACGACAAGACCTTTTACTCGGCGCAATTCTGTACGCTCTCGTGCCGTGCCACTTATTCGTGGCCTATATCATTGAACTGGTCGCTGCACACAAGGCCAAGGGCGCCATTGGCCGAAGCAAGAAGACGGAGGATACCAATCAGAGTTCTGAGGCTCGACAAGAGTCAGATCGCCGGGAATTTCAATCCGCTTGGATCCTGATTGCCTTTGCTCATGGTCTCAACGCGTCGCTCTGCCTTTTAGGAACCACAGTGGTGGTCTACTACTACGTTCATCATCCTCTCATTGGTACCATCTGTGAGATGCATGCGATCATCGTCTGGCTAAAGAATTGCTCCTATGCGTTTACCAACCGTGATTTGAGGCATGCTATGCTCCATCCTCACCAATCCTCTACTCTGCCAGAGATATACTCGGAATGCCCGTATCCGCGCAACATTACCGTTCGCAATTTGACATATTTCTGGTGGGCGCCTACGCTCGTCTATCAACCAGTTTATCCACGCACAGCGCGTATCCGGTGGACATTTGTCGTGAAACGCGTTTCCGAAATGGCCGGTCTGAGTATGTTCATTTGGATTGCTTCTGCGCAATATGCGGCACCAGTGCTTCGAAACTCGCTTGACAAGATGGCGTCTTTGGACATTACTTCCATTCTCGAGCGATTGATGAAGCTGTCAACCATCTCTTTGGTTATTTGGTTAGCCGGATTCTTTGCACTTTTCCAATCGTTCTTAAACGCCCTTGCCGAGGTTATGCGGTTTGGTGACCGCGAGTTCTACACTGAGTGGTGGAATAGCCCGAGTGTAGGAACATACTGGCGGACATGGAATCGTCCGGTTTACCATTTTATGAAGAGACACATATTTGTGCCGCTCATGGGTCGTGGCTGGAATGCGCAGGCGGCCAGCGCCATTGTATTCATTTTCTCGGGGGTGTTGCACGAACTGCTCGTGGGCATTCCAACCCATAATCTCATTGGTGAGTAATATATGGTCCCAAACACCATGTTGTGTTTTCTAAATAGCTCTAGGAGTTGCATTTGTGGGGATGATCTTTCAGCTGCCTCTAATTGCGGTCACGTTGCCGCTTGAGAGGATGCAGGGAAAGAATGGCAAGATCATTGGCAACGTCATTTTCTGGGTCAGCTTCTGCCTTGTGGGACAGCCCCTCGCTGCACTCTTGTACTTTTTTGCATGGCAGGCCAAGTATGGAAGCGTCAGCCGACCGCAAGCTGTGCCTTCATGACATATTCTCACAGCAATTGGAATGTCCTTTTCGTTTGCCATGCGATTACGTCGGTCTATTAGGAGTGGGCCCACGCACTACAACATTGCGAACAAGACTTTTGATGATTTGAGCAGCATTGTGAGCGAAACGGATCTGATACGCTCCTCTTGGAATCGACAGAAAAATTGGTAAGTATAATAATAACCATGAACGCACATAGTTTTAGATAAGATGCATATACGAATGAAACGACTTTTTTGCGGGCAACCTCTCTTTCCATTAGTGTTGGATTTGATCTGATTTGACGAGCTCTCGTACGATACGTTACAGTACATGCCAGTCCTTTATTTGCATTTGTAAGTGGTGTTGCGTTCCACGAAAAAAATGATAACAAGGACCTTGAGTTGCTCCGTCTCCGCTCAGTGGGCATGAACGTCTCGGGTCTGGGAGCATCCGGCTTCCGGTTAGTGGACCCTGAATGTTTAACTAAACCCTTAACGAGCCGGTACCTGACATGGGCGACCGGGGTTACATCACCACTCATCTCTCGAAACCCCCGGATGTTTGCCTATTACTGTTCCTTTCCCCGACGCTGGAACCTTCCATCCTGTCAAAAAAACCACAATTACTCCCTTATCTTGTGGAACTACGCATAATAACTCATCTGTCGATCAGCAGACTTTTCTTCGCATATAACCCACTTCTCTTCCCGCTTTGTTTACTCTTTCAATTGCAATTTCTCCTGAAGACGCCCCAATTGAGGATCCTACCACTTCCTCCACGCCACCTACCCCAGCTTCCTTCTATTGTACAGTGCGGTACAATACAGACACAATGAGTCTCACTCTGACCGTACCCAGCGACTATGGGTATGTTTTTTCTCACTTAATCCTGTTTCTTCCCGGCGGTGGCAAGCTTTGAGCGAGAAAACAAGAGTGGCGAAGTGGCAGAGAACCTAGCCCAATTGATACTTTTCCAATTGTTGCTTTTCCAATTGAACACAAGCGACTAACATTTCCAAAGCTTCGTCGTCCTGGCCGCCGCATCCACTTTCTTCGTCGGCCTGTGGCATGGCGGCATTGTAGGAACGTTCCGCAAGGCCGCCAAAGTGCCGTACCCCAACGCGTACGCCTCGCCCGAGCAAGCTGCCAAAGAAACTGCCGCTTTCCAATTCAATTGCGCACAGCGCGCCCACGGAAACTACCTCGAACACCAGCCGAGCGTTTTGATCGCGCTCTTACTCTCGGGAGTCTTTTACCCGCGTCTCGCTGCGCTGATGGGTGGCCTGTGGAGCTTCAACCGTGTCTTGTATACGCTCGGATACACGCGGCCGTCGTGGGGACCTGACGGCAAGGGCCGGTACAAGGGCACAGCGTATATCTTGTGCGAGCTGGCACTGTATGTCATGACCTGCTTGGCCGGATGGAAACTCCTCAATGTCTAGATTGATTTCTTTTTTTCGCCCCACCGAGGCCACGTCGGTCAGCGCGTTTCTTTTTATTATTTCCTCTTCTCTTCTCTTTTCCATTGAAAAGGTATTTCAAACTCGCTGCTCATATGTCAAATGTACTGAACGAATGGACAATGGCACAGCACTGTATATATTAAAATTCCGTGTCAAAGACCTATCATTACCACTCAATGGGACTATTCGTTTCATGCCGTATAGAACCAAACAGGAAGACCCTAAAACTCATCAACGACCAGTCTTGATGGCCCTCACTAGTTACCACTTTACCACTTCTAGATTAAATTATATCTCTGCTTTCGCTGTAATACTGTAATCAATACTAAGTATTTTTTATACATACCTAGCCTTAGCCTTGTATCCCTCTCAGTCTGGACACTTGAAAACACTGTCGTAAATAAAGTTACAATTTATTACCTGTATATTTCTCTTCATCCAGATGATCTCTAGTTGATATTCCAATCCCATTGTCACCGTCATCGTCATTGTCATTGGCCACGTGGAGCTTTGGCACCAGAAAGCAAATCAAATTCGTGAACTATTTGAACCGCGAACCCTTTTTTTTATTTCTGTTTGGACTCGTCTTCAGCTATTTTATACAGTTATACCTGTCTTTAGCTGAGCCTGCATAATTACCTATTAATTCACCTCCTTTGTATTGTACTATTGTCAATTTGTTACATGTTTAACTTTGAAGGTTACTCCCTTCCTGTCTTTTAGACTTGAATCTTGATGTTTCATTTAAACATTTGTCTTTTTTTAGTACTTTCTTTCTTCTTCTTTCCCTCTTGCTTTTCTTCTTTCCTTTTCTTTTTTTCCTTTCTTTTCTTTTCTTTATTCTTTCTTTCTCTATATACTATATCTTGATTCTCAATTGTCTTTCTCTATAAATTAAATCTTTGATTTTCCTTTTCTCTATATATTTAATTCTCTTCCTCATCTCAATATCTTTTCCTTTCCTGAAAATTAGGATTAGGATTAGGGTTAATTACAAAGTCCTCTCTTCTAACATGTATGCATCTTACATGTCTTAAACTCTTGAACTCTTGAATGTTAATTAATTATAAACTTGTACTATACATATAGACTATAGACTATAGTATACTACAGTCTACTACAGCCTCTAATCTATATATTACCCGACTCTTTCTTCTTGCAGGTTCAGCTTGTTAATTACGATTCTTGATAAACAATTGCTGTATAGTGCATAGTATATAGTGTATAGTGTACTTATTGGCCATAGTCCAGGACCCAGTACCCAGGACCCAGTTCATCTGTATTCCATATTCTGTATTCCGTACTACATGTTACATGCTACATGCAATATTGGCAATTTGGCATTGAGACAACTTGCATTGACCAACGGTCGACGACTCGAACCGGTTTTTGTAAACACGTGGTTGGACCATTGGATTATGGTTGGAGGTGGTTGTAACTTGTAGATAAGTTTCAGTTTTGACTTATCCACGGACTCGCAGTATCAATCAACAAGTAGAGAAATTGATAGACTGACAGACTGACAGTCTAGCATAATTTTACTTTATAATACAGTAATAGTGGTGGCACTGGTGGGATAAGAGAAGAGGGTTTGTCCGAGGGAACAAGGGCGGCTGAGTACGAGTAACTTGCAAGAGCTCCATGGAGGTAAAGTTACAACTTACAACTGACAACTTACGTCTGATTTCAGAATGCGGGCACGAGTATGCCATAAGTCCATGGTTGAGATGGACCAAGCAACAAGCGTTTACGGGATAAGACTGCTTAATCACGAATTCACGGGTCAAGGGCCCAGGGTCAATGGTCAAGACTCAAAGTCAAGGATTCAAGAGTCTCGAGCGAATAAGTTTCATACATGCGGCATACCGTTTCAGAGACCAATGATGACTTTACTGGATAAATATCCTGCCGCTCTTGCATTAGGAAAATTTTTCATATTTTTAAAAATCCAAAAGTATCACGCTGGCGGCTGCACGGTGTATAATGTAGATTTTTGTCACAAATAAAGATAAAAAGCGGCGTATAGAATATAATAGTTTTGACTCTTGAGAGAGAAAGAGGGTTGTTTGAGAATAAAGAGAAATCAAAGAAAAAACCCCCACCCACACAGAGACCGGAAAGAAAAGGATGAACGGAAACTAGAGATACAAGAACTCACTCCTTTCTGGCCCGCTTGCTAGGACGCGCACTCGCACCAGCTGTACTTGTTTTCTGAGGGGGTATTTTGGACAATAAGCCCTTAAAGCGAGGCTTATCCTGATAGCGTATTAGGGCTGCAGATTTCCAGTCATCCCAGTCGAGATGCGCATCGACATTGATAGCCTTTCGTAGGCCTTCAAACAGGCCCAGGAAACCTTCGAAATCACGGCGGAAATCGTAACCGACAAGGAGCCTGAATTGAATCAGCGTCCGGCCGTTGCGGACAAAGTCTGCCAGATCTTTATTGCCCTTTTTCTCAAGGATGTGAGCAAAATCAAGTTCGTGCTTGCCAGGGTCATTGATACCATTAAAGAGTTCGTCAACATGGAGAAAGACGAGCGGGGAGCTGAATGCGTATGCAGCCGAGGTGATCTGAGCATTTTCCCAGTCGATTATGCCGGTAATGTTGAAATGCTCATCCACGAGAATATGATCTCCTCTGTCGTCCCAGTGCTTCAAATAGAATTTCTGGGGGTCGACCTGAGTTGTGTTCTTGTCTGGCTGCGATGACGATGACGACGCTGCAGCGGCAGGAATAGAACCAGCCGCGGCATCACCACCTTTGGAATTCGCGCCAACCACGAGTGATCTTATTTCTTCAAAGAACAAGTGAGCCAGAAATGCATCTACTGCATAGTGTGCGTAGCATTGGTCGGCAGAGATCAATCCGTGAATGCGTGTAATGTAGTGTTCATAATACTCATCCAGCGAATTAAACGGACCTAGTGGACGTACTTCCTTCGTTCTCGAACGTATATCCGTAGTGAGGGGCCCAGAAAATATTCCTCCAACAACCAGAGGACGACTATTATTTGGGCGGTCCAGCAGTGCCACTGATCGGGGGTCCACCACGCCAAGCTTATCAAAAGGATATTTGGATAATTCGATGTATACGTCTGCAACCTGGTCCATGACCTTCTTCCTTTGGCGCGGTGTTGCACTAGACCAATTAAACACGGTTCCAGGCAGCTTTTCCAACAAAAGGTAGCCTACGCCTACCCGATTCTCGGTGTCTTGTTCAAGACCATATCCGAACACTCCCGGAGCATGGACGTCTAGTTCCTCCAGAAATCGGAGAGTCGCATATTGATTTTGTAAAATGAGGTCCCGCACTGCAGGTGGTGGGGCATTGGCATGCTGTTCCTGAATCCGAGCAAGCCATATGACTCCGTCTGCAAAATGGATAGGGATATGGTAGTGCCTGGCCCTCGTCATGGAGTTCGGCTCGTTATGGTCAATATCAAGGGGACCAATTGCACGAACGGCCTTTTTGCGGAGAGTGAACGCATGCAGGGCAAGAGCAGGTATATTGATTTTTGACCGTAATTTGATCAGCTGCTCCTTTCTGGCAATTTCCTCTAACGGAACATATGCGACTGAATCCTATTGAAACAGATTTGTCAGGGACTCAGATTCCTTTGTAACATTCTTTCTCGGCTTTAAAAACGCGAGACATCGTAGAATTGAAAACTCAATGTCTCATTCAATGGCGAACACGAGACATCAATAAACAAACCAAACTCACCTCCCACGGAGGACATTTGTGAAATTCGGGTTGAAGATGCTTTGAACAAAGATGGCGGTCGCAGACTATGCAATCTCCCAAGACGCGCACGCCGGGTTTTTGACACCCGTCAGTGTCACAAGACCATAAGGAATCGGACATCGTGGCTAGAATTCTTTCGATTGGAAGCCGATGCAAAAAGTAATATTAAGACTGCAAGTTTCAGAAAACGCGGCGACGCGATGTTGGAACAGAGCAGACAGTAAAAGAAGGCTCATGACTTCAATGGCGACGAAGACCTTCTTATACCTGTTACTTTCACATCCTTCTTCCTCGTTCGACACTTTTTTTCCTTTCACAATTTCCATTATTCGCTGTGCCGGAGGAATATGCTCTAAAGTCGCATTCACGATCGAACCACTTCGAATCTAATGTCACGGAGCCTTCTGGAGGAACAAAACGACTTCTCACGAATCATGTGTTATAAGCTAGATGGACAAAGAAAAGATGATATTTAAGGCCCGGGTTGGCCTTCTGTAGCGCCTATATCCGCAAGCAGCCACAAGTCCACAAACGCTACCAACTTGATTCTTTATCCGCTTTTATTTTCTCTTATACCGCTAAATTAAACCAAATTCCAAAACTCAACATGGCTTTCAGATGTGTTGCCATCGGCTGCCCAAATTGGGCGATGTGGGATCATAGATATTGCGCATACCGTACGTTTTCCTTTGTGGATTTGTGGAATTGGAGCCAGTATCCAACATAATCAACACTTTCAACTAACCTGCTTCCGTGATAATAATATAGACAGAAACAGGTGCGCAGACGAGGGCTTTCCCGCAGAGGATCCAAGCACGCCAGTCGTCAACAACCGTCCCTCCATGTGGCTCTGGGGCCTCACCAGAGGCCCAAACTTTCGTCCTTGAGGATCCTTGCCGGGCCTTCCGTCGTCTCATACGATCAAATCCCTTGACTACTATACCGCCAATGACAAAGAATGTCCTCCAAGCTTGAGCACGCGGAACATCGGCCAGCTATTTCCGGCAATTCCTATCCGAAAACCGACTCATCCCAAGTCAATTGAATTCCTTCTTCGGTCTCCTCAAAGAATCTGTGTTTCACATCAAGGATTTTCTACGCCACGAGATTAGGCAACCTTCAAACCCCTCACAGAGTCACAACGTATCTTAAGGGGTTGTTAAATTTATTCTTGTCCAGGAGTCCTCGGTAGCTTTTGGAGCCGTCTGATATGGAATAATGCTGTCTGAGGAAAGGTTGGAGTAAGCTAGAAATAATAATGCGAAACTTTAGAAAACCGATGACTCTCGCGTTCAATTGTGAAGACAGGCGTAAATTGGGTATTATTTCAGAAATATTCCCTCTAAAGGGAGAACGATCCCGGCTGACTTAGCGATAAAAGCCAATGAATAGAAATAGTATGAGTATAAGAGAAAGGGTTCAAAGGAAATAATGAAGAGAAAAAGAGAAACGGTAAAGGTGTTAATGTAATGATTAAAAGGGTGTTGGTTAGAAGGGAATATATACTGGATCCAGTCAAAAAAGAAATATCTAGTCGAAGAATATTGCCTTGTCAATATGTAAGATGCAAGGCTTGCAGAAAATAGAGGCTGCCCCTCGCTGGCGGTAAAAATAAATGCAGAATTAAAGTCTGTGTTTCGAAACCATGCGCATGCCACTTGGCAATGGGGCAAATCATCGGACAAATGGAATGCCAACTCTTGTTCGCTCATGGTAATCAAGATACTCCCTGCCGAAAAAGGACACAAGAAGTTCTTCTTCGCCTGCATAGATCAGTCCATGGTTAGCGTTGAAATGACAATAGCAGTGCTCAGGCCATGCAGTGGCGAAAAATGAAGAGGAGAAAGGAACTTACGGTCAATTCTTCGACTAAAAAACCTCCACAAGACTACCGCATACCCTACCAAACAGATAACGTTTCCCAGAACTAACTGCGTCCCTAGACCCCACCAGAAGAACCCAAAATACGACGGGTGTCGCAGATGGGCATAGATTCCTGACGTCACAAGTTCGTGGCCAGCATTGCGGCGTGTCTGGACGGTGTGGTTAAAGTTGGTCCCGGCATGGACCATTGCGACTGAGCGGGCTACCTGTCCGACGATGATCATGGAAAAGCCCATGACTAGCAAGATCGTGCTTAAGGAAATAAAGCTGCTTGCTGAGAAAGAGCCCGATCTAGATCCTGATTCCGAAGAAAAGATTAAATAATGCACCAAACACTCCACCAGAGCCGCGGTGTGCGCAACATTATATGCTGTTCCATTGGAACTGAGCAAAAACGCAGAAACATTCGCTTGCGGTGTATTATACCGCGCGGTTGTCCAGAACTCGAGAAAATGAAAGAGTGAAAGCGTCAAGAGGAAAAATGGAGCACGCCAGAGCGGGCTGCCTTGCCGTGCGAGAATCAGCGTTAGAAGCGTTGAAAATCCTAGTGAGATGCCTAGACAGAAGGCTCGCGTGGCGATGCCGGAGAGAGACTTGGGCTCGCCGGGCAGATTGTCCCGGTGCAAGTAAGGGCCGAAGCGGACAGGATAAGACGATGGGGTTGCTGCTCCGGAGCCAGGTAAAGAGTTTGAAGCACTGCTGTGGCCTCGGTTGGCAAGACCGGAGACGGGTGCGCCGCCATTAGATGCATGGGTGAATGGTGAAATAAAGTCGCGTGAGTCCGCAGGTGTAGCCGACTCCGTGCCTTGGGCTGACCTTGTGTTTACGCTTCCGTTTGAAGGAGGACGCCCAAGAGGCCAGGAGATTGAAGATGTGGAGGAGAAGGATGCATTGGATGTTTGCGATGCTTGTAAATCCTCCCGATCATCGGCTGATGATTCCATGGCCGTGCTATTAATCTTTGGATGAAGCGCAGATATTTAGGGGTGCGGAAATCGATGCCGAATGAGAAAATTTGAAAATGCGGATCAAGAAATAATAAAGAATACTTCAATCAATGTATGCGCGATGGAAAGGGTTGAATTGTAGCGAAGGCGTTTCTCGAATATGGCAAGGCATGCAAAGTATGCGCTCGGTCAAAAGAACAATACTCGGCGAAGAGAACAAAGAATTTTGCGCGATAAGGTGCGCTGATGAAAGAAATGCGGTCAAGGGTTGATAGCTCCACGCCTGTATCCTCGAAATTCACAGGTATCGATTGTCCCTTTTCCTGATTCAGCAGTAATTATTGTCCCTTCTCCGCGCCTTCTGAATGGTTGTATTATTCTCCGACGACAGAAAAGTCTCGTGTGGCTTGTGGCTTGACTGACGTCGACAAACTGGCGCCGGGGGAGCTTTGCCAGGACCCTGATCGAGATGGCTACCCCCCTGAATCTGGCAAGGTGATGTAGATAAACTTCCGAGCGCAACGCAGCAAATCAGATTCAATGTCTACGTTTATAGTGGTTGGTCTCCTTGGCTGTTTAGCTTCGTCGTCGCTGCGCCCCTTCTGTAGGCTGAGCCTTAACCTAAACAGTGAGACAGCTTTCGGGATCACAAACTGATTGAGTAATGAAACTCCGTAGCATCCCAGGCTATGCCCCACGTGTCGTTTTGATCGCCAGCGTCATTGTATTGCGTGTAATCGTATACCAGATCTAAATACCCCTTATAGCAACATAATGTACGTAATGATACGAACGATAATTTGTAATTTATATGATTGAGCTCCCTGCATCGTGTTAAAAAATTTTTTTGAATCTTTTGGAAAACTGCAAGTGTCTTGACTTTGCCTTTGTTACCTGCGGTCGACAATCTCGACACTAAAGACCCTGTGGATCAATTTTGCAGCCTGCCATCGACAGAAACAGGCACTGGTCAATTGAACGTATAATCTGCTGTATCAGCCATGCCGGACCTGACAGAAAAGGAAAAGGCCCTGCGAGGAGAACTCTATTGGGCATTTGTGCCTGAGCTGGTTCGCGATAGAAGACGCTGCCAGCATGCATGCAAGCGATATACCGACGCGGGCGAGGTGTCGCGACGACGATTAGTTGAACTATGGAGAGAGTAAGGTTTTTTATGTTTTCTTCTGTAGACCCTTTCAGTAATTTCTTCCGTTTTGAAGGCGTAAAGGTGTAAAATCATGCTAAATCTCTACTACAGTGTCGTCGACGACAAGACTCCCCTCCCTCCACCCGCTCCAACTCCCGAAGAAGACGAAGCACTCTTCGAAGATGAGCCTTGGGTCGAAGGCCCTGTGCATATTGATTACGGCACAAACTTACGATTCGGGAAGAATGTCTACGTTAATTTCAATGCCACCTTTCTCGACACCTGTATCATATCCATTGGCTCGCGGACCCTGATCGGACCCAACGTGAGCTTCTACAGCGGCACCCACCCGCTAGACCCAGAGCTACGAAACGGTACCAAGGGCCCCGAACTAGGCAAAGAGATTCATGTCGGTGAGGATTGCTGGATTGGAGGAAATGTCGTTATTCTTCCTGGCGTTACACTTGGTAAGGGAGTCGTGGTTGGAGCAGGGAGCGTGGTTACAAAGGTGCGTTTTTGCCAATTTTAACGGTCCGCCGTGTAACTGCAATCCACGGAGCAGATTATTGCCAAAAGCATCGTTGACTAATGAGAGAGCATGCTCAGGATGTGCCACCGTTTCACGTAGTAGCGGGCAATCCGGCCCGGATCTTACGTCGCATAGAGACGAATATGGACCCAGAGCACCGGAACCAAAAGGCAAAGCATGTTGATCATGAAACGGCAAAAGTTCCAGAGAACGAATTGACTGTACCCGCTGCGGCCAAAGAAGCAGATAGTCACGTTTCGGGTGCAGAAGAACCCATGGCTCAATTGGCGCGACAGCTGGATAAGATGGATTTTGACCGGTATAACGACGCTTTCAACAAAGGATAACGCACCTAAATCTAAGAGAGGACGCTATATTCGTCAATTTAATCCCACCAAATGCCATGGGCAATTTATCAATCCACGAATCCCTTCGATCGGGAAGGACTGAATAATCAATTTCGCAGTCTTGCTCGTCGCCCAGCCAGATTTTCAGCATCTGATCCTGATGACCACCCATGGCCAGTGTCCAGCAAAGATATCATCCTCCTTGCTAAGCTTGTTCCTGTATCATGTCTCCATACCCAGTTCCTTTTCTTGCTCATAACCATTCTCCTCCAGCCTTTTACTGGAGAGCCACCACGTATGCGCTGTTACTATCCATCTTCCATATCCGTCAATCCTATGGCTAGTTTTTCCAATTGCCAAAAAGATTCGGCCTCGCATACCCTTCTGTCGCGATATTCCGTCCGGACTCCGCTGATACGTTATATCCGGGGTGCCCTCCCTGTTGAGACTCCCTTATTTCCCGCTGTGGGTGCCCGCCGCTCGCATGTCCACACATTTGTGGAACTTGAGCCATGACTGGTACAGGAGGCTGGTAACCCAGCTGAGGACCATGCAATGCTCCACCGACAACTTGACCGCTCTGCTGCTGCATTGCCATTGGTGATCGGCCGGGATAACTTGGCCCAACTTCATGAGTGTTTGCGTTCTGTTGTCCCGTCTGGCCCATTTGGCCACGTCTTCCAAACATTTGTTCTCCTTCGACCAATGCTCCAACTTGTTCCAAATTTTCTAGGACGGCATGCTTTCGTTCCGCTGCCTGTGTCTTGTTATGCAATTCCCAACGGTCGATATCCCGTAGCTCCTCCTCAATAGCAGCCATGGCCATTCCATCCCGGAAAGCCTCCACGCGGCTGTGTCGCTGTAGCCTTTCATATCTTAGCGGGTCTAGGGGCGAATGTCTCCTTGAGAGTTCCGCTTCCGTAGTTTGATGAGTATCAGGCATCGGCGTAGCAGGCGCGAGAGGTCTCGGAACGTACTGAGGAAAATGCAGATAATGACAGAAACCATCGCGGACCTCTCGATAGCAGTTGTAATCATCGCAGAACAGTACGTGCAACTCGTTCTGACTCTTGAAGCAGGTCACGGTGGTCATGCCCACGCAGCCACATGTGAAGTGAGTATAGACGTGCAAGCACATTCTGCGATGTGGTTAGCTTGTTACTTTTTTTTTTAATAAAAAAAAAGGAAGGCCGTGCTGAGATATGTGGATGTTATGAATAACCAAACGACTAGAATTGCGTGTAGAGGAATAAGCTGCTGCAAGGAACGTGCAGTTCAGGGAACTTCTCATAGACAAGTTGCAGATATCAAATTTGGAAGTCCATAAATTGATTGATGGGCCAATTGAGCTGGATTGGAAGGTTTAGCATGAATATGTAACCAGGCCACACCTCCAGATCGACCACTGAAAGATCGAAGAATAGGTTATGTGTCCCTTAACGCGTCGATGGACTGAATATCCCGTCGCGCGAACGCGCTCAGTTGTCTGTTTGTTCGTTTTCTGTTTGTTGGGAAAGTGCTTCACAGGTAGCGCAAGAGATTTTGTCTCTCACATTGAAGATGAATGAGATAAGACGAACGTGAAGCAGACAGTAACTTCGAAAGACATAAATCCATATTATTTTGCATATTGCTAAGCTGATTATGTTCATGACTATATCAGAACATGTTGAAAAGTTAGGGCGGGTAGAAACGTTATTTGCGCATTAACTATGCACCTCTTCAGACCAGACTCCAATTGACTACAAATTTTCAATGTCTTTCTACTCTACATTTGAAAATAAAAAGTGCAACGTGATCAGAGCTGCCAAGCTAAGCAAAGGAGTAATTGATAATGTAGTTCAACAAGGTATATACATACATTATCTTCGCGCCCCAACTCACTGCAATCACAGTTTGCTTTCCCTACTTTCATCAACCGCACCGCTCATGTACGGACCATCTGGGCCATCATTACTTCCCGTAGATCCAAACATAAGCAATTCTCTCCCCCCTCTCGTGCCCCACCAGGTCACGCACAGCTCCGCCCTTGTGACATCCATCTCCCCATTCGACAGGACTTCCCAAAACCTACGCTTACACATCTCTTGCATGGTAGAATTCTGGACTTTTTTTGCCAAGCTGGCCGTAATGGAAAGCCATTCCTCTAAATCTTCTAATCCAAGGAATGGGAGCGCGTCTATCAAAGTCAAAACGAGAACTCCTTGCTCTGATAAGCCAGCTTCGTCGCTTGATCCCTTTCCAATGGCAACAAGCGGTGTCGATGGCGCAGTGATTGCTCTTTGATGCACAATTTCGAGAAGAATTGAAGGAAGTTGAGGCTGAGACGCAGAAAGTGGTGAAGGCGGAGTAGTAATTTGTAGGAGAGTCTTGAAAGCCAGCCGGAATTGGCGAGGTGAGAGGTTTCGGGGGAAGACCTGGTTCATGTGAGCAGGAGCAAACAATAAATGAGCTATTATATGCACATTATGGTAGATACCTTAAAGAGTGCATCAACATAGAAGGGGAGATGATTGGAAGCAATGCTTGCGCTTTGAGGCGCGGCAAGGACAGCCAGCATGACACTATGCGCTGCCTCAAAGATCTCGAGGAGATTATTGTTCCCGCCAGAGGCAAGATAGGGAATGGCAGAAGCAATGAGGAGATCCTCATTCATCTTTGGTGAAATGACAAGAGTAAAATGCTCGGCTGTATTAAGGAAGAAAAGGTCCAAACATCGGTCTAAAGGGTGGCGGGGAATGTTGCCCAGCTCGGCGGGCTGTATTTCTGACAGGAAAGCTTCAACATGCATAGGGTATCTAGATAATATATCAATTGCAGCGAGGAAAACAAAGACGTGCTGAGACAGAGAAGTGGCGCCAAGACGGGATGACAAGAAATAGAGATTCCGAAGGCTGTGAAGTGTTTGCGATGCGATAAGGGGAGCGCCTGGGAAGTCACTGATTAGCGGACTCTTACTCAATGCAAATAATAAAAACGTACAATCATCTGTTGCTAGCAGAGGATCGCTAAGCATCCTTCCAATAGCAGCATTGAGAACAATAATGATGGCAAACATTGCCGCTTTTAACGTCTGCCATAGTACGGGTAATGTTTTCGTCATGGTTGAGTTTTCCAGGAAGATCGATTCTTCAGAAACATCAATCTGAGATAACTTGTTTTGCCTCCATTGTGTCAAAAGCGTCCTGCTGAAGCCAAACAATTCTTCCATTGCGGCACGGATGAGCGCTGGATCTCGCACATTCGCGATACTATGGGCAATAAGGCGCGAGACGGAGCCCAGTGAAGACAATATTGGGCTTGCAGACATTTGTTGTATCTGCTTAAACGTAGAAGAAGTCGCCTTGTTATTGGTCAGTAATGCCAGTCGCTGAAGCCCAGCAATACACCATAGGACTCACAGGCCATGTAAACTTGCCCTCCTTCACCTGGCTAACATCAACATCAATCACGCCCAGGAAATATCCCGATCTCAGGCCTTCTGGAGAAGCGAAAGCGGTGTTGATTAAAACAGGCAGCAGAAGCTATCTTGTGTCAGCAACCATTACAATCTAATCCGTCAATGGTCCGCTCACATCGTAATCAATGGCCGCCTTTTCCACCTCCGGCAACAGGTCAAAAGTATGATTTAATACCCATCCGATGCAATGAGTTCCCAGTTGCTCTTCTTCTGCAGCCTGAACCAATGCCAGATTCGATGCTTTGACAATCGCGCCTTCAAGCAACCGTCTCAATGCTGCTGGTAAACCTTGGCGTTCATGGGACTCGAATCCTAGTAGTAAACCTCCAAGCACCAGAGTGTGCTTCCACCTCGGCGACTTTTCATCCGCCCCTCTTGCCACAGCTTTCACCCATTCTTCTTTATTCAAGGTAGTGAGGTGATAGCCTTGCTGCGTATGTTCATGGTTTAAGATAACGCGACTGGCAGAGTGAAATACGCCTAGGATGCCAAGACAGGTGCGTAGGCCGTCGGGATGCTCCCAAAACGCAGGCGAAGTTAATAATCTGCCGGTGAGAAGGCTGAGATTGAGAGGGTTCGAAAGGCTTGTTAATAGCGATGCAGCTGTGGAGAGTAGCCTACAGGAAGCGTCAGTGTAATAGTTCAGATGCCTATCGAAAGCTATGCGGAAGGTCATACCGAGGGGTATCCTGCTGCGAGGAAGGAGTTTGAATGGAGCGGAGTAATGTCCCTAGCAGCCGCTCTGAGGACATTCTGCTAGATGAGTATTACTTCAATCAATGAAGTTCGGGATCCGAATCATTCATCGTAACTACAGGGTATGGATGTGGTGATAGGAGTCCAGGGCGGGTGAATTTCGGATGCGATAAGATGTGGAATCTGGAGATTGAGCCGAGGCACGTCATCTTCTCCCGAACCCCAAACAACGACAAGCAATGCATCATTCATCATTCTAACACTATTAGACAGCAGCAGAAGAAGAAGAAGCTATCAAATCAGACTAGTAAATTAGTAATATGGCAGCGGAGTAAGTCCTATATTTCGAATTAGATATAACGACTACTGACTTTCATCTTTCCAGTGACATAGAGAATCCGGCTCCGCTGGATTACTCCACTCCCAAGTTTCCTTCCCTGTATTGGCCTATTCTCGTCCGTGCAGGAGAGGCTTCATATCTTTACTACAGCAGGGATGTGTGGAAATTTACTACCCTTTGGACATTGATCGTGTACGGCGCGGTCCATCTTGCAGCGAGTCTTTATGCAGCCTTCATGCAGCCGCGAAGCTGGAAAGTCATGTGGCTTGTCCCAGTTATCTACGTGGTTGTTGGCTCTATCGAGGCCATCATCGCTGGAAGTATCATCGGAGGCTTGTAAGAACCTCAATATACAATACTTTCCAAAACATCCTACTAACCAGCTCTAACATCACAGGCTAAGCGCAGTATATGATGCTGGTTCATTCAAAATGTCCACCTGGATACCATGTATATGGTCATTCATCAACGTGCTTATCTTGATTCTGTCATCTTTTGCAATCCAAGGCGGTCTATGATCGGATTCGAGAGACTCCCTTGTCGACATCATGGGAAGATCATTGCCGCATTATTTGATGCACCTATTTACAAAGCGGAAGGCAAATTAGCTGCCGAGAGTACCGCTGTTCGCCTCACAGCATCAAACTCATGTGAGAAGCCTCACAGGCTCTTTTTGCAAGGGTATTTTATATATCTATGACGCCTAGAGTAAGGGAAGCTTTCTAATGCTGACTTTTACAGATGCGATAACCCAACTCCCTTGGGTAGGCTATCCATCGCTCTATTGTACATTTTAAAACGGTGGAAGGGGATCCGATATCAATGATCTTACTATTGACTCTTCAACCCTCTCCCTCGCCGGCCGGGCCTTCATCCTCGGAGTCGGGCTCGATCTCGGCGTTTGAAGATTTGCCCTTCGCTCTCAGTGCCTCCTGCGCCTCTCTCGTGGCTGGAACGCCGACAGAGCTAAGATACAAGAAGATACCGCTCTTGAAATTGTCAATGTGCGTGAAGAAGGCATGGAATCTAGGAATCATTAGCTAAGACAATTTGAAATAACCGAAATAATCTTCAACTCACTGATTATCTTGGACTTCCTCCCTGAAAATTCGTTCATATATCTCCCTCTGCTTGAATTCCTCAATTTCATTGTTGTACTTTGAAAAGTCGATGGGTCGGCGTTCAAAGCCCTTTGCAATCTTTTCATTGTACGAGTCAAAAATTGGGCGTTCCAACAGCAGTCCCAGTCCAGGTGCCTTGGGAATATTGAAAATCTCAGGACCCATACTCTCCTGGATCCGCTCAATGGGGCAACCACTGCGCACCACAAATGTGGCCATGGAGACCATCTTACGGATCTGATGCATCATGAAGCTCTGACCGTGGACCTTGAGACTCAACCATTCTGTGCCGTTGATAATGATGGGCTTCTCGCCTACAACAAAAGACTTGATGACACGCTTGGCTGAAGCGTCCTTGAAAGTCTTTTGAATAGTGAAGTTGTGGTAATTTCGGGTACCAACGTAGGCACCGAAGGCATCGCGCACACGCTGGAGCCGAACGGGATCAATGCGATACGCCTTTTTTGCCTCGATATAGGCGGCCTTGAGAGACTTGATGGCTGCTTCGAGGCGCTGACGATTGGCTTTGCCCAGTTTCTCTGGCTTGACCTGTTCCTTGAGGGCCTCTGTGGCTGGCTGGCCATCGCTCTGCGCATTGAGTGTCTCCGAGGTAGCCGGCGCGTTCGTAGCAGCCTCCTTTTTTTCGGCAGCCTTCTCATCCTGCTCGGGAGTCTTGCTCTCCTTAGGAACGGAGGCCCGGCCAGTAGTTTCGCGAGGCGCATCAGTATCGGTCATGGGATTCTTGCCCTCATCGTCTCGAGCATCAGAAAGTGCTTTTTCAACCATTCCCCGCGTGTGCTCGTCCAGTTCCTCGAGGATCGGCTTTATGTACTTCTCCTCGGCTTCAGCCCAGAATGTAGAGACCTCTGCTTGACGTTCCTCGTAGCCCTTTCGATCATTCGCCTCATCTGCGAGCTCCTCAAGCTTCTTTCCAAGATAGGTTTGTGGATGCGGGGGCAAGAATGCGTGTGTAGGAATGAGATATTCGTAGATACGGGAATCGCATAGTTGGTAACAACTGAAGCTGCCTGTGGTGCGCTCCATGCCCCAGACACGGATTTGTGGAGAGAGATTATCGTTGATCTTCTTGACAATATCTGGATCCTCTACAATGAGCTTTAACGAGATAACGTTTCCTGCGGCGTGAACGCCTTTGTCCGTCCGCGCGCATCGCACGAGGGATGACTTCTTCGGGTCATCGGCATTAGCCTTGGAGATGGCGCCAGCAGCAACAAATGCTGAAAAGATGTCTCCTTCGATTGTCTTTTCCGTTGTGTTTCTGTCATTGTCATCTTAGCCATCAGTCGCTCAAGGCGCTGCATTATTTTGGTGAAATTACAGTTGCATGCCCTTATATCCACTTCCAGAGTACCCAATCAACACAGCGACCTTACGCTTTGGTTTCCTTTCCTCCTGGGCAATCTCTTCGGCAGAAAATGGCAGTGGGAGGACCGGTGTCTGGCCCTCTTTCACTTCAACTTTCCGGCGCTTGTTTTGGCGGTCATTGCCGGTCTTCTCTCTCTTATCTAGAGTGCGAGAACGACTTTGTTTAATCAATCAGTTCTAGAACACGTACAGCAGATCTAGACGCAACTCACCTCCAGTCATTTCGCCCAATATCCTTTCTCTTATTTCTTGGTATATACTCTCGCTTGCCAGACTTCTTCTCGGGTTGCGCATCAGCGTTGTCTGTGGGAGGGGCAGCAGCGGGCGCGGGCGATTCGGTCGCAGGGCCGTTCTGAGCATCAGACTCCATTGTGTTCGTGTCAGGAACTCTTGCATTGTCTGAATTCTCCATGCTTGTCTGTCAGATAATTGAAGTATAGTTGAGTCGCGAGTCACAAAACGTTAGTATGGGATGGATGTTTCTTCAAAATTATTTCCAAGAATGGTCTAGCGTCATCGCGGGATCGAGAATCAGCTTTATCGCATTATCCATCGTCATTCATCCTCTCTTTTTACGATCCATACACTCTGTACCTTCGTTACTTTTATTCCCTTTACCTCAGTCAATCTGCTTTGAAGTCCGCCTCCCGGTCTTCTTTCATCTGTTTGTTACACGCCTGTTGCTTTTTCTCCAAAAGCAATAAACCGCCGTTGTTATGATCTAAGTTTCGCCGCCTCATCAGATCTCGCTTTAGTCCGCTTCGTCCTTACCTCGAGCACCGTCACCCTCCAAGTCCTCCATATCATCTGTTTTATTCCACAGAGAGAAACATGGATCTCGCAAAGTCGCTCATCCGAAGCGTTGCGCGCGCCTTTTACGACACCGAACACATACTCATCGTTGATGCGCTGATGATACATTCAGCGTATGTAGCCCATGCGCAATGGACTATATGAGCATGTCTTGTGTTGTTATTATTTTGAACTATGATGGCTGAAACCATATTCTAAACAATATACAGTCTTCGAGACGATGATTTGGCTCTTCTGCTGGGAATGCAGGTCAAGGGCCTGCGCAAGCTATGCGGCAAGCTCAGGGAAGATAGACTGCTGGCAGTGTATGTGAAGCTTCCTCTTGCATCGAATTGTTATAGCGGGTTTCAATTGCATTACACTTGAATCAGCTTTCTGACAATACATTCTTCCCCGCAGCCATTCCCGTCTAGAAACGCGCGAGGGCATGCAACGTCCCATCACGAAAGACTACTACTACATCGACTTCCACCTGACCATTGACGCGATCAAATATCGGATATACCGAATCACCAAAGAAGTCGAGCAAATGTTCCAACCGACAGAGGAGAAAAAGGACTACTTTTGCCCACGGTGCAAATCACGGTGGACGCAACTCGAAGTCCTCGACAACCCCGGCCCACTCGGATTCAACTGCCACAAATGCGACGGCCCCCTCGAACGGGACGACGACAGCGCCGCTGAGCGAGGCGGGCACGAAAAGCAAAGCCGACTTATGAGCCAATTACACGGCATGCTGAACCTCCTCCAGCAAATCGACCGCACAGTGATACCCAACAACGACTTTGACGCGGCGTTCTCCGTTGCGGTTCCCATTCAGCGCAACCAGATTGTGAACCCCGTCCGGGCCATGGCGCCCGCAACTGCCGACGGACGACCAACATCCGTCAAGGGTCTCGCGCAGACCAGCGGCGCACAGATCGAAGTCTCCGTGACCACATCCTCCGAGAGATCCGCCGCCGAGCAAGCCACCGAAGCGCAACGACGCGCTGCGCTTGCCGAACAGAACGCCCTGCCAGTCTGGCACACCAACTCCACCGTCTCAGGCGAGGCCACGGCGCTGGGCAGCAAGGAAGCCGCAGCACGCAGGGAGCGCGAATACAACGGCGTCGGAACAGACACCAGCACCCCGCTCAAGGGCGAAGACATGGACGAGAAGAAGACGGACGACAAGCAGTCTGCCGAACTCGATGCGTATTTTGCAGAACTCGAGGCCGAAAGGCAGAAACAAGCGCGCGAAGACCAAGAAGAGGACTCGGACGAAGAAGAAGACGAGGACGAAGACGAGGAAGACGAATTCGAGGATGTGCCTGCAGCCTCTGGCCAACCACAACCACAACCACCCACTGCCGCCCCCGCCGCCGCCGCAGTTCCTGCAACATCTTCTTCTTCTTCTGCTGGTATTAACGGCGCACAACAGCACGCTTCTCTAGCACAGAACGGCCAGCAGCCCGGCACGGGCTCCTCGTCCTCGGCAGGAAATAACACCCCTGCCGGCGGTGCTGGCAATGGAACTGGGCCTGGATCAACCGCACCCGCAACGTCACAGGAAGCAGCAGATGGTCCTGCGGCCAAGAAGCCCCGGATCGACGGGGACAGTGCGAATTCGTTTACAAGTACGCAGACAGCAGACGGACAAGCAGGTGACCAACCTGCTCCGCCAGCACCAGTCAAGCAGGAAGAAGACTCCGATGAAGACGACGACGATGTCGAGTTTGAAGACGTTTGACATCTGTTTTTTTTTTTTTTTTTTTTTTTTTTTTTTAGTTTCGCTGTGCCCCACGGATCCCGTCTATTGTTTTACCGTCCCGATCTAATTTGGCCTACGTTATTAAGGCTTGGGTTAAACGTCTCTTGTCCGATCGAAACGTCCTGCGCTATTCAAGCCTTGGTCGAAACGCCTCTTGTCCGATCATATGGTTCCTACGCTAGCCAAGACTTAAATGACAGGACGGACAGATCGAGGGAAGGAGGGAGTGAATAGTTGGGGGAAAAATCCAAATTACTGACAATTTCTCAATTTCATTTACCACGGCGCATGGGAGTTTGGGAGACCAGCGGTGGGCTGTCATTTTTAAGGGGGGATAAGCAAAGAAGAAAGACAAAGAGTGCTAGGGGGGCGCACTTGATAATACATAACCAAAATTACCATCATCATCATCATCATTGATTCGATACGAGTCGAAACCTGGTTCGAGATAGATGCACATATATACTACAAAATTTCCGGGGGGCCCCGGGAGGGGGCGGGACTGAACCAAAAAAAATTCTAGATTGATCAGTCAGATAGGTCTGATTTCCACAAAAACAGAATCCTACAAAAAGTTCTCAAATGTTCAATGTCTAGACTTTTCGTCCATGAGACGAGACATATAAATGGGTCTCAAAAATTGGGAATTATTATGTGACAGAATCGTATCATTCTTGTGGGGTGTGTATGTGTGTACGGTAAATACATGCCGTGTGCCACACAGTAAAGGAACTCCGCGCTATTGTTTGTGGTCCGGGCTCCTGGCATAGATGATCCCGAAAAATAAGAAAAGAAAACGGGGGACGACCGGGAAAAGGGGAAAACGAACCAAGGCAACCCAAAGGGGAAAAAAAGAACACAAAAATGAAAATGATTCCGTAATGAAATAACAACACCCAGCCTGACTGGCAACATGAAAATGGTATGCTAATGCAATCAGGCGCTGATCCATTCCCTAGTCAAGTGGGGACGGGAAAGAAACAAAGACGGGTAGATGCTGGTGAGAGGTTTCTTCTCATCTATCATTGAAACTTTTGACGACAAGACCACATGCTGTATTGGGTAAAAAAAAAACAAGGGCGAACAGAAATAAGAACCCATGAACGAATGATGTGTGTGTGGATGTGTCAGTGAACAAAAAAGACTCCGTGGTGCACAGAACAAACAGACGCCAGAATCAACACGATTCAATCCACTGGATATCAGACGAGACGGATTTGTAAATGCTCAGAGATACCAGACCGAGCTTCACTAGACAATCCACTGGGAAATTCATGGACTAGTGCTTTCGACAGGAAGGCTAGCCGGATCGACATCGGAATCATTCGCCGAATTGGACTCATTGTCCCACTCTTCTGAATGTATATTAGCATCGCCGTCAGGAGCATTAGCAGATGAGCAAAGGTCAGGATTACCTGAAACTGCTTCATCTGCTTCCTCCACCGTTAGGCCAAGAAGTTCTTCTAGTACAGCTAGTAGAGAGAGCACTTGAGTCAGTTTCAGATCAATTAAAAGCAAAAGAAAAAAAAAGGGGGGCTAGCGGTTATGAACTCACCATCAAACCTTTCCAACACGCGGTGACCCTCTGCATCGCCAGACGCCCAATAAGGCCTACAATCATTCATAACTTGAACGATTGCGCTTATGAGCTTAGCTTCGGCAGGCTCTTGTTCTTCAAGGTAGCGGCTAGTGATGAGTCGCATACACGCCGTACCCAAATTCTTGGCGGCCCGCATTGCTATCCGATTAAATTGCTCGTCAACCGTTGTCGGCGGGCATCCAAACTGGAAAATTAAATCTTGGAGCAAGCCAACAGTGCCACGTCGGACTGTCTCTTCCCAGTAAAGAAGAAGGTGTGGCGCCCAACTGGGGGAAGTTTCAACCACTAGCCAGAGGAAAAATTGAGGATCCCGCGGAAGTCGTGGGTTGTGGACTTTTGACAGCCGACGGAAGAATTGAAGATGCTCTTCACCGCCGTGGCTGCCAATCGTATCAATGTCACTGGCAGTACGAATAACTATTTCTCTCGCTTCTGTAACTTCAGGCGTATTCCCACAAAAGACAACTGCTGCATCGAGGTAGGGCGCAGCGAGAGAGGCAGGGTCGATAGCGATTCCTGCCATGATGGTTTTATAAAGAGTCAGCAGTAACCCAAATTGAGGTTCGCTGCGCAGGAGAATCGTGAGAATTTCCAGTGAGCCATCAGCGTTCTGGTTTGTGTCCAAGATCTTGGTCAGGAAAGCTAGATTCTTCGTCTTTGGTATGAGATGTGTCAGAGATCGGTCTTCCGAGTTTGTTATACGGTATTTGATTTTGCCGGTGCTTTCCTGTGGGTCATCCTCGGCAGGCTCAGCTTCGACAAGCTCGACTCTTCTCAGCAATACCCGGACAAGCTCAATGAGTTTATTATAGGACGGTTCCTTGCCCTTTTCAAGAAGTCGTAACATCCGTTGCCAATTCCACTTGAAGGCCTTTCCACCATATTCAACAGTCAGAACTTCCAAGCATCTCGCAAAGAAACCCTCCTGCAGTAGTAGCAGCGTTTCTGGGGTGCCTAGACTTGCGAGATTGCATAAGAGCCCGAAATAATCGTCCCATGCCCGCATATGAAGGTCAAAAAATGCCCACATATCCGCCAGGCAACTCAGAATGCCGTAAAATGCACCCGTCTCGTCGATCCAATCGGTCTCTTCCGAGTCTGGGTCGTTTGATTCTAATCCGTAAAGCCCGGGATCGGTGTCGCGTAAGAAACCCAGGGTTGTGACAATCAGTTCCGCAAAATCTTGGCGGACTTTGGCAGATGGATTCCGCATCAGCATATTGCGCAGGGCCATGGGATTTTTGATGATCCACTGAAGCGCCATATTGCAGCAATCTGGGCATGTTCCAAGTACCTTGAAGAGCAATGACATGATGCTATCAAAGTCTGGCAAGTCCTTAGTCCGGGATACAACCTGATCAATATGGCTCAATGTAAGGAAGATGACGGCTCTTTCAAGCTCATGTGATTTTGAGCATATTCCCTTGTTCAGAAATAGCAGGCTCTGGAGTAGAGACCTCACAAACGGCGCATGAGCAGGGTCAAATAGGCAGTACTTCCTTATAAAAAGCTCATTTTCCAGTGCGATGTGATTGCTCAGGTCCAAGTCGAACGGAACGCGGACTGGTAGATTTGAAGGTGCTTCATGGCTCAAGCTAGACTCTGTCGAAGAGGCGCGCCGGTAGAAAAGCATATAGGCGCTCCATGCTTTCGGAAATCGAACTTGCTGAAATCCATTCGCTGAGAGAAAGTCGTTGAGCCCGCCAAAACAATGTTCGGGAATCTTTGCCGGATCGAACCTCGAAACATCAGCGTCGTTGAATTCAACCCAGGTATGTTGACCATTAGTTGATCGGGTAGATTCTCGAATGTACGAATAATAGTGACCTGATTCTGCCGTTCCACTGTGAACCAATACTCCAGTGAGCTCGAATAGGTCCTCTGGTGTTGGGGTTCCTGGATCGCTCAGATGCTCGATTTTGTAAGGACTCATATCGATTTTGTTTGGGAACTCGAAATAGTCATTGATCTTGCTTCGTTGCATCGTAACCAAGTCAAAATCGAAGCGCTTTAAATGAAAGATGAGGTTGTTGGGAACGTCGCGCAGACAGGTCCTGGGTTGATTGGTTAGCTTCTTTACTTCACAGATCGAATAAATTGACTTACCTTTTAACCGCATTTACATGCCGGTTACATGAAGTACATGAGTACTTGTTATCTGGATCCGTCAGCCAACTAACTCACGAAGAAAACAGCCATCTTCAGTCTTACCTCCCTCCATTATTTCACCCTCGACGTATGCCTTCAGACTATCTTCCAATGAGGTCTTGCCTTTGATGTCACATTGGATGGCGGAGAATGGCTCCTCACGCTCCGAAATATGAGCACATTCTTTTGACTTGACTTGTTGGACAAGTTGCCCCCCGAAAAAAGACTTGAACTGTTGTTTGTCTTCCTGGGACAGCATTTGTCCCTCCCACCTGTCAAATAGTAGATTGTAGAATTCGTCTACATCCATCTGAATCGTGACATCAATTTGTTCATTATCATATGTCCGAATGGAATCGGCGAGACCAGTTGGGTCAATCCACTTAGACCAGCTCTCTTGCATGTATGCAAAGATTTTCTTTGTTTCAGCAAGGAGCCTCTGGGCCCCATCCTCATCTGCAACGCTGGTGTTGAGCATAAATTGTCGAAAAGGGACGTTCATGAATAATTGAGTGAATAACGAGTTGAGATAACAGGTATTGGAAAGATTTTTCAATCCAGCATAACCGGCGGGCGATCTGATTGCTTTGGAGCGTTCGAAATTCCATGTCGGTGACTCGTAAGTTGAATCTTCAAACTGTGAGTGGGTAAAAAGCTGATTCCAGGAAAAGAGTAACACACCTTGAGATGCTAATTCTTCTACGAGGATGACGAGCCTCTGGTAACTTTCTCTATCTTGGCTCAGCGACAAGATTAATTGATATATTTCCTTCCTGCTAGCACTGTCTAATACAGGGACGCGAGGCTCTATCTGCTCATCGTCACTCATGGGCGATAGATCTGGAAAGAGATGTGATTCAAAAACTCCTTCCATAAGCGGCCTATCCATGTAATAAGTTAACCGATTACTGTCAATTTCAGTCCCGAGTCGGATATACTCACTTTGTTTTGAAAGGTTTTCCGCAAGATTTGGCAAGCTGTACGCACCAATTTAGGAGGGATGTGAAGCCTAGGACGACGGAGTCGACAGTATTACGTCCAACAAACTATCATGATATTAGCATCCGATATCTGCATGGGAATGCGCTGGTTTCTTACCTCGTAATGTTGATGGTCCAACAGAATATCACCCCAGGTCTGGACATATCCGTCTAAATCAAGTTCGTTCCTTGAGTATTCACTAAATGATCGAAAAACAACCAAAGAAACATCAAAAAGTTGACGCGAATGGTCTTGGTAGTTGAGACTTTGAGGGAGGATATTCAAGCACAAGCTCCAAAAGAATGATGAAAACTTTTGACAACTTGTTTGAGAAGGGCTGCCGGAAAGTCAACTCGCTGCAGACGTACAGTAATCCAAGAATGCTTCTGTATTGATAATGAAATGAACAGCAGGTATTTTGACTTACTGATGAAGAGAACTGCAGACTCCTAAGATGATTTGTGCCGTTCGGCTTCTCATACTCTCTCGGCCATCTTTCAGAAGGGCTTCCTCGATCAAATGGCGGATATCTGCATGAGCAGTGAAGGATGCCCATATTTGCTCATTATGGAGTGACGCTTCGATCAGAGTCTCGAACGATTGACAAAATACTTCGATAGATTCGATGCTCCGCGGCGTATTTATCGCTTTAGCTATGTTCATCAAACTAATTATTCGAGAGACCAAGTCGTCCGTATCTGAAAAGTAAGTTGCGGAGATATCTACGGGTACAGGCTCTACACGACGAAATTAGTTCCTTGAAAGCCGCAGAAAGGGTGCAAACTTATACCTTTTAAAAACCTTGACAGGCAAGAAACAAGGCTACCCAAGATTTTCAGCTTCAGGTGATCGTTGTGGAGGCCTTTCATAATTTCGGACGATAATAGAGCGGTTGAGACGGCGTTAACACCACGTAGGATAAAGGAATGGTCAACATAGCCCTAAGATTTTTTTAGCATAATTGAATCAGAGATGATATGTCCTTTGACTCACCGTATCTAATCCTTTACTGAGGCAAAACTCTAATGTCTTTACAGAATATAATACTTTGTAAGGCTGTAGACTTGGAAATAGAGTTGTAGCAGTCATGTTGTCATCCATGGCAAGTCGACGTATTCGTTCATGCGGAGGGAAAGTGGTTATAAAATCAAAGATCTGTTAATCCCATTAATAACCATGGTAAGGAACAAGCTTATCGAAGGAACGTACTTTGAAGGCAAATCCGTCCTCGAGATCGAGGAGATCATACAATTCGTCGAAATGCTTTAAAGCTTCAATCTCCAAAGCTGACAGGCCGTCTTGAGAAATTGTATCTTCAGATGCACCATTCCCGTGTGTCACCTTTAACAATAAAAGACCTGCAGATCCAATTTTGAGTTCTTGGAGTGTCTTTCCCTGGGCATCAATGACATCGAGCATCTGGCCACCATTAATTATCTTCACCGTTCGGACGCCAATTAGCCGCGTAAGTCGTGCATGAAATTCCTCAAGGGTTTCCATGTCACCTGCTTGCAGGGTATTTATTGGGCTTTGCGCACTTCCATTAAAAACTTGATAACTTATAGTCAACACATTTCCCTTGAACGGCTCAGCCTCAACGGCGGCTTCGGGCTCTTTCCGGAGCAGAGGGCTATATTGCGGGCGTGCCCTCACTGCGTGAAGAATCTCCCGAAGGAACATCAATGATCTTCCAAAGCGAAGCTCTTCAGAACTCTGTTCGCTTCCTCTGTTGAGTACTACCATTGGTTCCCCGTCACCATCCCGCGAAGCGTCGCTGAATGATCTCAATCTTGCGGCAGCCAAAGTTAACTGCAGTATCGCTCGATCGACTACAGCAATATGGGTCCTTTCGATTGCGGAAATGGTGGCCGTTCGGATTGCAGGACTGTCAAGATAAAAGCTAACCAGCAATTGGGATGCCGCATTCTCAATGGTATTCTCGGGTGCTGTGAGTATGATTCGCCACAACTGTTCCGCACCAACTACTTCGATAACTCCGTCCCCGCTAGGTTCATCATGAGGTGTCATTCTTGTCTTATACTGCGCACCTTGCTGGATAAAATGGAGGAAACCCCCAGTGAAGAGGTTTGGATTGAGTTGAGGTGCGTAAACGTCGATGCAGCGATCAATAAAAACATTCCTTTGGTCGAGCCTGCCGGTAACTTCACAAAGCAGCGTCCAGGCAGCATTTCGTTGCGCATCATGGAGCGCGCTTTGGGCGAAAAGAGAATCCCAGAGATGATCACCGAGATCATTTGAGATTGTTTCCGGAGCATGCAAAAGAATCTGAGAAAGGAGTTCTAACCTCGGTGCGAGCAGTATTTGACAAGTCTGGACGTCTATGCTTCGAGCACACATGGCTTGGACGGTATGCGCCATTTCTGCGACGAATAATTTTGTCAAGTTAAGTTCGTTAGATAGAAATTCGATCCCCTCATTCAGCCTATGCCGCAAGATAACATTGATGGCGCAGATGCTGCCTGTGGCGTGCGCAGATTTATCAGCAATATCTTGTACGCATTCGCGATAAATATCCCTCCGGGCTTGCTCACTTGGTCCAACTTGAATGAGTTGGGCAAGCTCCTCTGTTGCAAACCGCGTGACTGCAAGGAAATCATTGGGCGTATCCCCTTGAAAGGCGGTTGCTTGACGGATCAATCGAATGCAGACATCATAAGGTGGCGTTTCAGTCACCTCCCTCCGAGGGTCTCTGGCAAAAGCTTCTCTAACATGATGAAAGAGTGAAACACCAAAATCGATCATTTTTGCATCAAAAGCATCCAGGGGGAGCTCGTTGAGCTTTGTGCAAAGATAGATGAGTAGCGGAAATGAAGCCACATTGAAAATGTTCTTCAACATGGTCAAAATCCCCGCCACGACTCTGGGATCCTGGCTCGTTTCTACTGTCCGCCAAATAGTGTCGGAGTCTTTCGTGGTATAGCGATTGGTGACCACCAAGAAGCCAATGATATTGGCACTTCTGGCTATGAGCTGTGGATGAGACTCAACTCCCACAATGTAATCAAGGAGTTTATGTTCAATGATCAGATTCGACAGGTATTGCATAACCGGGTGATTGGGACCTTCCTCGGTCGCTCTGAACCTAGAAAAGGTGTTTACCAGATCTACCTGCATAGTCTCAATCCCGAGAACGCGGAGCTCCATGCGCCCCTCCGAGATATATTTTCGTAAAAGGTCAAACTTCCAAGCGTTAGAAACCAAGTCGGGCAGGTCGCTTTCACGAGGCTGGTCCAACACACCAGTGAGTTTTTGAAATTGGTGCGCGAGCTCTGGTTCAGCATGGATGACAAAACAAAGTATTCTACCAAGACAATGAATAAGGTCTTTGCTGAATTCCATTGATAAGGACGATGTCTGTTTTCCCACTGAAGAATGAAGCTCTTCGTCAATGGCCCTGAACAGGTCCAACGCCTTTTCGGGGACAGGATGCCATGTTCTTCGCGATGAATCATCCATTCTCCGGCGGTGAGTCAGCGAATCGTTTGCCAATGACACAAGGTTCCGCGTGATGTGTAACAGGCTCATGATGTGGTCGCCTAATCTCGGACAATAACGAAGCCGTTGGGAGAGCATATGAGTGTATCGCGCGAGTAGCTTCATGCCATTGCTTTGGGGGATGACAAATGCTTCTCCGATATCATTGACGAAGGACGCAATATCCATGCTGTAAGTCTTATATAACAAAGTCCACAAGGGAATGTCTTGCAGCCTTGTGACATATTGCAGCATCAGGAGGTAGCGGTACGATATTAAGTCGGGTTCATCGGTGCAATCCTCGGGCAACTGCAACAGCGTTTGGATATCAACTTCGATCGCGCGAGCAGCGAGAGGAGGAAGCATTCTGAAGAAGTCCACCATGCATTGGCGATCATCAACAGCTCCTTCTTGGGGGATATATCGCATGAATCCATCTCCGAAAGGGATACTGTTGGAAAGTAAGCAAATCTGTTGGGCAGGGCAAAGTACCAGACCGTTACTTGCCGTCGTCGTAGCAGACACTCGAATAAGGAGGGGATCTCATCCCAAAAATCACGTTCCTCCAAGTATACCTCCCAAAAGTCTGGCCGTCTAGGTTCCGTATGCTGAAGATATGAGCCGAACCAATCCTTGAGCTGGACCAGCAGAAACCCATCATCCAAGTTTCCTTGTGTTATCAATCAGCCTCTAAACTTGCCAAACAGAGGAATAGAAAGCTATCACAGGACTAAGTAGACCAACCTTTTTCTAGAAATTGTGCAGTAATCAGCACCGCATCACGAGGGTCCCGTTGTTCACGTGCATTTGGAAAATCCTGGATGAGGCTCCGACGAGACATGGGTTCTCCAGAGCTTCCAAAGACGTTGACAATTGGTGCCCAGCTGGCGCCGCTTTGGTTCTGGTCCATATCCTCCAGTTCGGCAGCTTCAATCTGGGGACTGCGTGCCGAAGAAGGTGAGGCAGCAACAGCCTCGACAAAGGGATTCGGCTCAGCCGCAGTAGATTGCTCGACATCCATTGTGGTCGCATCAGGAATATCCAATTCCACGTTTTCCGCTTCACTTTCGTTTTGGATAGTTGTGCCTTCAGCTGAACTCTCAGGCAAAGGAGTTCGGACGTTGATCGTCATTCTATTTGAGGTGGGCGTAGGTGGAGCAGTGTTTTCCGCTTCTATGTTGACCTCTGAACTGGTTGGTGGAGACTCTATTGTACGGCCGCCGTCCGCTTGAGGAAGGGATAGTGAATTTTCCGACTGGAGCGCCTCCGGAGACGAAACCATATTTCTCTCGGCCGACTGACCTTTGACGCTCCGATCTCGTTCACCGCTGTCGACTCGAGGCCTTTTTCTCTTTAAAGCAGCCTCGAATTCGGGTCTTGGTTCATCTTGTTCTCCACCGGCTTCTGCTGATCGAGCAAAGGCAGCCATGCGATCAGGCTCTACCGAATCTAAAGACATAACATCTTGGCCGTCCATCTGCGGGAGTCGAAGCTCAGGAGAAGCGACGAGGAAGGAGCCAGAGTTGCTAGCATGCCACGTTTCCAGATTCACTGGGCCTTAAGAAAAAGTCAGGATTAGTTTGGTGGTCGGGAAGCGTAGGAATAGCAGGCACCAGCTACAGACAGTTCCTGCAGGATAGAAAGAGACGGCATTGGAGGGGATCTTGACTTACCAAGCTCAAGCCTCCCAGAGATCAATTGGAGACAGCAATATGGGGTGAGTTGGTAGGATTTCTGGGCACTGTAAAGACAATACACCAGAGGATGCGAGTTTTGAGCTCCAATTAATTCGGTAAATAAATGACGTTATCTATGCGTCTCGCAATGTAACAGCAATAAAGCTTTAGAGGAGCGACAGAAGACGCCAGGAGAAGGTAGAACTGAGTGCAGTACTGCAGCAGTAACAGCAGGGTTGAAAGGGCCGTGACACTTAGAGGCGCATCTAGTTGCGATTAAAGAGGATGAGTATTGGAGGAGCGGCACCAGCCAGCAACCACAAAGTGACGGTGACGTTTGAGTAGGTTGTTTGCACAGCCAATATTGTAGAACAGAAATGGGCAAGGCAGCTACAAAACAGTGAATAGAAAAGCAGCACCACATAAGTCATATAATCTTCATTTCTACAAGATTCACATTTCAAAAGCCTACGCGTTAAGAGGCGTCACGTTGTCTGTTTTTCTTTTAGGATGATTATTTTGTACTCTAGGCGTATCACGGCTGACTGGTGTACACGAGCAAAAAGGGAAGCTTTATCGCCTTCGCGTCTCTAGCAAACTCCTAATTACTGCGCTAAACCGGATATGGCCGATCATTTACAGGCAGCCATCATATACACCACCATCAAAAGAGAATTATTATCAGCCTCACACCGTGTTTCTTTGTTTACGACGGCTCGATTTTCTCTAATAATACCGAACCGTCCCATACCTTCGCTGGCCAAATCCGTCAGAATAATGGATAAGGGTAAAAGTCTTCGAGACGCCGAACGAAAGACTAAGCTAGTCTTCAACCTCGAGTCGCCCTTTACTTCTGCTCATTGGTTAGTGTACGCCAGCTTTCTAGGCACTTTGGCAAATTGACAAGAAAAAAAAAACAGGCCAGAGATTTCGAAGGATGACCAAGATTCGATCTTAGATTTGCTGTGCAGGTATGTCCCACGTGATTTTCCTTTTACTCTGGTGCCTTGCCCACGGAAAAATGTTTGTAACAGATGTTTTGTGTCTTTTTTTGCGTCTATCACCCTCCACGCATATATGACAAGCATCAAATTATCTATTATCACATTTATTTTCTGCAATGCGTTTTTATGAAGGGAGAAACGTTTTTCCTCTCTCTCCGCTGCTTCTTCTTACCACGTGACTGACCACATGTCTTAGCTTGGTCGAAACAATTGGCCAGCATCGCACAAGTCATGGTACGAAATCGCAGGGGAAACGGAGCAAAAGGCAAAATAAGAAGGATAAAATATCTCAAGTAAACGAGCCACCGCCTGTGCCGCCGCCGGAACTATGCTCCCATGTCACGATTGGACTTAACAGCACTACTCGCCATCTAGAGAGTCTGACGCAGAGTGCCATTCCTTCCACGGTGGAGCTTTCCAACCAGACAGCGCAACATGTGACGAGCATCTCCTCAAATGATCCAAACCAGCCTTCTTCGTCATTGACTCCCCTTGCGGCCGTGTTCGTCGTTCGGTCTTCGCAGCCTTCCACGCTTCATGCCCAGCTTCCTCTGCTATGCGCCACTGCTTCTCTAGCATCTCCTTCAAAGAGCCCTACTCTTTTGGTGACACTTCCCAGAGGTGCTGAACAACGCCTTTCAACAGCGCTTGGCCATCCTCGCGTTGGATTCATTGGGATCATGGAGGATGCCCCCCATGCAGCACCTTTACTTGACTACGTACGAAGCCATGTCTCTCCAGTGAGGGTTCCGTGGTTAGAAGAAACAGGCAAAGGCAATTATCTTCCTGTGCAAGTCCGATCCCTCAAGACCTTTGCACCTGTAGTAAAGAAGAGGGAGAACAGTGACAAGGCAGCGCAAGCGCTCCCTAAGCGGCCGAAGACCTCTACATGAAACTTTACATTGTGCAAATCTTTCGCCGCAGCTGCATTTCTATTCATTGGATACCCAGCAGATGGTAATTGAAGCAAAAAGTATTACTGATCCCGTGGCTTCCGCGAAACCTGAAACCTCGCTGGGGTTAGTCGAGCTCGGGGAAGGCACAACGTCATTCCATCTGGTTGTATTTCTCCTGCAGAGACCTGCGACGGAGCAGGAGAGATGAAGTCACTCAGACTAGATTTCCTCGGAGAATTATACCTTTATCCCATAGCACTCAGTATCATTACCGCAACACCTCGCTTCAGTTACAGAGCAAAAAGGGGCCCTTGTTCCCGCCAACTCCTACTTGGTCAAAAGACAAGACGACAAAAAATACAATAAAAGAAAAATGATGAAAATAGAAAGATTGAAAGATGCTTCAACGGCCTTCATTACAGCATCAACACGGTCAGAACAAAACTAAAAGCAGTACTTAATATGCATTTATCTGACATTGGCATCGGAGCAGAGCTCTTCTTCTTTCCCGTTTCTGTGGAGTGGAAACTGCTTGAAGTTGAAGTAGCCGCTCCCATGCCATTGCCTGTGCTCGTGGCTGCTGAGCCGCTCTTGGAAGCACCCGAACCTGACGCTGTCGAGCTGGCACTGGAGAAGGAGCTTGCTGTTTTGGGGACATCGGTACTGAAGGGAAGATAGGGCACGGAGCTGCCGAGGATAAGAGGCGGCTGGGTCGGAATGACTGGGTTTGGAAAGGCGCCAGGGCCATGGTAATCCAGCACACTGCTGCATTGTGAGCCGATGAATAAGACCAAATGAAGATGAATCTCCAAAACATTTGCAACCCAGGAAGACAGAATGCAACTCACTTGTCAAGTACATGCAAAACGCCATTTGCGAGCAACAAATCTGACTGGATGATCTTGGCACTGTTGATAAACCAGGAGTTTGCCGCAAATCTAACAGTAAGGTTTGTGCCTTGAAGGGATTTCAATTCCGTTCCATTGGGCATGAGTGATGTATATGCGACAGTTCCGTTTACAATATGATAGCTCATCAGGCTAGCGAGTTCTTCGACGGTCAGGTTCTGGAAAGCAGTTCCGATCTCCTGGAAAGCATCATTCCATGGCGCGAAGATGGTGATATCCGTCGTGGTGTCAAGATATTTTTCCAAGTTGGCTTTGGCCATTGCTCCGTTTGCAGAGGTCAGATTGAAAGTAGATGCCGTGTTGACAAAGGTCTCTGGTAGGACAAGAAACGAGTCGATCACATGGAGTATGCCACCAGTGAATTGTAGGTCCTGTTGCAATGATTTTCATGTTAGTCGAGGCTTTCAGGCGTCTGGCAAGGAGAAAATTCCAGTGTTTTTCCTCCTTACCGTTGTGGTTAGAGTCGATCTTGAACCCTCGCCAGACACTGCGACGATTACGTCTCCGGCCTGCTTCACAATCGAAACTGCTGCTCCGCCAGTGACATTGCTATACGAAGAGTTGTACAAATGAGTTGGAATGAACTGAAACGAGCCATTGAAAGATGATGCGGTGTGGGTGCCATTAAGCACATGGTAATGCAGCAGTGCGCGAATGGTATCGGTGTCGTTCTTCTCGAAAACTTCGTTGAGTGACGAGTACGGGAGCTTATTGAATGCATCGTCGCTCGGCGCAAGGATTGTGACGTCTTGTTCAAAGGAAAGCGTGGCATAAATGTCGCCATATTTGCGAATCAATGCATTGAAGCTGGTTAGGTTTTTGTTATTGGTCATCAACTCTGTCAAGTCTGGAGTGGTATCTGACGAAGCGGCGCCAACCACCGTGACTGCGGTCAGCATCCATGAGAAAGCCGAAAGCAACGCAAGTGACTGAAGAGCAGAATTGAATCGTAACATTTTCTTGGTCCTAAAGCAATGAATGGCTTGTTTTGCAACTGAGCAGCCGCGGTTAACAGCGCAGTGCTTTCCACCAACCGTCAATTGAAGCGTCAATTGCAGCAACTGTTGAATATTCAATCGATTGTCAATATATTAATCCAGCACTATTTGTCAAATGGGTATCTCGAACATGAACGAATGACAGCGCGCGTGGAAAAGACAAAAAACAAGCATTCAAAAAGAAAGAATTCGTCCAATTCGACGTGACAAACAGATTATGAGGGCCTGGGGCTAAACAGAGAGACTTTTTTTTTTTTCATCAGGGGGATAATGCGCCATGTGCGCATTTAATGGGGTTTCCCAATTCCCTCGTATACACACCCATTGAACCAACCGCAGGCCAGAATTGCCGCAGCTGAATACGAAGGCAAGCATAATAATGGACCTGGGCGAACAATGACCCCAAAAACAGTGTGCCTTGCCGTTAAACCAAACCCCAATAAGCTATTAGGAACCCCAGTGCTGGGCGGGTCCACGCTAAAACTCCACACTTCAGTTTTGCGACCAGCTGGGGAATCGCGGGCGCCCGCCACATGGCCCCCGGTCTCCTTCCTCGTTTCCTCGTCCTCGGTCCAAGCGGTTCTTTGCATTGGTTTAGACCGCCGCACGCTTGTCTTTTTTGTTCCTTTCTCGAGCTAATCTTGGTATATACATTCAACTATCGTCTCAAAAATACAGGGGCAAGTCAGTTGGGACCGACGGACTACAATCGCCAACTCTTGGTTCATGCCATTTTACCCGCATGGATCCATTTAATATCACGTTTATCCGCTGAACGTATTGAAGTTTGTGTGCTGAACCGGTTGCCGTCCCAGCGTCGGGGCTGGACCCTTGATGGCGTGGTCCAGCCAACAAGACAGTACTCTGTAGCCATTACTGTACCGCCCTCTTTAACCTCACCCCTCGTCGATCTGTCGCCTAGATGGGATCGCGATACTGATTCTGATCATTTTACGGTTTATTGTCAGGGACTTCTCGTGGTCCATTATGGCTTGGTTACAGCACACCGAGAGAGAATCGAAATAGGAGAACATCAGGGGTACGTTCGTACAATGTGTATTAACCAGGTGATGAAAGGGATACGGCATATGCAGTCTGCAGGTCTGCAGGTCTGCAGGTCTGCAGGTCTGTAGGTCTGTAGTCTGGAGGTCTGCAGGTCTCCGAGCACGCCAGCATGATAATTACCGTACCTTGTACGAGTAACATACTACCTAGAGGTAACTACCTACAACCTATACGGAAAGAATACTCGATACATCCTTGTTGTTTCCCCTCCATACTTTCGTATGACCCTTGTTATTTTTGGCCACCAAGAGTATTTCGTTGAAGCCTAATTGACGCACTGACGCATTGACGCGATTCGTCCCTCGCCCTCGCAGCTCGGGTCTCCTCTGTGCATGATAGAGTCGGGTATAAGTGTCCTCGTACACGGCCAAAGGACACGCAGCCAAGCGAGTGGTTGATATTACCCGGTTGCCCCGAGTTTCTTCTTATATCCTGGGTTGGTAGGTGCCTACCTCCCGCCAATAGTCAACTTAATTGACCAAGTAATTCCAATAAAGTTTACCATGGTACGGTGTACTCACGCCTGTAGTCTTGGTCTGTGTCTGTGGATCCGTTGATTCATTGGCACAGCAATCGCGTGGCACGACATGCTTCTGTACCTCTATACTAACTATCTGATTTGTCCATCTCGTTCCCATCTCCTCCTGTACTTTCCCGGCCTGTCCTGGCCTGTATATACCTTAGGACCTAGGTAGGTAGTTTTACTGCGACTGTGGATATCACATGATACGATACACTGCATTTGTTTTGCATTTACTTTACATTTACATGCACATTGCTTTTACACTGCTTTTGCATTTACATGTACATGTACATGTACATTGCATTGCATTGCGTTACGTTGGGTTGTGTTGTGTTGGGTTGTGCTGCAGTAGTACTGTACTGTTCATTTCAAGTCATTTTGTCCATCTCAGGACATTTGAACATTTAGCATTTGTCCATTCAAGCATTCCGTCCATTAACTTTAGGTACCCACCTACTTAAGGTATGGACGTGTAGAGTGCAGAGCACAGTAGTTACCTATTCCGTTAGATAACAACGTTACTCTGTAGGCGGACTTTGCAACAGAGCCGTAAACTCTGTAGTCAGATCGCGCTATTGACTACTTAACTTACAGGTACACCCTACGATTCGTACCTACAGTATACCATAAACCTACCAGATAGTGCCGAAGGTACAATACCTACCGTGTAAATAAAATACTAAGTACAAGTAATTATAACTGGTACGCTGGTAGGCTGGTAGTTCTGCGTTCCGCCAGTCTACGGGGCAACGGCTACGGGCAAGGGGCAACGGGCAACGGGCAATGGGCAACGGGCAATGGGCAACGGGCAATAGGCGAGTACACTGTACAGTCAAGAACTTATGAACTTATGAGCTTATGAACTTATGACACAGGATAACGTAGATATAGGACATAGAATATAGAATACAAGACACGGGATACAAAATACACGATACACGATACTGGATATATACTGAATAAAGGACAGGCATGACTCAGGTCTGTACCTACAGGTACTCAAGGGTCCAGAGTCAAGAATCAAGACCCAGGTATGCTCCACGAGTCGGCTTATACAGGACTAACCTACAGTTTTGACAGTATTGAGTATTGAGTATTGAGTAGTGCCAATTACAAGTAAGTCTGTAAAATATAGATAAAATAGTGTAGATGATACGGTAACAGTGTAGCACTAATGGTAGATGATATGGACTTGGATTGTGGACTGTATGTTTGACTGACAAATTGACAATGTTGATTGAATGGAAACGGGAGGGAAAGTGGAAGAAATAAAAGAAAAAGAAACAAGAAACAAGAAAAAAAAACACGCGTAAAATAAAATGAGGATAAATAATTGAGATAATTGAAACGAGATGAAATAAATAGAACAAAATGAAACGAAACAAATGGATTAAATGTAAGTAATAAATAATAAATAAATAATAAATTAGGTATTATATATCTGATATCATGCAGTAAACCAAAGAGAGGAGGAAAGTTTATCCGTAACAAAACACCGTAACAAACACCGTTACACCGTCCACTATCGAGATAGATGCCGAGGGAAATGATATGCAAGGAGAAAGAGATAATAGACAGGGAATATGAGATATGAGATATGAGATCTAGAAAGAGGGGAGAGGAAGAACCGCGACTATGTATGGTACTGGGTAAATGTAACCGGCAGAAATTCAAACAATTCTAAATGATAGATGATAAATCATGCAGCAGGAACACCGCCGGTGCCAAACAACTCGAGCTTGACCCTGTCCACATCGACGCCGTACTGCACCAGCTTTTTCCGCGTCTCGGTCATGAACCCTTCTGGTCCACACACGTAATACTCCGTCTTGGGATCGTTCAGATACAGCTCGGTATCGCGGTCGAGCTTGTCCAAGTCGATCCGGCCAACATGGTGGTAATCTTTGCCCTTGACGTCGCCTGCTGCAGGAGTTTTGTTGAAGAATGTAACGTGCACATCAAGATTTGAGCGAGGCTTGGCTTCGTTTTCCTTGTCAGAGTCACCCTGGCTGTTGGACTCATTGTCCGTTGAAGAGCTCGTCTTCGTTTGGAGAGCAAGGAGGTGTTTCCGGAACGCCTGTGCCTCGGTGCTGCGAGTGCCGTGGATAAAGTGAATCTTGCGAGGAGACGAGGAGGAGTGAGGCGTGGTTGATGCATTGGCTGATTTCCCAGAAAATGGACATTGTCCCGTAGGTGCGGCGGTGCCTGAGTTTTGCGCGTGGCTGGCAAATGGACATTTCGCTGCACCCGCAGCAGACGACTTTTTGCATGCCACAGTGTTGAGAATCGACATGAGCGGCGTGAGGCCAACACCTGCAGAGATCAACACGATCGGGTGCGATTTCTCGACGCTCTGTTCAGAGAGGAAAAAGTCGCCGCGCGGGTGGGACACGAGGATCACGTCCCCCTCCTTCTTAATGTCGTGCAAAATATTCGAAACGTAGCCTGGGTGCGCCTTCATCTCGGGATTCGTGGGGTTGACGCCGCTCTCCTTCTTCACGCTGATTCGGTAGTAATTCGAGTTCGGGCTGTCACTGAGCGAGTATTGTCTTGCTTGCTGGTGGTTGAGGTTCGGCACGTCGAGCATCACGGAAATGTATTGCCCCGGCTTGAATGGCGGCAGGGCCTTTCCATCAACGTTTTCAACGGGCTCGAGGTATAATGAAGTGATTTCTGCGGATTCGGCGACTTTCTTGGCAATCTTGAATTTCTTCCAGTCGGTCCAGTCTCCGCCCTCCTTGTACAGTTGCGCTTCGCGATCAATCATGATATTTGCCAGCTGCCAGTACGCTGCTGCCCAGGCGTCGTGAATCTCGGGTGTCAGGGCATCCCCCAGCACTTGCTTCATCGCCGCGAGGAGATATGTGCCGACAATGTTATACTGTTCAGGGCGAATGTACAACGAGGCATGCTTGTTGCAAATATTCTCAACGGCAGCGGAAAGCGCGCCCAAGTTGTCAATGTTTGCCGCATATGCATAGACTGACTGCGCCAATGCGCGAGGCTGGTGCCCGGTGATTTGGTTTGCAGAGTTGAAGACATTCTTCAGCTCAGGGTTCTCACTGAGCATGTTCTTGTAAAAGGTCGTAGTGATGATGCCGCCATATTGCTCGAGAACTGGCACTGTGGCCTTGATGGTGTTGATTTGCTCTTGGGTCAGAGCCATTGCGTCTAAGGATTTCGTTCTCTCGTAGTGTTCAGATGTTTTCGCTGTCGTCTAATGCACAATGGTTTGTGCGTCTTGTATATGCGATGCAGTAAGATGCAATGAGATGCAATGAAATGCTGCGCAATTCTATTGATGCTAAAATGCTGTTGGGCTGTATATAGGAAAAGAAAGATGCGCTAATGTGTGGGGTAATAACACGAGAACAATGCAATCACAATGCGACCGAAGACAGAAATATATATACACTGTATAAAACAATGAAGAGATCGAAGATCTAAGAAAGAGTGTAGAGAAATGCTCTGTAATGCAAAATTCCGGATTGCTCCGTTGGTCCAGCCAATGTGGCTAGGTTTTGGTGACCAATAATCGGCCCATTTTGAACATCTCCGTGACATTTCCGCGGAGACGCGGGCGGTCGGGAGCGTCAATTTGGACCAGGTACCATCGCGACACTGTACAAATTTTGTTGCTCGTATATGTTCATCCAACGGCATCTGACCATGGCTCAAGTGATCCTTCAGTGTATTGCATTTTTCATATGCAAAGAGAGGATACTGAGTGCGGAGGTATTGGCGCTTCTATCATTTTTGACGTCAGTCTTAGAAAAATATGCAGGGCCATGCGGGTAGTTATCAGTAAATCGCCACTTGTTGTTGATATAAAGCGGGGCCATGAACTATCAGCCTGCATATGTGCTGGAATGCGATATAAAAGTTGGAAAAAGTCAGTATTGTTCAAAGTGACAGGCTTCACCAAGACGAATATTCTCTCCGCGGAGATGAGCGAAAGAGAGGAATAAATGGAAGGAAATTGGGAGTCAAAATCAGCCTTTTTTGCTCCTTCAATTTTGGCGGAATTTCCCGAGTGCCTGTGCCGTCATCCCGCACCCGCCCGATCCCGACACTTCTCGCGACCAAAAGTCCAGAGTCAAAGCAGCCTGAGGCTGAACAAAGCTGAATGTTAGTACTGTATGGCGCAAAAGCTGCGATAATTTGTGCAAGTGACTAGGATTATTCATTAAATACTATACAGTATGCGCAAATACAATTTCCGTAAAGACATGGCCACCTTTACGCCGACAGGATCCGCCTTGTGTTCCCGACCCTGTTCCCATTCCCGAGGGGAAAATCGCAATAAAGACTATTCGTATACTATCATAAAATGTTTTTCAGATATTCACTTTCATCCTTCTTGAGCTGTCGTATCAAGGGTGACGTGTCCGAAAAGCCAAGTGTCTGCAGCACACAGGACCACGCCGCATGGCATTTACACATTTTCGAAATGTTCCGCCTCTGACTTCTCCGCCGCACCAGTTCCGACTGATGACTTGCGTCTCCTCTTCGTTTCCATTCTCTTTGCGCCAATCGATTGGGCAAACTTGGACCTTTCGCGAATCTGGGGTCCTTTCTTGTAGAAGATATAGATCGGAATGGTCACAATTATCGCAATGCATGCAAGAATTGTAGACGCCCATTCCAACGGTTTGTGAGGAATATTAGTGTACACTGTCATTCGTTAGCATAAAGATCATATACAATATAAAAGACTCGACTGCCTAGATTAGCCGCTGTTCAGACTTACTGGGAGTAGAATACAGGGCTGCAATGCCGGCGAGAAAGTCTCGTGCCAGGTCGTTGCCGCCGGTGGCGGATGCAGCATATGGACCGTAGGCAGCCGTCATGTAGTCAATAGACGATTGGTATATGGCGTACTGTCCAACGTCAGTTGGACTATTCTCTTATCAAAATAAAATCGTTGCGACAAAACATACATTTGCTATACCCACTAGAGTAGAGAAGATCATCGGAGCAATCCAGGGTATACCGTGTGTTGGTCCCAAACTGGTCCACGCAAAACCAAACAAGCCAATAGTCTCCAGCGGTGCCACTGGCTCGTGTCAGTCATCCTTCATCCATTCCACAAAATGACTCGCCGCGCAAAATGATAAAACAATCAAGGTAGACTTACAAAACAATAGCCACCACAGACGGACTTCTGGAAGGAGTGCATCTGGATCGCGGCGTCGAATCTTTCTGAAATGATGTATAGAAGGCAAGTATGATAGGTAGGATAGCAGATATCCAACGAGCAGCCTATACATTTCGGTCAGAACGACGATAAGTTTGGAGAGGCTTTGCTGGGATAGAAACGTACGGGATAAAAGCTAGGGTGATCCCAACTGTTTTGAAACCCCACTGTTTATAGACGAGCTGGAAGCTCTGAAGAAAGGTAAAAATGAGAGCATCACTGAAGCCGCTGAGGAGGGACAGCCACAAGACAATCGGCTCAGTAACAAACATGTAAAACGGTCGAGACCAGATAACCCAGACTTGTTTGAACGTCATCCCCCGTCCGTCAATCTCATTAGGTCCATAGATGTGCGTCTCGCCGGCCTTGCGCCTGCGCTTTGCTTCACGATCAAGGAGAATAGTTGCTCTTGTTTCAGGGTTAGCAAAAAAGTGAATGGCCTGGACGCCGCCACCGATAATGAGTTGCATCCAAAAGATCCACGGCAGGGATTTGTATGCCTCAACGAAACCGCCCACCACAGCTCCAACAACAGAGCCGCCCACAGACGAAAGCACCAGAAATGCGACGGCATATTCTTGCTCGTCAGGTTCCCACATGTCGGCCAGCACTCCTAGCGTGACCGAGCCACCTGCCGTTGAGAGGCCGCCGAGGAACCGGCAAATGCAATAGGTTCCAAAGTTGGGTGCCAGAGCGCATGGAATCTGCCAAATGTTTACCAGGAAGAGACTCGATTGTTGAATGGGCCAACGACCATACTCCTCGCTCCATGGGGCCCAGAGTTCGCATCCAAAGGCATAGGCAACCAAGAACAACATCTGCGGAATGCGTGCAACTTGCGCGCTGACTTTGTGCTGCTTTGCGATTTTCTGTACGCCATTGGCATACATGCTAGCGTTCAGATTCATCGATATCTGAATGCAAAAGACCACACTGAGAATCTGCCATTTCCGCCATGTTGGAAAACTATATCCTAGCTTGTCCCACGCATCGTGATCCTCTAATTCAACTCGGCCATCTTCTCGCTCTCCCTTCTTCTTTTCTTCGCCCTGTGCACGGCCTTCGCCAGTCTCGACCAGGTCGCGTTCGGCTTCTGGTACACCTGTTGCCATGTTGTAAAATTGGAACGCACCTCACGATCATACCAAGATCAAGTGCAGCCGGCAAAGATTAATTTGAAAACTAGAAGTGGGTGAGAAACTAGAATTTAGTCCTTGCCAACGGACTGAGGTCTGCCTTCTTATTCCTTGCGGATCTTTTCTGGCCGCACAGCTCCGACTGGCTCCCCATGCGCAGATCTGCAGGCCCAGGAAGCCATGATTACCAACTTGGCGCGGGGTGCTTTATTACGGGCCTAAGATAATGCCGGACCAGAAACGTCAGCATTTGCAGAGGTGAGCACAGGTGAGCATCTGAGTGACTAGTCGCGCCGTTCGTCCTCACTTTCATGGAGTCTTGGCAGACACATTACAAGCATTTCAGCCAAGGTGTCAGAGCTAGCGACAAGTCGGGACCTAGAGGTAGGCGGGCGAGGGTGAGATGAGCCCTATGGTCGGGTTGCCCTTGGTTGAAAGTATGCATATGGATTGGCTGCAAGTTATAGTTTCCCCCGCAATCGCGCTACCATGTCGTGTTCCGCATCAATGAGAGATGGTCAAATGCGGAGGCGGCACAGCGCTTGGCGTTATCGCTTCTGATGTCATGGATATTGTGTCCGGGCAAATGTTCGTCGATTTGACAGGGGATTTTTTTCGAGAAATTGCAGGCCAAAGGAGGAGGCTCAGCTCTAGCGTTCTAGTCGGTCAATGAGATTCAAAACTCGCCCGCCTTGAATTTCACCTACATGAAGTCATGCGGCACGTGTGCTGTCTGATGCCAATTCGATATCCAGCTGCGGAGAATTCGCATGTTCTAAGGGCAAGGTGTCTGACCACCACGTGAGTGATAGTCCGTATGGATTGTCGTCGTCCACGGTAGTTTTATATTTCTTTCCAAGGATCAGAATCAATCGATGGCGCTGTAAAATTCCGATGTTGAACACATTGAGGCAAAGAGTCTAAAGTCGCGATCAATACCAGAAGGATAGTGTAGTGTTTTGCTAGTCTCGACGTAAAAAAGGAAACAAGGCAACAAACCATTTAAAAAAAAATACAAATTGGTATAAACTAGGAAAAGATTTCCAAAAGACTCAAACAAAATGAAGGCAATGATTATCGAGCTAGATCAGCACTTAAATTAATAATTTGTTCACGTTTGACATTGGAATATCTTGTTCCTATCATACCAAACGACGTCGCGATAAGCTTCCAAAGCTGACCCCGCTCGTTGATAACATACTCCTACATCACGAGCCAAACCATATCGTAGTTTGAAATGTTGACTCATCTTTCTGTAAAAGCACAAATTCTTCGAATTAGATATCTCAATTAGTGCGCAAACTTCATCGCAAGCCTACCTCCCGTACTCTACGGCGTTACGCTCCTCCAGAACTGCATATCAGGTAGACCCAGCATTACCGGCCTCAGATAATCGCACCCCCTGCTCTCGAACCAACGAGCGTTGTAATCGACATGGACGCGTCATGTCAATGCGCAACCATATCATTTCGAACACCTACGTCGAAGCCACTGGCAATTTACATCTGCCATTGCCGCGAATGTCGCAAACAATCATCTTCTGCATTCGGCGTGTCTGCTATTTTTCCATACTTTGAATTACCTGCGCACTTGCGGCCTCAGCTGGGTTGCTATGTTCGGGAAACAAGCACGCCGGGAAAAAGACTCAAGTGTTATTTCTGCCGGCTTTGCGGGGTGCGGGTCTTACACTTTAGTGTGACAGTGAAGGCAAATGGAGATGAAGGCAAGGACGAAGAAGAACTCCCTGACTCAACAGTGAGTGTCAAAGGCGGATGCCTTGACGAAGGTGCGTTAGACTGGTCAAGCGTGCCTCAGAAACAACTATGGTGTAAACGCGCAGTGGTCGAAGTATTGCCTGCAGCATCGTTGGTGCGGGGCATATCTAGTGGGTCCGAATCCGTGAAGGATGCAGAAGAAGTCATCGCAAAGAAGAATGTGCAAGACGTGCAAAGGTGGGACGAAGAGCCTGACGACGGATTTTAGATCTATAGATTCCTAGATGATAAGAAATGTTAAACTGATAAATTTAAAGCATCTATGGGATTGGCGGTTTAAATATGGCATGAGTATTTTAAACTGTAGTGTGTTTTTACATTGTATTACACTGGTATGAAAAAGGAATGACGCCAGCTTGTTTCATCTCCGGTCTATACGCCTTAACTCATTCAATGCTCTACGACTCAGAAGGATGAGATACCAAAAACTTAGACGTGAATATTTCTGTTTCGTTGTAGCTAAACCGACATGTAGCTTCTTCATATTAAGCAACTTGACTATACAAAGAGCCAAGCGCTGAAGACGCGAGAAGCCAATGTATTCATCTTCCCGCTTCAGTAACACAGGACCTGGTGTGGATTTGTCATGAGGTATAGTTTTGCGTCCATGTGCCTTTGTCGGCGGGTATGATATAGAAGAATCGTGTAAACGCCAGACCGCAACAGGCTATGTGAGTGAGCACAGCTGCAAGCCGGACAAGATATTTGCAAGTATATTCCGAAAAGGCCACCTTGGTTCGGATAGAGTGAGAACAGTGACAAGTTTTCAAACTTGAATCACAAGGAACAATGACCCAGAAGAAGTCGGGTTCAAAGAAGCTAATGTTCAGCCAAATAATGGACGTTAGTACATCAAAAGCGTGATAAAGCAATGAACAGAGTGGTATATTGATAATGTGAACTCTTAGTCTTGAAAATTTTCAACGCCATACGGGATCCCGCATCCCTACCGTGAGAGGAGTATAACACAATCGACACAATCTAGATGTATCGATACCATAACGATGACGATGATTACTAAATAAGGGCTTGTCCCTTGTACATTCCCTCGCGGACCTCCTTGACAACATCTTTGCGGTCGCCCCGTCCCACAAGCACAATACCTCTGCCACGGCGGCCCATGCGGCCCGTGCGACCAAGACGATGGATAAAATCAATGGACGTATGCGGTACATCGTACAAAACAACGTGGCGAACCGCCAGAGTATCAATGCCGCGAGATCCGAGGTCGGTCATGACAAGAACCTTGGTGTTAGGTAGAGTCCGCCGCGCCGATCCGCGACTGACTGCCGGAGCAGAGGGAGCGCTGGATGTGGCGTCGGATGCAGACGACGATGTAAAGGCCGAAAGTATCTCAGACTGCCTCTGTTCAGGAGTATCTCTACTCACAGCAATGGCATCAATACCTTTAGACGAGAGAAAGTCTGCAACTTCTTGCGCCTTCTCTCGTTCGTTGACAAAGACGATGATGTGCTTCGTCTCCGTCTGGCCTTTGCTACGCTCGTCAACTTCGGCTGCTGTGCGGCCAATGGTCCAAATGGTGTCGGCACAGGCAAGATTTCGATTGCCGCGGTAGGGATCCTTTTCAATGTCCACAACGCCCAATTGCACGCGACGAGGAATAGCGTGAAGATTCGGCGTCACCAGACGAGTGGCATCTGGGAAGCGCTGCCGCACGAATGTATCCAAGCTGCGCGGGATGGTAGCCGAGCAAAGGATGAGCTGGCGCAGAGATGGCGATGCACGATCGATAATGGCAGATGTTAACGGCGAGAAGGAACGATCGAGCATAGAGTCGGCCTCGTCGACGACAATGTGAGTGACGCGGCTAAGGACATTGGGATCACTTTCCGTAATGCTAGCCAACAAGTGAGGAGTCGAGACGAGTACGTCGATGCCGGCCGGGGAGAAGAGTCGGTTTCGCACAATTCTTCCACTGTAGGCTGAAGAGATGAGGGCTGACCGAAACTTGGCAACGTGGGACAATGACTTGGTCAAACTGCCGACTTGAGACACAAGTTCAGCGGTAGGCACAAGGATAATTGCCCGAGGGCGCCCAGTCGTCGGATGAGGTTCATTTGAGAGCGGAGGCGCCTCTACCTCGTAGGGATTCGCCTTTTTACGTTCTTCCTTGGCGGCTTCCTCTTCGGCAGCGATTTCGGCATCAGCTGCTTCCTGACGTTTGATAGCATCTATGGTTGGCAATAGATAAGCCAAGGTCTTGCCAGAGCCAGTTTCTCCCGCGAGCAGAAACTGTTCCATCTCCGGTTTCCCATTTACAGCACTGCTGCGCTTCTTTCGTTTCCCATCCTGCCCTAGAAGCTTTGGAATAGCTACCCTTTGGATTGGTGTCGGTTGAATATCAGTCAATCCAGGAAGAGCCTTCTCTGTAATGGCTTGTTGGATCGATGGCAAAAACGCAAACTGTTCAAAAGACTCGATCTCGCTGATCGTATTCTTGACCGACGAGCGATGACCGTAAGGTACCGAACTGAGAGCGCGCTGCATCTTCAGCGCGTGATATCCCTCTCTTTTATCCTTATCACCCTTCTTCGAGTCCTTTGTGCTCTGCTTTCCGCTTGATCTCTTCGTCTCTGCTCTTGATTTCACAGCCGGCACGCCACGAATATTGGCTTCGGTGATGTTCATACCGCCAAATGGACCTTTCGATGACCGTTTTGGAAGTCTATTGGAACTGGAGATTCTTGGTGGAGGCTGAGCCACCCTCGACGAAAGCGTCATGCGTGACGGGTTGCGCTTTTTCAGCTGCGCCATTGATCGCGATGGTTGCTGCCAGGCTGGAAGGAGCCATGCCCGAGGAGCGCGCAAAGCCGCTCGATGACGGCAGAGCAGGCATACCGTCTCTGAAGGGGAGAGCATGTTTTTCAATGTTTTACGTCCCCGATCGAGCGGAGTTGAAGAGAAGGATGAGGAGAGGAAGCGTTGAAACACAGGAATTGAATCCAATTGAAGAAAGGGAAGATGGGCTGATTTAAGAAAGATATAGTTAAAGGAGAGGACTGTCAAAAATTTGCCCAGAGAGAAGAAGAAGAAGCTCGGGCCAATTGTGGCTAAAGCCTACGGTGGAACATTAGGACCAGTTGGAGAGTACGGCAGACGTATGAAGCAGGTACGGCAAATCGCAAATAGAAACCGACAAAACCGGGGTATCTGTGACTAATCGGCACTAAGACCAAGATTTCCGCTTGTTTCCCTGGAATCCTGATCGCCCAGATGCGGGAGTCGCCCAATCAGGCAGCGTAATCGACACCCGAATAAGCTGAACCAGCTGAAACAAGAATCAGCTAGTCCTTTCTGGGGTATCTGTAGATGGTTGCCATGGGAGACAAGAGAGGGGGAACGGTAAAGAGACAGTTTCCAGCGTACCTGCGCTGAGAGTCCTTGTTTACTCGCTGCACTTGGACCCTCTGTTGTCCAGATTAGGCAGGAACCACCCAAAGCTATACATGTCTCCACGGATAGGCGACGAACCATCATCGTCCTACACAAGCTGATCATCACAAAAACCCCATCTCAACCTCCTCTTCCCATTGATTGATCAACGCCCGAGGAGTTCGTGAAGACAGTGGTGGTCGTTTGTCCTTTGAATTGGCACCTTCGCTTCTGCAAAGTCGTCTCATCCTTTCGTTACGTCCAACTTTATCCCTTACCTTCGTTTTGCCCCCTCCATAAACAAAAGGTAGTCTTTTCGCCACGCGCATTCCAATCAACATTCTTCTGCTCAACTTGGCGTGGTAACATTCTGGAACGCTCTGCCTGAGCAGAAAGTGGGAGAAGCGAAAGGGAACCATGTCGGCTCAGACGGTAAGAAGCAACATCTGATTGTCTCTCCACGTTGGCGATTGTTCAGTCTATATTGACGGGCGATGTGTTGATCAGGTGCAACCGCTGCGCATCAACAAGACGACGCCTTTGTCACCGAAGAGCAAAATGAATGGCTCTGGCAACCCGCAGCCTTTGTCAGAATTAAGCCCGGTAGAGGGCCGCAGAAACTCAGGAAACTTCAAACAAACAAACAAGGTATGAATCAAACACTCCGCAACTTGGGCAGATTTCATCCATCGGGTTTCTAATGACGAGAATTCTTCCGTATATTCAGAAGGGTACAGCCAACGGAGATTCATCGCCATTTGATTCTTCTCCCAACACAACGGCCTCCCCACGAGCCTTTTGGCAAGGACATGCCAGCTCAACAGCGCAAAATCGGCTCAGCTTTGAGAAGTCAACGACCGGAAAGGAACATTCGCCGTCTCCGATGAGACGCACTTCCATTGAAAACCTCAAGCGAGCCTCGAGAGTTAAGAATAGTAGTATGTTTGCGCGCGAAGCAAAGCAGGAGTACGTTCAACAAATCTTCAGTATTTGACAACAAAACAACTGGCTGACACATGATGCAGTGAAAATGTCAAATTAGACAATAGCAAGCCTCCCCTGTCAAACCATGCACGGCAAGACCTCAAACCTCTAGAACCTCTTTCGCCCAGCAGAAACCAGACCTCGCCGACTAAATCAGCGCTTTCTTCAAATGGCAGATTCGGTGCGGCATTGAGGACCTTTGATCCGGAGAGGGGCAATTGGTCCGACGATGCCGCGTCCGAAGACGAGCGAAAGCACCCAGTCAGCCGCATCCAGCGTGGCTATGCGAAGAGTGTCACTTTTGATGCCGCCCCTCCGCAAATCAACGAGTACGAGATGACCACACCAGATCTCTCCGTAGCTTCCAGCTCCCGCGAAGGAAGCTATGATTCCGTTGAAGATGAAGAAGATGACGAGGAGGAGGGAGAAGACAGCTATGAGGAGGAGTCGGCCGAAGACATGGATGACAGCTTCGATGCCTCCCTCGAAGACACTGACAAAACTCCCGTGGTGGAGCCGGACGACTGGCCGCACATGTCTCCTCAAGCGGCACATGCACGATATGACCCACATTTAGAAGACCCTTTCGACGAATCTGCCAGTCCAGCGCACATAGAAACGATTCACGAGCGACCAACTCCAACTCGATCCGACTCGGAAGGTTCCAATGGCGATCGACGTCCTCTTCCACCGCTTCCACCACCTGGCTTGGCCCCTTTTGCGCGGGAGCGATCGGCATCCACAAGCAGTCTATCCGCAGCAGCAGAACGTATGAGAAGCTTCCAGCGTCGCACTCCATCTCCTCCACGGCCAGCGTCAGCGACAAAGGCGGAGATTCACAGTCTGCAAGGAAACGCCATGCCTCTGTCCGAGCGGCTGCAACTCATGATGCTTCATGATGACGGCGACAGGAAGCAGAATGCTGACGAGCCTCAAAAGAAGAAGAAGGAGGAGGAGGAGGAGGAGGAGGAGGAGGAGCCAGAAAATGGTTCTAATTTACCAGAGGAAGAAGACTACCAACTGCCGCACATCTCTCGGGAATCCATTTTGCAAAAGGTCAAGGACAACTCGCAACATTACAGTTATGATTTTTCTTCCCCGGCACCGAGTTCAAGCCCAGATAGAAATCTGCGCGACCTTGATCCCGATGTACCAATTCCTTCACTGGAAGAATCTATCGTCTTTGACGGAAATGAGGAACATCATCACTCCCAGCACGGCAATGACGAAGAGCAGAATGACCTGATTAGGTACTCGATTCCAGAAAACTATAGAAACCGCTCAGAGTCAGCCTTTGAAGATGACAATGATGATAGCGGCTCAGTCATTCACCACGATATCAGCGATCGTGACCTTACAGAAGAATATGAAGATGATGCAAGCCAGTATTCTCAGCAGACAGCTGAGGCTGAACCTGAGCAGCCCTCTTCTGATAGTACCGTCGAGGACGAGGCGCCCCCAACTCCGACTCGACGAGTGTCTGCCGAGCGCCATACTGAAGGCACTGAAGACAAACACAAGAGCTTGATTGATTTTGACTCTTTTATGAACTCGGAAGACTTCAGAATAGGATTTGGGTCATATATGGACGACTCAACCCAACAGCGTCTTGATCACCACGAGCAAACAGAGCAGCAAATGGAGCAACCGCAAGAGATTTTGGAGAGACCGATGACGCCGGCCGACCAATTACAGCCACCAAACTTTTCATTTGAGGGGCAAGAGGACACGCCGTGCACTCCGGATTCAGTGATCCATCGTCCAATGCATTCTGACGCATCGCCTCCGCCACCGCCTAGCAACCGGCTAAGCATTCCTGATCCAATTGCCACAATTAAAGCGCCTGGCGGCAAGCTCAAGACAAGACCTTCAGCCACGCCAGCTGATATGGCAACACTTGCAGCCACAAGACGCCAAGTCAGTGGCAATTATGGAGCTCCGCCACCGCGAGCCTCGTCGCCAGAAGAAGTTCCAGCTGTGCCAGCACTTCCAGAGAAGGTTGAAACACCTATTAATGAAGAGGCGCAAGCCGGTAACCGTTCGGACGAAACCGAGTCCGAGGATCGGGTTGGTGATCTTAAAGCCCAAACCAACGCGAAGAGTTTGGGCGAGATTGAGAAACCTGAAGCACAATTGGCGCGAAAGCGCAGCCTGATGCAACTCGATATTCCTGTCGCTGGTTTCGCAGAGGGTTTGACATTTGGTCTGGATAAGGAGTTTGACAGAGTCATTGAGAATCAAAAGGTAAAACTTGCAGCATTCTATTATTGTCTTTAGTTTTTCTCTGCTTAAAACCATCAATTTTTTTCGCTGACACTCGACTTTTTCATTGTAGCGAGGCTATTTGATGCGGCAGAACACCAAAGTCATTGTCGCAAGCAGCAAAACGGAAGATTCGGCGCCGGAAGCCCCAGAGAGGGGAACGCGGTCCGCTAGCAGCAGTCCGAAAAAACCAACCCATGAGCGCTCGCAATCATGGACGACCGAGCCTTGGAACGGAAAGTCGCGTCGGCGGAGCATAAGGCAGACATCCTCAGCTATACAAAAGGCTCCGTTGAACAGCCCAGCGCCGCCTCTGCCAGGAACCCAGAGCAACGTCAGTGGCCATGTTGCAACTACAACTACCCCTGTCGAGGAAGAAACCGCAGAAGAAGGTAGCGAGAGGGGTAGACTGTTTATTAAGGTTGTCGGAGTTAAGGATCTGGACTTGCCGTTACCTAAGAGTAAGCGAACCCTTTCCGTGGTGTTAACTCTGGTTGGACAGCTCCCTAATCATTGTTTTACGTAGATGAGCGAACATGGTTTTGTCTGACGCTGGACAATGGTCTTCACTGCGTTACTACCGCATGGCTGGAGCTGGGCAAAAATGCGCCCATTGGCCAAGAATTTGAGTTGGTAGTCTTGGATGAGCTCGAATTTACATTGACTCTTCAGACCAAATTGGCCGAACCAGTTCCGCAAACAATCTTTGACAGCCCTTCAAGGATACCCAAGAGTCCCAAACCGTCTACTTTTAGTAGAGTATTTGCTTCACCAAGGAAGCGTAAAGAGCTGGACAAGAAACAACAAGAAGAAGAGCAGCGATTGGCTGCTCAGCGCGTACAGGAAGCAAATGCCAAGCGTCGATCAGTACGCATCACTGCGTGGGATCTTTTGCATAACCTTGTTGGAAAGGATGGCAGCTTTGCGAGATCTTATGTCTGCCTCGGCGACCATGAGAAGCAAGCTTTTGGTCAAGCGCACACCGTCACGGTCCCTTGCTTCAATGAATGGGCTGTTGACGAAAACGCCGCCAACAGTAGCGTCAAGAGTAAGCGCAGCAATGTTGGGGGAGCCCCAAAGCGACCGCCTTACCGAATTGGAAAGCTTGAATTGCAACTATTCTACTTGCCAAAGCCAAAGAATGCGCAGGACTCGGACATGCCGAAGAGCATGAGTGCATGCATCAGAGAGCTTGAAGAGGCTCGAGCAAGCGCGGCAAGAACATGGGAAGGTGTTCTCACTCAGCAAGGTGGTGATTGTCCGGTATGTCTTTTTCCTTGCCTTTGATCTTCCATTTGAAGATGTTCGCTGACAGCTGCATACTAGTACTGGCGTCGCCGCTACTTTAAGCTCGATGGGTCTAAACTCACTGCTTATCATGAGACAACGCGCCAGCCAAGAGCTACGATTAACTTGGCGAAAGCCTCTCGTCTGATTGATGACCGGTCGTCGCTCCTGCAAAAAGAAGCTTCTGGCAAAGGAGGCTCTCGCCGAAAGTCTGCATTTGCTGAAGAAGAAGAAGGCTACATGTTTGTCGAAGAGGGTTTCCGGATTCGCTTCGCGAATGGAGAGACCATTGATTTCTACGCTGACAACCCTGAGCAAAAGGAGGACTGGATGAAGGTGCTGAGCGAAGCTGTTGGCAAAGAGGGTGGTGGCAAACGTGGCTGGACCGATATTGTCCTGGCTAAGGAGAGATCAGCTGCAAAGCCACCAGCTTCCACAACGAAGGCGTCTCCTGAAAAGAGACTGCCTATTCCCACCTCGTCCCGGTCGGTGCCTAGCACTCCGAGCCGTGGCGGCGCTCCTGTGCCCGTGGAGAAGAGCCCTCGACACCAGCCGGGAACGCCGCGGACTACGGGTCATCGCCCAAGCAAATCTGTGGTTTTTTGAACGTCTTGAGTTGGGACTTGTCTGCTGGTCTAGGGGGGTTTTTGAGTTCCGGGTTACTTTTCAAATCAACTTTTTCATTTCTCAAGAGATACCACGCATTTAAAAACAGGCCAAGTGGATTTCCTTGGACCCGGCCATTTTCTTTTTTCCCCCTCATCCAGACTGGGGATATGGTCTTTCTTTAATGAGCTGTCAATATCTGTCCAACATCAGCCTTTTTGGGTCAAACTCGTCTGAATCGATTTGATGTTGGGATAGATGCCCGCTGCTCCCTGCTCTTCCTTTTAGGAACTTTACTTTTTCTACCTTACGCCACACACTCTGTCGCTCCTTTCCTTCTTTTCCAATTTTTTTGGCCTCGTACAATGCATTATTAGAGCCCCTTTTCACTCCTTCCTTTTATTTCCCCTTGTTTTTTCTTTCCTTTATCCTTTCGGTCAATTGATAGTTACTTTTAGGTTTTGTTTTATTTCTTCGTTGGTAGATTGCAGTTGACTTTTTTTCTCTTTTACGTGGTTTATGCGTCACGGCCCAGCAATGAAGAACCTTGGCTTTTCTTTCTTCTGGACGTTTTCATTCTTGTTGTTATTTGCGAGACATATGGGTAATGCGACGGCTGTTTTGTTTGGTTTCCTTTTTGTGATTTGATGAACAATAAACTTCATTTTTTATGAACTGCTCTTTGGATAAAATGATGTGCAGTAGCCGATTAAACGAGTAACTATACGATGTAAGAACCCGGGAGCAAGTATTGTATAACATAACCAGTGGTGACATTACGGGATATAAATTTATCTATCTAGGAGAAGTTGGTTAAACTTCTCCCGTCCCCCTATAGTCTTTCTTTCTTTCTTTCTTTCTTTCTTATACATAATCCATTCCCATGCGCTTTTTTTCAGAAACATCTATAACAAATGCAAAATATATCCACCCCCCCCCCCCCCCACCCCTTCCAAAATATCAAATCCAAACTATTTTAATCTTCTTCTTCTTCTTCTACCGCGACGCCACCACTCCCTTCTCCACCCCCTCCACGCTCTCTCGTACCGCAGGACAATAATGCCGTCTGAGCAACTCCCCTTCCCAAATCGTCGTCGCAAACGGATTCGACCCTTCGACTTCGCCCCGCAGCGGATCAAATGTCCCGTCCCCTTTGCGCTCCTCTGTATACCACAGCGCAGACACCTTGCGGCCGTGCACTTTCATCACTTTGGCCAAGACGCCGAGGACTGCGAGCGCAGACTTCTCAGGCAGTTGCAGCGCGGAGGTATAGAGTTGTTTGGTAAAAGCGGCGATCCGGAGCGGCGGGACGGCCCGGAGGCCCTGGGGAGGAAGCAGGACGGCGGATAAGGATCGCAGGAGCAGCACGGTGGTGGTGTGCAGGTTGATTTTGTTGTGGGAGGTTGATTGTGTGAGGGGGTGGTCTGTTGGGTTTTAGGGATTAGAGATTAGTGTTTGTTCTTTCTTCTTTTTTGCTACTAATCGTTTTCATATTTGGGGATGGACTGGGAGTTGATTGAATCAAAGAAGGGCAGGGAGTACATAAACGACGAGAGATGAGGATGAAGAAGGTGAGGGAAATGGAATAAGTGACAAGACATGATAATGAAGAAGAAGACGGAGAAGAGCAGGAGGAGGAGGAGGAGAAGGAGGGAGAGGAGAAGGAGGAAGAGGAAGAGGAGATAATATAGGGATAACAGAATACAAAGATAACTTACCATTCGGATTATTAGGATCAGGCAGACGCAACGACTTGGGACCCAATTCGATATCCGCATTCAACGCAAGCGGGTACAACGAGCGGTATAGATGCGTAATGAAGAAATTGAGATCCAAGTGCAGCGCCGCGGCGGATTTACTTGCGTCTTGGCCCTGGAGTAGTGCAAAAGCAGTAATGACACACAGCAGGCTTTCGCGACTGGTATTGCGCGTGGAAAAGGACGTGCTGTATTCATTGTCGTCCTCGCCATCGTCGCCTGAGTCTTCTCCGTCATTGTCATTGTCGTAGCCGGCAGCATCATTCTCAGCATGGCCGATGAGATCTTTGAGCGCTTCGAGCAAATCGCCAAAGAAGTCCTGATTAATGAGATGCGCGTACTTGGCTAGACCTTCGAGCACGGCGCCCATGAGACTAGGTGTGCGAGCTTTGAGAATGCGGAAGTACGTGACAAATACGAGTTTGAGCGTCTCGGCTTGCATTCGGTCACGTTCTTCGTGGGAAACGGTTGCGTCGGCTTCTTTCATTTCGTTCTCAATCGCCTTGCGCTCGCGGTCGATCTTGCGTTGGCGCTTGGTGCGGAATTCGCGGTTAGATTTCTTGTTTGCTTTCGCGAGGGCTTTTTGTTCGGCCTTGGAGGGAGCGTCGTCGCCGTCGCCAGGCTTGTCGATCTTGTCGGTAGATCCCTTGGATGCGAATTCGGATAGTAGACGTAAGTGCAAAAACGTATTGAGGACGCTGGGGTCGAATCGGTAGTTTTTGCCCTTGATCATCTTGGTCAGGAGCGAGACAGCATCGAGGGATGGTGTCCCGTCATCGTCGTCTTCGAATAGCTTTTCGAGGGTCTCGCGGCACTTGACAAAGTCAGCGTCCACGGTGCGCTGGCTGAGCTTGTCCACGAGGATCTTGAGCAATTCGCTACGGAAGTTGAAGTGTGGCACGGCAAGTAATAAGTTGCATGCGCAGGAGATGGCGACGGTGCTAAGGCTGCGCGCGTCTTCGGCACTGATGCCTTTCTTCGATCCAGAGCCGGTCCCTTTGCTGAGAGTAGCAAGGTGGTTGACGTAGTTCTGGTATCCCGCCACAAGTGACTGTTCAAAGTTGCGTAGTTTGCGCACGTCCTTGGAGAGTTTCGCTCCCATGTCGTCTCCGGAGAGAGGGCGAATGCGATAGCCGGGAATAATGTCTTTGTAGACGGTAAGTTGAGTCGCCAGGACGAGTTTACGGACCGTGACATTTTTTTTGGCACCGATACCGGCAATGGCGTGAAGGAGGCCGTACTATTTTGTAGTTAGTATATTTTCTTTTCTCTTCTTTGCCCCTAATGGCGCTTGGTATTGCATAAAGCCATTATGTAGAAAGCCATACATTCTCTTCAGGATCCTCATTGACTTGTCCAGCCAGTTTCGCTAGTTCCTCCTTTGCATTGATGATCTGTAGCCTTGGGGAAATCTTAGGCGTCTCATCCTCCTCCTCTTCTTTATCCTCATCCTGCTCTTCGCCGCCTTCCGCTCCACCCCATTCTTCTCCGTCGTCTTCGCCAGAATCTAAGAAACTATCGGCATCGTCTTCACCTTCACCCTGCGTGGGTTGGGCCGCAAGTTGCTCCACTCGACCTTCGGCAGTCTTGATAGGTAATCTAGTGGCCTCCTTTTGCTTCTTATTCAATTTTCGCGGCCGGTTCTCGTAGTCCTGTTCCAGATCCCAGTCTGCTGCGCGCTGGTAAAAGGCATTTGTAGTGCCATTCGTCCGCCCAGCAGAGTCTTCCTCGGGAGGACTTAATCTTCTTCTTTTTGCCGCCGGCATTATGTATATGTTCTTCTCCAGGCACTGGAAGAGCGAGAAATCCTTCCCAGCGTTGGATTGGAGATATTTCTGCTGGTAATATCTTTAACAGCGGGAGTTTGTCTGGATAACAAAATTCCCCAAAAATCCGTCGTAGCGGAACGGAGTTTGCCGAGACTGCCAGGGCCAAACTCCGACCACCGACGATTCTCTCAGACCAAAATTTCTAGAGTTTATCGATTTGGGCAAAACACCCTTCTCTTGAAAAAGAGAGCCAATCTTTGATCGCAACATCTTTCTCGCTCAACCAGAGAGAGAGGGATAATTTTGCCAAAATGCGTCCCCTCACTGAACCAGAGACGCAAACTCTCTTCTCTAAGCTGGCCAACTACACCGGTCGATCTCTTACACATTTGATCGCGCCGACGGCCAACGACGACAGCGATGATCGTTATGTTTTCCGCCTGCACGGCAATCGTGTCTACTATGTCCGCCTCTCAATTGCGAACCTTGCTACCTCTGTGGCTCGTCACAATCTGCTGAGTCTGGGAACCTGCCTGGGCAAGTTCACCAAGACGGGAAAGTTCCGCCTGCACATCACCGCGCTCGATGTGATTGCGCCCCACGCCCGGTACAAGGTCTGGATCAAGCCCAACGGCGAGATGCCCTTCCTTTACGGTGGTAATGTTGTCAAGGCCCACGTTGGTCGGTGGAGCGATGACTGTCCCGAGCACCAGGGTGTGGTTGTTCTGGGAATGGATGACAAGCCTTTGGTAGGTCTGACCTGAGAATGTGCTTTTCTGTGAAATATTTTGCGTGTATTGTGGGCACAGAGATAGGCGATAGAAAGGAAGAGATCCAGGAGACGGGAATGGTTGTGAATTGGACAGAATGTGGCTGACTTCGAACGTATTAGGGTTTCGGTATCACTGCTCGCTCGACTGCTGAAGCTAGACATCTCGATCCCACTGGCATTACGACCTTCCGACAGGCAGATATCGGAGAATACCTGAGAGAGGTGAGATCCTTAGCCGTTTCAGCGATGGTGGATTATACTAATAATCGGAATCCGTATTACAGGAAGATACTCTTTTCACTACTACTTAGTTTCCTCAGTCTCCCTCTTCTTTTGCTTGGACGATGGAAAAAGAAGCTCATTGATCTAAATCTTATGCGAGAGCAAGAAGATATCACCGCTTCGGACTGTTCCTCGTCGCAATTAGTGGGAGAACAAAAGTAAGGGTACGGAGTCAATCGGTTGCATGGCGTTACAAATGCATTAAGGTCAACAAGATTTCAGTCATCTCAAACGTCAAGTCGTTTTTACATGTCTAGTTTACATACCTTTCACTCTTGCAAGGTTTCGATTTATATATAGAATTATCCAAGGTGTATACAATTCTAGTATCGTTTTTTTGACCGTCAACTATACATGATATGGCAACTATGTATGATATGATGATCCAAGCAGAGTAAAGAAGAAGAAGAAAAGGAGCGACCCCTAAGTACATGCTTTTCCATATATCCACTCTACCATTTGTTTCCCTTGCCCTTCTTCTTCTTCGATTTATTCGACGATGCGCCTCCCCCGCCAGACTTGCCTTTGCCCTCTACACCGGCTGGCTCTAGACCAGCATCCGCCACTTTGTCAGTGACCACACCACCCTGTGTGAGAGCGGCAGCCTTTTGCTTGCCCTTCTTGCCCTTGGGTTTATACGTCGAGCGGTCCCGTAGGGGCAGCCAGCGCTCGGGGTCTGGGGTTTTGGATGGGTCATAGTCCTTGGGGAGACGGGATTTGCGGAACCGCTTCTTGACAGCGGGCTTGTTCGTCTCATCAGCTGGACGCTTTTTGCCGGCGCCAACAGGCGGGGCCGGAGCTCGAGGGACACCACCTTCTTCGAGATCCACTGCATCGATCATGCTGGGCACGAGACGGTTAGCAGCTGGCAGCTTAGCAGCCTCGGAATGGACTTTTTCGGGCTGAATTGTAGAATAAGCGGCCACACGGCCAGCCGCTGCAAATGCATCATTGGGTTCTCTTTCGAGAAGGTCGTCGAAAATTTCACCGGCCAATGTGAGGTCCTCGGGTTTGGAACTCTCAAGGAGAGCAGCACCTGCGGCGCGAAGAAGCGATGCTGGTGCTTTTGCAGTAGACTTTTGTCGCCAATAGGATGCGCTCTTGGCGAACTCTGTCCGGACATGCGCCTTGCGGCCTTGCACTCTGTAGAGAGAGACGAGAAGACCAACAAGCCCTGGCGCAAAGCGGACATCTTGGTCGGCTTCGGAGGTGGAGGTTTCAAGGCGCTTGAAGAAGGATTCGAGCAATGAGATGGCCGAGCCGTGGTTATTTGTGAGCAAGTAGAGCTGGATAATCGTGAGGATGAGGCCGACATCATTGGGACGTCTCTCAAGCACACGGAGTATTTCCTGCAGACCCGCTTTGCCAACCTGGTTCTGAGCAGCAGCGGCCGCGTGAACAACCGATGCGGAATTCACGCTTGGTGACGTGGTCGGACAGGGCTGGTTTTCGAAGAAGGACGCCGTAGATCGCGCAACGCCGGGGTATTTCATCGACAGCAGGTCCAACGCATAGCCGTTTTGGCGGAGAATGGCGGATTGAAAACTAAAAGGAAGATCGTTTTTAGGAAGTTCCGGGGTCTCATTAAAAAGCCTTTGGGCGAGGAAAGGATTCTCTGGGAGATTAGTAGCAAGAATATTGTTCTGTGCAAACTTCTTGGTGGTGGGATCAGAGATGCTGAACGAGGTTCATTAGCTTCCGCAACCATATATCACTACTAGGAAAGACCATACTTGGCAGCATTAATCTCTGAGCCAAGCTTCTCAGCCTGCTCAGTCTTGCCCAGCCTCGAGAGCACAAACATTTGTTGGATTGTGATGGGGACAATTTCAGCTTCCTTATCCTCGGTCGAGAGTTCCTCAGCTGCATTGCAGAGATCTGCTTCCAATTAGCCCAAAACTTTGTCTCTAGCAATTCTTAACAACTCAAAACATACCCTTTGCCCTTTGAAGTAGAAATTCGGCCTGTTGCAGCTCTCCCCTTGCAATGCTTCCACAGGCAGCGTTGTATGCCGTCTCGAACGCTTCCAAGTCATCCCGGCTTGGCCGCTTCTTGTGCACCAAATCGCCATAGCCTGCCCACTCCAATTGAGCATCTGCAGCCCCGGTGTTGATTTTCAAGTCATTCTCTTCATTCTCAACTTCTGTAGGTTGCTGCGCCAGTTCGCGATACAGACTTAAAGACTGCGCAAACTTCTCAAGCCGATATGTCTGCAAGTTGCAATGTCAGCCTTCCTGGGAACATAGTGTAGCAACAATAGAGTGCTCCGCAAAATCTCGTGCCCCAAAAGCTTTTGTAAACTTCGGCCTGCTTGGTTTTGTGGATCCTAAAGAGAAAGGCCACTTACAGCCTGCGCCTCAACGTGGGTCATCCCTCTGCTCAAACCTTTGGCTTCTTTGGCAACCTCTTCTGCCTTCTGAAGGTCTCCAGTCTTGTATAATGCATACGCATACTCCAGCTGAGCCAGTTTCTTCAACTGATCTCCACCCTCCTCGAGTACTCGAAGCGCATCATCATAGCGGTCCAGCTTTAGCAGCGCGACAACTTTAACGAGCTGCGCACCGGTATCGGTCTTTGATTTTTTAAGGGCCCCATTCGCGGCTTTCAAAATCTCATCATGGTCGTCGAGAGAGGTTTGTCGGAGCAGGGACGAGAGAGATTGCGCCGCCGAAGCAACGGCGGCGGTCATGGCGGAAGGACACTTGATTGAAACTGCGTAGTCTCAATCTACTGCGACAATTCGGGTGCAGTCGTAAGGTTTATTGCTTAGATTCCCTGGCTGCTCAAATCAAGATAAACCGTGAGACGGAAGGGTCACGGCCAAGAGCAGTACAGCGGTTGTTTCAGGGATGATGTTTGGTGTTGACTGAGTTACTCGGTGGGGTCTAGAGTGCCATGAGCCTGGAGCTTCGGAATTCTCCAGTGCTCCCACAACTGCCACTTCGCCTCGCTACTCATGGCAGTCCAATGGATATGCAATGTTTACAAGACAACCAAGTGCCATGAGATCACAATTTATAATGCAAGTGAAAGAGGAGAGATGAGATTTCTGGTAGCTACTGAAAGTAATTAGATACATCTGTGTTGCACCACTGATAAAAGTAGCAAAAATAAGCCAGTGCCAGTCGAGCTTCAAAAAAGACTAAGAAAGCGAAACTGAAACGCAGCAAACATAAGAAGACTTCGAGCCGTGGAACTTTTTAAAGGCGCTATTGTAGTAAATCCGTCATAGGAGGTGGTCATTAATTGGAGTGTCTGTTTGTCGAAGAGAGAACGAATCAGTAAATCAGAGAAGCCAACAAAATAATGCACAATAAACAAATATACCTACCGAGCATGATGGTGCAATGACGGACCAGCACCGCAGCTGTTTCCTTATCCTCATTTGAGAAGATCCTGTGGGCAAAGCTCCCGAAGTTCCCTCATACGCTTCTCGACACTGTCCCAAAGAGGGGTCTTGCTCTTCAAGAAATCGTTGAATTCAATAGTGGCGCGAGGGAGGGTACCTCGTCGTTGCTCCGTATCCCACACATCCTTGACGTCCTCGTACTTCTCCCAAAAGGGGCAGTAGATGCAGTCGTATACCCACTGCCTATCGACTCTCCACTCCATGACGAGTTCATGAGAGTACAGTCGGGCGGGATTCAGTGGGACAGTAGCCGCAATAAAGTCGGCACCTTCCTCAAGCATCTCCAGCGCTCTAATGATGTGAGCATATATGTATCCAGCGTCTCTAAGCTCCTTGATTAGGGGGGTTGGCAGGCGGATCTCGAGATTTCTCGTCACCATCCACACTCGAACGTCTCTTCGATGAGAAGTCGTATCATCGTATGCTCCTTCCTTAACATGCGAAAGCACGGAAGGGCGAAACATCCTGGAGGAAGGGCGAGACATCTTGGAGAAATTTGACGAATTGGCCTCAGATTCTGGTCTGTGATGAATAAAGAGAAATGATTGAACAAGATATTTCTGCTTGATAATATTTCCAAGAGCAGATTGGAGATTGGAGAAGGCGGAGTCAAGAAGCGAAGTAAACAGGGGATGGAGTGTGAACAGGAACGGGCTTCATGATGTCGTTCACAACGGAGAGGGACCGGGTGATGGACAATTAGACGTTGGTCACCACTGACACGGACAGGCAGCGGTTAATCAGGCGGCTGTGCAAACAATGGTAATAGCAGAATGGCATTTTTTGACGACTAAGCATGCAAATCGCACATGAGTGATATCATGGTCCAAGAAGATATACCGGAAAAAAGCATCAGATCACATACTTTAGTATTTGTTTTCCTAGATTCGCAAACTGGTGCATTGTGCATTAACAATACAGCGACCAATCATCAAACTATCAAGATAAAGGCGCATCCAATCCAGTCATCTCTGTCGGGATGAGGCCAGACGTAAGTTCCTGGGTTCTTCATGTGATACTTTCTACTCAAGCCTATTACAGTTGGTCAGAAAAGACGGTCATTCAGGCAATAATAATATTGAGCAGCAACAAGAAGATTCTGATAAGGGAATATAGGTATTCAGTACGAACCTTTCAATCAGATGCACTCCAGAAGCCGTCTCTACCACATGGCTCACCTCGCCGGGCTTCAAAGCAAACGCGGCGTCCTCGAATTCCTTTTGCATCTCTCCTCGTCCAAAATAACCCCTGCATTGAATGTCAGCAGAACGCTCCATGAGCTTTTTCCTTCAGTGGACCTACAGGTCACCACGTTTCCGGGCAGAACTGCAATCCGACTCGGAAACAGCAAGGTCGCCCAAGCTGACCTGACCAGAGCGGATCCGCGCCTCATGGCCCAGAAGAGTAGCGATAGCCTCCTCCTTTGGTCTGGTAATTTCAGGTTCTCTCCAGCTGCTCGGCCGTCGACTGTCCCGGTGTTTGATCAATAGGTGACTGGCTCGAATTTTGCCTGCTCCTGAGCCGACACCATCGCGGCCGATTTGAGCGGCGCTGTGGTACTGGGCCATGTACATCTTCAGCTTGTCGATATCGGTGCCAGCAGGAGCCTCCCATCGCGACTCCTTCGTGCTAGAATTGAAATAATATGGGAGATTCTTCGAGTTGGAGTGTCTAACCTCCCAACCCTCGGGGAGTCCAGTCTCTGCCTTGAGATTGACCAGCGTCAGCTATTGGAAACAGTCTGTTGTGTAAAGCAAGCAACAAAGCATTTTGCATTGACGGATCAATATATGATCGGCATTCTCATTCTCACACGTATCAAAGAAGAATATTATGGTACATACCATGGCGACAAAAATTATATGCGGCAAATCTACGTTGGTTGTTTGATAGTTGAGTCGAAGCAGGTCGCTGGGCAATAAGGTGCACTGGAAGAGCTCTCTTAGCTTCTGCAGTCAGAGAAATTGGGTTGGCAAGGCGATTGGGTGAGCCCAAGAAACTGGAGCAATCTAGGGAAATGCGGCTCTTTGAAGGGTATTTATATGATACCTTTCGCAAGTTATGTCAGAACATCAAGTGGCTCTCCACACCAAGGGGAAGGACAGAAACCTTAAAAGTGTCAACGAGGGGAATCCGGTGGGGTTCTGGGGTCTGTCTATCAACTTGCTGGCAGCTTAAGGGTCAGCCGTATCTCTTGACAGGTTAGAGCAGTTACCCAATGCCTACTAGTCCTCGCCAAAGGCCAGTTAAAAGAATTAACTGGAAAGCGTGATGCACAGCTACCTTTCTTAACCGCACATCCCCAGCATTTCCGTGCTTCTAATGGGGATTAGCGCCGGGTTCTATGGGATTCCATGTGACCTGCAAACTTGTGCCTGGTGCCCCTCCCTGTAGTGGTTTAGCGCATTTCTCCATCGTTCCTTCCCGATCTCCTCTGCCCGTCAACCAACAGGTCTCGGCCAAGCTGCTAGCTGACTAAGTGGCAACGCTTTAGCATCACATTCATCCTCTCGACAATTGTCCGAGTTTATTGAATACGATTTCCACGTCGCTTTTTCTCCTCACTCGAATTCTTTACAAGACTTCTACGACCTGTTCGACTTTGACTTCAGCAAAATCTACCATCGTCTTGTCCAAATCGGATTTGGAATAACAAGTTCTGACAAGCATCTCTATTGAATCGATTCACCCGATCTCGAAAGCCTTTATCATGTCTGCTTCTCCAGCTCCGGCAAACGGCCAGCAAGGAGGCAGTGAGCAAATCACTTTCCGATTCTGCCGCGAATGGTACGTCTTCTTTACCTGTAGACCTTCGTCTTGATCGAGAATTCAGCTAACGCAAGATCGCAACAGTTCCAACATGCTTTACCCCAAGGAAGATCGTCTTAGCAATACGCTCATGTTCGCCTGTCGAACCTGTCAGTTCAGCGAGCCCGCTACCTCATCCTGCGTCTTTCGCAACAACCTCTCCACAAATGTGGCCGAAACGGCAGGAGTAACGACAGACGTCGGTTCCGATCCTACGGTTGGTCTGCCCGAGTTTTGCACGCTCTGCGGTCAGGAGATAGTGTGTGTTGTATGCGGGGAATCCATGGAGGCAGGCTCTGACTGTCATAGTCATGGCATTTTCCTCGATGCACCAGATGATGGAGATGAGACGGAGATGAGCACCTAAGGCTTGCTTCTTGGAATATATGCTGACAAGTGGTCTTCTTATCATAGCTGCCGAGGTCGAACAAGCAGTGCCCGAGCTGCAGCGAGACCGAAGCGGTATTTTTCCAATCTCAACAACGTTCTGCAGAGACCGGAATGGTGAGCAGATATTTGCGCCTCGTCGCTCCTCGAATGTCCACTGACCTGGTTCTGCTTGCAGAAACTTTTCTACGTCTGCTGCAGTTGCGGCAATATTTTCTTTTAACCTAGGACATACCTGTCTTTCCGTCTTTTGCATCGGCGCCCAATTAGGCGCATACGAACCCGCCACTATGCGTTCAACTTGATATCTTTGGGGTTGTTTAGGGTTTCAATGGGCGTTTTGGAAACTTGAGTAGGGATATTAGATGAGGAGCATTCTTTGAAATTAAAAGCGTTTTTGATTTTACAACGCATTAGATATCCAAGCCTCTATTTGTAGGCTATGTTTAAGAAAATATGATACATAGTAAATCCAACCTCAATAACTCCGTTCCGTGCAAGTTTAGTCTACAGGTGCATGGGTGCCAGAGACAGGATCTTGGACCACTTCTTATTGCGCAGCTCAGCACCAACGATACCTGTTAATCTGTCAGCGAAAACCTTCTCTACTGTCATGCTAGAAAATTATATTCCAAGGCAGAAAATATGAGCGCGGGTGAAGGCAACGCTCCGTGCCACATAACCATATGGTTCACAACATCAAGGGTCGTCGCTCACCGTTTATTCTCGATCCAATGGGGTCTCCAGATTTGTTGATCAGCACGCAGGCATTGTCGTCAAATTTGACAACGCTACCGTCTGGTCTCTGGTGCTGCTTGGCAGTTCGGACGATGACAGCATGTCGAATATCTCCTCGTCGGACCTTGTTGGCAGCCGAGATAGAAACGGAAGAGCCAGGTCCAGACTCAGGACCAAAAGATCGCTGCTTTTGAACAACCACGACAATACGGTCACCTTTGAGCACATGTCAGCACTGTTCGCCGATCCGGGGTGAAGCGTTCAGCCTACCAATGCCGGCAGCCTTCTTCATGCGTAGAACTTTGGCGCATTCGACAACGGCAGCGCCAGAGTTGTCGATGCAATTAAGCATCGTCTATTAGGAACGAGCAGTTAGTATATAATTATTAATTTACATGAAATCAAAGATCTTTCAACAGTACCTTCAATTGAATCATCTTGGGCTACGCCTTCAGGCCACTAGCCAGTCGTTTGTCTTTTGTGATTGATGATCCCCAAAAGTTGTCTCTGGCAGCGGGAAGTGGAAGATGCCGAGTCTTAGCGCATGTCGGCGCGGTGGCCGAAACATACAGACTGAGTTCAAGCTGGATCAGCACACCATCCCCGGACACCCTTTACCTCTCGCACTGACCTCATTCTGGACTGCTATTGTTGCCGGTCCAAGTTCAATTATCACCAGCCTCCCTGGCGATAATTATTCAATAAACCCTCTCCTATGATTGGGTCTTACACTCCTTTCGTCGTCATGTTCGTTATAAGGCTTACACTTATGGAAACCGCCTTCTTATCTTGACTCAATCTTTCATAGCGTCACTCCTTTTCCTTCACTCTCGTCTAAGCCCTGGCTACCAGCCAAAGGCATCATTGAATGAGAGCTTTATCTCCCCTACGAATACTTACATGGTCATCGTTTCAAACCTGTCTCCCTCTCTTTTTTAAAAATGCCCTCCAAGAGCCCACCTTTAAAGAATGACCGATTGACGCTTAGTCAATTGGCGACTTATGACGATCTTCTAACTGATACTCTTGTGGACCGTGTACGTCCTTTTATAACATGGTAGTGAGGAAGCACCGTTTAGCTAATTGAAAGCACAAATGACAGGTTTATTTCTGGACCACCATTCGCAAAAATCGCACGAAGTATTTTCCTTGCAGAGGCGTACGCGAGGAAGACGTGGCACCTATTCTTCAACATTCTGTGATTGTGGGAAAGGATCCTGCCAAAGCCGAGTTACAGCTTCTTCAGCTAAGCGGCCTTCGCAGATTTACGGCTTCACTCAAATCTCCAAGAGAAAAGGAAAATTTCCGGAGACATTTAAAGAGATATATCAACATCTACATGCCAGATGCGCCATTTGAGATTACAACTACGAACCGCTACACGATTACGACTTATGAAGCATCTATTACCGCCCGGAAGATTATTAGAAAAGGAGAGCCGATCAAATACTTGACTGGCGTGCAGGTATCCATGACCAAGGAAGAAGAGCAGGATCTTGATCTTCGACGTCGCGACTTTAGCATTGTCATGTCTAGCCGCAAGAAGACGCCCATGCTATTTCTTGGACCAGCTCGATTTGCAAATCACGACTGCAATGCCAACGCTCGTCTCACGACCAGCGGGTCCCAAGGAATGGGGGTTGTCGCCGTGCGAGACATTCCGGTAGGGCAGGAAATTACTGTGAGCTATGGCGAGAACTATTTCGGTGAAGGAAACTGCGAATGTCTCTGCAAGACGTGCGAAGATCTTGGCCGAAATGGTTGGGCAGATGGTGCAAGTCAAATGCCGACGCCAAAACCGCTGAATGGTTCTGAAGGCGAGGAGCCGGATCAGTCAACTCCTTATTCGTTTAGGCGCAAGCGCAAATATGCGATTAGTCGCGAATCGACCACGCCGTTGCCAATGACGCCGGAACAGTCCCAGGAGCCGCCGTCTAAGCGGAGGAGATCTTCTTTGTCTGTTCAGCCAAAGGCTGAGACACGTCAGATATTTGAAGCTCATGAATCCATGGTTGGGCCCGTTGACGAGCCAATAACTGGAGGCAAATCAGGCTTGTCCAGCGACCAGCATATTGCGAACGAATCAACTAAGGATCCATCAACTGGAGGGAGCAGGGCAGAGCTGCTTGGTATTCAAGAGCACGATTCTCCTTCCTCCTCAGTCTACGAGATGTCTCAAATCTCTGCACAGTCTACCGAGGCAACATCCTTGACTGGACGCTCGGCATTCTCTGGGCCACATCAGTCTCGACGGCAATCGGAACAGCCGGAAAAGTTTGAAGAAAGTGATCTTGGCAAAACTCGAAACGACGCCATCCCATATATCAAGACGGAGCAGTATGATGCCACAGAATTCCTAGCTCAAAACAAAGATACTCCGGATAGACTAGATACACAAAACACCAGTTACAGCAGCACACCGGGGCCCGATCAACATCTCATGCAGCCAGTTCCGTCGTTCCTAGAAGAGCCCGGCTCTCCGATCCAACAGGTCGTTCAGCCACCAGTGTCTGTGGAATCGGCCATCTCCGCTGCGGCCGATACAATAAAAAACTCTGTGACGGACACTGCCTCTATCACAAATCAACACGATCAACCCCCCGCCATCAATGGCCCCGCTTCTCTCATCAGCCTCACTAACGCATCTGAAAACCCCTCCGCCGATCTGATTCCTGATATCAACCTCAATAACCCATCACCCTCTGAACTCTCCCTTCCTCCGCCGGACGAGCTTCTTGATGACACCAATATGACTGTCCTCCCACGCCCCAAGACGACCCTCGAACGCATCCATCGACGCAAATCCACGCCCCTTCCATCTCCCGAACCTCAAGGGCCCATGGTGCGCACACCAGGTGATTACATCCTCTCACCACTTCTCCTCAGCAACAAATCCAATCTCTGGCTCGAATGCTCCAACTGCTCAGAATACTTTGTCCAACTCGACGCATGGGAAGGCGCTCGCATGTCCTGTCCTCGCTGCGAACGTCATAGTAAACTGTACGGCTACGTTTGGCCGAAGACTGAGAAGGAGGGGAAACATGACGACGAGGAAAGGATTCTCGATGCCCGCATCGTCAGAAGACTACTTAATCCCGAAGAACAGAAAGGTCTTAGGCAGAAGAGCAAACTCTTCCTCGCCGAGACGCGGAGGTCGGTCGAGGGAACCCCAATGCGCGGATCCAGCGAGAGTCGAACTTCTACACCAGTAGCAGAAGCACTGCAGGGTCGGAGAGCAAGCTTACGCAGGACCTAGCCTTGCTACTGCTGCTGTTGTTGTTGTAGTGGTGGTGGTGGCTCACCTTCATTTGCTATATTGACCCATATTCGGGCTGCTCCTCGGCGGTGGTGTCATGCTTTTATCATATTTGGATCAGATCCCTTACTCCTGGCGTCGCTTTTTTCCTACAAAAGATCTCTTTCCAGTCGAGATATGTTGATGTGATACCCATTTCAACGTTTGCACATGTACGCTATTCCATCCTTGATTTATCATTTATTATCCTTAATTTATGATTCTTTCAAATTCTCTCCTTTTCGTTTCTTTTCCTTGTGTCCTTGTTGGACTTGTTAGTCCTTCGAGCAGCTGCAGTGACGAAGTGATGTGTATCTCGCAATCAACTTCTACAGTGATATCTTCGGGGAGTGATTAAAATGATTTGAGAGATGAGTTTTCGGATTTGATACAGAAAGAAAAGGAAACAGACTGGGCTGGGTACTACTTTGTAATATACTGTACAAGACAGTACTAATATACAGATACGGGTAGGTAAAATAGAAAAATACGTGCAAGGAAATACTTAATTACAGGATTATGAGCCTGGGCTTTGTCCTTTGTTCAACAAATTATCTCGAAACATCAACATGATGCACTCTGCCAGTCCTTCCCCTTTTTCTCCTCACCCCACTCTGCCGCGGCTTTTCGCCATCATTCCATCCCCCTTTCGCGTCACAACTTTCACCCTCTCCGGCCGTGCCTTTTCTCTTCAGACAACCCCCTGTATCTCTAATCACCGCTTCCGTTTTTCCTCCTCCTTCTGCTTGGCCATTTCCTCAATCGTCACTTTCGCAGCCTCGTCATCTTCCCTCGTAAACGGGGCCTTGATGCCCGCGCTCTCCTTTGCGACCACAACATCCTCTTTTCCAGGATTCGTAAACCTGACTTTGCCACTGACCACCATGTCGTCGGGAAGGCCATCTAGACCCTTGAGTACGCGGCGCAGGTACGACACGACCTGGGCGACGCGGGTCCAGTCGACTTCCGGGTCGGCCTTGAAAATGTTACGCCAGATCGCCGTGGCGACGACCGCGTCGCCTTTGACCAGCCCTTCGTCGTAGCCTGCGACGGCGCCACGCCATTGCACGAAAAGGTCCTTGAGGTACTTGTTCCGAATGCCGCGCGAGTAGAGCCCGTGCTGGTCGGCCATGCGGTCCTCGGCGGCGTAGAAGAAGTGGTCGAGTAAGTGCTGGTGCCACGCTTGGGCGTGCGAAGGGTGGAAACACCGGAACCGCACGGTGAAGAGGTACATGTTGAGGAAAGTGATTTGGGCCCAGGTGTTGAATGTAGGTTGCAGACCGAGGGCTGCAACAGTTGTATGTTAGCATTGGCAGAATTCTTTGAAAGACCCTCTTTTGGTTCGAAGAAGTAGATTCAGGGGAAAGAGAGGATGGAAAAGGAGAAGAAGGGGGAGGAATAGGAGGATGAGGAGGAAGGGGAGTGGGAGAAAACGTACATTCGTACCACCATCCGGTGCCAACGCCCAGATCTTCGCCCGCGGCGGTCTTGGGCACGTCTTCAGTTCGATACGTCTTGCCCTTTAATTGTGGGATGTTGTAGTCTGCGTGGCGCGCGCATTCTGTGAATAGTGCCTTTGTCGCACCGTATGCGACGTAGGTTTCTGTCGTGCCGCCGGCGCGGCGGCGCACTTCTTGCGCAAGTCGTGTCGTGGTGCCGGCGCTGCTGTATGCGCTTTTCGGCAGCGGCTTGACGGGGGATGAGTCTGCTGAGCTGGAGTTGGAGCTCGAGGTCGAAGTCGAGCTTGAAGAGCCAGCATTGCGGTTTGATAATGTTGTCGAGAAGGCGCGGAGAGACGAGGCTGCGCGTGAGGAGGAAATGGAGGGAGACTGAAGAGTTCGTGGCTGTTTGAAAGACGTGTTAGTGCTGTGGTCTGCAATTTCGGATTGTGCTTTGAAGTTTGGCCAGAAGGTTATGTTTAATCATGCTTGATTCAAGATGGCAATGATAAAAAACAAAAGAGACTGGAGTAGAAAAGAGGCAAGACCAGATCAATTGCTCTTCAAGCACATGAAAGCGGAAAATAAAGACGGAAAAGAATGGAGAGAGGCGTCCAGGCATTGACATACAGCGACGTTATTTCTTCTCAATAAACGCAGACACGCTGCGCAGGGCTTTTGTGAAGCCATTGCGATGGGAATTGAGTATTCGCAGGATAGCAATGGCTGTGAAAATTGGTGAGAGTTGAGGTTGACAAGAAATGGTCGTGGTGAGTACCTACCTTTGAGGCCAAAGACAGACAGACAGACGGAACAGGGACTTTTTGGTGTTCGGACCAACTCCCGATCCCCGACCGCTTTCGTTTCAACTCAACTCGACTCGTCTCTACAACGTCATGACTTGATTTGTTTTCGTTTCCATTGGTGGCAATTATCAAGGCTTGACATGTTCATCTGAGTTTAGGTTTTATATGCATGAAATAGATAGTTTTGCTGAGATCTTCTGTAAAAAGCAGTATAAATATTCTAGAATTTAAGTCGAAAATTTTCGAGGGTTAATGATTAAAGTATGTCAATTTTAGCAAAATAATCTTCGCTATAATATATGTACATTTGTAAAGAAATAAGTCCCATCGTCTTCCGTGCGTCAAGCATCATGCAAAGATGCAAATAGATAATCCCATGTTTAAATTTTATCATCCCTGGCCGCATGATCTTTACGTTGCGCCGGCCACAGACGCAGTGCCACCGCCTTGAGGCTGCAGCACATTCAAATGCTCCAGAGTTCCATCCACAATGGGAAGCAGCTCTGACAATCGATTCGAATCACGCATCAGCGCAGGGACATCTTCTCTCGTAATGGCAAGTTTCTGCTCAATGTTAGCTTCTCCAAGTCTTCCAGCGCTTCATCGGCCGCATTGAATAACAAAGCAGAAACCTACCCTCCGAACCGTATCAAATTTCTCTTCTCTCGCAATGTATTCCCGTATCACATCTCCTGTCCCAAATTCCACGAATACTCTTGTGTCCCGTATCCTGAACACGACATCATCCAAGCGCATGAAAAATCGGCAAAGGAGGAGTAATCGATCTGGCATGACTCGAACCTTGACTGAAAACATGGCAATGCCATTATCCGCCAGCTCATCTTCATACAGTACAACATCATCGAAGAATTTTATTGGGTCAGGCCTTTTTAAGAGCTCGAGCGGGATTCGCGTCTCTGAGGGTTGGAACGTCGGTCCCGAGGATGTAGTTGTGCCTTTGTAGTCTGTGCTGTAGGACCAGTCAAACGGCTTGACGACTTCTTTGATCCCTTCGTGAACCTTTTCTCTGCAAAGATTGAAATGGGTATATTAGCCTGCTTGTTCCGTTCCACCTAGTCTACGACCAAAAACTCTATGCTGGGAATAGATAAATCTCTCAGGACTGCGATTCAACCCGACGAACAGATACTAGCGCGGGAAGATGACTGCAAAATTATTGGTCATGAAGCCAAACGTACCGATTCCGCTGCCACTCTTTTGAATATGCCACTTGCAGCATCGACTGTCCAGTCTTGTCTACTCTGTCCAGCGCATCAAACGCATTGAATTGGATTCCCCAGCCGCTCGTCTCGTGCTCGATGGCTACGAGGTTATCACCAAAGATCATTTCCGGGGGGTTGATTCCGAGTTTATCTGTCATATCTTCGATCGGTCCGGCTTTTAATATAGGAAGTTTGCGTGTGGTGATTGTGAAGCCGCGCAGGCGGATTGAGTTCCCCGCATTGGCGGGGGAGGGGAAATGCGCTTGCATTGTCAAGTGTCGAAGCGATATATGTGCTGTGGATTTCTTTTCAAGTTAAATATGTGCGTAGAAGAGATATGAGATTAAATGAAAAATGAAGATGTCATTTGACTGAATTTCAGTCCATTGTGGGTGCAGTGACGCTTCAGCCTTGGAGCCTTGAGAGCTCTTAGAATTGAAGCTGCAACGGTGATGAAGACAATCTGATTAGATGGATTAGATGCGATAGAGAAAAGCGATCGGCACGGGAAAATCGGAGAGTGTTGTTGAGCTAAACTGTAAATGGCCTAGCGCCGTTGTCGTGTGGACGGTCCCTCGGGTAGCCATTTGTTTACTCGCTGGGACTGCCCTCTCTTGTCCGCCTCCTCTTCTGAAGACTTATAGATGCCTTCAACGACAACACTACAACCACCATTCGACACTAATCACCACAGCACTTATTCCAGCTTGAGTTCCCCTCAAAAGGTTTTGAGGATAAGCCAAAGATTATCCCAAGATATTCTTGCTTCAGTGCGGAGATTACCCAGCAAGTAATATACTAACCTCCACACCTTTGACGCCCACCATGACCAACCGCACGCTGGAAGCTCGTTTCGAGCATCTTGCTGTCAACGATGAAAACGACCAGCCAAAGCGCCCAAGTCTTTACCAGAAACCAAAGGTATCTATTCTTCCAACTGAATCGAAATCCTTCATCCAATACCATTTCCCACAAAAAACATATTAACAAAACCAGAAGGGTTCCCTCTCAACCGCCATGTCTCTCACAGGCCTTGCCTCCTCAAGTCGCCTCAGCACGGCCACCAACCGCGCCAATCTCCTCAAGATTGCTCTTCAAAACACTCATCCCTCTACAACAAACACCACAATCACCACGGTCAAGGTCCCTTCGCAAGCGGCCCAAGCACAATGGCGCAAATCACAAATGCCTCCTCCACCCGTCCCTACCTCACCGCGCAAAGATGGCGCCGGCGCAATGTCTACCGTGCGCAAATCCGGTGAAGCCTCCGCTGCCGCCGCCGCTGCCGCCCAGCGCCTCTCCAACCCACTCTACGAACAGCCCAACCTCCCACGAAACTTCCATCTCGGAATGTTCGAGATCGGAAAACCCCTCGGCAAAGGCAAATTCGGACGCGTGTATCTTGCCAAAGAGCGTAGCTCGGGCTTCGTCTGCGCCCTCAAAGTCCTTCACAAGAGCGAACTGCAACAGGGTAAAGTGGAGAAGCAACTCCGTCGGGAGATTGAAATCCAGAGTAACCTCCGACACCCCAACATTTTGAAGTTATACGGCCACTTCCACGACAGCAAGCGAGTGTTTCTCATCCTCGAGTTTGCCGGCAAGGGCGAGCTGTACAAGCACTTGCGCAAAGAAGTGCGCTTTCCCGAGTGGAAGGCCGCGCAGTATATTGCACAAATGGCAGCTGCATTGCTGTACTTGCACAGAAAACACGTCATGCACAGAGACATCAAGCCCGAGAATATCCTGGTCGGCATCCACGGCGAGCTCAAAATCGCTGATTTCGGCTGGAGTGTGCATGCGCCCAACAACCGACGCAAAACCATGTGCGGCACGCTCGATTATCTGCCCCCGGAGATGATCAAGCCCGGCAGCGCAGACAACTTTTACAGTGAAAAAGTCGACCTGTGGAGCTTGGGCGTCCTCACGTACGAGTTTCTCGTCGGAGAAGCGCCCTTTGAGGACACCCCTGTCATGACGCAGCGCCGTATTGCGCGCGGTGAAATGACCATTCCGTCATTTGTTAGTCCCGAGGCCAGGGACTTGATTAAGCGGGTATGTTTTTGGTTGCCTTTTTCTTCATCCCATTCTTTTCCTCGACAAAAATTATACGTGCTTTTGTTCATCCCACTCTTTTCTTCGGAAAAAATTTATACGTTCCATTGGGTGAAATTTTCTTCTGCTAACATTTGCTCGGTTTAGCTCCTCGTGTTGGATCCCCAGAAACGTATCCCCCTAGAAGACGTCCAAGTCCATCCCTGGATTGTCAAATACTGCGTCAAAGGCGAGCGCGCTACCCAGCGGAGCTCAGATAGCAGCAAGCGCAGTGTGGAAAACAAACCGCGCACTTTGCCCACTGCCACCCAGGCTGCTGCTAAATAATCATTTGCTCTTATTGGCGCTATCAAAGTTTCTTTTATCATTTTGCGACTTATGGATGAGTGTTTTTGGGTTGGATTGGACTGGAGTGGGCTGGACTGGAGTTTTATAGGACACGGAGTCTCGCAGGGTTAACACAATGTTGCACGAATTGGATCTGGATCCGTTTGCCGCTCTTTTTTAGGGGGGGAGTTTCCGTGGAGGAAACTTAAGAAGAATGTGGAGATTTTTCTATTTGATCCATTGGCGCAATGGCGCCGGGTGCCAGCGTTCTGATTTTTGTTTCTTTACTTTTTTTTCTCCTCGGCCCGGATGATGCAGAAATGCTATGATACATATGATAATAATACAAGAGACTTATTTTCTTCATAAAGCCAGTGGAAGTGAAAGATCCGCTTGAACAGTGATCGGTAATGAGACGGTATGATGCTGGGTAAGGTATATGATGCCAATTACCGATACGATTTGCAAAGAGGAGAAATTGAGAATTGGCGAGCAGATTCGTCAAACCTTTATATAAAAGGTTACATGGAGAAAAATAAAAAAGGATATATAAACAAAGAAGAGAAGAAAAGGTAAGTATCAGCGGTAAATCTCATCAAAAGGCCGAGTATCTGAGAAACAGCTGTCCCAGACTTCATTCACCACACGAGCGGCATGCACGTCATCCTTGACGCCCGGCCGGCCCATCATGGATAATGTCGCTCGTCGTCGTACGCATTCTTGCAATTGTTCGGTGATTTTCCATTGGCCGCGCGTGAAGAATTCGCGGGTGAACCTGCATTCGCCACTCAACGTGGATGCGCGAATCTGAATTTCCGCATTAGCATTTTGCTTTCTAAAGCATTATAGTCTATGGCGTCCCCCCCACCCAAAAAAATATGCACCGGTTCCGGTTGCACAATATTTTCCAGGAACGTAGGGAGAAGAATGACTATAACACATTGGCGATATATGTGACATACCTCTGTACAGGCCTGGTGTCGCAGATTTCCTCTATCGACTTTAAATCGCAAATGGTCATACGCATGAACCATCTCATGCGCCATGGTATCTTCCAAATGGCTCTGATTGCGCATCTCGTTGGCGCAGATCTGGATGCCGTAACCGGGCTCGAAGCCGCCGTTCTGGCGCTTATCGCATCGCCGGCAGCGGATGTTGCTGGCGTTGATGTCCGAGTCTGGGGATAATTGCTGGATATTTGTGCGGAGGAAGCGGATGATGGGGCCTTATTAGGAGATCAGCTTTTTACTTTTCAATCCAAGTAGTATGCGCGGGACATGGAAGTAATGATCCGGGCGGTTGGGGAAAAAAAGAAACGTACTGTATTGGAGGAGATAGTCACGGTCTGCTTCGCACCGCTTGCAATCGCGCTCTTCGTGCAGCTTGCTCATTGACTGTCGGTACTGTTCTTTGCCTTGGTCGTTCATCTGGTTGGTCAAGATGCGGAACCAGTTGCGCGTCCGTGTCCAGCCGTCGTTGCCGGGGATGTACCCGTTGTTGTCAGGGGCGGGCTTTTCAGCCATGATGATAATTGGGTGCTAGAGGTTCCCGAGAAAAAGGTTGATCTTGATGTAGGACAGCAGACAAAAGAGAGCGAAGCGGAAAAGAGGGTGCAATTGATGATGTTATCGGAGAATGTCTAAAATGTTGTCCTGGTCGTTTGGTGTCGGGAAGTTAGGCCATCGAAGCGAAGGCGGTGAAGTTCAATGGATGGAAGGGAAGGTTGAGCACCGACAGGAGCTCAGCATTTGCCGTGTCACTGAACCTTATTTATGGTTTATTTGATATTTAATCTTTCTGAAGTCAGCATATAGCTTTTCTAATCGTAGTCTTACGGTTCTCTTACCTCTGTCGCAGTGTCTCAGGGAAAAAAGGGCTCAATTGACTGATACGTAGTACAGAATGTTTAGTAGCCGGGAGCTATCCATATCACTCTGCCTCGGGAATCCCGTTTAATCCATCTCTTCCATTATTCCGCGAATGATATTCATATTTTGGAAGCAAATCATTGGAGAACATTAAGAATTTATTACAAAAAATAAGATATAATTGATGCTAGGAGCCAGTAGAACACGAAAATGGAAAGCAACGCGAATTAAGAATCATGCAAGCATCCAACCCTTAAATGACCATTTGAAACGCTCACGATAAACAGTGGAGATAACAGGAGAGCAAGATAAATATCACGCTTCAAGCACTCAAATATCATATCCAGAAAGGTATGAGGTAGGAAGAGGCTCCTACACCTCTTGCCTAACCACGTCTCTCCATATTTGAACCCTTTCTTCTTTCGTAATCTCGACAGTCCGCCCTTTGACGGAAAAGATAAAATTATCTCGCCATGCCTGATGAAGGGGGACTACTACTCGCTGTAACCGCTTCAAAATCGAGCGCCCAGTCATCGACCTGCTGGAACTTTGCCTTCATGCGGTTTAATTCTCGAGAATCTTTCGTCTTCACCGCCGCTTCTGCGTTGCCCTTTGGTGTCGTCTCACCATTGGCTTGCAGATCATTATCATTCTCCTTGTCAGAGGAAGCAGCCCGGCGTTGACGATGACGACGGGCGCCATATGTTTTGGCAGAGGCTGTTCCTTTCGCACCAGCAGAAACCTTTGATTGAGTGCTTTTGTTTGTCTTGTGGGCGAGCATCGGCAAAGACTTATTTGCGTTCTTGTTTGCGCCGAGTCTCTGACCAGGCCGACCAGGCCGAGCTAGCTCATCCGCATCCGCATCCGCATCGCCGTCATCGTCATTATCGTCCACAAGAATGGTACTTGTAGCCTCTTCGTTGTCCTCGGCGCCACTGCTGGGAATATCAAACTCATCGCCCTCATTGTCATATCGACCACGACTTTCGCCTGGCCCACGACGTCGACGGCGGCGGCGTGGGAGGAGACCCTGTAGAGTTGCAGTTGGGATGGCAAAGGGATCTTTGTCATATTTCCGATTTGACTTGGACGGTCTTGTGTTCTTGGCTGTGTTGTTTGAATCGGATGCTGCAGCACGTCTTGGCCGAGATTGAGATTGACGTGATATTGTCTTTTTGCGTGTCGGCGTTTCTTCATGGTCGTCTTGGTCGTCATTTGAAGACTCGGCAGCCGATGCTACTCCCTCATCTTCGTCATCGTCGCCGTCTTCCCCTCCGACAGCACTATGTCGTGATGCCTGTCGTGCAGAGTTCTTTGACCGCAAGGGGCGCTGTGGCTGTACGGGGCTTCCAGGACTGTCAGCAAGAAACGAACTTGCTGGTGGTGCCATGGTTTGGCTCCAGATTTCTGAACCATGAGACTGCTGATCACCATCACTGGGACTGGCATCCTCTGCACTTTGGTTGATGTCTTCCTCTTCAGAAGCCAGACTTCGCGGAGGTGGCGACAGAGATTCGCGTTCCGACAAAGATTCGCGAGGAGATCCTTCACGAGGAGATGACCGAGGGACTTGCACATTTCCCTCCTCCTGCGCACCCGAGATTGGCTGAGTAGAAACCAATTTACGTTTCCGCGAGCCCGAGGATAGGGGGAGCTCCTGTGATGCAGGCGGGGAGGAGGAGCTTGCTGGGGTTTCGGGGGGGATTTGTGTTCTTGTTCTGTTCAGATTCAGAGGTGTAGATTCGTCGTCAGGCTTGAAATCATCCTCATCGTCATCTCCGGATTGATTGTCACGGTCCTGCTGGACCATACGAAGAATGCTAGGTTGACGAGGTCGGCGTTTGAAATTTGCAATCGCCAGAATAGAGCTCTCCATTGATGGTGTGCCATGTGCTCGCCTTCCTCGACCACCAGATGTGAGAACTGAGCTGTTAATTCGGTTGTTGGACTTCGGCGTTGCTGCGCCAAGTAAGGCTTCTTCCGGAGGCGTCGAAGGGACTTGAATCTCCTCATTCTGAGCCCTGATTGCGGCCTCTCTTCGTGCGCGTAGTGCTTCAAGAATCTTTTCGTGCTCTGTGTTTTGTACCAGCTTGGTGCGTGCTGGTCGTCCTCGCCGTCTCGCAGGTGTATGAGTTGCAACCGGGTCTTGCGGGGAGATCTCGGCATCATTCTCAATTTGGCTGTCCCCAATCCTAACTTGTTCTTCATTGTTTTCTCTCGCCTCATCAGCTTCATTGACGTTTCCTTCTTGTCCATCCGCATTTCGAGTAGTGTCGACTTCCCCGCTCAATACCAACTCTTGCTTGCTGAAAACACTTCGTCGGCTCCTTCGTCGACCGTCTTGATTTGTGTTTCTCACTTCCTCCAAGACATTTCGTTCTGTCACTGAGCCCCTGGGGCTTTGAATTTTTAGAGTATTACTACTTCCAGAATTCGGTCCATTCTTTCCCGTGGATCTCGATGATGTCTCGACTACAGGCGCCGAGGAGGCAACCTTAGTCCGTTTAGGACGCGGCATGATATCTAGGTCGCAATTGATGTGTATTAAAGGGTAGGTGGTGCTTTTAATATCGAAAAATGTTGCTTCTCTCCTTCGTACGGTCGAATGATAGTAAAAATCCAACCAGTACTAATTGTCTAAGTTTGTGACGTCTGGCTGATCGGAGTTTGATTCTGGTAGATCAACAAGGATGACGATTGGAGTTGATGGGGCCGGGCTGGGACAGGATACGCGATACGCGACCTGCGACGCGTCGGCTGTTGTGGTTGACGAGGCTCCGAGCGTCGCAATGGATGAATTTAGGCCCGTCACAACGTCAAAAACAAGCTTACTATATGAAAAAACCTCAATGTTTTCCAAGCACAATACATCACAGAATATTGGGATTTTTTCAAGGATATTGGCTAGATGCCATCCTCACAAATGCTAGTATCTAGTTTATTACATGAGTGCATCTTTTTTACTACCCCTGCAGTGGCGCTGGGACAAGGAGCTGCTGGCGTCCTTAGTGGACCGTCGCATCTCTTGAAGACGCATCCCCTAACATTACTCACATCTTTTGGGTTCTTCTATTTATTTCCAAACAGATCTTTCTCAACCATCTGCCGGCAGATGGGATGATAGAAATCTTTGTTCTTTTCAAATGTCTTGACCGCAAGATCTCGGTCCACTTCGTTGAGCTGGCGGTACCTACGCAAAGTTAGATGGACGTTCAAGTGTCAAAAATCTCAAGAGAACTTACAGCGGCCGCACAAACTTCATACGCCCAACGCGGCCGAGCAAATCAGCGCTCGCCTGGTAAACAGCAGTATATTTCGCCTTCAAGCCGATGCCAAAGTACCGGCTTACCACTTCGACGTTCTGGCTACTCTCAAAGCCGTATCTTTTACCCATGAGCTCCACAGCACCTTTAATCATTGGGTTTTCCCAGCTCTGGATTTTCTCCAGAAACACCACGACCTGATTAGCGGTCCAGCCAGCGATATCATCTTTGCTCGGCTTGAAGTCGGCTTTACCGCCGTCCTTGGACAGCTCCGCCCAATCCTCAGCTAGCTTATAGCATCGGTCAACTAGCGAGGTGTCGAAATTAGGCTTTGGAGGATAACCAGGTTTGTAGAACCATGTGTCCCAATCAAGATCGTTGACCTTCTTGGACGCCTCAACGTCGTTGGCGAAAAATTCGAGCACAGTAGACTTGAAATCATAGGAGTCGAGCGATTTTCCCTTGTACTTGGTAAAATACTGCCAATCGTTAGAGCAATGTATTCCCCTGGAAATGAATGGACCCTAGACTCACGTAAGGAATGAACTTGTCCCACTTGTCTTTTCCCACGAGTTTCTCTAGATAATAAAGGAAGACGAATCCCTTTTCGTAGGGAATACTTGAGAATGCATCGTCAGGGTCCTTGCCCTTGAGATCAACGATCATTTTTGTAAATTCGTGGTCCTCGCCAAATTGGTCGATGGAATCGGAGAGTGCCTTCCAACCAATAATGGCAGAAAAGTCTCGGTGCGGCTCGCCGTGACTATCAAACTCATAAGTACATGATCAAATCCCAGTTTTCCTCCATTCTCTTACATGGCTGCTTGGATCTGGGCACTGAATGTTAGCGTATTCACCGCAATACGGGTGAGCGACCACTTACCCTACGCTCGAGATATGTCGTCCAGCCCTCATTCAACCAAAAATGCTCCCAGGAAGCATTGCTCACAAGATTGCCGCTCCAGCTATGAGAAAGTTCATGTGCGATAACGTCGACATTCTCTCGGTCCTAAAAGTCGTCAATGATGTGGTGTAGCAGGGACAAAATCAAGCACATACTCCGGAGATGATAGTTGGCGTAGCAAAGGTGAAAATAGGGTTCTCCATTCCTCCATAGGGGAAGCTGGGAGGTAAAACCAACACGTTGTACGTCGTCCATGCGTATGGATAGACAATTTTCTGCGATACTCAGCTTCATGAACCAAGCATACTTTCGCTCCTGACGTTGAATTACCTCGGCGGCCTGGATAAACCGCTCCGTATCATCTTCAAGTTCCCATTTCGATGCTTGCAGCTCCTCTGGACCCGTGCAGACGACGCTGCGCGGGCCTACTGCAGCGGATGCGATATCACTTTGACTGTCAGCGCATGATGCATAAACAAGCTCTGGAAATCTTAACGGACCCGCTGGCAAGTGCAAACAGATAACTGGGAATCGGCAGCGCTTGTTGAAACGTGTAAAGCAGGGTACCAGGTTCGCCATGCTCGCCTTGTTCAAAGTCCTTGGAGCCTGTGGGAAGACCGCTAGCCAAGACTGGCAAAGGCGAGCGAATATTAAAGTCATAGGTAGATTTGACGTCGGGTGTATCTTGACAGGGAAACAAGCTTCGTGCATGGATAGCCTGGCACTGGGAGACTGTTCCCGTGTCCTTGTGTCAGCCGCGTTCAACGGTTTTGCAAGCGCCAGCCTGTCATCGTCCATATTGCTCTCATCCACCAGAAATGTATTGGGCGGCTTACACATATACGGGTGTTTCTTGTTTGATGTCTGTGCTGGGCCCAGCCACTGCAGCGCCGTACAGTCCTTGGTAGTTGACAGCGAAATCTACATCAATTTTGTTCCATCAGTCCCTGACATTCGTTCTTTTCAGTACCCAGAGATGTTACACACATCAACATTGACCGTCTCGCCATCCGCTACGCCACTGGGCAGACTGATCTTGAGAGGACTTCCATAGGGTTCCAGGCGAGGAAGCACCTCCCATTTAGCCGCAGTACCATCGAGCTTCACACCCTTGATATCCAAATAGCTCGTATCGAGGGTTATGTAGTCGCTCTCGGCCGGAGTAATGGACTTGAGCTGCAGTGTCACATTGCCTTGGAGCTTCTTCTGGTTGAAGTCGATCTTAAAATTGGCTACAGTATGCGTGGTGATGAAATTGTTATAGTTGGACAACGTATTGGGATCGCGGGGCGAATGAATCGTAGTCGACGCCATTCTGCAAGCGGTCGTGGAAGCCCAGAAGCTTTCTGTCACACTTGAGGAAATGCGAGGCCTCCAAGCAGCTGGGATGCTTCTTGATACCAAATTGCGACAAAAGCCGTTCATATAGGATGAGAACTGGAGAGTTGAATGGCGGGGCAGCTGAGGTCACTCAGCGGAGGGGAATCATCCAAACACAATTGCTGAACGGATTCCGTGATTAGGGTTGGCCGTACCGGTACTTGAGACCAAGCCAAGTCAGGAAGGCCAGTTTACGACTTTCCTGTCTCGGCGAAGTACCGGTACGGGATATGTCCCAGAAGAGCAATACAAAAATATCAGATCCATGTCATTTTCATATGAGATGCCAAAAAGGTACTGAATGATCTTTTTGTAAGATAAAAGTTCTACATTTTGCGACTCCTTGGCGTGAAGCAAGTGGCGTTACAGGAGATTATATATGCATCGCTTGACCAAGTATTGCTCTGTAGGAGCATAAGTCGGCCAGTACTCAGTATAGCGTCGCGTTCATGTTGCATTCAACTTAGCTACCGAGATAACGGACAGGGTGATGATTATTGAAACAACCCGAAACAGACATCTTCGTCATATATAAATAAAGAGCAGGGTCCGCATTCGTCGTCCCATCTCAGTTCTAACCACCATGGCCACGCCATCAGCGCATCATTGTCCTGTAGTATCCAAGAAATTAATAGTTAACAGCGCTGATAATACCATCTTGTGTTGACAGAGATGGACAAACATTCAGATCAATGTTGTGATGCTTGGAAAGAATAGACATTTCCCCGTCGACTTATCCCGTTCGCCCGTGTTATGGCTGATGTGTACAGATCTGCACGTGCCAGAAATAGGGAGCCAGAAAGTCCTGTGTTTATCGAGTACGGAGTATGGCCTTGCCAAGCTTCGGAAGAGCTTCAGGAGCGCACGCCTGACGCGGGCCTCGTACTCTTTACCCCCTGAGAAAGGAGATCCACCGAAGCGATTGACCCAACGGGTAAGAATAGAGCACGGCTAGAGATTTCGTGGCAGCGCAGTGGAGTCGGCTGACGACAAAAGGACAGCGTCGAATTTTGCTAAGTCGGTCCGCGAGTCACCGAGCGAGCGGAGGGCACACATCCCAGTCTCCACCAACGGCAGTGGCGTCCATTTGGGGTTGAGATTCATCAAGGTTACGTTGCCTTTCCCTCGTCGGGTCTAGGATATACCCCTTGTCCCTTGCTCTTTTCACATTCATTTCCCCAATTCCTGGCCAAGATCAATCATACGGTCTTGGCAAAACCAAAATTTTGGTTCTTTTTTCTTTTTCTTGCATTTCCTTTAGGATATCCCGTACGGAGTAGATCCTGTAACGTGATGGCTCATGTATATGAAGGCAGCGGAGGCAGAAAAGAGTGAAACTAAACCTCGCGTGGTTTAGATGGCCAAATCCAATTTCTATCCCCGCGTCTTCTCTTTCTCTCTTCGCTGTTATCCTCGGGACCGGGTTTTCCGATACCCGACTCCCTAGAACAATAGTTGAATAGCGTAAGACTTAGGTATCTCTGCAAAGATTGCCATGGTAGTGGAGAAAAGACAGATGCTGAATCAGATCATCCATGCATTGTGAGAAGTGGATTTGAATAGCCGGTTATCAATTCTGTAGAATGTATGATCAGTCTATCCGCCGTAGACTAGGGGGCTATGCAAAGAAAGATCCCTAGCCAGGAAATAATGCTAATCGGTGCATTGAGTAGGTGTTGCTCTAGCAGTACTCTTGGAGCGTCGCAGTAGTGGTGAAGATGATGCGTAGGCCACACAGCCCCCCATGCAAATTGGCCTGTTCCCCCCGTTCCGTTGGCTTTAAGCTTGTGGTGGTTCCGCCTCCATCCTCGGCCAGTTTACAACCACCAACGTCCCGACCTGCCAAAACCTTTCTTTTCTCTCTCTTTTTCCATTTCTCCTTCCCAATTCATTCTTTTTCTTGCATCTCAAGGCGCCTCTTTATCTTCTTTCGCGTCAATTGGCAGACGTGGAGAGCTGAGTACTGATACGCACCTTTCCCTTTCCACTCGCGGGAAGAGCGTTTCTTTTCTCTCGCTCTTTGTGTGTCGCGTGCCCGCTTCCGACAATCTCACCTCTGCACTCATCCCAAAATCTCCTCGCCGTCATGATTCACCACAACCTCACCACCATCGTGGACAGACCACACTGGGATGCACCACCGGCCTGGAAGCTGCCAGAATGGGTAGAACCAATTGTATGTTGGAAATAACATGGATTATCCCTGGTTGATGTTGAGCAGGCGACTAACGAGAATAGATTGTGGCGAGCATCCTCGTCACTTCCATGATCGTAACCCGGAGACGCGACTTCAAGATATTTGGTGGTCAGTCGGGCGGCTTTCGAAAATCCATTCTCGACGATCCCGACGCTGCTGATTCCGCCGACGACCTGCTGCGCTACGATCGCGAAAATGAAGATGATGCTCAAGAGCCGCTGGCGGCTTCAAAGCATCTTCCCAAACGCCGTTACTGCTGTGGCTTTCTCATTTACACGCCTAATTCGTCCCGTTTTGCCAACCACATCCATAGTCGCATCCTCCAAAAATTCCCATTCTTAATGGAGATGTTCTATTGGATCATTACATACGCGTTCTATCGCCTCACAATCATTACTTCACAGGCCATCTTCTCCAAGACTGGGATTTGGGACGTCGCGCAGGAACATGCGTTGGAAGTGCTGGAATTTGAGCAATATGGCCCGCTGAGCTTCTTGTTTCCCATCACCGAAGTGCAGGTCCAGCAGTGGTTCATGCACGGTCACCAGACGTTTTTGACGGTGCTCAACTGGTCTTATGCCTTGATCCATATTCCAGGAACGGTTGGGTACGCATTCTCACCAGCCCTTCCTCATTCATCAATGGAAAAATAGCTAACATGAGCAATCAGATTTATTGCGTGGTATTACTATCTGGCGCCTTCTCACCCTACCTTCGCCACCGCCCGCCGCACCATCACCCTCATCAACCACCTGGCATTCATCACCTTCACTTTCTACCCGTGCATGCCTCCGCGACTGTTGCCCGAGAAGTACGGCTTCATCGACTCGGCCCGCCATGATGATGCTCGCAGTGTCTGGATGAGCGGAAAGTACGTAAACAGCCTGGCGGCTATGCCCAGTATGCACTTTGGCTATGCATTTTGCATCGGCGTCACTCTCATCTATCATTCCGGCATCTTCCGACGCACTCTCGAGAAGGGCGAGGTCCGCAAGCCGCTCATCTGGAAGCTCGTCTACGTAGCGATTGGGCTAGCATATCCGACTTTGATCCTCTCCGCCATTGTCGCCACGGCAAACCACTACTGGCTGGACGCTCTGATGGCCGTTCTTGTTACAGGCGTCGCCTTCCTTTGCAACCGCGTCTACTTGATTTTCTTGCCTCTTGAAGATTTGCTTTTATGGGTGCTGCGGATCGAGAAACCCATTCCCTCGACAGGCGAACGCTTCCGGCAGCGGGGTGGACGTTTGTAGACTGAATACGCCTAGTCAAAACATATGTTAGGCTCACAGAAACGTTTGCTTGTATTTGGAGTCCCGGCGCAATGTGTGATTGACGCAATCGGTTCTTTTGTTTAGATTTCTCAGATACCAAGAATATCGGATCAGTTCCATGGTTTATTTGCGCAATGCTTATCGAATACCAAATACCACTGACGGAGTCTCGGACCAAAATTCCAGGGGTTTATGGTTCATTTGAGTTTCACGTCATACAACCTTCTGTTAGATCTTATGAGTTTAGTACCGTAATGTTAAATGTTAAATGAATTATTTGCTATCAGTTTGTTCCCGTGTAAAATTAGACATGATTCTAAAGTGATGTATCGTAATATGATTCTGGACCCGGAGCACCCGCGTACAAGACCTGTTTTCAGGCGAACAGACTTACTAAGAAAAGCCTACTATTATTACTTGACGTACGCTGTATAAATCATTCAACGCCACGCATATTTTGGAACGCCTTTCAATGCACTATATACTCAGGATTTTATTCCTGGCTTTCCTCTATACTCTATAATGTCCCAACATCTGTCTAGCGGAGTATAACAATGGTCTAATTAAGACTCTACCAACTCTTTCAGTGCCTCCAACTCGCCTGCTCGCCAACTCACCACCTTTCCTTGCCATTTATTCCCTCCACCACCACCCTTAATCTCCTTGACGGCCTCTTTTATCTTTCCAACTGTCTCGTCAACCTTGGTCTTTTCCCCAATTACGACAACCGGTCCAGCCGTCTTCTCCTCTCCCGACGCTAGAACAAGAACGCCCTGACTCGCAACATCCTTGACCTCTGCAATCACCTTGTTCAAGAAATCCAGTCCGCCATCCGCGCGATAAACCCAGGCGCTTTTGCCGCTTTGCAGCAAGCCCCTAACGCGATCACCTTCGTACTTGGCAATCTCAGAAAGATACTTCTTCTCCTTTTTCTTGAGCTCTGCAAGTGACTGGCTCGTCTTCGTCGCTTCTGACAGGACTTCCCCAGCGTCATTTGCACAGCCCAAAAGTCTGGCCACAGAGCTGACCGAGGAAACAGCGCTCGTTGCAAACCTTACCGCCTGGTCTCCTGCCGAAAAAAACAATCGGCAATTTTTACCATGAACAGACTGTGTCGAGTGTAGCAAGATGAGAGAAATATGCGATGTTTGTGATAAATGTGTTCCGCAGCACCTGTCTCTTGATTGAGCACTGGATCAGAACAAAGTCAAATGGGACAAACACCTACGGATTACGATCAATTCCTTCGATGTTAATTACACGAATTACACCCTGACTCGCATCATAATCATCGGGCAATTTATCATGCTTCACCTCTTCAGGTGTTTCAACTTTGATAAAGGAGTTTTCCCTCACGGCCTCGTTACACCGGTCCTGGATCGTCTTTATCTCCTCTGGCGTAGGTTTCCGCGGCAAGTCGACATAGTTCATCTCACCCTCGCGACCCATACCCCACCCCAGCGTCTCGAGGTTGTCATACGTGTCCATGATAGCTGAGAGGAGATGCTGGCCGGTATGCTGCTGCATATGATACCAGCGGCGCGGCCAATTGACGACCTGACGGACATGTGTGCCAGGGGAGACAGGTTGCGGGGAGTGCGCGACGCAGCGGAGGCCCTGGCGCTGGACAAAACCTATCGGGATAGGGTCTGAGGAAGGATCGGAGAGGATGTCGAGAGTTCCATGATCAGACGGCTGGCCGCCGCCCATTTACGGAGTCAGTGATATTGCCTTCTCATTTAATTTAGACCAAACTCACCCTCAGGAAACAATACTGAATCGGCAAATTCAACCAGCCATATCTCTTGAGGCGGTGCCGCCTCTTTGGCGGCCGCCTTGGCTTTCTTGCCGCTCTTCAAGTTTCCATTTTGCTGCTGCTGCTCCTCTTGCTTGACACAGGAAATGATTTGCGTCTCCAAAGTCTTGAGATATGAGTTCTTCTGACAAGCTAGCGCTCCTACTATCGTGCCACTGGGCGATGCTGCCGCTACCGTCATGGCTAGAGAGGTTGAAGAAACGGAAAACCCAAAAAAGACGGCCCTGATTGAGCCAATGCAATTTCAATCAATCACAAATTAGCAGATCTAGGGGAAGAAGCATGTCTCTTGAGATCCAGTGAGGATACACTTTCTGATCTTCATTTCGTTATCTTGGCTTATCTCCTCGTAACTATCGCGCCCTTCGACCCGATTTGGTATAGAGTACGCGGAGAACCAACGTTGCAGCACCGATTGGCTCTTCCATTGCAGGTTATGTTTTGCTGTAATAAAGCATCATGTCAATTGCAAGAATGCTCTTAAATTTATATATCTATTGCGTTGAGTGGTGGTAGTATCCCTGCTGAGCATTAGAGAACGTTTTCTATAAAATTATATTGAACCATCTCGAAAATAATTTGGAAAAAATGGTCCAGTCGAATTTAAGTGTCAGTGCAGAGACAGACGGACCGAGCAGGCTATATCTGCAAATAATAGCTGATGATCCAAAATTCTTCCGGCGGATTGTCGGAAAGAAATAAATTAGTATTGCAATATAGGCACGTGCCGCGCACCGGCATGCTTCAAATACGGGCGATCCAATATTAATGACCACAATAAGACTGACTATATCTTAGCTATAAGCTTCAACTAAAACAATGACTCTAGGTCGCCGCTATAACAGAATGTAGTGGGCTTTGTAGTGCATTTTAGTGAGTAGCCCAACCAGCTCGTCGCTAAACCAAGGCCTACGCTGGTTTCTTCTTGCTTAGTCATTGCTTAGTCATTGTGTTTACGTTGCTGTAGACCACGATGCTCAATGTTGCGACGATATTCCTCTATTCAATCTCGTTATCAATAATCTCCTACCTTACAGACAAGGCTACAAATTATCTGGTATGTACAAGCTGCTTGCGCGATCTTGCTCGAATGCCCCTATCTTTCAATGGATAACCAGCAGCTCCTTGCGTCTGATCACTACAGAAAGCTCCGTCGTCCCTGAGCTCGACTAAAGCCTAAGCTATAAGCTCCTTTCAACGCATATATATACACTTGGGCGATACAAGCCAATTTTAAGAGAACCTTTTTGCATCATTCGCCAACGTCAATTCGCCCTGCTGCCAGAGCCATTATTCTCCGGATCTGCTTGTATATGCGCCGCATCGTCAATGCTTTAAAATCTAGCCCTCCTTCACCAAGCAATTGACTACGGGTTGCCTCTGCGCGCACGACGAACAGGGCACTAATCATTATATACCTCCACTCCCTCTCGCGATTCCCTGGAAAGAATACAATTCGATAATCATATACGTGTTTTACGACTACATAAGAAAGTTGCGCATTGTTTCTATTCGCCGCATACGGAAGCCTCAATTAATTCTTCTGCGCATAGACCGACTCTTCTTTCCCGCGCGAACAAATATAGACCGAATCTCTGCATAAGCAGTCTATACAAGAATATATACGCCCAACCATATACACCATGTCTACACCCGAGATCAACATACTGGCACCGGGCGAAGCAACACCAACAACAGACGTTGAAATGACTTCAGGCGATGCGCCCACCGAGGCAACCGCCACAGCTCCTGCTGTAGCGGCAGACCCGGCCTCAACCACAGAAAACACACAGGAGACTCTGCCTACAGAAGGCAACGACACCGTCTCGGGAGAGAAAGAAGAGACGAGTACTGCGCCGCCGGCAAGAGTTACGTTTCTGGAGTATGCCTAGTCCCGAGCCTTTCGAGTGCCCAGTCAACCATGGTTTGGGAACCTCAAGCTAAGCTATTAGCTAAATAGTTATCTCAAGTCTCCCATTGTCGAATTATCCGTGGGCCAAGGCGATGCGCTTGCCTCATTGACTGCACATGAAGCACTACTCAAGCAGAGTCCTTATTTTCTGGAAGCTTGTGCCAAATCTGACGAAGATGAGAAGAGTGTATGCTGGCCTTTTTTTTTTTTTTTTCTCCCTTCAATTTTCTGCTTAAGTTACACCTTGGGGAGGATTTCAATCTCCCGCACACCAATATACGTCCGTTTTATCATCAGGCCTTCTAATCCCAGGCTAACTTTACTGCTCCGCTATTGCGCGACAGCCCAGAAGAATAGATCTTCCAGACGAAGATCTCGACGCGGTCGGCTGTTTCCTCGAATACATATACACGGGCGAATACTTCCCGCGCAAAGTAGGCGACACGAAACGGCGACTTGAAGAAGACACTTCTGCGCCTGACTTTGACGAAGACGGGAGCCAGATGCTCAAGCACGCGCGGGTGCTCACTCTAGCGGAGAAACTTGGCATGCCTGTAAGTCACCCCTACCCCCCCCCCCAAAAATCGCCTACCCAATTTTCACCATTGACCGTTAACCGTCCACCCTAATAGCAACTAAAACGCCTCGCCCACTCCAAAATCCACTACGTCCAATCCACAGCACGCGGCGAAATCGCTTATGCGAGATACATCTACGCCAACACGGCGCGCGAGGACGCCGCTGTCCGCACGCCCGTCGCCAAATTCTGGGCCACGCGCTCGCATATCCTGCGCCACGAAGCCGAGAGCGAGTTCCGGAACATGTGTCTCGAGTATCCCCAGTTCGCATACGATGTGCTTGAGCTCGTGCTCGAGGCCAAAGAGCACAGTACTACTGCTGCGCCTGGCCCTGCAACTCGGGGCGCCGCCAGCACGTCTGGTCTGGCGGAGGGCAGAGAGAGACGAGACTCGAGCGCTATTGGTCCTGGCAGTGCGAGAAAGAGGGCAAGACATCAGGGGTGAGGGGTGAGGGGTGAAAAGTAGGGCGTGAATAATTATAATCTTTGAGGTGGGGAGGAGAGAGAAGAAAGAAAGAAAGAAAAATTGTATTCAGAAGGTTACTAGAATAGATCAAAAGTCGAGAAAAGGGCTGAAGATCACGACAATAATACAAGGGAGGTGTAGAGAAAGAGACACTTGATCAGAGAGTGCTTCAGAGTAAATGTTGTTTTGTTGATCTTTGTATTATTTACTTTGCCAACTATCATGCAACTAGGAAGAAAAAACCGCCATACTATGATGCAAATAGAAGAAAAACATAAATAAAAATAAAAAAAGATGACAATTTTCATGAGTTGGTCCCTAGAGTCGAGAGGAAAGACGGCAGGCAAAACGTGAGAAAAGAAGAAAGTGCGACTAAGCAACCAAGGACTACACAGCATCCGCCGCGATACTCTCATAAGCCGCGCCTTGTCTCCTACTAAACTTCATGCGTGGCGGCACATCATACATTTTCGCATAATTGACCACGACGCCATCGAGCATGGCGACGCCATTCTCTCGCTTCTTGAAGATCGGGGCAGGATCACACCAGAAATCTTTACAATTGGTAACGACGCCTCTGGAGAATTGGTTCTTGGGTCGTCGCCGTGCAGCGGCCGTTCCAGCGCGGTCAGGATGGCCTTTGGATCCGTAGAATGCGGTTTCGAGAAACGTGTCGATGCCGAGCAGTTTCTTCCATTGTGTGAGACAGCCCTCGGACGGGCGGTGGTGGGGATGTGGTCGGCGGCCGATGCCGGGTTGGGCGGGTACATTGCTCCCTGGAGGCATGCCCGGTGCGGTAGTGGCGGCGCCAGCAGGACCAGCAGGTGTAGCTACGCCAGAGGCTGAAGGGGTGGGTGAAGAAGAAGAAGCGAGCTGGGCTCCTTCAAGAGAGGTAGTGCCCGCGGTAATGACCGATGTCATTGCTGTCGAAATGTCCTCGTCGTGCGCGTGCAAGCGGGAATGCATGCTCTCGTAGGTAGTCTGGGCGCGGGAGATTTGAACGAGTTGGACGACAAGAAGCATAGTGACCCAGGTGAGTTGGAGACAGGTCCATATTGTGAGGACAATGGTAAAAGGATCTTTCAGAAGAATGCTGCATATCTCTGCACTGAGGACATTGCATTGTGCGGGGGTGGGGGATGGGGTAGCTTCGAGGTCTGTTTTTCCATTAGAATCTTTTACGCAAGATTGGCGCGGTAAATGAGAGAGAATGGATCTAGTTGAGGCGGGCTGGGGAGAATATGGTAGACAATGAATGAGACTTACATGACAAAACGAGGGTGACAAAGATGATAATACCTGCTTCCATGGAAGCAATGTACAGGAAGAAATGGCGGAGATTATTTACGCCTACGCAGTTGTAGATCCATGGGCAATGGCTAGAATTTTTATGAGTTAGCCATGAAGCTTTTTGGGGGGGATTCCAGAGAGCAGAACTCATCTAGCGGACAGGTCCGAGGAGATTACGTACTGATCGTGCTTGCCGACACAGCGAGAACATTTCTTGCAATGCTTACTTCGCAGCGGCATTCGAAGCATGCAATGCACACAAAAGTTTTGTTCGTCGAATTTCCATAGGCTAAACAGCTCCTCGATGACGGCCTTTTGCTGGCCTCGGCTTGCCAGTTTGGGAACATAGCCAGGGTCTTCCAGCATGCTGTAAAAGTAGAACCATGCGCATAGACCATAGCACACGCCAAAAAAGATATTGGCAAACGGGTTACTGAAGAATGTGACTGCATCATTATTAGCGCTGGTTGGCTGAAATGTAACAAGGATCTAAAGGAATACCTGGTAATATATGTGTCACCCATCGAACGCCAACCCAAAAGAGGGTACCTGCAAAAATACCTGCCAACCAAGGCTACCATTGCACAATTAGTTTCACTTCGTCGCTTTTTTGAAAGGGGACATGTCCAAACCATACCGTTTTATGAATGCTGCGCATATCTGCTGGCGCCCATGGAAGCGCCTGTTTTGCTGCCCAATTGAAAGCAAATGCAGAAACCAATGCTATGGGTATAGCCGCATAAACAACCATGTGGCTTAAAATCATAATGACGCTCCAGATCATCAGGAAAGGAAATAGAAAGAAAAATTTGGACATGAAAGCCCGTCGGTCCTTGAGGATCCATGAGAGTGGGAATCCCACGGTCATCTGTGTGCCGTCTTCATTATATCCGCAATCAGCAAGCGCGCGATGCCAGATGCGAACCGTGCCCATCTCTTCTGCAGTAACACCTGGCGTCTTGCCCTGCGCGCTGGACGCAAATCGGTCCGAACCATACTCGATGAGTTTCTGTATACAACCGCGCGATCCTTTTACCAAACCCCAGTGTAGAGCCGTCATGCCCGTCTCGTCCGTTGCATATACATTTGCGCCCCAGCGCAAAAAGAGATCCACCACGGCAGGATATCCATTATAAGCAGCCCACATGAGAGCTGTATGTCCATGGGCATCGGGGACGTCGACTGGAATAGACTGGTGGAGAACGACCAATAATAAAAAGACGTTGCCATCAAATGTTGCCAGATGAAGCATATTGAAACCTTGGTTGTCCGTAAGAAGAGGGTCTGCGCCGTGCTGAAGCAATAAGTGAACGACATAGTAGTGACACCGCTGAACTGCCCACATTGCTGGGCTCGCGCCATGTTCGCCGCCTTTCGCATTAACATCTGCGCCCGATTCCACAAGAAATTTACATAGACTGTAGTGATTGTTCACCGCGGCCCACTAAACTTCCGTTGTCAATTGCGCTCCAGTCTCAGCGGGCAAAAAGTAAACAATGGGAGCCTTACATGTAAGGGTGTAATTCCCTCCTCGTCTGCGTATTTTGCATCAAACTTCTTCCTCTCGAATAACTTTTGGATTGCGCCCACCTCTCCTAACCGCGCGAGCTGCATGATATCTTCTTCAATGGGAACGCTCGGCGGCATCGGCGATAGTGTTTTGAGCTCAACATTGGCGCTAGGTGTAGCGGAAGCACTCCTCTCGTTGGAAACTGGGGTCGCACGTGAAGAACCTCGACCTGTTGTCCCGTTGGTCGCCATGGCGTCAAATAATTAGGTATGTCAGCAGTCCAACAGCTGCGGAAATATGTTTTTGGCTAGATTTCGAAATTATTCCGGAGATTCGCTGAATGAAGAATGAAATCCAGGTAGAATATTTCTATGAACCATCATAAACAATAAAGCTATATCGTAATGATCATGAACATCATTAAGAATATTTCCAACCCGACCTATCGCAACGCCGCCGTTGGAGCTTGGTGTTGTTGTGGCTGAGACGCAGATGCTCTGTAAGCTTCCAAATTCCCCAGACGAGGCGCAGCCGGTGCGGCAACTTCCGCCGATTTTGTGACGTTCAACTGTCAACTATCAACGACTCTATCATTTCCGTTTAACCTTCAACCGTCTTCATCCGCCGACGTCAGTTTTCTAATATGACGTGGGCTCATCCAGAAGGATGGCTCTCACAAGCCCTCCACCCGTCATTGACGGTCATTGTCATCACAATCGCCATTGCACTCGCTGTGCCGCTCTTCCTGCACTTTGTCTTGTTCAGGTCCAGTTCCTCGAGGACACTTCCTTCATTTTTGATCGTGGGACCTAGTGGTGCTGGAAAGACCTCTCTTTTGACGCTGGTATGCATTGATAAGCTCTTACTGCTCGTAATTCGATTCAATTTTCAACTGCAATCGCTCGTAGCACTCGACCTACACCAAGCTTCAAATAAAACGGGCAATCACTAACACGTATTACAGTTCGAACGAGGCAGTCCCGCGACAACGCACACCTCCCAAACCCCGCTGACTGTCGAGGCTGCCCTCCCCGTCACCACGACCGCTGCGTCCAACCGGTATCGATCTTCCCATGATCCGTCATCAAAAGAGCACAAGATCTTCCTCCTCGTTGACACGCCTGGACACGGCAAGCTCCGACACCATGCGTTCGAGAATATTACATCGCCGCAGCACCTCAAGGGAATTGTGTTCCTGGTTGACGCTGCAAATTTGTCAACCGGCGCTGGTGGGCCGACAGATGCCGGTCTGAGAGAAGCAGCAGAATACCTTCATGACATTCTCCTCATGTTGCAGAAGCGCGCAATGGGAACGAAGAAGGTTCCGGAGATGCCTCTCCTCATCGCTGCCAATAAGCAGGACTTGTTTACCGCGCTGCCGGCACCGTTGGTCAAAGCGGCGCTAGAAGCGGAAATTACAAAGGTCCGTGAGTCGAGGTCCAAGGGCCTGCTTGACTCGGGCATCGGCATGGGCGATTCAGATATGGCCGAGGAGAAGGAGTGGCTTGGAGAGGGCGGCGAAGGCAAATTTGAGTTTGCTCAGATGGAGGACGTCGGTGTGTCGGTGACCATTGCCGGAGGTAGTGTCCTCGGCGGCGAAGGCCCAGAGGTGGGGAAATGGTGGGACTGGATCGCCGAGAGCTTATAATGACGGAAAGTTTTCCTTGCCATATTTTCCATATATCCATAGCTTCATTCAATAAAATACCATTTATCATTCTCGGCACCGAGAAAACAAAAGAGGTCCACGATATCACAACTAGGACTATTACATTGTTTATAGACTTCACTATCATAACTCGTAACTCATCATCTTATGTCTGCTAAACCCTACTCTATTTCAACAGCAACGTCCTGCCAGTCTTTACCCAACGCCTTGGTGGTCTGGTGATCACTCCAGTACCACAGATTATGCGCCAGGTCCTTATTCTCTGCAAGCTTACTTGTCTGATCTTCGGTCGCAATCGGGATAAAATATTTGCCCTTGAGCCCAGCTCTTTCGACCTCCGGACTAGCAGCCAAGAAAATGCCCGTCGCAGCACCATCAGCCGTCGACTGACCAACTACTTGGAACATCCCTTTCAGCAACCCACCTCCAATAGATCCAAACAGGTCTTTCCACGTGTCCATTGCTCCCGTGGGTATATTCCCTGGGAAGAAGCAATTTGCATAGACCTTCTCTGCGCTCTTTTTGCTCAAGAGCTTGGCCAGCTGGCGTGTAAAGAGAATGTTGGCAAGCTTACTTCTCGCATATCTCCAGCAGCTGTCGACATTGGCAGGACTCTTGGTGCGAGTCGGCGATGTAAGTAAAGCAAGATCTAGCTCCTGGCAGCCCATATGGAATGATGAAGTCGTAACAATAATACGAGCATTGCCATATTTCGATGCCGTGGTTTCAAGCAGCGGCAGCAAAATGTTAATCAATGCAAAATGACCGAGGTGGTTTGCCGCAAATATAGTTTCAATGCCTTGCGGCGAAAGAGTATACTCGGGCACAGTAGGCACGCCTATTTTCGAAAAATCAGCTCCTGAAACCCCCACAAAATTTAAATGTTATATAAAAAAGAGTAACGACTGCACACAAACATACCAGCATTCGCAAACAGCATATCCAGCCTCGCCGTCCCCCCGTCGCTTCTAATCTTCTTCACAATGTCCAACGCGGTGCTTTTCACAGCCACAAGATCGCTCAGGTCGCACGTCAAGAATTCAGTTCGCTTCAAGCATTCTTCTTCAGGGATACTCTTCCGTGTCGTCCACTCCTTAATAGCGTCGCTGTAGTTCTCTTGCTTTCGGCCAAGGATGTACACTTTTGCAATGTCGTGCAAGAGCAACTGCGCGGTGATTTCGCGCCCGATTCCGGCATGTCCGCCGGTGATGACGGCGACTTTGCCTGTCAAAGGGGGAGTCTCGGATAGTGAGAAATTATGGTAGGTAAATAACCCGGACATTTTTGGTGTTGGTTGTGCCCTGCTTGTTTTGAAGCTACTTGAGATAACTTAACCAGTGAGATAAATCGACATAGAAACAGGGCGACTCTGGAAAGACGATGGAATGTCTGGATACTTGCAATAAAAGAATAATATGGTTGTAGAAGAGAATGTTTCAGCTGCAAGGGCTAAGTCGAGCAATTTAGGGCATGTCCATGACGAAACGAGTGGTCGAGGGGATGCGAGCAAGTTGGACCCTGATGACGCATTGGACTGGAGATAGCGGCTGCTTATCGATAAGGAACACTTTCGTCGCAACAACAAGTTACACAGCATGCGGGGCAACCACCAGTTTGTGTAAATCATGTGGCTACAGATAAAGATGGATTATAAGCTCAATCTGGCCTTTTGTAAGTATTAATTCATGCTCAAAAGCAGCTGTTGTGTACCTAGCATTCTATATATGACCCTAGTCCCCCATATAACTCTTAATCTCAGCTAATACCCATTTCTACCTTTCACGATGCCATAACAAGGTCCACCCCGACAAAACATTTTTTGCACATCCGATGCAATAGCATCAGGTACTTCCCATGCAGAGAAATGTCCACCATGATCATGTGAGCTTTGCATAACTACTGGACCCAAAGTAGCTGCCCACGTGTCTGGGACCACCGTTATTTCCTTAGGGAAGTGGGCAATGCCGAGCTTAACATTTGGCGTGTACTCGCCTAAAGCTCTGGTTGATATGTCTGAATAAGGCTGGGGACGCGTCGCTTCATGATAGATCCTCACGCTGGCCGCTGGCCCAGCAGTCGAAAACCAGTAAATAGATACCCATGTCAAAATCTCGTCTTCGGTCCAGGGATACCCGTCTGTCCAGTCATGAAGTTTTTCGTAGATCCATGCTAGTAGCGTGACAGGGCTGTCGGCAAGAGCGTATCCGATGGTTTGCGGCTTTGTGCTTTGTAGAAGGTTGTAACCGTATCCCTCTTCGTCGAACCATTTGGTGCGCTCACGACCAGCCTTCTCCCGGTCTGTATAAGAAAATAGGGCATGCTGAAGAGCCAGAAGTGGATGCTTAGTCCAGTTTGGCTCTCGCGCGAGAACCAGATTGATGTGCGATGCTTTGCAGTGCTGCGGGTAGATTCTACCTAGCGCACGAGTAACGGAGAAGCCCCAGTCGCCGCCTTGTGTGACTATCAAAATGTAAGAAACCGGAATAAAAAATCGGATTTTAAATTATAGAAAGTACCGTATTGATCGTAGCCAAGCTTAAGCATTAACTTATTCAGAGTTTCTGCGTATTTTGTGAGTACGAAACCACGACGGTTGACGCCAGATGAAAATCCAAAATTTGGCAGTGATGGCGCAACGACATGAAATGCTGGGGTTTTATCGTCTCCTTGAAAAAATGGTAGCAGTTTTGTTATTTCGATGAATGATCCAGGCCCTGATTTTATTAGTCCCTTTCTCTTTTCTGTTTTTTGTTTTTGAAGAATTCGAGCTTTCCGTGCTCTAGAAATTCTTCTATGCAAATCGATTTCAATGAAATAGGAAACTTACAACCATGCGAGAATAGAAGCGGAATTGCATTCTTGTTTGGACTGACTTGATGTATAACTGCATGCAGGACGTCAGCATAAGTTGTCTTAACCTTGGGTGTATTGGCGAGTATTGAAAAACAACGCAATAAAACCACACTGACAATGAATATCTAGAGTGCCAAATCCATCGACCTCAATTTCGGTTCTGTAATGCGGCAGTTTATTTAATTGTGCTTCTGCTTTTCGCCAATCGAATTTGTCCTTCCAATAGGTCACAAGCCTTTTAACTTCTGCTACTGGGACGCCGAATGGCCAATCATTCTGATCTGGGGATTGGAGCTGGTCAGGAAATTTCGCAAAGGAAAGACGCTGCTTCACCTCCTCGAGCGCTGCGTCAGGCACTGAAATTGTGTATGGCTGGGGATTGCCCGTCATGGCGAAAGGCTGTAGTCAAGGTTTTTGTGCTAATTTGATCATCTATCAACACATTGTAGAGCTTTAAATAGTCAACGGTCGAAGTCATGTCAGAATAGATGATTACCAAGCTCCGGAGTACAGCACTCCGGATTGGGGTCGGAGTTGTTGATCGTTTCCACATGTCATTATGTGGTGGTCAGCGGAGAGTCATAGTGACCGCGTTTGGTGGGGTTCAGCTTTAAGGTTTAACTAGCGCTGGTGCACGAGGCGGGTATAGGTAGGACTATTGCATTACTATAATACCACACTGCATCGTAGGCATAATTTATCCAGAATCTACAACTGAATCAGGTAACGGACAGTCAAATACGATAAAATCGAGACTTGTTCTATTGATATCTATACCCTTTATTGATTTGCACCGACCGAAAACGAATCCTACCGCCGTAAAAACGACATGCCATGTTCAACAGAAGCCACAATTCAGTATCACAATAGAAAAGAAGAAGAGTCAAACGAGGAAAACAACGCCATAATGCAACCACCCAACCGTATGTTGAATGCGTTACGCATGAATCATGATCAAATCAACATCCACCACAAAGGGCTGGCTGATCAGCAGAGTAGTGAATATGTAGTGTAAAAATTCCAAGGAACCAAGCATCACCCATATACCATGGATATCATATTGACCCAGATGTTATTTACGCGGAGATGCGCCCCTGCTTGACCAACCAGGTGAGAAGGTCGACCTTGGTAACGATGGCGAGAGGTTTGAGACCCGCAGCGCTCTTCTCATCGCGCTCCGTAACGACAGCCGCGCTGTTCCATTCGAAGAAACGGCTGAGCGCACTGAGAGGCGTATCGACAGTGATCTCGACGAATTTGTGGTGCTTGGGCTTCGCGCCCAATTGACTCTCAATGTCGCGGGGATCCGTCGTAACCTCGGGCAGCTTGGCAAAGTTGAACATGACCTCAGATACGGTGCTCTTGGGAGACGCCCGGCCGCGGCTGATGTAGCTGAGCAAGTTACCGAGAGTGACGAGGCCGACGAGTCGGCCGCCAGTGGGAGTAAGTACAGGTAGCTGATCGAAGCCGCGGTCGCGCATCACCTCGATTGCATCCGCACAGGGTGAGTTCGAAAGGACAGTTGTGACAGGCTTGAGGCGAAGAGTACGAACAGTCGCACCGTGAAACTGGTCCTTGGAATCGATGGAAGAAGAGCGGGGCTTAGCCACGGGGGCCTGAGTCTCATGAGCATCGCCGTTAATAGCGGGCAGCAGATCATTGGCGGCGAGCCAGTCGTCGTCGGCAAACTGAATACGATTAGAATGATTTCTCAAATACTGGGTAAAGTAGGCACTCACCTTTGTGAGATAGCTTCGGATGCTATCGGGCATGATGGTGACAACAACGTCGCCCTTCTTCAATCCAAGGTCTTTGACAGCCTTGATCGTGGCTGCGAGGGCTGTTCCACTGCTACCGCCGACTAAGAGACCCTCCTCAGCAATCAATCTCCGCGCAAGCGCAAAAGACTCGCGATCCTCAGTTTTGTACCAGCGGTCCACACTCTTCTGGTCCAGCACATCAGGAATGAAATCGTAGCCAATGCCTTCGACCTTGTAGGATTCATTGGCATGCTCCTCATTCAACGAGGCGGGCAGAGCAAGAATCGAGCCTTGAGGATCTGCAGCAATAATCTGAATGTTCGGGTTGTGTTTTCTAAGACCGGCCGCAATGCCAGTAATGGTACCACCAGTTCCAGCACCGGCAACGACAGCCTTGATCTTGCCCTCTGTCTGTGTCCAGATTTCCTCGGCGGTGCCAAATTCGTGAGCCAACGGGTTGTCACGGTTTCCATACTGGTCAAGAATGTGTGCATTGGGAAGTTCCTTTTCCAAACGACGGGCGACACCAATGTGCGACTCGGGCGAATCCCAAGCGGCCTGAGTCGGGGTTCGAATGATAGTGGCGTTAAGGGCCTTAAGTACGGATACCTTCTCGGCTGACATCTTCTCGGGAAGGGTAATGATTGTCTTGTATCCTGAGAATGTTGTCAAAATTTAAAATCTTGAATCAATGGTGCATGTAAAAAGAATCTTCCTTACCCTTAACTGCAGCGACAAGAGCCAAACCGATACCACTGTATATAACAATTCTCAGCATAAGATCATTAGATTGCAACGTTCAGTAGCGCAACCTACGTGTTACCGCTGGTAGGTTCAATCAGCGTATCTCCTGGCTTTATACGGCCGGAGCGCTCGGCCTCCTCAATCATGCGCAAAGCAATTCTGTCCTTGACACTTCCGCCGGCGTTGAAGTATTCGAGTTTGGCGTAGATGGTAGCTTCGATACCAAAACTCTGAGGAATCCGGTTCAAGCGCACCATAGGCGTGTTGCCAATCTGCTCAGTGACTGAGTTCATCACCACAGGTGGGAGGGCCGGTTTGCTGATTGTAGACATGGTGGGGGTTGTTGCGGGGCAGTGTATGTGGTGTTGCGGAGAATGCAAATGCGATCAAGAAAAGGTAATAAGAGTCTGAAAGCAGGGTTCAAAAATGCCAGTGTCAGGCACAAAAAAAAAATATGAAAGGAGGGGCAGAGGACCTTGACGGTTTAGCTAAGGGAAAAAGAGAGAAACAGTTGGTCGAGCAGTCAGGATATTATTTGCAAGAACTGAAGATGGTGGCGCGATCTAAATCGGGACAAACGTCGTCTCTGAATGCCGACGCAAACCGCTCGACACGCCATCACGCCAAATCGATCCCTTGGCGAGTTCTTGGCACCGATTGGGCTGAATCTGAAAGTCAACAGCAAAACAGTATATGTTCGCCCAGTGCCCGAACTTTTGTATTGGATCAAAAATGTCAGCTCCCACTCGACTCCAACTGATCCACGCATACCGACATCTCTGGCGAGAAGGCCACCGCGCAATACAATTTTCGAAACCATCCCGCTATACACTTCGCGATCGTCTGCGAAATGCCTTCCGCGAAGGAAAAGCTACCGATTTTGACGAGAGGAAAATAACAAACACATTGGAATTTCTTCGCGGCGCTACAAGCCAGAAAGGAGTCGAGCACCACATTGTAAAGAATCTCATGTATGCCTGGTGGTGGGAGAGGAAGAATATCTATCATCCGCGGAAACCGTAAGTCGTTGATTGAATCCGGACATCCGATCTTACTGTTCCTCATTCGTTTTCAACACCCCTGCGGCGTATTGTCCTATGTTACTGACGTACATGTTTGTGTGAGCAGAACCGCCAGAACTCCTGTCTCCGAGCTGCGCATCCAAAAGTCAGCGTTCAACCATTTCCGCGAGACTGTGCATATGCTCAACGAAACCATGGGGATGTGCTTGCGTTGAGAGCAGAAGGTAGCTCGCCCAGTCCGTTAAACGGAGACTCTATTATGCTTCACCTATTCAAGAGCGCACTTTCAGCATTCGAGTTCCAGGATAATATCGCTTTGAGTCCGTCTCACCTTGAACGAAATGACTGCATAACGATAATCTGTCAAGTGCTCCATATTGCGCATCCGGTCGACCAGAACAATTCGAGCGTACAGCCTCCGACCACTGCATCGACGATAGAATGATTAGCATGAACACGACAGCCTGTCGTAGACATATAACAGATGGACAGGCTATGCAAATTTACCGTCGTATCCTTTTATCGTTGTTGCCGTAGATTAAATGGCAACTTTTCGACCTCCGGTCGCGATCGCGATCGCTATTGCATCGCGACGACAAAAGATTGCGACGACGTCCGACGATAATTTAAACGATTGGCCGAATTAGGAAGGCTAATGTTGTGGTTGGCCAATAGCAATTTGTCCTGTAGACAGTGAATCTTGAACCTGGAGATTGGACCGGGGTCCAGCGTGGTGGAGGAACGAGGAGAGTTAAGGTAGAATGCTTGGGTTTTTGGGTCTTTTAGCCTCTTGAGAGGCTTTACAAAAATTTTTTGTCCTGGACATCCATTGAGCTTCAATTATCATGCTCTTTGTGGTAGACGCTGTTTTTGATGCAAGTCCAAATCTACGCCGAGAGAAAACATCTTACATAAGAAAGAGGTGGTTATAAAGAACAATCTATTTGGATTATATTGCCTTATCTTCCTTGGCCCCTTTTCTGAAAATTCTATTTCTAGAAGTCTAAGCTATGCATCATTGATTTATGATGTGCGTAAAGATAGTGGCTTTCCTTAAACTCCGCAGAACAACGCCCATATGTTTACCTATATCGATGCAAGTGTCCCCCCGATGCATTTATGAACATTGAAAACTGGCAAACCTTAGTAAGTCAAAGAATACATTAGAAATCCATTCATTTCGTCGAGCTTATCTTCATTCAGCAAAATATCTAGCTGTCGGATCAAAGCTCGTGAGGACGTTGCCCGTCAACTGGCGTGGATTCGCTCGCCTTCAACGGCTGCGCAGGTGATCTCAGTCTCTGTAGGCCTCTCTGAGCTCGAGGCTGACCCAGGGCCTTGTCAGCAGCACTAGGTCATAGCGTAAGAGCCGCGATAAAGACGCCAAAGCGACAGAGCCGCTCATTAAGGTGCTGAGGACTCTGATTTTCGTCTGGTATGTTTGAGCATTTCCTTTACCAACAGACTCCTCCAGAGCTTCGTCTCAAACACCTCACCATGCTCTAGCTTGGTGCACCAGAAGAGTTTGATATTGTTCTCTCTCAGACATTTATCCGCCTTTGTCGTCTTTGCCGTTGAGACGAGCCCGTCGTCGACGGCATCAATTTCTAAGCACGAGCCAGAAGTTTCGAGATAGCCCCGGACATGCGCCGTATTGACAATTGAATCTCGCTCGCAAAGAAAGATGGATGCATTTCGACCTGCAAGGTCTTCTTTCCAGAGGATATTCTCCGACCAGAAAAAGTGGCGATGCAAGGTGTGAGAGACTCCAACGTCCATGGATCCGAAAAACCATAGAACCCATTGGGTGGGAGTTCTAGGCCTGCGAAAAGTCTGCAAAGGAAAGCGATCAGTATCCTGTTCGAATAAAAGCAAGATCGTAAAGCCAGCACTTACAAAATTGTACGCTACGTCCGGGAGATGCAATAATATCGAGACAGGGTCAACAAGAACGACTGACGCGATACGTTCCGACACGCTTGGGTCTTGGAGGAGGTGGGTTGCAATTACTGATCCGTAACTTTTTCCAGACACACATGGGTCAACAGATGCTCGTTTCAAGAGAGGCCACGGGATCACTTACGAGTGGGCTGCGAGAACACAATCATCGAATCCATGATACTCCAATATTGCCCGAACTTGCCGACACATTTCCTCCTTCCTCAAAACAGGGAGGGTAATGCGAGATGAAATGGGGAGAATCTCCAAGGCGAGAATCCCAATCTGTCCATCTTCGCTGGCAGCGCTGTTCTTGCCAAGCTCAGTGAAGAATTTGACATAGGGTCCAAGGCCCACGCCGATGCCATGTAGAAACAGGATGGGACGGCAGGAGCGAGAAGTATGGGGACGATAAAAGTAAGAAATATTCTTCACAGGTGCGCGACCTTTGGCCAGCAGCTTTTGCGGTCGAGGCGGAAAGACAGCGAAGGTCCTTTTCGCTGAACCACGATAGTACTGGAACCCATTGTACAGCAATGACAGAAAGGTAATATTGTCAACGATGAATATCAGCTGATTTCGATAAGTCAGCACGTCATGGTGGAACAACAACAGGACGACGTAATTACACCCACCAGATACCACGCTAAGCTTCGGTGTAGCATATCCACCTTCTCAAATGTCAATCGCAGGCATTTGACGTTGGCACGCCCTGGCCTAAATTTATGGCCCATTCGGTCTTCAAAATCGTTGACGTATTCATTGACCTCCTCCTCTGTGCTTGGGTCTTCTTGGGCACTACTGAAGAAGGCCCAGCGATAAAATTCCTTCACATTTTCTCGCCTCAGCTCCTCCAGTGGAGCGTCTAGAAACCATTTTGACATGTAGTTCCCCAGGTCAGGAATGCTCTCATGGCACAGCTTCACGAGCCCGCGGCGCTTCTCTCGAGACAATAAAGGAGGATGAATGGCGGGACGCTGGAGGTAGAAACGATGTAGAGCGTAGACGGTCACGCAAAATATGGCTTCTTCCAAAGCCCAACGCTCCAGGAACGGTGGCAGTCGAAGCGCTGAGGATACGTGGAAAACGCGAAGAATCCAGTAGATGACGCTGAGCGGGGCTAGACTTTGAAGAATCAAGATGAAAGCCCTCAAGAGGACGTACTCGGCCGTAGATGTGCCAATCATTCTAGACACAATTATGTGTTTTGTGTGCTATACGAGATGACGACTCGTAGCAGAGCACAGCTCACAAGGCTCTCCCTAAAAGTAGCCAAAGGCATCAATTAATTGCATTTCCGCAACCCTTGCGCAAGAAATCAAGGAAGAGATGACGGAAGGAAGACCATGGCGGCACGAGAGGAAGTTGAGGACCCCAGAAGGATCCACCGTAGTAGTGCGGCAGTAATGATTATTAGGCCTGCTGGAAGGCGGTAGGGCGGTATAGAAAGCCATGCTGAGCAAGGGAAAACCTGGGATCCACCAGGAGAAATTATCTCTCTCGCCCGCTGGGTTTTACTTGGTCCATTATTCGGTATTTGGTTGATGGTTCCTCGGCGCTAAAAGCGGGACGAGGGGAGCTTATCCTTCCAGCCTGCCAGTTCCATTCCTGACTTATCAGGCGGTGAGACGGTCGGTCGGCTGGTGAGAGATTACGATGCTGTGGAGTTTTGGGAGTCAAGAACTATTGAATTTCACCTCCGCTCGAAATGCTATCAAACAAGATGCTTTGAGCAAATATGAGTCTTCTCATGATAAAGTGATGGTTTTCATTCTGTCACCCATTGTCCACTTGCCTCCCTTGCTCTCCCACGTAACACAATATGAGTGCTCTCACCGGCATCGGCAAGGAAGATGCTTGTGGAGGTTTCTCTCAAAAGATGATCTTATTGGTAATGCTATATATAAAATCACTAGCATCTATAAGAAGAATGATGAATGCCAGCTTTTCCCATAAAAGGTAATGCTGAGCTCCATGGTCCACCACGCACTTCATCATGCAGGATGAGATACGTAGTAAAGAATGAAGACACGTAAAGCAAAAAATATAATTGAACCTTTTTTCAGCTAATTTAATACCTTGAATATAGGAACACAAGTAAAGAACTGGACTGGCTTCTGGAGTAAAGGTTAAGTAGAGTAGGAAAAATACGAAAAGAAAACAAAAACAAATCAGTAATTTAATATTCTGCACACATATTATGGCAAGTACAAGTAATTCTGTAGTAAATAATTAAAAGGTTTTTTGAAGTTTAATATGGTAGCACAATATATGAGATGTCTCTTACACAGCTTCAAGTTACATTTTTGCGATAAAAAAAAAATTAGAGAGGAAAAAGGAAGGATTTTTTTTTTGGATTCAAGAGCTTACAAAATGAGAGATAAAGTTAGTGTGGACCAAGTAGGCTTAGTCCTCGGTCGTGCTACAGGTGACCAACCATGTCACCGCCAAAAGTGACCCTGAATAAGCCAACAAGCTGACCGAGCCGTATTTATTTCTTCCACTTCACTCCTCCCATTACTTTACTCTTCACAAGGAAGATGGTGGACCATAGGAAGAATTTGAAATGCACGTTTGCATTTCATGTGTCCTACAACGGTAACGCAATGTATTAACAGGTCTTGAATAGTGATATCCCGCGAGTACTTCGCTCTGCAGCTTCTCTGCCAAGATGGCGTTGGCCCGGCTTCTTTGCCAAGACCCCATCACACGCGCCCACGATGCTTGACTGGATCGTTGCCGTGTCCCCTCTAACGCCGCCTTTTTGTGTTATCATTGCATGTCATTACTAAAGTTATCCCTAGCAAAATCAGGCGCTTTCTTCCCAGGCGAAAATCAGATGCAGCAAGGTTTCCAGGACTTTGTGGGGATTTTTTCCCCGGCGAAGGGGTCCCCCACCCGCATCTTGCCCCCCTGAAACACCTCTGGCCAGACCTTTTTCAACTTTTTATTCTTTTTCCTCCATCCTATCTGACATCGCATTTCCATTTTTGCCTTTATTCGGCTGCTGTGAATGATGTCTGCGTTATAATTTGTACATATCCAAAATTATCCCGTGTCTAGCTACTTTACGACGCGAACTCAATACCGCGCTCCATACACTTCACGCTTTTCGTTTCACCGTCCTCTCTTCTACCACCTACTCGAATATCAAAGAGGTGTCTTCGAACAGAAATTCTTTGATTATTTGACGAGTACTGGCGAGTTCAGAATGCCTCTTGCTCACCGACCTCAGTCGAATGCAAGCCGACAGAATGTTGAGCCCAAGCTGCCTGACGACGATGTTATCACCCCTCCACACCGATCTACCTCGACGGCTCGCTCACCCGAACACCGTCATCATCATGTTCCGCATCTGCCCAGGTTTAATCACAATGGCCACAAAGTTACCCGTGGTATCCACCCAGACGGCGAGAGCGGAAGAAAAGGCATCCACCCATGGGAATTCTTGAAGATTGTCTTCCGCAGCACCAGCACTGCCTCGAAGCTTGTCAATATTCTATGGCCATTTGTGCCAGTGGCTATTGCAATGGTGAAACCAATTCGCGTAGCTTTTTTTGCCCGCGCAATTGCTAATATGATTGACTAGCATTTTGCTCGCCCGGACCAGCATCTATGGATTTTCATTCTAAATTATGTCGCTATGGTTCCCGCTGCGAATTTGGTTGGGTTTGGTGGTCAGGAGCTTGCTCGCAAGCTGCCCAAGGTCCTTGGTGTAATGCTGGAGACAACGCTGGGTTCAATCGTGGAGATTGTCCTGTTCATGGTCTTGATTCACAATTCAAAGAACAACAATCTGATTGTTAGTTCCACTTTTCTTGAGCCATGGCCTGTACTATGCTGAGCATCTTATGCTGATAACTACCGTGTAGCCTGTGATCCAAGCAGCCATTCTTGGTTCAATGCTAGCCAACCTGCTCCTTTGTCTCGGCTTCTGCTTTTTCGCCGGCGGCCTCCGTCGAGATGAGCAGACATTTGACCCGGCCATCAGCGAGGTTGGCAATGGTCTGCTCTTGGTGGCAGGCATGGGCCTTATGGTGCCGTCAGCCTTTTATACTGCGCTAGACGGTGTTATGCCAAACGATTTACTCCGCTCGAGGGTCCTGACCATTAGCCGAATCACTTCGATCTTCTTACTTATTGCCTTTGCCATGTACGTGCTCATATCGAATCCTTTCTGGATTGTCACTTTTACTTTTCTTCTATCCTCTCCCGCTCTCTTCCTTGGGATCACACTGACAGTATCAGATACGTCTGGTTTCAAATGCGCACCCACCACGGCATCTATCTCGAAATTCTGGAAAAAGATGAAGAACTCGACGAGGATCGCCACCGGGACCTGAAAAAAGACAAACTCACATTGACTGAATGCTTCATTGCGTTGGCGATTGCACTTGCTTGCGTCTCGATGCATGCTGTTTTCCTCGTCGAACAGATTCACTACCTAGTGGAAGAACGCGGCGTGAGCGACAACTTTATTGGTCTGATCCTAGTCCCATTGGTGGAGAAGGCTGCCGAACACTTGACCGCCGTGGACGAAGCGTGGGACAATCAAATGAACTTTGCACTCGCTCACGTTCTTGGCGCTACTATCCAGACTGCTCTTCTGAACGCACCGCTCGTTGTCATGGCTGGATGGGGTCTGCACAAGGAAATGGACCTCAACTTTGAAATTTTTATGATTGTTCTGTTCATTCTTTCGATTATTGTGGTGGGTAATTTCCTCAAGGACGGTAAAAGCAACTATCTTGAGGGTGCGCTCTGCGTTTTAGTTTATTTGATCATTGCTGTTACCACCTGGTTCTATCCAGACCCTAAGGAAGGTTCTACAAATACTCAACCAGAGACAGAGGCCCCTGAAAAGTTACGAATGCTCTTTCGTTAGTCTCTCCAGAAGTATTCTATTCAGAAGAGCAAATCGCACAAGGGCTCCTCATAGACTATACTCGATTATTTGGAGATGAATTTTCAAAACAGAGAATGAGAAGTGGGAAGTCCTGTTATTGCATGCAGAAATATCTTCTTGTTTCAGTCTCGTTCACAGAATAGCGTGGCGTTGCGGGCTAGCAGAAATATGCCGCTGTCCATTAAGGCATATCAATATTCATTTTACCATATCCTTGCTTTCTACTTACACAGCATGTTAGCTTGGCAGAAGTATACATAGGTATAAACAGTTTTATTAAGCAAACAATAAGATCCTCTATTCATCAACTCCACCTCTGTTACCTTTTGTCTCTCCACTCCTTTGTCAAACGTTTTGATGTACCTATACGGACATTCAAGGAGGAGAAGCGATTACCGCTCCTCCATCCCCCACATCTTCTCCTCCCCCCTTTCCTTTCATCATACATGAGTAATTTGTAGATCACCTACTTATATACACAAAGTAAAAGAACGTATCGGACTATGTGATCGTATCAAACAGCCCCCAGCCATCATCATCTTTGACCGAGTTGACTCGGCTTGAATCGACTCAATTCACTCCGGCCAAGCCAGCAACAATTTTGACCAAAGGCGGCACAGATGTCAGCGCGACCATCATCGTACCAAGCAGACTCATGGACAGACACGATAGTGCTGCAGCCCGCGGGTCAGTCACAAGCAGCATGGCCGTCGCAATGGCGGATGAGTTGGCGCCCAGCGTGACGCCGCGGGTGACGTAGTCGTCTGTCATTTGCCATACGATTAGCTCTTCTATTGCATCGTTTGTAGAATATTTGCAAGAAACCGATTGTAAGAGAAAATTCAAGAACAGGAAGAATAGTAAGTGATAAAAAGAAACCAACGTTGCGTAGAGGGACAATAATAACTATGAACTGCGGAAAATTGAGAGTAAACGTGAGGGACGTTTTGGGATTAATAAGGGACAATATGGGTGATAGTTTAACAACCGAAGGGCACATGGTCTAGGGGTATGATTTTCGCTTCGCATGGTGGACTTAACCTGAAATGCAAATGTGAAAGGTCCGGGGTTCAAATCCCCGTGTGTCCATTGCTTTTTGCCTTTTTATTATTTTTTTTTTCCATGCAGCAAACCATCAGGTTGATTTTTATGAATTTTTTTTTGATCTCGGAAAGGCGTTGTTTCTTTTTTTTTCGCGTTGCGTTGTTGGTGATAAAAGCGCAGGGCAGAAGGGGAAGGGATTGTTTGGCGAAAAGCAGAGGTGTGTCGGTGGGGGTTGGAGCGAGAAAAAACAGGAATAGAGAGCGAGAAATACAGAAATGAAGGAATGGCGAGAATACAGAACCAGAGCGATAGAGAGAATACAGTAACAGATCAAGGACATACCTTCTGGAATGCGGAGCCATTTCAATAGAGTGTTTCCGATCAGAGCACCCATGACTCCGCTCATAATGGCCACGACGGCCTCGAGGTTGAGATCACCGCCCAGATTGGCCGTAGCGGGCATGGCCAAGGCGAGAGTCAAGCTTCGAGAAGAAAATGACAAGGCGCGCGTGGGAGCAATGCCGACTGCATGGCTGACAAGGGGATAAAGAAAGAGCGAAACGGCACCGAGCGATAGTGTAGGGAATGTGATTGAGATGAACTGCACAAATTAACATTGTCAAGATCCTGGAGTATGTAAAAGGACATTGACTTACATGTCGCATAAGTTCCTTTCGATATTGAAACATGGGCAAGGCCAATGCAACAATACTGACATCCAGGATGCTACTAAAGATGTCGCCCCCCCCAGGTGCACGGATGCCATGCTTGCCATCAAACAACTGGAGATACTTTGTCTTTGTCGAGTAATCATGCAGTCCATCAAACAAGCTATTGCCCTTGATGAGCGCGAGGACCCAGACTCCGAGAATAGTAAACCCAGAACTGACAAGCACGGGATGCAGGAAGCGCTTGTATTTTGGAGGAATGGCCATGGCGCTGAAATACATCAACACGTTCAGCGGGAGATGCAACGGCATTGCGTATCCGGCGCCATAGTATACTGGGATTCCCACGAAGATCATTAGGGTCAAGTACGTCAGCGTGTCCAGGTACTTGTTGATGAACGTCGCCCAGCGCTGAGCGCGTGTAAGTGGCGGCGGGTCCTGGCGTGGCTGTGCTCGAGGTGGGGACGGTTCACGAGTATGAATGTCGTCGTGGGCAGGAGGTCCACCGGTGCCACGAATCGTGCTAGGATCTTGAGCCCGTAGTGGAGCGGCAATATCTGCCGCGGGTTCTGGAGGGTTTTCCAGTTCGGGGTCATGCTCGTCCGCGCCGCCGATGGGGGTGTTTAGTGAAGTGCTTTGCTCCGGCTGCGTGCTGGCTAGACGCGGACCAAGAGTCGAGGTTGATGCGGTTTGGGAGTCTTTGGATTCTTGTCGATGTCGTTCGGATATGGGGATCTCGTCCAGTTCATGGCCCATTTCCTCGGCGCGCTCGGTCATGGCGCGTTTGGATGTCCCAAGCAGAAGCTGCAGGCCTCGGGCAAGGTATGCGGTTGCGGAGAAGATGACAAAGTAGCCAATGACTGTCCGTGAATGTGGTGTCAGACTGGGCGATATTGCACGGATATAGGAGACATGGAGGGAAGGGTAACTTGGATGGACATGAACGTACGGAATACAGCTACAATGAGACCAATTTCCTTTCCGCTAATGGAAGGAGAAAGAGGTAGAAGAACGAAACTAGGAGTGAAGAAGATGCTCATAAAGCGGAGGGACCATCCTGCCTGTCATCGCAAAGGAGAAGAATAAGCAAGCTATCCGTGTATATCCCCTTTCTTTTTTCTGTATGAACGAATGCGCGTAATGGTTGCATATTGCTGCAAACCAATCCAGGACTCACTGGAATATCAATCAATTTAATCAACGCGCGTGTTCTCTTTTCACCCAGAACAAAATCCAAGGCCACGAGGGCAAAGAACAAGACAATCATGCAGGCCACAGATGCAGGGAATCCCACGGAGCTAAGTCCGATCAACTGGTTGACACCAAAGCAAGCAAGCATAATCAGAACCACTCCTATAGGGGTATACAGCCATGCCTTCAACGTGCGCTGCCATGATAGCTTGGCAACCTATGTCTGTTATTAGCAGGGCACGTGAATATATGGTGATTCCCACCAATGGACATTTTTGACGTACAAGAAGTAATGCGCTGCCGAGATCATCGAGAATAGGCTGAAGTCGAAATCCATACGCCTCGCCCATATTTATGAGGAGCAATAACTCATGACAAGTGAAGTGTTCTGTTCCAAAATTTTTCCGCCGTGGGGAATACTTTTTGTACTGCGGGCATGCGGGTTAGAGGGGGAGATTGGCCGATAAGGATGATTTAGCTCGACTTGCTTTAACTAGCGGAGCTGCGGAACCAACGCCCGAGGCGGCGTCATGTCAGGGCTCTACTGTGCTTAAGCTTCATGCATCCATTTGCTTCGGACGACCGGAGATGACTCGGCCTTGTACATGAGAAGTTATAGTAAAACAATTTGTAGAAGAATATTGTAGAAAATGATTTCCGAATGCTGCTAGCTCTGGAAATATCTAATGAAACCCTATAGACACTCATAACTACGGTCGTTGCGGCATCGGCATGATAGTGGGTCCAAGAGCTTGGTTTATATACCGATTTTCGACATTTACTCTCTCATCCAATGAGCAGCCGGGGGGCTGGCGCAATTGGTAGCGCGTACGACTCCAGATCGTAAGGTTATCCGTTCGATTCGGGTGCTCCTCATCGCAGCGTTGCTTGGATATAATTTTTTTTTTTCCTTTCTTAATTCAAATGTAAAGGGTTTGGGCGCTTGTGCTCGTCTTTGGTGTATTTTTGCTTAAATTTTTAGTCAACGGTTACCTGACCCGGGTAGTGCTGTTTACACGTGATACCTACAGCGACACCACCTTAAACACAACATCCTCTCGAGCAAAGGCCATGGGAGAACGACCAGTTGACCAGCTTCTGCTGGCTCTACGTGAACACGACATTTCTCTAACACGAGACGATGTGCAATGGGCATTTGATTCTGCAGAAACTAATGCATCAGTCACGCAGTGGGTGGAACGATATCTGGGCCCCGAAACCCTCCTTTCCAAGGAAGAGCTTGAAACGTAAACAAATGTGGCCAGCACGCGTCTCTGCCAACGAACGCTAATATCGGGCATTCTCCTCTGTAGCTTCTCGAAGATTGAGCGGTCTGGTGCCGTGAAGAGGATCCTCGCAAGCAATGATCTGTCAACCGTCCGGCCCGTCCTCGAAGATGATCTTCGCAACACGATTGAGACGCTCAACGCCTCCACGGCGGCGATAGAACGACAGAACGAGCTGCTTGCAAAGCAACGCGAATCATTAGAAGCACTCAAAGAGCGAAATCGGGAAAATCGCGAAGCCTGCAATCGCTCAAACGCACAGCGACGGAGGAAACATGCGATTGAGAGCCAACATGTTGCTCTGGCGGTAAGAGTTTCCGGCAGTATCTGCAGGGATTTTGACGTACAATGACTGAGTGGACTGCAGTGCGATGAGCTTGCGCAAAATATTTCATCGCAGCTTGCTGTCATGCAGCAGCAAATGAAAACCTCAACGGCCCAGCTCCCGCCAGCTGTTGCAGAGACCCTCCGGGCGGACGATCGATTGCTTGCTCGACTCGAAAGGCTCGCTTCGGAACTGGACCTGTCGGAAGGGGATGACGGTGGGGAAGAAAGGAATCGGATTGCTCAGTTGGGAAAGAAGGCAGCCAGTCTTTCAGCAGAAGAGATTCGCCTGCATCTGGACACGGTCTATCTCGAAACACTGGTCGAGAATGCGACGGGACGTCAAAATCAACGACAAGATAATGACGCTTCACCGGACGAAGCTGAGGACCGGGCTGAAATCAACGCGATCAAGGCTGAACTAAACAGCTTGTATCAAGAGATTGGCTCCCTGACGGAAATTTCGGTGCAAGAGAACTACCTGCGGCCAATATTTGACGAAATCAAGGAGCAGAATAAACGGAGGAGACAAATCTGCGAGGATGGGCTGGACTATGTACGTCTTTTCCGTATTCATAGGAGAATTAGCTGTCCGTGTGGCATTGTTTCGGGGAGATTAGCTAACAATCCTAGATTTCGTCTTCTCTCGAGCATCTCATTACCAGACTCGACGCCATTACGAACAATACTCGGCTTCACCATGCACATCACGCGGCCCTACTCGCCATTGCCGCACAAGCTGAGCCACAAATTAAAGAGATCCCGCAGAATCGAATTACGTCTTCTTCTCCATCAAAACCCCAAAACACTAGAGACGTTTTTTCTCGGCAGACCTCCTCTTTTGCAGCCGCACAATCCACGCCTCTCAAAGGTCACACATCACGCTTCACACCCAACTTTCCAAGCACACCTACACTGTCATTCGACAGTCGTATGGGGACAACCTTTGGGCTCAAGACCCCCGGACCAGAACCCACGTCCACAGGAACAGCCGCGATGCAGCAATTATTCCGCCGCCTTGGACTACACATTTCCCCGGACTTGCCTCCCGCTGAGCTTGCGGCAGCGCTCTCTACAGCCGTCGCAGAGCGCAAGGCCTCTCTCCGTAATCATTTGTTCACATCCGAAATGTCTTCTTTTACCCCGTCGTCGTCATCATCATCACAAGCACTAATCAATGCTTCGGACTCTGCGTCAGCACGTACGCCAGCTCCCGCTCCTCCTCCGTCCGCTCTAGCCAAGCATTTAGCTGCCGCAGATGCAACGGCCCAAATCCTGCTCGATGCAGTCTATGCGGATTCGAAGCACTGCAATTACACGCTCGTGGATGACAATGTCAAGACAGCGATCACGAAGCTCGAGCAGGACGTTGATGCCGTGGGCAAGGGAATGGCAGGACTGGATCTAGAAACGGTGCTGAAAGAGGAACAGAAACCAAAGGAAAGGTTTGTGGAACGATGGGCGGGAATGTAGTAGTATACTGTACAATGCTTTGGGCGTTGTTAGCATCTTGTTGAGCTTTTATTCGTTCTTTTTTCATTTTCTTTTAGTTTTATTTTTTCACCCTGTCTGTCTCCTCTTTCTTTTTCATTTCCTCCCCTGTATAGTCTGCGTTATACCTATATAGTCGTGTTACGCTCTCATCCAATGGCTCGGAAATCCATGCTCATTTATATTTTGCCTTATCAATTTCCACATTATCTGTTCACTTTTCCATCACTTTCCGCTACACTTTTCAGGTTCCCATTTCATCATTTTAGACGTGCAATATACCGATGTCAAGATATATAGACCATACATCATATTTACTATTATTTACCTAACGTAGTGCGCCTTGGCCATCAGCCCCTCTGACAATCTTCGACGAATCGACGGTTTCACGGCCCACGTCCGTGTCTTTTTGTTTTCTTCGCCCAATGGCCCCGCGGGGAAAGTTCGTGCCGGAGAGGGAGGGGGGAAGTCTCCCACTTCAGAAGCGATGCCGTGAACAAGCTTACAATTTCCCGAATACCAATGTTTCTGTTTTCCAACGTAGAACTGAGTGTTTAAACTTGAGGCTTAGTGTTTAGTGTTTAGTGTTTAGTGTTTACTGTTTGCGCAACATGCGACATGCGACATGCAACATGCAACATGCGACATCCAACATCCAGCGCTTCTCAGGCTCCAGGCTCCAGGAGTCCAGGCGGTGGCGGTCAAACAGCATCTCGACAACCGCGATTTGCTTTCTCCTGAATCCATGCCGCCATGCGAATACTCGATACTCGAGCCCAGTAATTCTTCTGGATCTCTCTCCTGAAACAGCCAAAAGGGAAATCTTGGACTCTACTTCCTCAAACCATTTATCCTGACGCGTGACTCCATGACTCCGCACCCGCAGGCCACAGCCATTGGGACTTTTCGAGTAAAGACAGAGCGTCAAACGGTTTGTTTCCTCGTCCAAAGCACCCAAGATTTGATATCATTGATGGACGATTTGCGATTTGCGATTTGCGATTTGCGGTCTGCGTTGCCCCAGACAGTAAAGTTTTAAACTTATAATCAAAGTGTTTGTCCAGGGGAAGGGTATGGCCTACAGCCTACAGCCTGCAGGCTACAGCCTATATTTCCCTGGCGGTATTTGTCATGAACTTATGGACTCATGGTTGCAATGTCTGCAAAGCTGTCCAGACATTTGTCATATCATTAAGCTAACTATCAGCAATCCACCTGCCCAACGCCAAGAAAAGCACTGTATCAGCAATAAGTCATCTATCACCAGTTAGTATAAAGTGTGTACAAAGCTGGAGATAGTACGTACGGTGCATGCACCTGGCTGCACAGTCAGTCCAGATGCAGTTTGCACAGGCCCCTCCATAGGCGTCTGGCTAGACTCGAACTCCTCCTTTCGGAGACCTGACTGGGTAAATATCTTCACCAGGTTCGTTACCTGGGACTCGGAAAGAGAACGATTGGCGTCAAGTCCTTCTCCCCAGTTGGTGTTCAACTTGTCAATAGAAACCAACACCGTACCAAGGTACGCGCTATTGATGGTGTCTGCGAGAGGGTCTGTAAATGTAAGGTTTTCCTTGGTGTAATCATGCTGTTGCTCTTCAGGTGCCGAGTGCTTTCGCCCTGCTTTAAGTTAGTTTAAGTGTACAATCTTAATGGGAAGGTAATCCCTACCTCCACGGCCCTTCGTGGATTCGTTTTGTCCTGTAGATTCTTAGCATCTTTTCCAACTTCGACAACCAACGAAAACCGGACGATTCCGGCCAGCACCACGACAGGCAGCGCAGAGAGGCACAGATTGACCACGACTCTATACACATGTTAGTAGCGTACACACATGTGGAAGAGCGTACAACTCACCTGAACAAGCAATGCCTGAATGTAGCTTGGCTGCCTGCTTTCAATTTGCTCTGGGCGTACAGCCCAGGGAGAAGAAATGCAGACCTCTGAGCCAAGACAGGCCAGCAATTGGCAGTCTGATACCCGAGAAACAAACCAACCAAGCTACACACAGTCAGTAAAGTCAATCAACAGCGTACGGGGCATGACTCACCTCTGTGTGGGCAATTTCAACACTTGTCCGTTCGACCCCATACGATACAGGGTGAGGGCATCCGGCCTGTCAGCAACAGTCCCGTGCGCGTACAGGCAGAACGGCGGGATGGCCACCACCATATTGGTGGCAGCAGCAACAGGAGGAGCCGGAGGAGCCACGGGAGCAGCAGGCGTAGATGGTGGGATATCTGCCACCACCATGATGCCGGAGAAGTCGAGAGGAGCGTGAGCAGGGGCAGTAAGTCTGGGTCCCATCAGAGATGTCGTACGCCTGCCACGGATGGACAGGAGCAGAGTGGGAACGCACCGAAGATCCTTAAACAAGTTTCAATATGCTTTCTCATGTAGATCTCTGAAGAGTGTAGATTGACAAGAAATGTACTGACTAGTAGTAAGTTGAACTGAACTCTGGCGCTTTTGGGTGCCCCGGGTTCAGTCAGTGGTTTAATCTGTCGGCCGTCGTCCTTGCATTTCTGACCATCGATTGACAGGGTGTTGAAGAAATCAGAATGCCCATCGTTATCAAATTGGTCCTTCATCCAGTAGAGCTGGATAACGTGAACAGTGACCACTGATGAGATTATGGAATCAATGTGCCGAGGCCCTGGCTCAGGCTTTGCTTAATTCTTCGTCCTTTCTCTATTGCTTGTCTCAATATATATTGTATGCTGTGAGTGGTAAGAATCGAAGATGTAACTATTGGCTCAGCCACATCTTGTTCTTGCACATCGTCCACCCTGTCATCTGTAGACATTGATTTTATGGCTTGTGGATGTGGTTTAAACTTTAGCCACATTTTTTTTCTCGCGCATTTGCTTCCGACTCGTGATTGGTGAGGGAAGCCTTTGGCTCTAGCCTCTGGAAATACTGTTTGAGCGATAATTGTACTAGGAGAAATCGTAACCTCTTCCGCTCTTTTCATCCCCTCGCTGAATGCCCGCTGATAAATTCCCCGCAGTCGTATCGATGCTTATCTAGTATTATAGTTTGAGAAACTCAAATGTCAATAAATGTAGAATTGACCCTTTCCCGTGGGTGGTAGAATATCTGTACAATCTGTTTGCGGAGCTGGGTTTTTTTTTCAAACACGTTCTGAATATTCTAACTTCCTGCTCTCCATTTTCCGGTTTCATGGTAGATATGTAATAGATTGATGATAGTATATGATGTGCGGTGCGCCTCTGAGTACTGGGTATGAATAGCATTGGCCATGTCATAATCAATTAGATATCTTAGCTCATTGCAATAAAAAAAGATTCAATGTTATATCTTCTGAGGTTTGACTGTCTGGCATTTGTTAGTCCTTAACGGTACAGAATTCGAGTTGGAGAAATGTTCGATGGACAGCCAGGAGCGGAAATATCCACAATTTATATACACTCCAAGGCCAATGTGTGAATGGCAAAGCAGAATGAATATTCTCAGAGCAGTGCATGGAATTCAATTCATTCTACGGCTTCAGCAGAGCCTCCCATCTCAGCATGTGTTTCTAGGTTGTTACACAGCCGTCATGTCTTGAGTCTAATGGTAGCATCCAAAATCCAAGAGTCAAGACTGAACTCTTCTTCAATGCACTTTGACAAGCCCTGGCTATACCACTCTACGCCTCCATACCACGGGGGGCAGCTGTATCTTCCACGAGGTATTGCCGGCAACAGAACAGCTGACACGGGTGTCCGTCACGTCACTGGAAAGACAGCTCATGCAGAAATTCCCTGCCAAAGATGAATACGAGAAAGAGTTAATATTATTCATGAATTCTCTTTTTCGAGAATAGTTGGAACTTGGTAGAGCAACACAATCTCATGTTGACCCCGCTCTATTGATTCAGAACGATTGATGCTCATGAGGTCAGACACCATTGATAAGGTGCTGTGGATAGGATGCAACGCTGCAGATTCGTCAGTTCAGATCTGTGTTGCGGAGTGGCATATCTGTTTCGGGTAAGGCTGCGGCACAGAGCGCAGCGAGCAGGGAAGACCATCGTTATAGGATTTTGAAAAAAGTGGATATAATCTCCACAGGTGTGTAATACTTGCTTTTCTCTTACGTACCATCTGACGATGAATGAACAGCACGGTCAATTAATTGCAAAGTCATTGACTCCCTAATAATTGTCTCAACGCACTAAGGTTCTTTATGCATGTTCCAGTCTTTGATATTACATTTGGTTTTGTAAAGAAATCTGGATAATCGGGAGGGATCGTCAGGATATACGATGAAAAGTTGCACTTTACCCCAGTCATGGTGGACGATGGAATGGTCCGCCAGTAGGGCCCCGCATAGGGCCAGGCGGAAGGCTGAAATCCGGGCCGTAGTGGCGGGAACTAACGGAGTCTTTACCGGGCCGCAGGCAAAGGCAACACCACCAAACGGACCCCACCTGACGCAAGTCTTCTCACCACGGGGAAAGTTTTTAGACAACAGTTAGGTTGTTCAACGGCCAAGATCAGTCGACAAATAGATCATTCAACAGTCAGATCCTTGAGAGCTTTCGTATGCAACTCCACTCTCGTATTCATGTCCACATGCCTCGACAGGTGGATTGATCGAAAATTTTCGGATCATACGGTCTTCAGATCTACTTCTCTTGGCACATTACATATCGTGTGCTGATTATTTTTGTTGAACAAGTCATCTATATAAAGCTCTGTGGTATGTTTCTCAAGATTCCAGTTCTACACTTCGAATCTTCTATCATACATTTACTCAAGAATGTGGTTTTCACAGGCTATTGTGCTGCTGCTCCCAGCTATGGCTCTATGTAGCAATTTTGTCGACAATGTCCAACACGATGGCATAGAGCCAATCCAAGACGACGTCATTGCCAACGCCGACATAGTTCAAGACATGACTACGTCTGATCCCACCCGCCACAGATACCTCAGCCCAACCGAAATCAGCATTGGTGCGGGCTATTCCATCAAGTTTGAAAACGACATCAAGAATCTGTACAAGGATGGCACCATATGCGACCAATCCACCCTCCCAGAGGCTGTCATCTCCAATATCAACCAATATCGTGGTGGCAGGGCCACCTCGATGATCGGCACTACCGTCTCAAACAACTACGGACTGCACATGGGACCAGACCACGCATTCCAATTCTACAAGCGCATCCAACATCCCAGCAGCGATGACGAGGACGGGGCTACCAACACCACTACGACGCTCGACAAGCGCTACGGATACAGATGCACCAACAAGGCTATTGGCGCCGATAAGACCTGTGGCAACAAGGTCAAGAGCGGCAACCCCATCAACAGTGCACACAACTGCCCTGGCAAAGGATATGAATGCACATTCCCTCAAGGCCCGGAAGGGAATGACTATGGTATCTGCTGCTACAGCATCAGCACTGCGCAGTCGTGCGGCTTTGAGGGCGGCTACTGCTTCTTGGATAAAGTCAAGAACACTTGCGGAAACGACTGCATCAACTGATTTGATGGCGATCGTATGCAGCTGGTCTTTGCCCTCGCGGACCGAATCCGATAATCTGTGTCGGTGACTGCGATAGCGCATGGCAAGCCAGATTGCTCATCACCCCAATACTGATCTTAGCCTCAAATCTCTCACTATAACCTGCGGCATGATTGGAATTCAGAATGATGTTATGAACCTATTGAGTCGTTGGAAACAATAGCTAGCGAATGTACCCGCCAATCTGACAATTGATCCAAGAATAATGCTCAATACACTGCTTCAAAACGTGATTGCCAATATTCGTCCAAAATTGCTGCCGTAATCGCTCCTTTTTGGAAAGGAGCGTATCCTACTCTCCGACATATTTTATAACTGTATACTGTAGCAGATCGCGGATGAAAAAATTATGCATGTAAAAAACAAAGCACAGACGCACCTAGGCAAGGCGAATCTGTAATTTAAGTTGACGGATGTCGGGTTTGGCATAAAGGCGGGTCGTGCCGTCCTGCAGGTCCTCGCAACGAACACCATCTGCTATTGGAGCCATCGTAAAAGATTGCAAAGCAAGAAGAACATTACTGAACCTTTTTCCGATCAAAATTATTGCAGCAACATTGATAATGCAGTGCCAAAGTGTCCAGAAAGACGTCACCACCGGGGTTTATTCTTGATCATTTCGCTGACCGCCTCGGAGGAATCATGGCGCCGTGTTGGGTGGCTGTGCCGCCACCTCCCCCGAGCCTCGAATCACCAACCCCACGAATTGTTCTAAAGTTGTCCACCACACAAAACATAGGATGATATACATATCGGTACACGATGGACTGCTTGCACTTTGGGGGTCACAATATCCTATTCTGGTCATCTCATGGCTTTGCTTAGGTTGCGGCCCCGACAAGACGTGATGGGCCTTACAGGGATATCCGCAAAAACGCCACTTTGACCATCATCGCAAACGCGGTGAGCGCGAAATGCACACACCGGCCGGCACACATTTTGGTTTTATTGCGCTTTTTTTCTCTCAACATTTGGATGAAAAACTTTTCTCTGCTATACTAACTTACCCAAAACATCGAAAAACATGACCTTGGCCGCGTGTGCTCGAAAGAGGCTCAGACTTGCGACTACGATCCTTCCATCATGATCAATATTTTAACTCGACATGACAATTTCGAGACTGGGGTCAGCGGTCAGCCGCGAAGACCCAAAGCAAAAAAGCAAAACAAGGTCTTTGGTGTGACCCAGGACAGGAGCGAAGAGAAGAGAAGAGAAACTCTATTAACGCGAGTATCCCCGACCTCCCCTCGGCCCCCAATCAATAGGCTGTGCGGGCTGTGCTTGTGCCTTGGGGATGGGGTGTTGTGGACGACAAAGGACGTGCACCAGGTACCCGTCTCACTTGGGATCCATCCACACGACCCCCTCTTGGCCCCAATGATAAATCCGAGTCCTTCGACCGCCTTGGGATTCTGCCGGTCATTTCTGCCTCTGGCCCCAAATATCGTGACCTTATTAGGCAGACAACTCCCCCACGGACTACTTCTACCTCTTCTCGCGCATCTTTTTTCTCTTGTCTTGAAAATCTCATTTTTATTTTGCTTCGAGTACAAACTCGCAATATTTATTTTCGCACTTGTTTGGCAAAGCCTTGTTGTTGCGAGTTTGACTTGTGGCTTTGTTTTTGTCACCTGCAGCTACTTGCCTGTTTTTGCCGAGCAGTCCCGCCTCTGAAAGACAACCCACAGATAAAAAGAGCTTGTTTATACACTTCGACTCTCTTCATTTCCCTCTGCACGCTGTATACACAGGTCTGATCCTAAGCAGACGCATCACGCAGGAAATACCCCTATGTCTTCTGTCATTACCCTGCTGCTGTCCCGCCTGATTAATATCCCAAACATAGGGGGATAGCTCAGTGCCTGTCGTCCTCTGTCATTATTCTGGTCTCAATTTACCCGATCCGGTTGCAGTCCTTTGTCTAACTCAAACCAACTGTTCAAACAAAAAACAAGCCATCTACGCGGCTTACAAAAAGCCCGAACATTTCCCTCGATGTGCATTGTCGAGGCCTATATCGAAGTCGACTTAGACGGCACTCGACGACATCGGGAGGTCCTAAGGCCGTGTGAACGCAGCGACGGCGCTCGCCCTTGTTCTCTGTGTTCATACCGCAACATGCCTGACCATTACGTGCGTGTCGTTGAGGTCCGGCCTCCTGGCCCACCGCCGCCGCCTTCTCTCCTTGCGCCCTCACCGGGACCACCTCCTCCGCTCCCGCTAATGGTCGGCCCTGATCCTCTGCCGCCACTACTGCCAGCACCAAAACGGAAGAAAAGGCGGGAGCTTACGTCGGATATGCGATTCGAGGTGGACATATCCTTTGGCAAGCTTCGCAAGGTCAAGAAGCCTGTCGTAAAGGAAGTGGACACGATCGACATTGTTGAAGAGGACATTATTGCAGAAGAGGACGAAATAATAGCGATTGAGGAGCCAGTCCGCTCAAGGCGCAGCGCAAGGCTGATGCCTGGTGGGCGCGCACCGCCGGTACCTCCGCCGGCCCCAACCCCGCCCAGTTCCCGTGGTAGATCTCCTATGCCTCTACCTCGCCGGCAGCCTCCTTCACGGCAGATTTCTCCCCGGCCTCCGCCTCCGCCGCCGCCACCACCACCACCCCCTCCCCCTGCGGCGCCAGCACCGGCTCCTACTCCTGTCACTCCACCTGCGCCTGCACCCGCACCAGCGCCTGTGCCTCCTGCTCCACCATCTCCTCCGCCCAGTGAAACAATCATCATCGAGCCGGAGCCAGACCGCGGTCATCACCGACGAAGAGAGACGATTGTCGTCCAGCACGAGCGTGGTCCAACAAGGGAGTATTCCCGTCATTCATCACCACGCTCACCATTCTTCGAAAGGCGAGATCCATCTCCTGCCTCTCCATTTAGACGCACCGAACACGTCATTGTGCGGGAAGAATTTCGCGACGGGGACCGAGAACGTCGACCGTATGGTACAAGATCTCTTCGGCCAAGTCCCATCAGCGGCAGTCCTCGCCGACAGTCACCGCGGGAACAGCGGTTTGATGACCCGATGGAGGCCGAGCGACGACAAATGGCGTATGAACGCAACCGCGTTGATGAACTCGAGCACGAGTTTCGCCGCGCCCGACTTGATGACGATGACGATGGATATCGCCATCAGAATTATACTCACTACGGTCGACCTGACCCGCCTAGTCGTCTCCCGCGCATTCCATTTCGTCGCAACCCCTCGGCCTCACCCTCACCTGGTCGCCAGCCCCTTGTCCCTCTGCGCCGAGATCCCGGCCCACCGCTTCGAATTCATCAAGGTAGAGACTTGATCCCTCGATCGTCTCGTGGCGAAGATATCCTCTCCCGCGGAGCGCGAGTCATTGCCGAGGCCGGCAGAGTTGCTGTTCCTGCTCCTGGCCCTCCCCCAGCCCCACTACGCGGCATTTTGCGTAACGCCAACAACAGCAATAACAATGCCAACCGTGACCGCGAGCATTACAGATATGAAGATGACGGATACGTCGACGATGGCCCGGCACAAGTTATCATCAACAACTCACAGGCCAGCAGGCCACGTGGTGCGCCAAGTGCAGGTGCTAGACCCGCAATCCGTCGGCGCGAAACCATTGGCGGCGGCGGCGGCGGCGGTGGTGGGGGACGTGGTAGTCTGGCCGGCCTGCGCGGAGGACGTCGAGAAATCCGCGAAGAACGAGGCGGACGAGTCGTTCGCGAGCGCATCGTATATGACGATGAGTGGGTGAATGGACGCCGACGCGAATGGTAATCTATCCATCCATTTCATCTATTCAGCTCGTTCCTCGTTCATTAGTATGTTTATCTTATCATCTTGCTCTCGTTCCCTTTTAGTATTTATTTTGCTTTTTCTTCTTTTGGCGAGTCATTCTCTGTGTCGCGATCCCCTTTTTGTTTTGCTTTTGCGTCTATCTTTCCCGCATTATTATCGTTCTCGTTCTCGATTTCGGTTTCAGTTTTGATTTTATACATATACCGCACAGTTCCCTAATTTCCACCCGCACCCCACGTACACGTCATCTATGTCCATTTGTTCGAATCAAGCCATGTCAGTCTAATTATCATAATTGTTCATGTTTTCGACACGCATAGCATGCCATAGGACCTAAAACACAAGCACAAAGCACAAGCACAAAGCAATGCAGAACAACGCAAGTGAATTCTCATGCAAAAGAATCTGTGTGTGTTACTGAGACTTGACGTATATGTATACAGATATGTATAATGAATCAAGGATATAGTAGACTATAGACGTAGACGAATAGACGAATAGATAGACAGATGTTGATATCAGTTGTAGTTGGTAAATGGGAATGAAATGCAATGGAAAGGGGAACGGAAATGGAAAGGAACTGGAATTGGAACTGGAATGGAATTGGAAATGAATCCTGTGGATATAAATATGAATATACATGTACTGAAGATATGAAAAGAACAGAAAAGAAAGCAGGGGGTATGTAGCTCGATATGTGCGTGATATAACCGCCAAAATAACCACCAAAGAAGAAGAAGAAGAAGAAGAAGAAGAAGAAGAAAGAAAAAGAGAGAAAGAGAGAAAGAAAAAAATAGCTGATGAGGATGAGGATGAGAATGTTGAGGATAATGAGGATGAGGATGAGGATATTGATCTGAGACAGAGATCAGAGATGGGGAGAAAGACAGAAAGGTATAAATGTGTATATACATGTATATGTATATATATCCACAGGTGGAGGAGAATTGGTGGATTGGCGGATTGGTGAGAGGATATCCGAGAGGGGAGTTTTGGGGCGTAGGAGGTCAGCCAGCGCAGTGAGGAGATAGAAAAGGGAGAGAGAAGGGGATAGAGAAGGGATCCTAAATTCGCCGACGTAGCTGCTGTAGCGCCTGTGCCAGGAAATAGTTACTGGGTCGAGCACTAGATCTCGGACTCAGGGAAACAGGATTGCACAATATGATCGTTGACTTGGCTTGGTCGTAGGAGGAACGATCACAAGAGAAATGTTTCGCCCGTCGCCCGAGATGGACGGTCAAGATGGCAAGACGCTTGTTTCGAGGTTGCATTCGTATATGGCGAGCAAGCAAATGAGCCATAGATCGACCTCGTGAGTGGTTTACCGTGTGCCATCGTTCGGAGGCCGCGGTGTGTCGGCAGGCTAGGTATAGTACCGAAAAGTACCCGACAGAACATATACGACCGAGGCAGCATAGGGGCTTGCGCTGAGGCTGGTTGATAAAAAGACGAGTTGTAGACGAGAAGAATACTTGCTCACACTGCCGTAGCAATCTCGTGGGCTTGGGTGGACTTGCGAGCTCTGAGCGGCGGCAAGCGGGGCGTGAAGCCGGGCGGGGGTGCTTCGAGCATACCCTGGGAGCGCTCCAGGGCACGGGCATGCTCCTGCAACATTTCGGGATCCACCTTGAGCGAAAAGGCCGTCAGGAAGCAAAAGCTGATTTCGAGTCGGCCGAGTTCGCGTTCGCTGACACCACCGACCTTGGCAAATCGACTGTGCGAGTATGTCAGATCCTCCAGCGCCTTCATCGCGACGCGTAACCCGCCAAGCATGAGCCGGTGCACATTGCGACCGGTCACGGAAATGGTCTTTTCCTCAACAGCTAGTTTGTGCACGTAGAAGCTGCTGGCCAAGTATACGGCCGTGGACATGGGACAGAACCGGTGCAGGCGCATGAGGTAGTCGAACAGGGAAATGGGCGGCGGGTGTTTCGAATAAAATTTCCGAGCGATGGCGCCCTGCTGGATCTCAACCGCCTCTGCGTCTGCGCCGATGACGGCCGTAACGGACTCGTGCGGCGTTGCTTCCGGACTGCCGATGGACGTCTTGCGAAAAATGATGCCTTCAATACTGTCGTCTGACCCCCGCGACTTTGGTGGGGTGTGTGGCTGCTCCCCCTCACGCGCCGTTGTGCATTCCTCGCTTTGTTCTGACGACCCTCCTCCTCCTCCTCCTCCTCCTCCTCCTCCTCCTCCACTTCCACCTCCTCGTGTTTGTTGCGTCGCCGCGGCGGCGGACCACACGGGGGTCAAAGGTCGGCTGATCGGTGGTGTCGGGGGCACATCGCCGGTAATACGAACCAAGGTGTCAATACTGCGACATAGCAACTTCAAAGCGGCGACAGGACTCAGAGTAAAGATATCGAGGTCTGCGGCTGCTGGGATTTCGTCCGAGTCGCGACGTTGAGAGGATTCGTGCAGGTCGGCTCCAGTATCACATGCAGGGTCAGGAGCGGCAGGTAGCGTAGGTCGCGGAGTAGGCTCGTTGGAATGAGACGTAGCGTCTCCGCCGTGATACATGGTCACCGTGATAACTGTCAAAAAAAAAAAAATAATAGAGACGTAGAAAACGGGACAAAATTAAATAGTCTCGTCTTGTCACGTCCCCAGCCCAGGATTTGAATCAAGGCGCCCGTGAAGGCGATATGGAGGCTGTTGGGAGGGCCACCGCCACTGGCTCATCATCGACCGGCCCCAGCTGACGTCAAGTAGAAGCGGAACAAAAGTCACAACAAGAAGAATCAAGACTTGGAGCAGGAGAGGCAGGTAGGCAATATTTAAATAACAAAAGAAGAAAAGATGGCGGGAGAGAAAATAAAGGCAATAGACAGGGGGAGATCGGAGACGTCAAGATAAAAAAGAGGGAAATGAGCGGCAATAAAAGGAAAATTAAATCAATGGAGATGACAGGCCGAAGCAGGCAATGTGATAGGCAAACCCCGCAGAGCGACAGTAGTGACGGAGAAAAGTGATTGATCGATGGGGGATTTCCTTTCCCCTCGGCTCCAGTCCAAATCAAATAACTTAGCACCCTTGCCGTTCCCGGGCAGCAACGGGCAGCACTTTTTCAGGGATCAGCATCCAATATTGTCAACCCTTATCCTGCAAATTCTGCAAATCCATTTGCCTGTGATTTTCCATCGCTTTTTTTTTTTTCGACTTGTCTGTGTTGGGTTTTGCCGTCCTGTTTGAGCTGAGCACATATCTTAGTTGTCATTATTCAATCTCGCGCAGTTGTTTCCCCTCCCGCTCACGAGGTCATATGCCCACATGTTTCTCTTTTCTTTTCTTCCACTCAGTTTGCAGTGACTTACTGGGCGCGGGGTCTCGACCGGTCCAAATTCTGCCCCAATCATTTCGCAGCTCTCTTCCGCAACACAAGGTAGATGATTCTTCAGCAAGTTCGGCATATTTACCTCTTCCGCAATAATCTTCTCTTTCGTCCCTTTCTTTACTGCCGGTTGTTGCCCCTTTCCCCGCATCGGTCTTGCATCGGCTTATAAGCCGAGAACCCATGCCCTGGTAACTCTAGGTGGGTATATATGGCGTGGCAGGCTCTACACTGGAGACGTGTGGATCCACATGGGGAAGCAAAGTGTGTTGTCGTGCCGTGAGTGATGCCAACAGCTTCGAGCGTCGCTCACGATCCCTGGTGGTAGGTACAGTTGCATGTGCGCTTGCATGTTCACTTGTTCAACAACCTCTCAACGAATTTGCCTCAATGCATATGTTCAATTGCACAGCAAGACTGTAGAATGGAATGGCCCAAGATACAGAATACGCAACAGTAAATGATGGCAAGTATGGATCTTTGTATCTACTACCTACCTTACCTACCTGTATATTTGGGACGAGTGCATCAGGTAGTCGAGATGATGATCGTGTTGATGAGGTTGCCTGAATGTTACATCAGGTAGCGATACTTGTTAGTCATCAACGATGCTGTGGAGAAGGTCGTACCGATACCTCCTCCACATTTGCCCCAGATGGGCGATCAACGAGTCAACAAGAGTCTCAACTCACCAGGGTACCAAGAAGACAGATGAACATAAATCAAAAATAAATATGGTATATATTTATATGTATGATCTTAATGCATTTACTTTATACTGCAATAAATCCATTGAAACAGAATATATTGTCTTGTAAACAGTTGGAGTGTTTGATTTTCGGGCTTTTCTTTCTCGACTAATAGGACCCACCAAGTGGCCATGCTAATAATAAGATCAAGTCCCTGGCTGCGTAACCATCTCGCTCGTCTCGTTTCGGTTCCCTGGAATGGGTTCGGATGACAACTGGAATCCAACCCCATCACTACCACCAACCCGCCTCTCTCCATCCTGCAATATTGCAATCTCTTTTGATCCTTTTCTTTCTGCCTCACCGCTTTCTATCCGCCTAGCCTCTCACTGAGCCGTCACCTGGTCTAGACCTATTTTACCCCTGGCGACCATCTCCTCGACGAACCATACGTCTTTGAGGCTCTGCGCACTCTACTCGACACCACCTGACAATCATAATCGCCCTTTGAGGCACCGCAACAATGCTGTTCAAACCATTGGCCCTCTTGGCCGCCTTCGCCCCTCTCGCTGTCTTGGCTGATATCGAATTCACAAGTCCGGCAGCCGGACAGACTCTGCAGCCTGGAACCATCACCTTTACGTGGAAGGACTCGGGCGATTCCCCCTCAATCTCCGACCTGAAATCATATCAACTGTTTCTGTGTGCCGGCGGAAACACGGATGGCACCTATGTACGTTAAACGTATTATTCGCGATAGATACACCGAACAGTCTGAACTAATCCTCCCTACAACAGGACCAGCTAACCGTCTTGCAAACCAATGGAGACTTTAGCACTGGTAACAGCGCATCAGGGAGCATCGTGGCCAGCATTGGTGGTAGCACGGCTAATGCATAGTACGTTTGGCATCGCCAACCTACCTGCTTTTTTCTCAGTCGAATTCTGATTGATTTTGCCATATAGCTTCCTCAAGATGATCTCTGTCGCCACTGCCGGTGGCACAGTCGTCAACTTCTCCAAGCGATTCACGCTGAGCGGCATGACCGGCGTCTTCTCCGCCAACGCTCAGAGCGGCCTCAAAAATGTCCAGGGTACCAACGGTCCCGACACGCAAAACAACGTCAACAGTGCGGCCACCGCTACTCAGGACGATGGGCCATTTGGCGTTCCCTACACGCTGCAGACTGGCCTCACTCGCTACGCTCCCATGCAACCCCATCCCGGAACCAAGATCACTGCAAAGTCGGCAAAACCTCTGTGGCCTACCAGCTCCTATTCTATTGCCACGACTTTCATGGGTCCCCCCACCCAGCTTACTACTCTCACGCAAGCTGCTACTTATAGTTACTCGAGCAGAGAGAATCCTGTAAGTTCAGTTCCGCCCCCTCGCTTCCCAGCAAGCAGAAACACTAATGTGCGACTCTCTCTAGGCGTCGCCTGCAGCAAATCCATCAGATTCTTCGAATGATGACATGGCCAAGTTCCTCAACCGGTGGAAGGATTGATTTCAACGGGCGTGCTTTCCTCTTTGACGTACCTTTGATATCCGATCCGCCCATGGCCTCTTATTTCTGATTTTCCAATCTTAACACTTTGCCTCTTTGATCGTATTTTCCAGGTTTCATTTGATTTCTTACATGAATAGTTCTTGCATGTAAAAAAGAAGAAAAGAGCGCGAAAGGGAATGGCGTCGTGGCTGCACAAAGGCGTTTGTATAGTCTTATTTTTGTTCGCTGGAATCATTAGGGCCATAGATAGCTCTTGCGGTAATGAGTTGATAATACGCCAGTGGTTGCTACCCACAGCAATAAGCAATCTCTTTGATGCCTTGGTAATCGTAATTTTTTTCCTGATGTCTTCTGTGTTAAAAGATGCTTTAGTGTGTCGGATGTAGTATTTCGTTGTGCTGTCAAGTCAGGAGCTGCCGTCAGTGGCTGATTGGCGGTCCGTCTCGCCGGCGCGACGGCTATCAACGGGCCCGGTCCCCGCCCGGTCTCGTGTCACAACATTTACAGTTGGGTCAATCCAGCTCTTCTGTGGTAAATCTGATGCCCCGTACATTTACACGCTTCCCAATTCAATCAGCTTGGGATAATTTGTTGTTCTGCCCATCAAGGGTCTTGAGGAATACTTCTGCTACTACTTCTGCCCGCCGACTCGAGGCTCGCTCGCTGAGCCAGCTTACTACTCCGCTACGGCCTCCACTACCCCGCCGAGCTTCGTCCATTCCGAGATACGGATTCTCACCAATCACACCAGTCCACCAAAGTTTACTCAATCGTAGTGCATCTTTAAATTTTGCTTCGTCGCCGCTGCATCATAATATGGGCGGCGAATTCTCAATGGATACTATCGACTCTATCCTCGCCGGGAAATACCCCGCCAAAGCTCACGCTGAAAAGGTGGTAGACTATATTCGTAGGAAGAAGAATGCCAGTCTCAGTGGCGGCGTCATCTACCTTGAGGGTCAAAAGACAAGAATGCTGGAGGACAATGATGAGGCAGAACCGTTCCGGTATGCTATAGTCTCGGCCGGTTTCTCTCCTTATATTTCAATGCCGGCAGCTCCGTTCCATGACTGCTTTACTAAACATTCCCAGTCAACGCCGTAACTTTTACTATCTCAGCGGTGTCGATGTCCCGGACTGTTATCTTGCCTACGAAATCGATACCAAGAAGTTGACTCTTTTCATCCCGCCTATTGACCCCGACGATGTCATCTGGTCTGGACTGCCTTTGATGCCGGAAGAGGCCCTGAAGAAATACGATATCGATGAAGTGCAAACAATCGACCAAGTAAACCAGTACCTTAGCCATGTCGGGAGCAAACGTTCTCCTAAATCCGCCATCTTTGCTGTCCAGCAGCAAGTGTCTGATCATATCACCTTCCTTTCTTTTGACGAAAAGGACTTTGTCCTTCTCAAAGAGGCGTGCGAAGAGTCGCGCGTAGTCAAGGACGAATATGAGATTGCCCTCACCCGCAAGGCCAACCTGATTTCAGGTATCGCGCACACTGAAGTGCTTAAACATGTGAAACACAAGAAAAACGAGCAGGAGCTCATGGCCGTCTTTATCGAGCGATGCATTGCAAATGGGGCGCGCAAACAGTCATACGGCTGCATTGTAGCGTCCGGTGAGAACGCAGCGACATTGCACTACCAGCGCAATGACGAGGAACTCTCAAAACGATGGAACTTGCTACTTGATGCAGGTGGTGAATATCGCTGCTATACATCGGATATCACGCGCACGTTCCCCCTCCATGGCAAATTCAACAAGGAGAGTCGCCAGATTTACGACATCGTGCTGAAGATGCAGCTGGATTGCATTGCCATGCTGAAGGAAGGGGTGTGCTGGGATGATGTCCATGCTCATGCCCACAAGATTGCTATTGATGGATTGTTGAATATTGGGATCTTTAAGGGCTCAGCAGAAGAGATCTTCAAAGCGCGTACAAGTGTTGCTTTCTTCCCTCATGGTCTCGGCCACTACCTCGGCATGGACACACATGACACTGGCGGCCATGCAAACTATGCAGACAAGGATACCATGTTTAGGTATCTGAGAGTGAGAGGAACACTTCCTGCGGGAAGTATTATTACTGTTGAGCCAGGCGTACGTATCCCTCCATCCTTGGGATTCTTTTTCTTCGCCTCGTTATGTACAAGCTGACATCCCCAGATTTACTTCTGCCGCTTCATCATCGATCCATACCTTAAGAACCCCGACCATGCCAAGTACATTAACGAGGATGTGCTCAACGAATACTGGGACGTTGGCGGTGTACGGATAGAGGGTAAGCAATGAAACATCCCAACCCAACCCCTGATGCGAACCCCACTCCCCTTTGTCCCTATTCGCAATCACCCCCTAACTATATGTGAAGACTAATATACTAATTTACGATGCAGACAATCTCCTCATTACCAAGTCCGGATCCGAGAACCTTACAAATGCAATCAAGGATGTCGCGGAAATGGAGAAAATTATTAATAGCTAATTAAATGAGGCAGGTTTGGATTTTTCTTCCGAGTCTCATGGGGAGGGCAGAGTGTGAAAACCACAGGCAAATTCTTTTCAGATCGCTCACTAGCTATCAAATGTTCTCTATATCAATATCTATGGACTGCTATTTGAGCGAATAGGCAAATTAGATCTCTCTAGCACGGAATTCATCACTAGGTTTCTATGCAATCGCACTTTGTCAACTTCTTGCATGTCAGACGCGTCACCTACAGAAATTTTATGTGTAGCCTTCGAAAGGCTACTCATCGTGACTCGAGTAAACGCTATTGAGAGTCGTATATATGCAATTTATTGCATTCCGCATTCATGTCAAAGAATTACATTGGAAAGAGCTTGGAATTATATTCTCAAATTCCAAATATAATGGTACTTAAAGCCGACATCTACTTAAATTATCGGTCATATAGAATTTCTCTAAGATTTCAGCTTCTACTTGCTATTAATTTCACAACCTGCCGCAGTTGCGACGTGAAATGGAAGGAAGTTTGTAGTGACGTCTCCGTCAGGCCCTGCGTCTGGGGTTTAGCTCACCGCCCTCGGCAGAAGATCTGGCGAGCGGCAATGACCAGCAACTTAGGAATAAGCGCGAGGTTTTGTCGAGGCATATGAAGACAAGGCTCTACAGAGTATGCACGTTAATTAATGCATTAATGATTATTCATGACCAAAATTCATATCTCTGCTCATTGATGCGGCTATCTAAAACTTATTTACTGTCTTATGCTCGCATATAAATCCACTATGATATCAGAATTGGTTTGATTTCAAGAGTTTCAGCAGCTAATGGATGCGCGAAACATCACATTTCAGCGGGTTAGTTCATCAACTGATGCGCTCGAGTGCAAATGTATGCTGACCATACACTTTAGCTCAAGCCGAGCTGCGTAGCGCTCAGTCAAGCAGCTCTATATTTTGCATCGGGCCGGAATACTGCAAAGGACGTCACCCGAGCTCTCGAAGAGCTGCACCTTACGCTCGACCGAACAATTAGAGATGGTTGCGTGTTCGATGGAAAGCTTGCCGATTATACCTTTTTTCCGCTCTCCCACGTCCTTCGAGAAAGTCAGAAGCTTCCGAAACGCGCTCTCGAACTAGCGTTACTATGCCTCACTATCTTGATACAACATGGATGGAAATCGAATATGGAGCTTGGTCTAGCCAAGCAGCTTCTCATCCTACTGAGCTTTCTCGCCGGAGGTAATCCTTCAGTGACGAAGACGGACTTGCCGTCAGAGGAGATGCAGAGAGCAGCGTTTGACTGTCTCGGTAGTTTGTTCCAGGCCCTAGGGAAATCTGCGTCTGGCAAACGGCTGATTACTGATACGGAAATGGTCCCCGCTCTTGGACATACTGTAACGGTGTTGCTGGAGGGTGCAGAGGGTGGCACATCAGTTGATGTTCAACTAAGCGCTCTAAATGCGCTGGATAGCCTTGAGATGTGCATTTCTGATCGCGAAGCGCTGGCCAATTTCTTCCCAGGGATTGTCTCGTCTGTAACTAAAGTCTTGAACCCTACAACACAGATGAGGAGGCACTACAAGGTTCTACAGAATTCTTTGGATATTCTCTCCAGAATTCTCTTGGCAGTGGTAGGAGATGTTCATAATCGAACCATTATAGCCCAGATGAACTCCCCGGAGGCAGTGCATGCAACAGGAAACCAAAAGTCTCAACTCACGGCATCATGGCTTAAAGCAACAGCTGCACAAGTCAAAATGGCATTATCAAACGTCATCCGTCTGCGAAATCACGAGAGAGCAGAAGTGCGCGATTCTCTGCGAAATCTTTGTCTCACGGTCATCGAACAATGTCGGAAGTCATTGTCAGAATCGGCGTCTATGATGATGGAGACTCTTGTCACACTGGCTGGAAAGCAAGACGAGACTGACGCCTCTACCACTGCTGTTGCTGTCAAGCACGTAGCCTCGGCGGATGCTTCTGTCAAGGATATGATGAGGTCGAGCCTGCACAGCTGGGCCATTACTTTGCCTCGCATAATGTCGTCCAATGATGACAATGCCAAGCGGCGAGTAATTGGCCAAATATCAACAACATTTCGTATTCTTTCCGAGCTTGGGACAGAATCAAGCATAGTCGACAATACCCTAGCTTCAAATCTTCGGGACAGCATTTCTGCTGCTATACATATCTCTCCCACCGTTGCGGCCAGCGCGGCGGATGTCTCTGCTCCCTCGGTGTCGCTTGTATCCACCGAAAGTTTGCAGCGGAATAAAATATTTCAGCCAGTTTTGATGGGCCAGCGCGGCCAGCGGGAAACACTAACGGAACTCCAATCATTAGTTAGCCAGATCTCGACGTCCGAGTCGGCTCTCACCATTGCCGAGGATATGCTCAACCACATGTACAGCAGCTCTGGCGATGAACTCCTATCAAGCTTCTGGCTGTCTCTTGAGATCCTTCGAAACTCTGCATCTGGCGGTCTTGCCTTGGAAGACTTTATAGATTTTGGGCCTTCATCTAGTGTCAACTCCCGGACATCCCTCATCGAAGAACTCTACTCGTATTCGCTGTCTTGTTTGACAGACACTTCTGTCGAAAACGAACCAGACTGGAGACTTCAGGCACTCGCCGTGGAAAGCGTGGCTCTCCAAGCCGGCCAAATGAAGAAGGAATTCCGCGTTGAGCTTGTCGATGCTTTATACCCTCTCGTGCATCTAATTGGATCTTCAAATTCAGCTCTTCGAGAGCACGCCATCGCCTGTCTCGACATGGTTGCAGAAGCCTGCGAATATCACGACGCCAGCGACCTCCTCATTTCCAACGTTGACTACCTCGTCAACGCGATCGCACTGAAACTCAATACATTCGACATCTCCCCGCAAGCACCCCGAGTTCTTCTCATGATGATCAAACTCTCTGGCCCTTCTCTCATACCATATCTCGACGACCTCGTCGACTCCATTTTCGCCGCGCTCGACTGTTTCCACGGTTACCCCAAGCTCGTCGAGCTACTCTTCAACGTTCTCATTGCCATTGTAGAAGAAGGCTCAAAATCAGATATTCTGACTATTGAATCTGGAATCGAGCTTGACCAAGCCCTAGGAAGCGTCAGAAAACACTGGAGACCACGTAGTATTACCGAAGTTGCTACTCAACTACGGGAAGCCAAAGCGAAAAGGCTCCAGACTGGAACCTCTAATCTCGCCGACGACGTCGACGACACTCTTCCTGACAAACTCCCTCGCCGACCCTGGAAAGACTTATCCGAACGGCCCGCGGTCGAAGAAATCACTTCTGACGATGATGACGACGACGAAGACGACCTCGAAAAGCTCCTCAAACAATACCCTTCAGAACCTGAACCACCATCCTCCCCCTCAACCTTGGCCACCGCAGACGCCTCCTCCTCAAAGCAAGAACCCTCTCCGCAGGCAGCCGCCGCTGCACGTAGAGCCGACAAAACCATATCACTTCTCACATCCATCACGCGCCTTACACAGCACTACCTCACACAACCTGGCTCGACTTTCCGCGCTTCCCTCCTCCACCTCATAAGCATCTCCTCCAAGGCACTCGCCAAAGCATCCGCCATCGCCGCCGCGAACCCGCCTCCCAGCGACGCCGACAATGCAGATACCCAACAGGACATCTTCCTCCCCCTGATCAATGACATCTGGCCACCGCTTATCAAGCGTCTTTTTGATAAAGAACCCTTTGTCACAGAAGCCGCCGCAAAGGCTATCACCCAGCTGTGCGAGACCGCAGGCGATTTCCTCGCTGGCAGGATCGTTGACGAATGGGCCAATATCGCAAAACTCTGTCGTCGCTTTGCGCCGGACATGCCCACATCAATCTCAATCTCGTCTTCATCATCGTCTTCATCATCGCCTTCGTCATCGTTATCGTCATCTCTATCCATTCCCAATTCTGAGTCTTCTACCTTTTCACCGCCTCTACGTAGTCCTTCTACGAACGTCCACTCTTCCTCGATAACTACACCCGACCCCATTGTCGCACCACAACCACAACCACAGCCACTGCAATCTCCAGCCCAGCAAGCCACAAATAACAGCAAGTCCATCAATCCAATGCCGACGCAGCCCGCGCAGCCCACGCAGCCCACGCAGACTTCTACGATCTTGACTATCCGGCCCAAACCCTCTCCGGTCTCCAAACGGCCACAGCACTCCTCGGCGGCGGCAGCAGCACAACGACGGGCCGAAAAAGCAAACAACACCCGCGTGTGGAAAGCACTGCGATCCTTGCTCCTCCGCATCGTCGACCGCGTGCATCCCGCCGAAGAAGTCTGCGAGGAGATTCTCGACCTGCTCACGCCGGACTTGTTGCTCTCGCTTTCTGTTTCTTTTTCTGGTTCTGGTTCTGGTTCTGGTTCCGTTTCTGTTTCTGCAACAGACCCGACGCAAACGCAGACGCGGACAACTGGACAAACGCGAGCACCTGGACAAAGAGCTGCCGACTACGACGACCAGGACGAAAAGACAGTTCGAGAGCAAGTCAGAAGTGTCCTGGAGAGATGGAACCCGGACGCAGTGTGGTTACAGTTGGAAAGCTACACGAATGGGAAGTTTAGCGGGGTGGCGGTGGCGGTGGCGGAGGAGAAGGAGAAGAAGCAAGGCCCTGTTCTAGACGCGGTCACGTTTCGTCCGTTGGTGTTTTAGATAACGGGTATATAGGGCAAATGGGTAATTAGGTAACGTGTATGCCTGATGATGCACTAACAAGGTATATAGCGATAATTTTATGGATAAATCAAAATTTACGGGCATTGGCAAGAGGACACAGTGAGATTGACACAAGAGTGTATTAATTATATAAAAGATACATTAATGTCAATGTAAAATTTGTAAAATAAGGGAAAAAAAAGTATGAGTGGGATTGCATTAAGTTGAGATTCAAATATAAGTAATAATAGCATGACTAAGTAGTAAAAAGGGGGAGAAAAAATGTATCAATGTATGCGGAGCACATGAACACTCAGCTGGGTACCCTCTTGAGGCAAGTCTACTCAGACAAAGCAGTGTAATTCCATGCACCAGAGACAAACAATAGACCGAGCAGAGATTTGAGAGGGCAAAAAAAAAAAAAAACCGAACAATTTGGATGAGTAGAGGGAGGTGGACCCGTTCCAGGGTCTACCAATAGCCACGAGGCGACACTTGGGTCAAGCCACGGCGATTCTACTCGTCGTCGCTCTCCTCGTCGTCGTCGGATTCTTCGTCACTCTCGGCGTTCTCAAGCCATTCGAGGAACTTCTCGGACGACTTGCGAACCTTCTTGCTCGTGGCGATGTCGACGTATTTCTTGCTCGCCTTGGAGCCCCACGCCTTGATCACATCCTCGGAGATGAGATCCTCTTGGTAGTACACCATCAGGATGGCAGAGACCTGAGGAATGAGCTTGGCATTCTCCTTTCCAACGTAACGCTCAGTACCGCCGAGGAAGGCCTTCTCGTGCTTCTCAGAGGAAATCATCTGCATGATTTGGTTAGTCATTGAAGCGATTATAGGATTGAATGGTATATACGAACCTTCTTGAGCATACCAGCGCGCTTGGGAATCTGCTTGATGATGTTGTCGTTGAAGAGGGTTTGCGCCAAGACGGCCAGGGTACGGTGCTTGGACTCGATGCCGAGCTCCTTGGCCTTGACATAGACGTCAACATCGCTGACCTTGTCGACGCTGCCCTTGGCCTCGGCCTCGCTGAGAATCCAGCTGCCAAGCTCGTCATAGGCACTGCCGCCATTCTCGCCCTCGGCGTCTTCGCCAGCAGCGTCGTCAAAGACAAGAGCACGCTTGAGGTCGGTGGGCAACTCCTTGGCACGAGCCTTGACGGCCTCGGCCGACACGTCAACCGCCCACTCGTCATCTTTGATTTCCTTTTGGGCTTCAATCTCCTTGGCCTCAGCATTGATGCGGCGAGTGAGCTCATCGTCGCTTCCGGCTTCGACCTCGCCGTCGCCATCCTCCTCGGCATTGTCCGAGTTGTTGCTGTCACCAGGGCTGTTGCGGCCATTCTCCTCGGCGTCGCCATTCTCGCCACGCTTCTCGGCTCGGCGAGCCTTCTTGTCAGCCTTGGTCTTCTTTCCCTTCTTGGAAGGCTGGTTCTTGAGGATAAACGAGCTGAGCTTCAGCCGAAGGTCGACCTCGGAGCGTTCGCCACAAGCCTTGCAGTCGAGCAGAATGTAGCCATCCTTGATGACCACGTCCGTTTCAGGGTTTCTGCACTTCTTGCACAGGACGAACCTGCTAATGAAACCGTCAAGGTAGTCCTGGAGTTTCGCGGCGTCATGGGCACCATTAATGATCCATCTGTCGTCAGAAGGATTTGTGGTTGTCTGGGCACCCAATTCGAATCCAAAGTACTTGATGACGTCTACGATATATGGTCAGCAAGGGGGGTGCTTTTCCAATCCAGAGCGCAGGCTAACTCACAAGATGGGGGACGGCTGAGCGAGCCGGCGACGCTGCTCAGGTTGACGACGACGGTCTTGATGCCGTTACCCTTGCCCTCAATCTTGGACTGAAGGCGTTCCATCTTGTAACGGTAAAAGGGATCCTTGACCTCCTGGAGTGGGTACGTTAGCCATGCGTCTCGCAGGCGAGCAATCCATATGGCCTGGACATACCCTGGGAATGTTGACGGTAGCCATGGTTGCAGATATTTAAATTTTAAGGCAGGAGATGATTCTTCCTCAAGAAAAAGGGCTCGCGCGAGACCTCTGAAGTTTGAATCTGAAAAAGAAGCGACATGCGTATGTTGCAACGGTTTAATCGAAGCGTTGCAGTTGGAGCGGGCTAGCCGTTGGAGCTCGAGTAGTGGCTACAGGACTTCCGCGGTATGCGAAATGTTTGCTGCGTGAGCGGCGGTCGGAATCTTGAAGAATTTGCGTGGGACGAATACATAAACCGCAGTCTGTCTCTCGACTTCCTGGCGGTTGGGCGGCAGATTGACCGGCGAAAAGCGCACTGTGGCGAACGAGCAGGTTTCTGGACGAGCGCAATGATGAAAAACACTCAGTTGTCTGCTCGAGGAAATCGAGCAGGATCGACTTGAGATTCGAGGCAATAAGTCAAGAGCTTGTTGGACGCAGAGACGTGATCCCAAGAGTCCACAGTTGCAGGCAGGGACAAATTAAAGGTTTGGAAGAAGGACGGGGTGTGTGTGGGACGGGAGAGGAAGGAAGAAGAGAATTTTCGGGCGAGAGCGAGTAATAGCCTGGGCGGATTAACTGTTTAGCGTGCCGGTGTCTGATGTGTTGATGTGTACCGCCATTCGTATGGATCATAAGCTGTAAGTCCAAGTCACCCTTTCACCCTGTCTCTCCGCTTACTTCCCCCCATATACCCGAGACGTAAAAACCCCATTCTCAATCTCCGAGGATGTTATACTACGATACGTAGTAATACTGTATTCCCCGAAGGCCGAAAGAGAGAGAAAATGAGAGAAAGTACGGGGTACCCTGCATAGTTTGTTAATACGATGACAATGATGCAGACTGTGGTTCAGGGTGTCCATTCAAGGGTACTGACACATGGCCGTCAAGGCTCTGATGCTTGGCAAGTATCACAGTGAATTCCAAGATGCAGAAAGACCCCTGATTGTGGCTGTAAAACACGCGTCATTTGGCTGCATGAACCTCAATCCTCCGACATGCTGCATCCGAGAAGCCTTGTGCAGGCCTGCTTGAAATTCTTCTCTTTAGGCGACATTATTTGTCCTCCCCGTAAATGCCCTTTGCTTGCAATGAAATCACTTGGTCACTCATACTGTTTCCCACTCTACCCGTGGGCTACAAGGGGTGTGGCACATGCACATCAACGCGGATATAGAGGGAAAAGTTCCTCTGGCTGCGTATATATACATTCATGCTTTCCTCAGAACTCATCTCACCATAGCACCAATTCGAATGTATCATCTCTCACAGTGCTCAAGCTAGCGGGTATGCTGTCCACTCTCCTCCCCAAAACAGGACGCTCATCGAGATTTGATAGTGACCTTGAAGCCACTATACCAAGCGAGTCATTGGTCCACTCTCCGCTAGTAGCATCAACAACACGCCATCCAAGCCGCTCACTGGGAAGCCTGCTGGTTAGAAATCTTCAGAGGTGGAAATCCTCAGTCAAGGCAACGTGACACGATGCTTGTGGATTACTCCTTGTATTTGGTCACGGACTCTACTCCGGCCATCCTCAAAGGCCACAACTTGGTCGATGTCGTTGAAGCTGCGCTTCAAGGCGGTAAGTTTTAAAAGTACCCGTAAAGCAAGTGACCTCACCCACATCTAATCCGACTACAGGTGTCACAATAGTGCAATATCGCGACAAGACGAGCGACACAGCTGATTTAATTAAGACTGCTCGTGAAATTCATGAAGTCACTCTTCGCTATCAAGTCCCATTCCTCATCAATGACCGTGTGGATGTCGCTCTGGCGATTGGAGCTGAGGGTGTTCACGTGGGCCAAGATGACATGGGTATGTTGTTGCTTCTTGTTGTTCGGTTTTGATTTTTACAAGTATTTGAGCTTTCATCGATTTATCTCGTCCCTGTTTCCGAAGAAAAATCCCACAAAACTTCAATTAGGCGACTAACAGATTATGCAGATCTCGCGACTGTCCGCCGACTGATGGGCAAGAATGCTATCATCGGCGTCACTGCCTCTTCTATAGAGGAGGCGAGGACGGCGGCCAAGGGCGGTGCCGATTATCTAGGGTTAGGGACTTTATTCGCAACTCCAACGTGGGTCAACACATGCTAAGGAAGAAAAGAAAAACCCCTTATTGAATTTGCTTTCCTAATTTGTTTGATAGGAAGGAGAACACAAAGTCCATCGTTGGCACCGCGGGAATCAAGGAGATTCTGGCATCCCTATCTGCCATGGACGAGAAAGTCTCCACCGTAGGAATTGGCGGCGTTAATGCCTCAAATGCTCAACGAATTCTCTATCAGTCCAAGGCGGCGTTCAAGGGTCTTGATGGTCTCGCAGTGGTCAGCGCTATTGTCGGAGCAGATGACCCGAAGCAAGCTGCGTCTGACCTTAGAAGTCTAATTGGACGGCCTCCTGCTTTCGCTTCGTATGGAAACAAAAAGGTGAAGGATCTAAAAGTCCTCTTGCCAGATGTTCCGAATATCGCGAAGAAGGTTGCGGAGAATCAGCCTCTTTGCCATAACATGACGAATTTTGTTGTCCAAAATTTCGCCGCCAACATCGCTCTCTCCATGTAAGTCTCTATTGGTATTCGATTAATGCTCAATCGCTGAGATTGTATAATAGTGGTGCAAGCCCGATCATGTCAATGAACGGGGCCGAAGCACCTGACCTTGCCAAGCTGGGTGGCTCCTTGGTTATAAATATGGGCACCGTCACGCCCGAAGGCCTGAACAACTATCTGCAGGCTCTCAGAGCATATAATGGCCAGGGAGGGCCTGTTCTTTTCGATCCCGTTGGGGCTGGTGCCACAAGCCAACGCCGAAATGCAGTGAAAACCTTGATGGCCGGGGGCTATTTTGATGTCATCAAAGGCAACGAAGGCGAAATCACCACTGTGCTTGGAGAGAGCGTCATTCAACAACGTGGCGTTGACAGCGGCGCCAGTAAGCTCACCGGCATCGAAAAGGCAAAAATGGTCAAGAAGCTCGCGGCCAGAGAACGTGAGTAGGCTTCAAGGTCTTCAAGTCCATGGAACGTTCACTCATTTGCAATAGGCAACGTTGTCTTCATGACAGGCGTGACAGACTATATCAGCGATGGCGATCGAACCTTTGCAATCAGTAGGTGATCCTGATGACTAGTGCTTCGGGCAAAGTTTGCTAACAGCTTGCTTCTTCAGAGAATGGTCATGAGTAAGTCTATAAATTGACGCCCCAAGGATGAGAAGACACATTGCATAGCTAACATATTGTCCCAGATATCTTGGCTATGTCACAGGAGTAAGTTCCAGTTCAGCTTTCCTTCTTTCCCCGGCTTTATAATCCATACTAATTCCATCTAGACTGGTTGCACACTTGGAACAACCGTTGCGGCATTTCTCGCGGTTCACCGCGAGGACAAGCTGCTTGCTGCTCTGGCAGGGATCGTGATGTACGAGATTGCTGCTGAACGTGCTGCCGCCCGCGAGAACGTGCATGGGCCGGGAAGCTTTGTTCCTGCTCTCCTGGACGAATTGTTCTGCCTTCAAAAGCAGTCGTTCATTGGCCAAAACGGCTGGTTGGCTGCAGCAAAGGTTGAAGAAGTTAATGTCTAACGATGCGACCAAGCTTGGAAAAGCCTGCTCATGACATTCACGATTTGTTTAAAAGTCTGCTAGAACTTCTTCATTTTAATATCCAGACCAATCATCATTTAGATTATTTATTGAGATCAAATACTCCGTACGCTGTCAAGGCTATGACCCTTCTATCCGACGAGTGACATTGGTACTGGTACGTAGTGGGACTGAAACGCCTTCAGGCAACTGCGACCCTTGCGTAACCGTGTGGGATTAGGAGGGAAAGCAGGGCCCTTTAAGCGACTCTCGCCCCACTGAACCGTTCGTCGATCCCTAAGCCACAGCGGCATGGGTTGATTATATAACTACGGCACTAGCCTATCTTATGGATAACCAATTGATGGGCTTCTGAATCAATGAGATATTCATGCTTCATCCCCACTGACTCTTCACCAGGTTCATTTACTGGTTTGCTACAAAGTATATTATTCTTTCAATTGTTCCAACGACGTAAGGGATCAATTCCACCGTCTCAGCGTTTACTGGAACCCATAACTCCAGCGTCTCTTTGTGAGGAATTCTCAGCCTAAAGAGTTAAGATTAATTAGTCCTCCCTTGCTCTTCATTACTCCGCAGCGGTTATCATCGAGAACCTTTTTGTCGACGTTTCTTCCACAGCCTCGCCATCTTACTGCTTCCATATAATCTTCTGAAGGACTGATTAGAAGTCCTGTTTCATAAGACTCGCTGCTTCAATTTGCCCAAACGATTACTCGGGTGCATCTTCTTGCTGAAGCCGACTTGCCATATTCGTCTCACGTCATTATCGTTTCGGGCACTCCCCTTAATCCGGGTCAATTTCAAACACTTCTACATAAAGGTTGTGACCAGAATCCAAACGAGAAGATTGTCTCCGCTCTGGTTCGATATATAGCGACCAATACCCGCAAAATCGCCTCCCCACCGCCTCAATCGAATCTCGAAAGGCCCAGAGCGTGTCTTTATCCCAAAGTTGTTTTGGCGGCTTCGCCGCCTATACGGCCTGGGTTGGAGGAGGGAAGCGAGTGGAGTGGCGGCTTGAATCTTACCAGGAAGTATTGCACCGGAACCAGAAGGGATAACTGAAGTGGATTTGCGAGGCTGCAGACTCTAGCAATTACGATTATGATGGATCCGCAATTAATTTTTGCCACTCGAGATGACCTCTGGCGTGTACACGCTGAGATCAATTCCATTTATAACGTTCAAGCTGAACATGCCGATAGACTGATGCGCCTGGAACGACGTCAGGAGGAAGATGCTCGGCTGAAATCCGTTTGGGGAGCTTCTTCGCCATTTCCAGGGATATTGAGTGGCACGCCTCAGCAGGGTAAGGCAAATTCATTACCCCAGACCTGTCTGAAGCTAATATACGTGTCTCCAGAGTCAGTGTCTAACCCAGCCGCCGAAGCATTCAGCAGATTCAACGAGAGAAACCCCTCGAATCTGCTAGGCGGCTTACATCTGGATAATGATGACGAATCGAGGCGCGTGATGTCAAGGGCCAATAGCGTCAGATTCGACGAAAGTGCGATGCAGAATCAATGGGCCCAAGGAGGACGATCTTCTGCCGCCGAGCCTTTGTCCTCCCGATTAAGAAGTGGTCTTGGGACTCTGCCAATGACGGAGAGGTCGGCTTCTCATAAATCTGATGGACGGCAAAGCTCAGCTGGCTTCTCTGTCCATTCAGCACAATCTACCCATTCAGGTCGCGAAAGCAATCTCGGCCTTGACGCAGGCTCCGCACTGGGCGCAACGGTCGGTACTCCTCTAGGGACTTCTGGTCCGCCGCCTGGACTCTTTGCTTTGGGGCCTGTTCCATCCATCATTCGATGCTGGCTGAGCACCGAATTTTCGCATGATTCTCTTCTTTATGCGGCCGTGTGTACGGGCTCGTACTCTTCGTTGGTCGACCGGCGGTTGGTCAAGCAACTGCAACTTGAAAGCCACATTCAGCAACACAGTCATGGTGAGGAGAAAATTCGAATGCCGGTCTACCTCCCCGAAGCAATTGTGCAGCAACCTTCAACCGGCGTCACCAGTCCAGAGCCGCAGGTTCCGACCTTCATCACCGAGTTTACAATCGTTGAAAATCTTGGGCGCTCCGTCGAGTCTGGCGCCATCCAAGTGATTCTGGGCAGTGATTTCCTCCGATTCCACAATGCTGACATTCTTTTTTCCCAAAATGCTATCAGCCTCTTCGATCACGATCGAAACAAATTGTCTGTACCAATGGTTCGACCTGAGGATGAGTCCACCTTCAAAAGACTGGCGACAGTTAGTTCTCCGATCACCAGCGGCATTGAAATGTCAGACCGATCATCTAAGGACGAATACTTTTCGCATGGTCGTCGCTCTCGCCTTCAGTCCCCAGTTTCGAGGGTCGCCTCTCCAAATGATCCGGTAAAAGGAGATTGGAGACGCCCCGCGTCTTCTTCAGCTACGAGACCTCCCGCAGAGATAACTCGAGCAGAGGTTGATAAGAAAAGTCAAACTGAGGATATTGGTGTCATTGGTGACAGCAAGCGAGCAAAGGTATCTACGGATCAGTCCAGGGACGCTGAAAACGCTCCCTTGGATGAACCATCCGGAGAACTGAGTGGCTTGCAAGTTAGCCCTGCCAATGATACGTGGGGTTCTTGGAGACGTGACCAGGCGCAGGATACGGGACCGTCGACGGGTAGCTACCAAGCTGTGCCTTCTGGTCGGGGAATGAAGGTACTCAAGCCTCTCAAGTCTACTGCGGGCGCTCCATCGAGGTCATACTCTGGAAGTTTATCAGCGATTGCTGGCCCAGAAGGTAGCGAAGCTCGTCGAAGAGTTTTGCAGGCAAGCGATGTCAATGCTGTGGAAGACCGCCTCTCACGTGGAAATTGGCGTTCGAGCTCTGTTGACATGCGCAATGCATCTCAGACACCCTCCACCTCTTCCGCTGGCACTGCCAAGCCCCGATCTGCTAACCCAATCGGTGGCGCTACAGCATTTGGCTGGTTGAATTCCGGGCAGCGTAAACAGGCTGCAACCGGGGAGTAAAGGCTGGTCCTCAGTTGAGAAAGGAACCTGGCACGTGAGATAGTATTCATATTGGTCCCAGCTTCCAGAAACATGCAGGGCTGTCGTCCTTGCACATGAAAGCTGAGTTGCTGTGTTAAACTGTCTTGATATTCATGTGCCTGCATTGTATGTTTATTGTAATGACTTGCTCTGACCACAAGCGCTTACTGAAGCACGAGTCAAGAGATTAAGCAGTTACGCCACGAGCGTGTCTGCTGAAATGCCAGTATATGTATTTGCACAGCTGTAATCCATTGTAATCTCTCAGACCTCCATGGAAAATGAGCCATTTGCATATTAGACTGTACGTAGGAAACTGCTTGACACTCTGCGTCGTCTCAAAATTCCTTTTCTCCGACGACAACAAAAACAATAAACAACGAATCATATCTTGCACAGCGTCTCCAGATTCGACCTCGTACTATCCTTTGTCTCCTTGACCAGCCCCGCAATGCCCTTGAATCTATAGTGTAACACAATGGTCAGCTTTTCCTTTTTCTTTTTCTTTCTTTTCCCGTTGTACACTGGCTCGATACACCACTCAAGACCTCAATAGCGGCAAACAAAAAGAAAGAGCCAGACGATGGAAGGAAATTAAAAAAAAGAGGGGTCGCGGGAAGGATGGAAAGAAGGGAGGGAGGGATGGGAAGGAAGTAATAAAATAAATAAATACATACTCTTTAATCCCCGCATCACCCATACACTCATACAAGACAGACTCACTCGTCGTCACCACCACACCCTCACTCCTCAATCTCGCCAGCGCAAGCGGTATTTCCTCTTTGTTGCAACTACTCACCCCATCGGCAAGCACGTACACTTTGTGTCCGTGCGCGAGCAGATCCAGCGCCGTCTGCGTCACGCAGATGTGGCTCTCGATGCCCACGATAATCACCTCGGACCGTGCCGCCAGCCGCTCCGCAATCCCAGGCACGTACATGCTGAATGCCGTCTTGTCCACGGGAGGCACCACCAGCTCGATTTGGTTGGTCTCTATGGAAGGCTGAAAGTCTTTGATGTCCGACGTTGACGTTGAGGTTGAGCCTGAGGTTGAGCCTGGGGCTGCACCTGGGAGTCCCAGCTCCGAACATAGTCCGCCCAACCGCGCGGCGTTCTGCGTCGTGGCGTAGACGGGGATCCGCAGGACTTGGCTCGCTTTGAGCATCTTCTGGGCCGTAGAGATGACCCGTGGGAATTCCCAGATGGCTGGGCGGAATTTTTCTTGGATGTCGCATATACTAGATTTTGTGAGGGGATTATATTAGTTTCATGGTCTTTTTCTTTTTTTTTGTCTATGACTTCTTCTAGTTTCTTTTTTGATTTTGTATCATTTTCTTCATATCATTCTTTTCTTGGCATTCTCTCATTTTTGGAAGTTGAACAAAGATATAAGGATGAAGTTGGGAAAGACGTACAATAGAGCAGGTTTAACTGTTACGTGCACGTTAGCTTCCAACTGAATGTGCCTTTAGTGGAGTAAGGGAGGGGAAAGAGTAATATGAGGCTGGTGATTCATTGCGCGCGCAGGTCTAGAAAGGTGTTATGCGGAAGAGACTGTTTTTAACTGGAAAAACAGAAGGTCCAGACAAGATGGAAAATAAAATTCAACCAAGATAAATAATGAGAGCTTAAGGGTCTTGTTGTTTTTATGGTTTCAACGAAAGTCAAAGTCAAGAAAGCGCAACACATGAAGGCAAAGAAGGTACAGAGTTAAAAGTCAATCACTTGATGCGTTGATGCTGAACTAAAACGAAAAAGCTCGACACTCACGCAGTCGTCGTGCTGGTCCGGCCATATTTGACATTCAGGTCCTGATTATTGTATATATGGTAAATAGTATATAGTATAGTATTTCAGGCCAGCAGTTATGTGACGATGATGAATCACGCGAGCTCAACTAGATCAGTCGTGTTGGACTTTTCACTTGTCTTATGGTGGTTTTTGTTTTAAAATAAAAGAACAAGTGTGAAGACAATTGGAAAGAGTAATTGGATTTGAAGGCAAATGAAAAAGGAAGAAGATGATTACAGTTGATCCAAGTATAATCCGTGGAATTGCTGGCTGGTTGCTGGACAATTGACATAGCGGTTGGGAAAGCTACTATAACCTACGACCGAGGACGTGATTGCGGGGGCGGGGCCAAGGGTAGTCGGGTAGACGGACCTGCGGAGTACATCCGACGCAGCCAAGACATTAGTTTGGTGGCAGGCTGGTGGTGGTCTTTTGTGCGCCAATCTCGATTTTGTTGGCTTTATACGTCAGAGAAAGAGGAGAGGAGAAAACTTGATGAATTAGGGGGGAATTAAGTGGAATTTATAGATATGCAGAGTTGGCATTCTCTGTCAATGTCCTTTTGAACAAATAGTATCTATGTCATGCAAGCTTGATTTATCCCGAAATTTCCTATTTTTTTTTATAGAAAAAAGGAGAAAGCCAGATAAAAATTCGTACAATAGCTATCGTGGCAAATCATGCTGTTTTGTATGCTAGCGGTCAATGACTATTCGAGTTTAGAAGAAATGGGGATCATCATGATATACAATACTTCGGGAGAATATGAGGAAATTACAATTTGATAGTGCGCACGCTCATGCAGTCACTAAATACATGTAGGAATAAAAATGTAAATCCACCGAGCCACGAGCCACGAGCCGTGGTCTATTTCCTTGATGACGCCGCCGCTGCTGAATAAACGCCATGGTATATGTATATCAACCCAAAGCCTTGGACAGCCATGCACAAAATTCCAATCCTTGTCCATCAAAATAACCCGAGAGACGTCCTATGAAAAATCAACCCGTAATGCTAGACTATGCGCTGAAATAATCGTCGATGCTGTGCAGTGTAGGTATAAATATGGAAAAGCTTTCCGAACAAAACTCCATGGTTTCTATTCTGTCGATTGCAATGCCTCCACTGCCTTCGATACTTCCTCGGTTGCAACCTTTTTCCAACTATCGCGGGCCTCTTGATCAAGAAAGGACACATCTCCAGCTTTGTCATACAGCATCCGAGATATATTCCGATTTATGTCGGTGAATTGGTCCTTTGATATCTCGTTCTTGTGGTAGTGAGGTTTAAGCGCCGCGCTGACCATCTTTTGTAAGTCGGCCTTTGCCGATAGCGAGATCGCTGGTCGAGTGGGAGAGCCATCTTTTGAGCGAGATGGGCTAGAAGGTGGGGATGAGGCTGGCGCGGGGCGGGAGGGACGGACCTTGCCGCGTGATCGATCAGTGGACGTTTCATGGTTTGAGCCTGAACCATCGAGAGGGGGCAAGCGCGGCGGAGAAAATTCGGCAGGAATAAAGACTGGCTCAATCTTCGAAGTCAAGGGGAGCGGAGAACCAGGTCTTGTATTCGGAAATGGCGGAGGAGTAGCTGAGAGTGCCCGGGGTGACGGGTGGTTGGAGCCAGTCGGTGAAGCCCCAGGCGAGGAGATGCGAGGAGATGCATGGTCGTTATTCGCAGCAGGCCATTGTCCGGCACGAAATGAACTCTCCTCGTTAGGTGCTGATGAGCTTTCAACTTCTTTCAAGAGCGACTGCAAGAAGCTCGGTCCACTCCCATTCGCCTCGGATCCTGTTCTGGTAGTCTGACCAGCCGGCACATGGTGTTCGCCTGGACGTCGTCCAGAACTGGATCCTTCTCCAGCAGTGTCTTGAAAGGCTTCGTTGAGTTCCTGGTTGCGACGCGTTCGAGGTCTCTTAAGTTTTCGTTCCGGCTCAGGGACAGGATCTGGCTCCGCAGGCGATGCAGTCGCTGACTTTCGCTTTCGACTTGCTGGATTTCGACCAGCAGAAGATGGTGTAGTTTGGATTTCCTTGGCCTTTTCAAAAGCATTCCAAGCACGTAGCTCGTCCTGAGACTCGGGCTCTGGAGGTTCGGGTCGCGGTCGGCCACCCCGAATCTCGAGAAGCGTGTTTGCTGTGTCGCGGAATCGAGCAGCACCTCCTTGCCTTTCCGCTACACGTAGTCGACGTTCCCATTCTCGAAACTCACGCTCCTGTTCTCTTTCTCTCGCACGACGAGAACTAGAATGGTGCACATCGTCAAATGGGAAATCGAGATCAATATTTAATCTGTCCCAAACAGATTGCCAGACCCGAGCCCAACTTGAGGAGGTAATCTGATTTCTGTTTCGAAACCGTCTTCGCTGGCCGATGGTTCGGCGATCTGCAGGATGATGGGCGCTTCGAGTAGGAGAGACTCCCGGATCAGATTCTGCAATAGCTCGCGATATAGCACAAGGCTCGCAGTACCAGTGACCCGCGGGAACTTCACGTCCCAAACCAGCACAATATGTATGGCAGGCATTGCTGCAGGCATCACAAAGCAGAAGCAGTTCTTCCTCGCTGTCATCACCGCAAACGATACAAGGAGCTGAATCGGAATCGTCTTCTTCCTCAATAAGCATCGACGGGTCAATCTCCGCCACTTGAGTACGGTCCTGAACGGGATATGACGATATCACAGGGCCTATGTTTTTATTAGATCTCAGTTATTTCATGTTCGAGCGACCAACGCTTACCTCCAACTGTTTGAACAAGTTCAACGGAATTGAAGCTCCGACGACATATTGGACAACTGTTCGCTCGTTCCACCCATGGTCTTAGGCACTCATCATGAAGGTTGTGTCCGCAAGGGAGAAGATGAGCAATAAGAACGCGTTCGCCTTGCTGAGGAGAAGCAACCTTTGCCTTAGGGGGAACTGCTTCATCTGAGCTAGGGGAGCTGATACGAGCGGCGAGCGGCGGGAGTTCATCCCGCTCAGCTTCAAGATCACCTAAGCAAACGATACAAGTATCGGATGTTTCGGACATCTCTGGAGTTAAAGAGGAGAAATTTTATCCGGAAACAGCGTTGCGTCTGCATGAAGCCCGGATGAATCGTCGACGAGACGTCTTCGAGATGTAAAGAGATGATCAACTATGTGGGGTGGGAAGCGAGTTTTGTATCACTGCGTAAGTATTGCGCTAAACCTATATTGGTAAGCAGCTTAACGAGTTGGCGGCTTTGGCCGCGCCGCTTTGCCCTTCACCGCTCGTGCCTCGGTGACGATAATTCAATGCATAAGACGCATCAGAGATTGTCTAATCCGATGTGAATAATGAGGGAACGTCTAGATTCGAATGGTCATCGAGAAATATCATATTTTCGAAGCCGCTCTAATACTTGTCAGCGATGCAGGTAGGAATTCAAATTGTGCTTTTCGTGCTCATATCTCTAGAGCGGTCTTTGAGATGGAACCGTTCCTATGATATTCCAGAACGGATTAGCGGCCGCAGAATGGTAAAGCAATGCAAATGGCCGTCAGAAGATGATATATACTATAGATCGCAGTAAATTTGGGAAATGAAACGCCGGGGGTACTCGAGAAACTCTACTCGCAAAAAAAGGCGAACTGTATGAATCGACATATATTTCTTTGGCCAATGAGTTCACGAAGGAATAATCAAGTGGAGTCGACATATGCGTGATAACCCGGTTTCATTGGTAGACGTGAATGTGCTATGGAGCTATCGAGGACCGTGTCGACGATCGTCACACAAAAAAAGGATATCCCGTCCCAGCACGATAATTTCACACCTCCCAATTCATAAACAAAATTTTTTGTTTAAACCTCAGCAATCTCCCTCAGACGACGGATGGTGGAGCGGGAAGCAGCGGCGGCGGGGGTTCTACAAGCGGTCAGTCTTGGCCATGTCGGAAGGTTTCGCAATGTGGATCGAATCCGGAGACGGAAAAACGTACGAGACGGTCCAGGCACCACCAGCAACAGTCTTCTTGCAAGACTTGCAGTCCCAGATACCGACAGCCTGGCGCTTGACGGTGACCTTTCCGCAGAAGGTGCAGGTGTACCGGGCGTGCTGGGTGATTTCCATCTTCTTCACCTGCTTACGGAGGGAGGCACCATATCTATATTCGTGGAAAAATGTACGTCAGCTTCGATTCGTCGTTTTCGTCATGTAAATCGTCGTTGAATATCTGATCCGTTCGTGGTTTTCGATATGCGCAGAGGAGTGTTGCGTTTCAGTCATACCTGGTACCGTATTTACCGGTCACGCCGACCTCTGGAAAATCATGTTAATATCATATCCCCAAGGATAATCCTGAATTCATCGAACAACATACTCTTGGTGCGCTTCGTCATCTTGGCTAATTTGATATAGTCGAGGGTTGACGAGGAGACTACTATCGCAAGGTTGAGATGCGATTCAAGTCGCCCTGAGTGGGATCCTCGCTTAACCCATTCTTGGCGGATAGTGTGCCCTAGGGCTGGCGAATATTTCTTGAGGGAACCCAAAAAAGGCTCGGAAGAGTACGTACCTTGCTGGTATCTGAGCCGCGAAACTCGGCAATTTTGTGTTGCTAAAACAGCACAGACCAGCCCTACGCGGGGCGTTTGACGTAACCAGAGCTGCCTGGTCATGACAGAGGTCGGACTGCAGGGGTCAATTTCAACCTCATTTAGACAGAGCGATCCCTTAGATCTCGGAGTAAGGACACAAAGGGGGAAATTGTTCGCCGGAAAAGCTACGAAAGGAGAAGGAAAGCCTTCAACTAGGGATGATCTGGTCTAGTAATATCACCGTATTCTTAGAAATCAATAGTATGGTGTTAGCTGCTCAAGTGTTATTTTATATAAGACCGTGGCACCGCTTTTTTGGTCTGTGGCCATCAAAAGCGATCAAGTTCAATCCTCACGGTGCAATCTTGCTTTGACACTATGGAAATTGCTTCACAAGACCGCGTATATGAACTTGTACTGTTCGGTGCGACAGGATACACTGGCCAAAAATGTGCTGAACATATCACGACTCACCTCCCATCCAATCTCAAATGGGCCATAGCCGGGCGCTCAGCGAGCAAACTCGAGGCGTTGGCATCAAGGCTTTCGACGTTGAACCCTGACCGGGTCCAGCCAGGTAACATCTTTTGCATTTTCTATCTTCGAATTTCCCGAGAAGTGCATCTAATAGTATCTGAGCTTGTCCGCAGACATCCAAGTTACTGAATTGAAACGCGAAGACTTAGATTCTCTGGCGCGAAAAACGAAGCTAGTCATAAATACCGTAGGTCCATATCACATCTATGGCACGCCAGTTGTAGAGGCTTGTGCAATTAATGGCACTCATTATTTGGACGTGTAAGGTCATTGCCTGCCTTCTCGAGGAGACTTGTACTGACTTGACCCAGTACTGGTGAAAGCGTTTGGGTCCTGGAGATAGTTCAAAAATACCATGAAAAAGCTAAAGCCAGTGGAGCAATAGTGCGTTATACAGTATTGTGGACTCTCATCAATACTGACTATGACACCAGATAATACCTGAAATTGGAATTGAGAGCGCTCCGGCGGACTTATTGACCTGGTCCCTTGCAACGGTTATCAGGGAACATGCGTCAGCAAGCTTGAAAGAACTGATATACTCACTCCATAGCATATCGTAAGCACTTCGCTCATCTTACGCACGATAAGTGCTAACCAAACCCAGAGGTTCTCTCAGCGGTGGGACTCTTTCAACCATATTGAACCTGGCCGATCGATACAGCGTGACGGAGTTACACGAGGCAACAAAGCCTTGGGCATTGTCTCCAGTACCTGGCCATCCTTCCAGTCATGCGCCATCTCTAACAGAGAGAATCCTCGGTGTACGATATGTTCCCGACTTAGGAGTACTGACGACATCACCTCAAGGTACAGCTGATCGGGTCATTGTTCACCGCAGCTGGGGCTTGATGGGCGGCGGTAGCTTTTATGGGCCAAAATTTTATTTCAGCGGATATATGCGAACCAGGAATACCATTACTGGCGCAATAATTAGAATTGCGTTCGCTCTAGGCTTCTTCTGCCTGTTGTTCCCTCCTATCCGTTGGCTTCTTAAAAGGCTAGTATATGAGCCTGGACAAGGCGATTCGAGAGAGTGAGTTATCCCAAAATGGAACACTTTTATGGATCCTCTCGGTTGACATGATGCAGCGTTTCTGCAAGAGACCATATCGAATATAGAGCAATGGGTATTGCGGATCAGGCTGATCCCAACCCTCAACGCGCAATTGCTCGAATGCGATATGACGGTGGGAATTATCATGTTAGCGGAATATTCCTCGCACAGGCTGCAATCACAATCCTTCGAGAAGACACACTTGCAAAAAAGTTGGGAGGAGGGATTTTAACCCCGGCTACGCTCGGTCAAGCGTTTATCGACAATTTGAAAAAGGCTGGCGTTACTTTTGAAACGAGAGTTCTCCCTCACTGAACCCCGCTGGATTTTTAGGAGGCTCGGCTGGATCCCTGTACTGATATTCTCTGATCGTCTTTGTACTCTAGCTCTTTTTGCGGCGCTCACAACAGAGCGCCATTACCAAATTGAAGGTGTAAATTAGCAAACTCACATGATGACTTTTGAAGTAGTTCGGTATGATCGTACTGAAATACAAATTTCGGCTTCGTATGTGGGGTGCCCCAAGCGCTCTCTACAGCACATGAGGGGCTATTTCTAATGAGCAGACAGGAAGAGATTAATCCATTCAGAGATCGTAATTAAGCTGAGAAGCTTGCTTCAAAGCTCAATGTTGTTTTATAGCTATGCTTGACATGTATGTCCTAAGGTTGAGATAAGAAACGCTTCTGCGAACAACATGTTTATTTTCCTTAGATGCGCAAATCGGAGTCGGTTAATTTTGCGGACAACAAGTGCGTGAAAATGCAACGCAATCACTTTCACAGAACTTCCATGAAACTCCTTCTCGGATATGACGAAAAGGAAATGCAGAAATACAAGATGGAGAAATTCGCTGGCTCCCAAACGCCTCGCTTCCTGGTCCCCTTTCCCCACTTTTATCAAATCAGCCAAAAAACGAACCGTAGGTCTCATGATGCGTGTAAAAGCGTTTCAGAAGCAATGGAGATGCAAAGGTTTAAAGTTGAACGGAAAACAAGTTGTACAAAGGACTGAAGACGGAGGGCACTAATAAATGACAGTGTCCTCTTCGGCTTCAAGAACCACCTCGCCAGCGTCATCGCCATTCTCTTTCGCCGCATCGTGCTCCGATACAGGTGCATGTGAAGGCTCAGTAGGCGGAGGGTGGTGTATCTGATGAGCGGTGTCTGCAGCACCGTCACCCTGAGGTCTTGCATCTTCTGTTTGATTAGTATTTGGAATCGAAGATTCACCCTGTTCGATAGGTGGTTTGTGGTCTTCATCCTGTTTCTTCTCGTCGTTGCCGTTGATCTTATTAACGTCTGTGTCTGGATTGGATTGCCGGCGGTCTTCGAATTCTTTGAGTTCTCGTTGTATTACCTCCTCAGCTTCCTCAACCTGCTTCTTGATTCGATCTTCGTCTCCTGGTAGTAACTCCCATGGCTTGTAGTACTGATTTCTTATTAGTGCCAGCCTAGTAACGGAAAGGGAGCTCGAGATTCATTACCAATCGCGGTTCTGTGTCGGTATAGAGAAAATGCGCCATGGCGAGAAGATTTGAATGACGTATTCGCATCTGTATGGAATATAAACAAGAGCCTCTTTACCGCGAGACGGATATACATACGGACTGTTCAGCGAACTTGACCTGCTCTCGTTGCCTTACCACGGTGAGTTCTTCTAACCGCTTCTTTCTCAGTTCATCATATTCTTCGTCTTGAACTCGCAGCTTAGCCTGTTGCTTTTTTTCAATATCTGCACGACGCCTCTGGACTTTGCTCGGTGAATTCTGATTAAGGGCGCCGAGAAGCGCTCCAAAAAGTCTCTGGCCACGCTTGCGTTCTTCAGCTTGCCCGCCTTTCCTCCGCTCTTCTCGTCTTGCATCCGTTGCGTGATGAGGCGAGGTCCGATCACCCTGTGTGCTGTTTCTTCTGTCGTCCTCGAAACGTGGTCGTTTTGAATCGCCTTCAGAAATCGAAGATTGTCGACGCTTTGCAGCTCCTGGGGGAGAGTGCGGAGGCTCCTCGGCCTCAGGAAGCACGACGGCAGATGCGATTGGTCTTGAGAAAACGCCGTTAGCAGAAGCTCAAGACGATAAGAGGTATCTACTGACCCGTGGGAATCCGACATTGCGAAGCTCTTCCGAAGACCACACCCTTTCAATCGTACCTACGTTGCTGTAGATGCGGAATTTGGTCCCTTTTCGCCGCAAGAAACTCGCAGGAAACTAAGCTACCCACATGGGATCCAGTTCGCGGTCTCTATCAGCCATGGCTTGCTCCGATTACGCTAGTCCGTTATAGGATGAGCGTGGATCTGACAAAGCGCGACTCTTTCGGATACCCTACCACTCTACCAGAAATCACTATCATCTTCTATTTTGCTCTCTAATACCTTTACATTCGCCACAAACTCGACTTTGAACATAAATTACCTTGCAAAGAGCGTGTTTCAGCTTCAATTTTACATTTTGACGTTGTTACAAGATGTCTCGCCATCACCCGTAAGTTCCCCCTCAAATATATTCCCTGTAAAGCTTGCGCATAGCTAACTGATCAGTGATCTCGTAATGTGCCGCAAGCAATCTGGCATTGCTATCGGACGGCTCTGCGACAAATGTGACGGCAAGTGTCCTGTATGCGATAGCTACGTGCGCCCAACTACTCTCGTACGCATATGCGATGAGTGCTCCTTTGGAAATTATCAGAACAAGTGTGTTGTGTGCGGCGGGGAGGTGAGTTACGCTCGTTCTTCCTAAAATCTTTCGTGATAACTGACATTCTCCTTCTAGGGTATATCTGATGCCTTCTATTGCTTCGAGTGCACAAGATTAGAAAAGGATCGAGACGGGTGCCCGAAAATTATAAACCTAGGAAGTTCGAGGACAGATCTGTTCTACCAGAAAAAGAATTTCAGGAATCATTAGTATTTCTCGGCCGCTGGGTTATCCTCCAGTGGGTAACAGCGGCTGGATATCAAAAGTCGACTTCATCTGCTTGGTTGCTTGGTCTTAATGGGGTTCAGACAATGCAAAAAAATTGGTTCCAAAAAGAAGGCCAAGATGCTGGTATTGGCGGGCGGCAGGGGTGACTCGCAGAACGCACGACATGACTTTCTCTCTGTATCTCTTCTCAGGATTGATCAGCAGCGGCGAAGAGACTGGACAGGGAAGCCCATTAAGCGTGTTGTAATTGGGAGCCCTTGGACAAAGTCAAAGCTCCAGCTCCGATAAGGAAAGGTTCTTCGAACAAGAATGGAATACTCGAAAGGCAGAGATGCTTGGGCACAGCGCTCCAAGACCAGAAGTCGTCTTGTCCAAGTGCAGAAAATCGTTGGACGATTGGAAATCTGCAAGACGACTCACTACTAGAAGTTACCTTTCCGACTCTGGCCTGGAATTGCCTCGCGTCCTGCGTCGTTGAGACTCTCTTTGCAGGGTTTGCCGGGAATAGCATACAACCATCACATATCTCCTCAGTCCGTCCATGTCTGCGCAGCAGATCTTGTATTTATATTTACACTCCAATATATCAAATATAGCTGACCTTGACGCCCATTCCCACTGTACCCTTGATTTTATCCCAGCCCGACCCAGTTAGCCTACGTATTTTCTCCCGGATATCTCGCCGACTAAATGTCAATATCAATCCCACAAGGAAAAGTATTATTCTCAACAAAACCATAGGGTTGCCGGAAATTGAATGCCCCATCTCCATTATCAGCTTTTGCAAAGAACCCATCATCGAGGTGGCTCGTCGATAAATGCTGGGTGGAGACTCTCTTTTTCGTACGGAAGACCTAGATTCTGAGTTCGGGGAAACTTGAGGCCGACTGGCGGAGCCAGGTTTCGCAGATTTACTGTGAGGGAGAGCACCAGCATTGTTTTCTCGAACCGTGGCTGAGCCGTTGGTGGTCTTATGATTTATTGCAAAGTCGCCCCTAGAAGCCTCTCTGCTACTCTTAGCCTTGTCTTCAGCACTCCGTGCTTCCGCAACTCGGCGAGCCTCTGCTTCTTTTTGGTCCTGCTCGAGGCGCTCTTGCTGTTCTCGGAGCAAAGCAGCCTCATGTTCCTTGTCCCGGAGTGACTCATCCTTCAGACTATGTAGTGTATGTAAAAATGCCTCCCGGCGCTCTTCGTCGAGATATTCGCTTATGCTAATGAGCTGCTCTGCATAATCCCACTCATCATTTCGGGGAAGGACGTGCAAGGTGTAGATTTCCAGAATTTTGATACGCGAATTGAGTTCACGGGGAGAATTTGCGCCATTGCCCCTCGTTTTCGGTATCTCAGAGGCAAGCCCTGCATTGTCTAGCGCCGCAAGTTGTGATGTAAAGTCCAAATTAGGAACGGATGCAGATGATAGGTACGTTTCGAGACGCTCTTGATTGAGTGTCTGTGTCGGCGCATGGCTCAGAAGAAGGGTCGCCCTGGAACAAATCAGCATTGGGAAAATCTTGATTGGCCTTGATTGTAATACAGATTTATTACAACGTCTGCGTCTACGTCGCCTTCTCTTCCTCCGTAACCGTTTGTGACTACTTCCTCCCATATGCTGCCATCCCTCGCCTTACCAGATAAAGTCTTCCACTCCTTAACGCCAAAGACGGCTTTCCCATCTTCAGGCCCCAGTTCTATAATCGCATTGACGATACTTATATAGAGGCTCCAGACCTTGACGCGAGCGCCTCTGGAAGCTGTTGCGATGGGAGGAAGCTCGGCAATATTATTGCCGTAATTGTTCTCTGCTGAGCCGTCGGTATGATTCTCGACGGCAGGTCGATCAACTATGGGTTCAATGGTAGCTAGAGCTTCGCTCAGGCGCCTTGTCAGAAAAAGCGTGGAAGCTTGGCGGTATGCTTTTGATATCGATGATGATCCATGTTTGGAAGATGACAGTAAGTGCGACGATGACAGCTTCTCTTGGTAGGTTGACGATATTGAAGAATCGGAAGCCTCTAAGCCTTCTGCCATATTCGCGTCTATATCCTTGGCAGTAAATTTCGGTGTCCGTGAGGGAGATCACATTGATAAAGTAGTTTACGATGGTTCGTAGCTATCGAGATAGGTCGGGGGAGGATGATGTCGGTTCGCCGACACCTGCCGACCTCGGTCCGCAGCCAGATCTCGGAGCTAGATTCCTTCGGAGAAATTCCTAGCTACAGCTTCCCTAACAGCGAGTCTATGTGTCATGGACACCACACACATTGTCAAAGCTCAACACAACCCTGAATAGCTCTGTTTCCATATTGCATGGAAGCTATCAATCAATAATATTGTGAAGCTTTGTGAGTTAAACTTTTCATGTGTCATTACTTCGATCTATTTATCAGCATATGCGAGGCTAAAGAAGCGACATTATGATAAATGACCGGGACAGTTAGTGTGAAAGCAGAAATGAATGAAAGATGAAGCGTTCCTCGACAAGAATAATATTTACGGTTTCTTCACCTCTTGCGGGCTCCAGTCACTAAGATCACGCTTCAAATTTATCATATACCAGCGGGCTTGTTCTATTTCATTGCTTAGGTTCTGTTATTGTTTTCTTAGAGCCGCACACTTGATTATTACTTGCTGCTCTGCCCTGCAAGATGGAAGTTGATCGGTTGTCGTTCTATCCTCTACTTCCCTCCATGCTTGAGCTGATATCAAATGCCCACTTTGTGTCTTTTGATCTAGAGCTATCTGGCATTCAAAGCAAACAGCCATTCAGGGCCGGTGCGACAGAGGGTAGTGCAGACGGGAAACAGTCAATCCAAGAACGTTATGCAGAGACAAAAGAAGCTGCCGAAAAGTATCAAGTTTTGCAAGTGGGAATAACATGTATCGAGCAAGACATAGAGAACAGTACGGTCAATTGAAAGCTCTATAGATGGAGTTTCGCTTTACTTACAGCATTAGGTGTTTATATTGCTCGGCCTTTCAACTTTCACCTCAATCCGGTTATGGAAGAGAAATTAGAAGTTGAGCGCATCTTCTCTTACCAAAGTGGAGGTACACCATCTCTGAACCTCTGAAACAAAAAAAAATTCTCTAACGCTTTCAGCTGTGGAATTTCTCATGAGCCACGGATTTCGAATGGAGGCCCCGTTCACCCAGGGAGTGCCATACCTATCGCGAAATGAAGAGGGTTTGGCACGGAAATTGGCCCTAGAAAGGCAAGAAAGAGCAGCAAATATCGCTGATATCAAGATCAAGACTGATGATCTCGATTCGAATCAATTTATGGATCGTGTTCGAAATGAAATCGAGGCCTGGAGAACGAGCAAGTCGGTAAGTCAGAAATGAGAAGCGGGCAAGCTTTGTACTAAACGGAGGGCTAGCCAAAACCCGACTTTCTCAATATCGCTCCAATTGGTCATGATGTGCAACTCGACAGCCGCACCGGCTTGACAAATTTTCAGAAACGCCTGGTGCATCAGATTGTTCGTGCGGATTATCCAGAGCTTGTCACGATCAGTAAGCCTCAATTCATTCAAGTCATATCTTTTGATAAGGATCGCGAGGAAAGAATCAAAATCGCCAGAGCAAAGCGAATAGATGCCCAAATTGCTCGACAAACTGGTCTTCGGTGGCTCTTCGAAGCGATGGTTGGGGGGGATCTCGCGGGCATCGATCCAAGAAGCACAGCACGAAACCAATCCGGCGACCCCGTCTTTGTCGATTTAGAAGCGACCAGAGGTCAACTACAGGCATTGAGAAAAAAGCTGCAAGATCGCCCTACTGTCTTGGTTGGACACAATCTATTCACTGACCTTGTCAATTTATACAAATGCTTCTTTGGGAATTTACCGGATCGTGTAGAGGATTTTCAGAAAAAGATCCATGAGCTATTTCCCGTTATAATTGACACTAAGTATGTGGCGACTTATAAAACGGCGGCAATAAATCCAAAGTCATCGTTGGAAGAGATAGATGGAATGCTCTCTAAAGAGGAGCACCCTCTAATCGGTACGCAAATGTTCACCGTAAATTGGACATCATTTTAATCTTTAGTAGAGACCGACTCTGATCACCCTAAATATCTCATTATGAAGCCCTACCATGAGGCTGGATATGACAGCTTTCTGGCGGCTAAGGTCCTTATTCGACTTTCTGCAAAACTTAAGGCAGAACAATTGCCGCGGGACAGAGCTGGGCATGGTTCAGACTACGATGACCACCAATTATCCTCCGAAGGCGAGGGTGGGGTATCTATCCGGCCGAAAGAGAACACGAATATTGGGCAGATTGATTGCATTGAGAATACACCGTTTGATGCAGAGAATAAGCCCGAAGCGTTGTCGAAGGTCGCAAAGGAGCGGAAGGTCGACAAGCTAATAGAAAGGGCAATCCCATCCGCAAGGAAATCCAAGCCCAAGAGAGCGGTCAAAACAATGCAACCCGCAGAAGAAACCGTCAAATCAATGTTCTCGCATGCTACGCGGTTTGACTCTTTGGTCGACTTGCCTGTTGACGATGACCAGGATGTAAGGCACGATGCGGCAGACCTGACTGCAGACTCTCAATCTACATCTCAGAGATGTTCGCACCCAAGGTCACTAATGCCGCCCTTTGAGGACGATTTCTGGGACAACTTTGCGAACAAACTAAGAGTGTTCGGGACTGTAGAGGGTGTATGTGCTGTAGGGGAGTAATGCATTTGATACCCAGAAGGTTTATAGCTCTTTATTTAAGTTGTTGCGAATAGAAATCGCATCTATCCCAAACCACTATTTCACTGCGGAATAATAATTTGTGCTAAAATGATCTTCATTCAATGCGATGGCATGATATACACATGACCTCGTCGTACACAATTGCACTCCCATATGGAAAAGCCCGATTGCAACATAGCAAGTGCCGCGACTTTTGTCGGGAATGTATGCAGTGACTATCTAACTGTACACCTTGGATAATACGAAGGTACCGCTAGCGAAAAAGACTGCATAGATTAACTCTCGACACCAATAAAATGATCAATGAGCTGTGGTGCAAAGAAGAGAGCTATTGATGATAAGGAAGAGGTGCCTTGAAGAAGAAAAAGAAAAAAGAAGTTGTGAGGTTCCGTGCTGGCTTTTTAACTCGGGAGCGCGGCTAAATGCGGCTAGTGCCAATCCCCCTACCGCTTGGCGACGTGCTACCTCAAGGAATTTCGAGACTCTCTACGACTCCAGAGACATTGACGGAATTGCAATAAGTCGGCATCGCCAATAGCGCAAGTCGCCAATGGGTCCGGCTTCACATAATGCGAGGCACTTCGCCTCGCTGATAAGTGAGTACCTGTCCTTCACTCGTTGCGAAAATCAATGGGTGTGCAGCCTGCTCGTTCATTCCATCGCTAATCGTACCTTCAGAGCGATCCGCAAAGGACTCCAGCGTCTGCTGGTCCTGCCGGGAGACAATCTCCAGGAGACAAAACTCGTCTGCGTCTGCATCCGCGGTTGCAGAGCCCTCCAGTATCGTCTCTCAGATTCCGCCTGTCACGCAAGCGGCAGCTCCCCAGCCTGCACATGCCCTCAAGGCCGGTGTCGTCCTTTCGCGGCCTCCGATGATTACTCGCGACCTGACTTCATTCGAGAAAGCCTATTTCTTTTACCAAAAACGGCTGAACGAGCGCCTTGCTCTCCCTTTCACGAGATATTTCTACTACAAGAAGGGCACTCCACAGGATCTGGATTGGAAGCGCAAATTCAAGGAGCGGCAAACGCCCGCACGCGACATTGGCGTGTATAACGCATATTCAAAGGAAGGATGGCACGATGAGTTGCTGATGGGAGCCTCTGAGAGCGAACCGGAGAAGCAGGTAGAGGCCTTGTTGAAAGATGCGGAGGTCTCTAGCGTCGGAGGAGATGAGGTTGCCGATCACAAGGCAGAAGTGGCAGAGAAGCCCGTGCCCCGGATCACTGAGGCGGACAAGGCTGGGGATGAGAAGAGTCTGAACAGGCTCTTCCAAAGGACACTCTACTTGCTGGTCAAGGGCCCTGAAGGCCGATGGATGTTCCCCTCCTCTGGTCTGTCGAAGAAGGAGAGCCTTCACTCGGTACGAATTTCCCCTTACTTTGATGGATATAGAGAAGAAAGGAAAAGCAAAGAAAGTTCTTTGAGAGAGGTGCTAACTGGAGCATGTAGGCCGCAGAGCGTATTCTTGTACAGTCGGCCGGCATTAACATGAACACCTGGGTCGTCGGAAACATCCCCATTGGCCACCACAACTTCAAATTCCCCCAACCTGTGTTCAACAAGGTGAAGGGTGTTGAGGAGGTTGGCGAGAAGACTTTCTTCATGAAGGCCCGTATTATGGCCGGGCAAGCCAATCTCGCAGAGAATCAGCTTGGCCTGTCTGACTTCAAGTGGCTTTCTAAGGAGGAAATCGAGAAGGCCGTGCCTCAAAGATACTGGAGCTCTGTCCGGGACATGCTTTCGGACCGTTGATTTCACATTCCCAAAAACTACATTTACGTCATCCATCCCCACCGTTTGGTGCAAAATCATTCCGCCATGAGAATTCAAGTTCATTGTAATATATATCTCGGTGTACATTTAGGATATAAAGGTTGCTATTTTCCATAGAATCAACGCCCCATGCCATGCGCTTTCCTTTGTGATTACGATCTCCCCGTGTACTCCCCTTTAAACGCCTTCGCAAGATTCCAAATATGCCAATACCCTTAATTCGTCCTCTTCATTTCGATGAGTATTTTTGACCTTGCACCACTGGAGCACCTCCCGATGATTTTTTCTTTTCCGTTTTCCCGCAACTTGCGCATGCTATGAGATTCTCTAGGTTAGGCCCAAGGACTGAGATTGACGAGAGGGTGCAGATATTGATGATACGCACCTGCAGCTTTATATGCGCATGGCTGGCAGTACATATGCCCTTGCGGTGTCTTTTTCTTGCATGTTTTACACGAACTCCCGTACGCCAGCATCGGATTCTTTGCGGTCTTGCTCAAAAGCTTGCTCTGTTCAGTTCGTCATCGTATTAGCTTTGCTTTATTCAGACACAACGTTTTCTCGCGGCAGGGATGAAAGAAAATGGCTCCAAAAAATTATTCAGGAAGGTGAACATACCTTTCCGATACCGTTGCTCCCCAAGGTGGCGGACGAGCTCTTATCGCGAGAAGACGCAGATGAGGTGGCGGGCGAACCGTAATACATTTCACTCTTCCTCTTGACGCCGGGAGTGGCAAGTTCGGTTTTCTGGAGCTTCTGACATTTTGAACAGACCATATTCAAGAAGATCGTCTATATGAAATAATTAAAAAGAAGGAACCAAGGAAGGTTGCTTTGTTGTAGAGATATCTGGGGGGTTATTGTGATATCGATGCCCTGTGCTATGGATTTAAGGTTGAGTACGCCGGAGGCTCGGGACTGTATGAGGTAACCGACCTCTGCCGATTGGCGCCGCAAAAGTGACAGAGATTTAGTTATGCTTTGCCTTGTTGTTTACATGAATATCACAATACTACGTAGTGCTATGAACATAAATTGTCTCAATCGTAGAATACCACTGGCCTTTCATCCGATCATTATCCTAATACCCTTAGCTGAAGTTCCTGACAGACAAAAGATCGCACACAAATTACTGTTGCCCCCATTCTATGGAGAGAACTTGCTTCCTTTATCTTATCTAGATCATCTAATCGTAAAGAGTTCCTTCCCGCTGTCCAAAAGATTCGGGAAGAGTTCGGGCAAACTCTGACTTGAAGGCCGTTCTTCGAATGCCTTTCCATGCCAAAGGGCAGCTCGTTGGACAATGGCTGCGGGGCAACTGACGGCACGACTGAGATATCTTCAAGAGACAGCGCACGCGCTTGCGTTGACTTCCCCCGTCGTTTCGGCCCGTCTGCTCTCACAGTATCAAGATGTCGCCTTTCATAACGATCTCCGCCTGCCCGACTCACTCAAGAGGGATTACTGTCATGGATGTGGCAATATCATGATCCCTGGACTCTCCTGTCAGTTGCAGGTTGAAAATGCACAAGCTGCGAAAGAACGATCGAACAGAAAAAGGCAACTAGCAAAAACAAAGGCCGCTCTCAACGCAGCAACGGAAGTCAAATTAGATGGCGAAGTTAAAGGTGTTTCGAAGGCACCCGCTACGAGCTCAGCTTCTCCACGACTTGATCTGCCCACCCCGGCTCCAGTACCTTCTCCTACCGCCAAGGTAATGATATATGATTGCCATAGATGTGGCCGCAAGACCCGTCTTCCTCTGCCCGCACCTAAACGGGCTCAGCGTCCTCGGAACGCCCCTGCGAAGAAGATCAATAGCTTTGCAAATTTGTCACCCATGCCGGATGTTGCATCCAGTGACTCGTCTTACGGCGTATCATCAACAGCTGAAGCTTCAACTTCGAACCCTACATCGACAGCTAATGCGAGCAGTAAGAAAAGAGCCAAGGCTCGAAAGCAGGGTGGCTTGCAGGCACTGCTGGCAAAGAAAAAGCAGGAAGAATCTGCCTCGAAATTTGGGGGGTTGGACCTCATGGATCTGATGAAGAGTGCTTAATTTTGGAAACACACGGCCCCGAAAGCTTTATTATAAACAAGACTCACATACGAGTACGACATTGCCAGTCCATCTATCGATAGACCGCCTTTACGATGTGGAGACATTTCTGGCACATCGGAACGCGCTCTTGACGCTTTAGTTCATGCCATGTACGAGGGAAACAGTGCAGCCAGCATTGAAATTTGGCCATGCCCTAGCTTGAGGTTGCGGAGCACTGGATCCTAGTCTAGGTCTCAACCACCCCTGTACAAGCAATGAGCTTCACCAAAGTGTTCGTCAAAGAAGTCCATGCATTGTCCAGCCACGGTCAGAGGCTGTAAATCATCAATTGTCTAGAGGACGGCCTGTCCTTGGTTGCATATATCCATATTCGACATTCTAGCAAGGCTCCGCCCCCAGAGCTGTTTGCGCACCAGCTTTTCCTTATCATGTGGTATACGGAGTAGTCTCATTGCTATTGGCAACTCGCTACTTTCAGGCAATAATGTACGAGTTGTGCAAGTGTGATTCCTTTCCCTTTCAGGAGGTTCGACGCTTGCTCCCATATTCCGCACTGAAAAGAAAAGACCCGGGGCGACCGCATGATTTGCTATAAGACGAGATGGCAACCTTCGGGTACCAGTAATTGAATGAGATCACATACTGGTCTGAGCCTGCATTACTGTTTGTACGAACATTTGGCCAAAATATATGATAGTAAAATAACATAAACATCTTCAATAAATTTCGCTACATCAATCCTCTGGACTCCGATCATCAGAAAATGCAAAGTGGCCTGCATATCTTTCTCGAGTAAAGCGCAAAAAATGGTATGTAAAGCATGTATGAAATGCTGATTGTAGATATCATGATCGTAATCCGTTTACCTTCCATAGCGGAAAGAATACGGACTGCGGCGGAAGAGCCAAGTGGTGGGTATCCCACTCCCTGTCACGTCGCACACCAAATCACACCGTCAGCCCCTCAGACCGCCATGTCCACTCCATCTGCCTTTGCACTGTTGACTTTCTTGCCAGTATTCTTGATCGTCTGTAGGACTTTTTCGAACGGGACTGATTCCTCAGTAACCACATCTGCGGTCTGGGCCTCGCGCTGAATGTCGAATGACTTTACACCTGTCTCTTGGTCAACAGGATGGCTCAAATAGCGCTGGCAATCAAACATGTGCATCTACGGTCGCACAGACGGACACCTCAAAATAAGCATTGTACTAACCTTCAAGGCGTCCCAAAACACGCTTGATAGCGTTGGAGCAGCCGTCACAGGACATGGTGACGTTGAAAAAGTACTTGTGCTCAGCCATGGTTTCTCGTATGAAGTTTCCGATAGACGCCGAAATCTAGTAATGGGAAAAACTTGGGGCAAGTGTATGGAAGTTTTGAATAGATTGGCCAAAAAGGATATTAATAAAGCTTGATTTCTAAGCTTTGTTAAGAATGAGCAAGAGCACCGAAGGGGCGAGTACTAAGGACACACGAGGGACCCTGGCGGGGAATGGAGGGGAGAGCATCGATGGGCGGGGGTGAGCTATTCGGGGAGCGACGGCAGCCGCAAAAGGGAAAGAAGGTTTGGTGCGAGCGAGTGTCAGTTACCGGACACCTGTTTTGTACCAAAATGCTTAACTACAAGGTGCGACAACCAGAGCGATTCTCTGTTATACAGTGGAGCACCTGCCTGGGGCATAACTGTAAGCTCTCCGATCTCGTTAACTACAAAAAGGCCAAGTTTGATGATTTACTTGCACAGGGACACTCTATGGTCTGCCATGGCGTGCTCGGTGCATCGGGATATCGGAGATATCTCCGCCGGTGCTATCGCGGGTCCCGCAATTGTAAATAGAATCTCCGTCTCTCGTCATCTTGTTCGCTGATAGAGCCCTGGGACTTCTTCAGCCAAACATTCTGCAATTAATCCGATAGACAGCAGAATGCGTCTAGACAAGCCTCGCGATCCGATCGCTGGCCCTGATGCAGGCCCTGAGGCTCCTTTTCCCATCAAAGTCAATGGCAAAGTGGTCAAAGGATTTGGGCGGGGCAGTAAAGATGTGAGTCAGTCCAGAAGATATGCCAACGTTTTGCACTTACCTGAAGAGTCACCTTGAGACTGACATCAAAGCAGTTAGGAATTCCCACGGCCAACATCCCCATCGACGGTCTCAGTGTCGGCGGTAACAGCGATGTTGAGAGCGGCATCTACTACGGATGGGCAGGCCTTGAGGATCCTCCGGTAGCCCATGATGCGCCGGGTCTTTCCCGTGGTATTTTTCCGATGGTGATGAGCATTGGGTGGAACCCGTTCTACAAGAACGCTGTTCGATCAGTGGTACGTTCGTTTGTTTCGCTCTCCTCTGAGGATGAATCTTTACTGATACGACTTCTGAACATTTAGGAGGTCCACATAATGGCGCCGTTCACGGGAGACTTTTATGACCATCATCTCAATCTCATCATCCTTGGCTATATTCGTCCCGAATATGACTACATTAGCAAGGAAAGCCTCATTGAAGATATCCAAACAGACATTGAGGTTGCTCGACGGAGTCTTGCTCGAGAGGCATATGCCAAGTGGACAAATGATCCATATCTTCATGATTTCAAGAATGCGACTGATGCGGCCCAGTGAGCTAAACCATGTTACTCGCTGATAACCTTTACATTGACCGTGGATATCTCAGGGCCAGTCCCCCGAACGCAGACTTCAAAGTGCGTCTGTGAATCAGGAAGTTTTTTTTTTATATATCTATTTCTCCAACGCTTGGTCTTGGAAATTTTGACCGAGGGCCATGTATCTGCCGGTCTTCCGGCATCACGACGCAACGACAGCATCTGATTATATAGATCAAGCATATTTTTACCCCGCTTGTAGCGAAATTTGGACTTTAAGAGGACACCAATGGTGGATATCCACGGCATACACAGCATAGAGGCATGGCAAATTTATTTTGGATACCGATCGGGCATTAGACAATAGAATGGATAGTATTCAAATTTCAATCCACCTGTAATCGTAGTTGCGATTATCTCTCGTTCTGCTGAGGAAGTTGAAATTCATGGTTTACATCATGCAACATCGCAAGCGAGTTCAGAAAGCAAAATTTCTGTTGATTGAACACGGGTGTGAATGCGACCTGCATTAAGTTCCCCAAGTGTGATTCACGACGTATAATTATATTAACGGAAATCCTGAACTGAAGAGATTGGTGCTTTTAATTGATTAGAATATATCGAAATACGTGCCCGCGTCTGTGTCGCACGAAACCCCCACTCTGGATTCCCTAGCGGAGTACCGCAATCCCGTCATTGATCAATATACTCATGGCTCTACTGGATCGAATTCCCGGCGATGATAATATCTATATTGGAGGGTATGTATTCTGTCTACTATTTTCCTTTGTTTCATTGCAAATCTTCAATCGTCGGGCTCTTGCACTGCGTTATCTTGCTACACGTGATTCTGTTGATGCTCGTTGCTGCGCATACTGTCCGTGTTTCGACCCTTTAAGTCTTTTGACATCTTTGCAGTTTATTTTCTTTGCAATACTTCCTTTTATTGTTTATATCTACTTTTTATTTCTTTTTCTCCTTTATTATGGCAGTAGTGCATCCGAAAGACCGGGCTGCGGGAATACCTTCCACGGCTATTTCAAGCAGTCGACCTTGTCTTTGGATGAATGACTAAAAGAAACATGACTTCATTCTTTTCATTTCCCATACCTCCAAATCGACTTCTACGCAGCACTGACATGTTTTGGCAGCATCTTCTCCCTGCGCAGGAGAGAGGCGCTCAAGGAAGCAAACATAACACACGTGGTGTCTGTGCTTCGCATGCCCTTGGAAGAAGCCTTGTTTCAACCCTACAAACACCACGTCGTCGAGGTGGACGATATCGAGGATGAGAACCTTCTAGAGCATTTCGAAGCTACGAATAAATTCATTCAAGATGGACTAGATGCCGGCGGAGGTGTTTTGGTTCACTGGTAAGCGCCCAATTAACTTATCTCTTTTTTCGATGCAATGGGCATCCATATACGAGCACACGATCTTCTTCGTCACTTGGTCTCACCTCTCTTCTATCATCTTGGATTTCTAATATTGTCATACTCCCCTGAAATGCTCTGATGGAGATGCTCTGGGTGATCGCACATACTAACGTCGAGGTACGGAGTAGTGCCATGGGAAAATCACGCTCCGCAACATGCGCCGCCGCCTTCCTGATGGCGAAATATCACATCAGCCCATACGAAGCCCTTGGCCAGATCCGCCGGGGCCGGCCCATGTGCGAGCCCAACCAGGGCTTCATGGCCCAGCTCGAGATTTACGACAAGATGAACACTCCTGAAAACGTGGCAGAGAATCCGATTTACCAGCGCTGGCTGTACAAGAAAGAAGTCGAGCTGAGCCTTGCGTCGGGGAGAGCTCCCGAGGACATTCGTTTCGAAGACGAGCAGACCCCGAAAGAGGGCGAGGATCCAGCACAGTTTGACCTTCGCTGTCGGAAGTGCAGGTGAGTTAGCCAACTTACGCCTTTCATTAAAAAAAAATGGCATTATGGCCCAGTCTGACGTTACATGACATAGGCGAGCCCTGGCCACTTCACATTTCGTGGTAGCACATGAGCCCAAGTCCGGCGCAGCGACGTCATGCGCGCATTATTTCCTTGATCCGCTGTCGTGGATGCGTTCGGAGCTCGAGCAGGGTAAACTCGATGGCCGATTGGAGTGTCCTAAATGCAAGACAAACGTGGGCAAGTACGCCTGGCAAGGCATGCAGTGCAGTTGCGGCGAGTGGATTGTTCCAGGAATCAGCCTGGCCCGCGGCCGCGTCGATGAGGCCAAGATACGAAATATCCCAGCGGGTGCCGTGGGCGGCATCAGGCTCCCGCCGGGCGCGTCAAAAGATGGTCATTCATAGTTTTCGGCACAGGTATACACGCAGGGGTTGTACAGAAGATGGCGTTAGGGATTGTGTTCCAGGATACCTTTTCTGGTGTAATTTTTGAAAGAGGAAAAAAGGTATCTAGGGGGGGAGGGGGGTTCTTTTGCATAGTAAACACGGTCAGAAAAGGTGGTTGTAAATGACTAGACAGCTTGGATATACCAGGAATACGGAGTGTCATATTCTTTTGAGTGTTCTATGTATTCGTGAACTATTGCGACAGCTGAGCGGGCAGGCCTGTATTGGATATTATATCCTTTTCGCTATAAGTCGCGGAGAGAGTGAGGGCCAAAATGGAGCATTTGATCGACTGCTCATCCCTTTTGGCCAAGTCTTTTGTATCTGTACTTCTCGAAAGCGGTTTGGACAAGATTGAGAATGATACCGATCCTCCTAGACAGGATGCGGGAATGAAGGTTTATATCCTTCCCGTGCTCTTCGCTGGTGTCCTGTGCCTTTCCTCTTCACCCTCCCTATCTCAGCCCGGGATATTCTCGAGCTTTGCATATCACCCATCTCACAATGGTACTGATACCCGAGTGTACTCTGTCGAGCAGAATCTGCTGATTGACACGAATTCTCAGTCAGGAGGTATATCAGGAAGCTGAGGCAGTACTTTCCGGTACTGAGCAGTATAGCAATAAGCATGCCCATGCACACACTTATCATGGTCCAAAAAAGGCGCCAATCTCTTCATATTATACCAAACACTCATGACCCAGTGCCCTCAGGTAGCTCCAATATCCGCTCTTCCGTGAGAGGATACATTTCCTCCGCGCCCAAGAGTTTCCCAAACTCATGCGCAAACACTGCGCCGACTTCTTCGACCGTCTTGCCCTGAACACCCTCACGTTCCAAGCTCGTCGTCTGTTTGCCTTCCAATCCGCACGCCACTATGCGATTAAACCACCACAGGTCGGTATTCACATTGAGTCCAATCCCATGACTCGTGACATTGCGCCGCAGATGCACGCCCACCGCCGCAATCTTCTTGTCTTCTGTCGTCCACACGCCCGGATTATCTGTCGTGAAGCCCTTGATCCCATACCTCGCCAGCGTCGCGATCACGCTGTTCTCCAATAACCTCACATAGCACCGCGGCCGAATATTATGTTCGCGTAGATCAATGATGGGATAGGCCACAAGTTGCCCGGGACCGTGGAACGTCGTTTGGCCCCCGCGCTGGGCTTCGACAAACTGCGCCTGTCCGTTGGCACGCAGAAATGCTTGCTGCTCGGGGCTGATGGTACCAATTTCCCGCCGTCCGCAGGTGTATACGGGCTGCATCTCAAAGGTGAGTATGGATGGCCCAGGTGGGATGGTTATGTTTGTGGTGCCATGCGGGATTGTAAGTTTTGGTGCTGCTGTGGACGATGTGGATGATTTGGAGGCCAGAAATGCATGGACAAGTCGGGATTGTAAAGCTGCGGCGTGCTGGTAGCTGGTCACGCTGGGGACGTGGAGGTGGCCGAGACGCAGGCGCATTGTGTCAGATAGGTGCCGATTGAGTATGATCACACTTGATGGACTTTCATGTCCTATAAGAAATGGAGAAATGGCGGTGGAAGTACGTTTAAGGGGTTGAAATTGTTCGGAGGGTCCTTTTGGTTTTGCCAATGACGCGGTGATTTAATGTTTAGACAAGCCGGACCGGGACAAGAAAGACAGCTCCTCGGTTGTTTTGGCGCGCTTGTTTTTCTGCCAGAGCGGCAGGGCGGTGGGCCAGTTGCAGCTCCGATAACTTCGCGGAATTCAAGACAGCAACATATTATTTCCTGACCACTGGGCGCAACTTTTTCATTGTCGCTCCACCAGGAATTTGCCCCACCAGAAAATAGAAGATTTGGTTCATATTCCTGATATGCCCATGATGACACCTAAAAGAAAAGAACCCACACCGTCAGACAAACTCCAGCGGCTCCCCTCAAGTACGTTCCTTTCATGCTTTACAATTCACCCACACAACTTCCCACCTTCCCCTCCCCCTAGTTCGCAATGACCGCTCCATTTTCTCTTCAGCTGGGCTAACATCCATCTCACCAGACTACCGCGTTAAAAAGCGACCCCTGATGCACGCTCCCATTGCCTCACCCTATACCGGCCGCCGTGAAGCAAAGATCGTCTACATATCGACCCACACACCATTCATATCAGCCGTGAAGCGCGTGCGCAAATTCCTTGAGCAAGTGGACAAGCGTACCATGGGCAAAGTCGACCTGCTCGGCCCAGGCAAGGATGCCGCCAAGATTGCGCAAACCGGGCGAACAGAACAGGGCGAGCCAGAAGAGATTTTGATCAAAGCTACAGGCAAGGCAATTGAGAAAGCGCTCAACCTGGGATTGTTTTTCCAGGGGCAAGAGGATTGCAGAGTCAGAATACGCACGGGCACGGTGGGCACTGTCGATGATATTGTGGAAGTAGAGGGCCAGCAGCCGGCACCGGTGGCGCCGCGGACAGACGAGATGGAAAAGGGAAAGGGAAAGGGAAATGGAGACAGCAAGGCCGATGTCGAAATGAAGGAAGCAGAGGTCGACGCGAAAGAGGAGGAAAAACAAGAGGAAGAAAATGAACAAGTGCCCGAAGCGCAGATTCGGATGACAAGCATGGTTGAGATTGCAGTTAGTTTACGCTGAGCTTGTTGGATGACTCGGTCGGAAAGATTATGAACAAAACAAAGTCACGACACACGATGGAGAGCAGCACAGATTTGTTGCTGACTTTTCCTGGGACATATTGCCTTTTGCTCACTATCGCGGAAGAAACGATGCGCCTTTGCGCTGTCAATACTGGGCGACGCGTCTCCCGCTCTTTGTGGCGCGCCGGGGTGATTTCCCCGGGCCCAGAAACCGCTTGCTCGCGAGATGATGGGGAGTCTCGTGGATACAACTGGGGATTGATCCTGGGGTGGAGCTTTGTGCTGCCTTCGGCAACTACACTTGCTTTCGGGCCCTCGAACCAAAGATAGCCGGTACTATGCGGGCTTCATATTGGTTTCTTTTATGGCTTCATTGCCGTTTGCATGGACCCAGTGTCCAGATGCAAAAGCCAGCCCACGGTTCGGTGTTTGCACACACTGGTATCGATAGGAGTCTGCGCAAGGAGAATACGACTCGAAGGTCTATCTCTGATCTCGCAGCACGAAAATACCATTCTTTTTGCTATGGCGCCTAGATCAATCAGGGCATTGAATTGATGCTACGAGGAAGCCGTGGAAGTTTGGTCGGGCGGCATATATACATGAGAGCCAGATAGACGCATCATCGAGGCAAATTATGGATGAAGCATCCGAAAAATCAGAAGGTTGTATATATAACTTTTCTCGTACGCAAGGTATCTATAGGGTTGAAATGAAATGCTTTTGGCTCTGGCAAGGCAACGGGGAAAATGTACATGACAAAAATCTAGAAATATCCAAATTCAGACAGGCCAAATGGGTAGATGTGACGCTCTAATATCGTTTAACAAAAAGTGCATGCAATCCTTTGATAAACCTTATTTGGCAAAGACGGCTTGCATTGCATCCGCCAAAATGGTCATGCCCTCGGCAATTTCCTCTTCGGAGATGACAAGAGGGGGCACGAAACGAAGAGTGTTACTGCCGCAAGTGATGATCAGCAAACCACGCTCACGCGCAGCCGTGATGAGCGGGGTCGGGTCTTGCGAGAGCTGCAAACCGAGCAGGAGACCGCGGCCACGGACTTCCTGGATGATGTCGGGGAACCGCTCCTTGAGCGCGGCAAAGTGTTTGCGGAAGATCTGTTCCTTGGCAAGCACAGACTGCTGCAGCGAGGGATCGGACAGGCGGGAAATGATGTAGTGCGCGAGACGGCAAGCAAGAGGGTTACCGCCAAATGTCGTACCGTGGTCTCCAGTGACAATCTTCGAGGCGACCGCTTCGTTGACGATAGTAGCACCAATGGGGAAACCGTTGCCAAGAGCCTTGGCAGTGGTGAGAATGTCAGGATGAGCAGACTCGGGAAGAGCTCCGTGAGCCCAGAGGGTACCGGTTCGGGACAGACCGCACTGGATCTCGTCGTAGATGAGCACAGCGCCGACCTCGTTGCAGCGGTTGCGAAGAGCAACAAGGAAGGACTCGGTCGCCTCGTTGACTCCACCCTCGCCCTGAATAGGCTCGATAATGACACCACAAGTATTCTCGTTGACGAGCTCGTTCAGAGCAGCCTCGTCATTCAGATTGCCATAACGGAAGCCGGGGACCATGGGGGAGAATGGCTTTTGATATTTCGGGTTCGGCGTGGCGGAGAGAGAGCCCATGGTACGGCCGTGGAAGCAGTTATGGAAGGAGACAATGTCGCTCTTGGATCCTGAAGGTTCGAGGATCTTGCCGACCTTGCGGGCGAATTTAATCGCCGCTTCGTTGGCTTCGGAGCCAGAGTTGCAGACGAAGACTTTTGAGGCTGTGTGCATGCATCCTGCTGCGACGGTCTTTTCGACAAGAAGCTTCGAGAGGGCACCGGTCCATTGGTTGTGGTAGAGGTTGGAGGTATGAATGAGGGTTTTGGCCTTTATTCATGAGCAGAAGAATATCAGCAATGCTCCTTTCTCTCTCGTTCAGTGAGGGAGCGTACCTGGTCCGCAAGCACTTCCACCATCTCGGGGTCGGCATGGCCGAGCGCGTTCACTGCAATACCGGAGGTGAAGTCGAGATATTTGCGGTTCTCAATGTCCCACATGTAGCATCCCTCGCCCTTGGAGAACATTGGCATGGGACGAACATATGTCGGCACCATGTAAGGCAATTGATCTCCAACGAGAGCAGCTGTTTGTGAGTCACTAGCAGGGTCTGCGGCCGGGAGAGAAGCCTCCTTCTTGCAATTGAGTTAGACAATCCAGTTTGGCTTTCAAGAAATATATCTCATTCTAGATACTCACGTTGATTGCATCTTTCAGCTGGTTAGGGAGGCTCGAGGTCGCAGTGGAGGCGTATCTTCTATAGATGAGCGGTTCGACAGCGGTGGTGCGGGCCTTGAGGGCCGCACTGGCGCGGCGAAGCGCCAGATTTGAAGCCATTGGAGAATAAGTCTAGTAAACAAAAAGAGCAATCGTGGTTTCCTAAAGCAAAAGGATACAATGTTTGAGCGACTGAAGAATGAAAGAGTAGAGGCGGGAGAAGGTGTCGGCCTGGGGTTGAGGTCCGAAAGTCGGACGAAATAATTCCAATGACTCGTATCTTTTTATCGCCTCTTATCTTTCCACCTGTACGGCGGACTACAGAGACTTGAAGAACAATAGTCACCATGGTAGTATGGGATGCATCAGAATAGTCCAAATTGTAGCCTCTTGAATTTCATGTCATCAATCAATACTCTAAGGGGAGTCTTGCCTATGTCCAAATATCTTGTCACTTATTTTTGCTCTTCTTTATCAGTGGCTTTGTCATCCTAGTGATTATTTAGGAAACTTTTCTTTGGAAAAGGAAAATATAACAGAGATACAATAAAATTGAGGTTAAAACCAAAATAATAATAATAATAATAATAATAATAATAATAATAATAAAAGAAAATCAAAGTTACAATGAAACATATACTAGATCAAGTTCAAGTAAGTATTTCAAAATATTCCTTTGTTAGATTGACTTCTGGTGTAGATGAGAAAGAATGTAATGTAATTAAATATGGGCTTCTAGCCTTGGACAGAAACAGTGAGCCCCTAGGCTCAATTCTCGCTAAGATATAGTTGAAATCTTCCCTAGGTATAGCTAAGAAAGGTCCGTTCTAGAGAGGGAGAGCAACGCGAGCGCTCGCAAGTATTTGACGGATCAGTCCACCAATCGACCAAGGCTCCGTTCCTAGGGTTGTCTTGAAATTCTTCCCAGTTTGGTTTATCAATTTTGATGTTATAAATTATATAGACTATGGTTGAACTCTGTCTCATGAAGACGGTACAATATCTTTGTATCCCTTCATAAAGGATGTAGCTGATATCTAGCCAATCAAATCAGAGTATTTTCTGCAGTGCTGGTCTAGGGGGAAATGAATGTAATCCAAGCAATTGGCATCGAAGCCGTCCTAGCCCAAAAGTAAATATTTCAAAATGTCATTGCTGTTGGAAATTAATTGAGGCGGAATAAAAATTAATCACTCCTTGATATGGTGGCTCCCTGGAACAAAATCTGGGAGGATCCGAGGGATCGCTTGTTTGAGCAACGTGCCAGGCTCCGAGCTCTTGGGAGGCTTAGACTTCTGACGCAGCACAAACGCGCGTTTTGACAATCGACTTATACGCAACCCTGAACGACGTGCACCTTACGATTGACATTTGATGGCTATTGCATGAATGACATTGGGTCTCTTTCTCTACCGGTCGTGACCGCGCGCTTCACGCAGACGTGCGCGCCGTAATGGCGGGTAGGACATTCGGGGGTTCATCCACCTCCGCTGGAAACAATGAAGGCAATCTTCTCGACCTTGACGATTCACGACCTGTTTACAGTTCTGGCGAACGTCCGCCAGTAAATGACGATCTTTTATTGCAGCGATTTGATATCGATGATACCGAAGAAGCCCAATCTCGACCTTCCATCTCCTATGATGACTTTGTCGGAGGAGGGCCCGGCAGAGCTGCCGGCGCAGCTCCAACAGGGCCTGCAACCGTTACGGGAGCTCAGCCTTCTGGGCCTTATGTTTCTGGAGATCGCGATCGCTCTTTCTCACAAACCTCTGGTTTGAACAATTACCAACGATATTCGGACTTGGACGACTTTCCCGACGATCGATCGATGCAAGGCTATTACAATGCGGGTGGGGACATTGATGAACATGCTCTGCCAAATGTCATGGGCGGCAAGCCTAGGGATCGAAATAGCATTCTCAGCTTAGGTGGGGGTTTGGTGGGCAGGGCCAAGAACATGCTGGGCATGGGCGCGAATTATTCGGAGATGGACCTCCCCTTGACCGAAGCAGGCGCGCGGGCATCGCGACTGGAACCAGAGGGGACGGACGAGGGGGTCAAGCCGACCGAGCACAAGAGGCGAACGGCTGGGAGCTTCAAATTTGGCTTTGGTCGTGGAAAGGTCGATCCATCGACTTTGGGACCGAGGATCATTCATTTAAACAATCCTCCTGCGAATTCTGCCAACCGATACGTCGACAATCACGTCTCAACTGCAAAGTACAACATCATCACCTTTCTTCCCAAGTTTTTATTTGAGCAATTTTCCAAATATGCCAACTTGTTCTTCCTTTTCACCGCCGTCTTGCAACAGGTTCCCAACATTTCTCCCACGAATCGATGGACAACAGTGGGGCCGCTAGTCATTGTGCTTTTGGTCTCTGCTGGTAAAGAGTTGATAGAGGACTTTAAACGGAAGAGCTCAGACAAGTCGCTCAATTATTCGAACGCGCGAGTGCTTCGAGGCTCGAAATTCGAAAACACGAGATGGGTCAATGTGTCCGTGGGCGACATTGTCCGAGTCGAGTCTGAGGAACCGTTCCCAACAGACCTTGTGCTGTTGGCCAGCTCGGAGCCGGAAGGTCTCTGCTACATTGAGACCGCAAACTTGGACGGCGAGACCAACCTCAAAATCAAACAAGCCATTCCGGAGACTGCGAATTTGGTTAGCCCGACAGAGCTCAGCAGGCTGGGCGGAAGAGTGCGTTCCGAGCAACCAAACAGTAGCCTGTATACTTATGAGGCCACCATGACCATGCAAGCTGGCGGCGGTGAGAAGGAGCTTCCGCTGAACCCCGACCAGCTGCTGCTTCGAGGCGCTACACTGCGAAACACTCCCTGGGTGCATGGCATTGTTGTGTTTACCGGTCATGAGACGAAACTCATGCGCAATGCCACTGCGACTCCAATCAAGACAACAGCTGTCGAGCGAATGGTCAATATGCAAATTTTGATGCTTGTCGGTATCCTGATTGCCCTGAGTCTGGTCAGCTCCATTGGCGATTTGATTGTTCGAATAACCGCACACTCTAAGCTTTCCTACCTTTACTACGGCCACACCAATGCCGTGGGGCAATTCTTCTCAGACATATTTACTTACTGGGTCCTTTATTCGAACCTTGTCCCTATTTCCCTTTTCGTAACGATAGAGATTGTCAAGTATTACCAAGCATTTCTCATCAACTGCGATTTAGACATCTATTACGACAAGACGGATGCGCCTGCTACATGCCGCACCTCATCACTTGTGGAAGAGCTGGGTCAGATTGAGTACATCTTTTCCGACAAAACCGGGACATTGACCTGCAACCAGATGGAATTCCGACAATGTTCTATTGGAGGGATCCAGTACGCCGATGAAGTTCCTGAAGATCGAAGAGCAACCCCAGACAATATCGAAGGCGCCGTTTACGACCTCAAACAATTACGCCAAAATCTTTCCAGCCATGAGACAGGTACAGCCATTCACCATTTCTTGGCGCTCCTTGCAACTTGCCACACAGTCATCCCGGAGAGAAACGAATCGAGCCCGGATAGTATCAAATATCAGGCAGCTTCACCAGACGAAGGCGCGCTTGTTGAAGGTGCAGTTACCCTAGGCTACCAATTCGTTGCGCGGAAACCTCGTTCGGTTATGATAAGGATCAATGGCGAAGAGTTCGAGTACGAGCTTCTGGCTCTCTGCGAGTTCAATTCCACGAGGAAGCGAATGTCGACCATTTACCGTTGCCCCGACGGCAAGATCAGATGCTATACAAAGGGTGCCGATACTGTCATCTTGGAACGTCTAGGCAATGATAATCCTATCGTTGAAGCCACCTTGCAGCATCTGGAAGAATATGCATCGGAAGGTCTACGTACTCTTTGTCTTTCTATGCGAGAGATTCCAGAGCAAGAGTTTCAAGAATGGTGGAAAATATTTGAGAAGGCTTCGACGACTGTGAGCGGTAACCGTGCCGACGAACTCGACAAAGCAGCCGAGCTCATTGAGCGCGATTTCGTCCTCCTGGGTGCGACTGCCATTGAAGACAAGTTGCAGGATGGTGTACCGGACACTATCCACACCTTGCAGACGGCGGGTATCAAAGTCTGGGTGTTGACGGGAGATCGACAAGAAACCGCCATCAACATTGGCATGAGTTGCAAGCTGATTAGCGAGGACATGACGCTCTTGATAGTTAATGAAGAGAATGCAGAGGCAACCAGGGACAATCTCCAGAAGAAACTGACTGCGATCCGAAACCATGCCAGTGGTGGCCCCGAGCTCGAAGCTCTGGCCCTAATCATAGACGGTAAATCCCTGACTTTTGCTCTGGAGAAGAGCATGGAGAAGATGTTCCTCGACCTGGCCGTCATGTGTAAGGCCGTAATCTGCTGGTAAGCCTATTTAATCCGTCATTGCCTTATTGTCACTTTCAACCCGAGACTAACTTTTTTTTCCACAGCCGTGTTTCACCCCTGCAGAAAGCCCTTGTTGTTAAGCTAGTCAAGAGACATTTGAAAGCTATTCTCCTTGCTATTGGCGACGGTGCCAATGACGTTTCCATGATCCAAGCTGCACACGTCGGCGTTGGCATCAGCGGTGTTGAAGGCCTTCAGGCAGCCAGAAGCGCCGACGTAGCCATTGCCCAGTTCCGCTATCTCCGCAAACTGCTGCTCGTCCACGGCTCATGGAGCTATCAGCGAGTCAGCAAAGTCATCCTCTATTCATTCTATAAAAACATTGCTCTCTACATGACACAATTCTGGGTTCGTCTTCCCTTAAACCTTCCCCCCCGGCTCAATCATCATTCCTCCTTCTCCTAACTTAACTTTTCTCTTTAGTATTCCTTCCAAAACAGTTTCTCGGGTGAAGTCATTTACGAGTCTTGGACACTTTCCTTTTACAACGTCTTCTTTACCGTCTTGCCGCCCCTGGTCATGGGCATTTTCGACCAATTCATCAGCGCTCGCCTTCTCGACCGCTACCCGCAACTCTACCAGCTCGGCCAGCGTGGCGTTTTCTTCCGCATGCATTCCTTCTTCTCATGGATCCTGAACGGCTTCTACCACTCCTTACTGCTCTACTTTGCCTCTGAGCTCATCTGGCTATACGACATGCCCCAGAGCGACGGTAAAGTCGCCGGCCACTGGGTCTGGGGAGCCGGCCTGTACACTGCAGCCCTGGCAACGGTCCTGGGCAAAGCAGCCCTAGTGACCAATGTCTGGACAAAGTACACCGTCATCGCTATCCCCGGGTCGATGATCATCTGGATGATTTTCCTGCCCGTCTATGCCACCGTCGCGCCCAAGCTGGGCTTTTCCACGGAATATCATGGCGTGCTGGGAAGATTGTTTACCAGTCCTGTGTTCTGGCTCATGGGCCTTGTCCTTCCAGTGTTGTGTCTTCTACGTGACTTTGCTTGGAAATAGTAAGCCTATCCCTCGTCCCTGATTACCCTGGTCGCTCTTTAGTCAGAGGAGAATACTAACATTCTTTGTGTTCTAGTGCCAAACGCATGTACTACCCGCAAGCATACCACCACATTCAGGAAATTCAGAAATACAATATCCAAGATTACCGCCCGCGGTACGTTATTCTACTATCTTTCCTTTCTCAACATCTTTTATTCCCCTTGTATCGTTTCAATCCATTCCTTTATCCCCTTTTATCATTTCAATCCATTCCCTCATCTCTCAACATTTTAATCCATCCATTTATCTCCTTTCATCCTTTCAACCCATTCCCTTTGTCCTGTCCATTTTCAATCCCTCTCAACCAATTACTAACAACCTTTACACAGGATGGAACAATTCCAAAAAGCCATCCGCAAAGTCCGCCAAGTCCAACGCATGCGCAAGCAGCGCGGCTACGCTTTCTCGCAGGCCGACGAGTCGCAAACCCGCGTGCTCCAGGCCTACGATACCACTCGTGGACGTGGCCGCTTTGGTGAAATGGCAAGTTCCCGACCGGCCATGGGCCCGAGTGGCGGCGGCGCAGGCAATACCGGCTGGGCAGACCGTCAAGGAGGAAGCAGCAGTGGCAGTGGTGGCGGAGCAGGTGGAGGAGGAGGAGGATATTCGAATCCATTTTAGGATGTCGATTGTGTTCTAGTTCCTTTCTTTCCTTTCTGTTATTTTCTCATCATGTTGTTGTGGTTTTTTTTTTTCTCATTTCATTTGAATGGGTTGTTATTATTGTTGTTGTTGGTTTTAGATATTCCACATTTGAGTTTCAATATCAGGGCGTCGGTATGATATACATGTCCACTTGTTTCCAGATTTCGTCATGTAAACTCTTGTGTCGCTGCTTGGAAATTATCTCAATCCGTACATGATCATACAGTGCCTCGTGTTCATGTGATATATTCCAGGTAGGTTCAGAGGGAAAAAATTACATTGACTTGTCGTTTCTAGTGTCCTCGTGTCGAAATAAATATATATAAGAGTTATGCCGACTCGTAAAAGCGATTACATGCTATGCGATGTCATATACAACCAAATGAAAGAAAGAAGATGCATGGAGTAGTTGAAATTTGAATGCAAATATGAGAAGAACGCCCGCTGGATGATGATGATGGAAAACGAAGGAGTCAAGATATGTGCTGCTATGCAATGCAAATGATGCGGGACGTATATATGCAAGCCACGCATCTAAACAGTAATATGCAACAAGGCCAGAGAACCAAATTTCAAAAAATGATATGCAACAAAAGGAAGGTGACAACCACCCCCCTTAAGCACCTCCAACACGATTACCCCGACAAAGGAAATACGTCGCGCTCGAGATTTATGTCCTTGAAATCGGGAAACTTGTCATCACCACCCTGGAAATCCTCCGACGGGCCGGCTTCCAGCACAGCAGTCGCAATCATATATTGCTGCTCAAACGCCGTCAGATCGATTCGTAAATTGGGTACCTTTTGGCCGCGAAACACCGTGTCAAAGTCTGTCACGGTTGTGCCCCATCGGGGATCTGCGTGGCCTTTTGGCTGGTCATGGCCCAGGCCCAGGTTTCTGTCATTAGGCTGACTCTGGCTCTGCCCGTGAGGCTGACCCAGGCTCCCTCCCAAGCCTACAGACTGGGCCTGGATCCCTCCTAAGCCCACAAGCTGGGCCTCGATCGCTCTCGGCCCAGCAGGCTTCGGCGGCCTGACATTGCGAAACTCCAACTCCTTCAACCACCCGGCCAGTAACGCCTCGCCGGTCATTTTGATATACGCTTCTTTCAGACACCAATGGGCATAGAAGAGCCGCAGTTGGGCATCGATGATGAGGTTGGCGTTGAAGGTGACGATCCGGCCTGAATGCAGCCGCAGTGTGACTTCGGTGTTGGGACGAAGCGGACGAGCGCCGTCTTGGATGACGGGGGCGAGTTCGTCGGCTGAGACGTGTGTCTGCGTCTCCGGCACAGTCCCTGGTGCCGTCCCCGTCCCTGTTGAGTCCTCAGAGGCGAGGTCAAGGTCAAGGTCAACGCCGCACGCGCAGCGCTTCATGTCGCTGATTTCACCCGCCGAAAAGACCTCGTCGTACATGCTTACCCACTCTGCCATGCCTCCCCGCCGCTGAATCGACTTGTAGTCGTCTCGTTCGTCGACACATACAATGTCGATTCCGACTCTTACTGAGCTAGACGGAATGCCCACCAGCGCGACGAGGCCAGCTTGATGCGAGACATTGAATTGGATGGGCCGGGCAGAAGGGACGGGATTGGAAGAGGTAGAGTTCAGAGAGGAGGGAAGAGTAGAAGCATTATGAGGCAAAGGAGAGGTGACGTAGATGGGTTTGCCAAATTCATCCCGTCCAATGGAAATGTCGGACCAAGAGGTCCCGCAGACGGTTGATATCGCGCTGTACTTGAGCAGATGCGACCCCAGGCTCATCAGGCGGTCCTTGTCGTGCAAGTACTTGCCCACGGCTTTTTGTTCGTCTGCTGTGATTTTGTGGAGTGCGCGTTGATACTAATATCCAAGTCAGCAGGAGCTTTAACATTAAGATTCAGTTTCTGCTTTGTTTTGCTCCACGTAAACAGGGTTACTTGGTGTAATGTATCCATTTTTCATATCATTTCATTTCTCTTTTCTTATTTTTATTTTTTTGACTTTGAACTCCTTCTTTTTCATCGCGTGCACGGGGAAATAAATTATAGGAAAAAAGCACGGATATAACGCACCTGACTGTCAGGATGGACCTCGACTACCCATTTCCGAGTGTCCAGCAGCCATCGGAATAGAGCATCGCTACCTTCGTGGCCCATAGCTGATCCTTTCCCTTCTTTCCCTTATTTTTCTATTGCCTCTTCCTTTCTCTTCCTTTCTCTCCTTCTTTTCTATTCTTTTCTTTCGATTCTTATTGTAATAGGCTTGGACTCCGGTTTCTAACACGTGGTATACTCAGATCACTGCGGAATATCGCAAAGACCTTTTTGTATGGTTAATCTCTTGTAGACTGTTGCAGTAATCGCCCTGCAAAATTAAAATCGGAAAATCCTTAGAATAAATATCTCTATTCCAAGGATCGGATATATAAGTCGACAGGGTTGAATGTGCGGGCTGAGAACGACGTGGTGTTTAAGTATGGTAAAGGAAAGGTAAGCCGAGACTTATTTTCTTCGGGGTCCGGAGAACGGATGGGGTGGAGGGGATTGGTTCCCGCGGCATTTGAATAACCACATATATACCCACCCACACACACATCGAACACTTACACCGGTCCCAATATCAATTGACAGGCGCTGATGGAGATATCGTCATATTTTCTGATATTCTCTAACTTGCTCACATCTCTATTTCTGCTTTCATGTAACATGCTCTCTTCTCGCCATTTTGTGGAGTTGCATATCGGAGTATATCATACTGCTACACAGCAAATGTGCTAAATATATATGAGCGACGGATACTATGTTTTTCTTTAAGATTTCTGGCCAAATACTACTCTGTATATTTATATTAATTCTGGAAGCTATGAAGCTGTTGTTTTGTGAAATGTATTGATGTATTGTCAAGTTCGACATGTAGAATATCACAAACTTTATTACCGGTGCGTCATAATCCATGATGACTTTTGAAATGGAAAACCTGGTACAACCATATAACTCCAAATATGACACAGAAGTAATAGTGGCGATGTCCATCAATCAATAATCTCTGCATGGAACGCCGCAATCATATGCCTGATCTTGGTTTTACCCATGGCCAGTTCAAAAGTCTTCCATTTCTTCTGTAACGCCCGGCAAGTATACCTTCAATCCAGTCATCTTCTCAATGTCCTCCTTGATGACGTTGTAGTCAGTCGCATAAACGGGGCCATGGTCTCTTTTCAAAAAGATCAAGCCGCAAACTCGTCCCGTCATGGATATTGCCCATGAACCCGAATCGCCTTTTTCTCCAAACGACGTTGTTCCCGGTAACCTTATATAGCATCGTTGCTGCAATGGTTTTTCAAACTCGGGTTTATTGATTTCAGACTCGAGAGGATTCACAATTCCGACGCTAAAGTCGGTACTCCGGCCAAATTTGAACACCTGATTACCAACCAGTGGCTTTTCTGTGCCGCTCACAAAGTCTTCACCTGGTATGAAGGACAAATACTTTTTGTGCGGTGCGAACTGTTAAAGATATTCGGTTTGATTAGCTTGTGGCCCATCAGAACTAAGGCTCAAGCCTCTGCAGGTGATTCACCTCATTTGGTTGATCTCCTATCCTCTTCTTGTTACATTCAAGCAAGGCCCAATCTAGGCCTTGATTTTCGAGCGAGGTTCGGAAGCCAGAGGAAACGAACACACGCCCAAAAAGGGGTTCGAATTCTTTTTCTTCGTTTAGTCGACTTTTTAATTTCTCGATTGTATTGATGTGCTTTTGCACTACGCTGTCTTTGCTGCAGTCTTCACAGCCTCGGCTTTTTGCCCTTTCCATTGCATTTTCCAGCAGTCCCTGGAGATGCTGGATAGTAGCCTCGCAAGATTTGATTGTAATATTTCTGTCCTCTAGGGAAGGAGAGAAGACCTGTGGGTTGGTTGGATTCTTCATCGGGCACGCCTCTTTATGGCCAGCTACCATTAAGAACAATGTTAGTCTGTCTCAGGGATATCCCACCACAAATTATACCAGTAACGAAGCAAAAGAATAGAGACCATACTAGATTTGATAACGTGATGGCACGTCATTCCAAATAATTTTTCTTCGCCGTCTACCGCCGCCATGACGTATCCGGCCAGTGATCCTGAAGCAGGATCCTCGCCGGGGAGTGGATTTACTCCAATGCTGGCTCCCAAGGTGCAGATTTGGTATTGTTCCGATATTATTTGATCGGTCGTGTTCAGAAATTCGACATCTCCGTTAATAATAAGTATGGCGACTTCTGGCAGGTTCCTCTTTAGACACTCTTGATGAAGGGACCAAGCGATATCCCGCCAAAATGAGTTCTGGGCTCCCTGCACAACGGTGATTATGATGGATACTTCATTCTTGTGGACGGAGCAATCATAGTATCCTGTTCGGAGAACGTCGACAGAGCGCCATTCATTTTTGTTCTCCTGTTTTAATGTTTCAAGCACTGCGAGTCTTAAGCCATTGTGCCATTCCTTGACCAGTGGTTCGTTTTCGTCGACCACAAAATACACCCTTGTTGCACCAAATCCCCAGTCTTCTTCGGAGTTCTGGGGTTGGGGTTCCGGGGCCTTGGTGCTGACGATCGTAGAGGTTTCTATTCTTGTCTGGATCGTAGATATATATGACGTTTGATTCTCCTCTGTTGCATCGTTCTGTTGTCTCTCGTGGGTTCTGCTGCCGGAGTACTCCATATCGCGCAAGTTTTTCTCCTTCTAGACTGATAAAGTTAACATGGAAAATAAGTCATTCGTTTTGCTGATCATTCATGGAAAAGATTTATTGTGGAAGCCTCCCTTTGGTCTTCAAATAACACATCGAAAGGACAGGTGGCATGGTTATAATTGCGGCTAGACACACGCCCTATTCCAAATAGTGATGCTAATGACTACACCTTTTTTGAACGCTTTGGAAGCTGAAATCAAACAAAATAATGAAAGAATGCAGCTCCACATCCTAAAGTTAAACCAAGTAGGTGTGTCGAGTAATAGAGCAGGTTAACCTGTTTGCTTGTTCTAAACAAGTCATTTAGGCCATAATCTGCGCATTCGCAGAAAGAAGGAATGGAAAGAGGCGAAGAAATTGGCACTGTGAGGCCGACAATAACAATACACAACATCATGATCCAAACGTCTCATAAAGGCTCTTGAAGTCCTTATAAAAGGGATACGCGTCTGGTTGATGAATGGCAAAGTAGTTTCACTGATGAGCAGGGAATATTGCCCAGCAGTGTAGCGTAAATACAAAGAATAACAAATAGTGAAACCCTAAAGAAGTTTATCGTATGAATAGCATCCTTATGAATGTGGAAGGTACGTTCATCTGATAGTGTACTTCTCTTGTGTGGGGTTAGCTTTGACCTACTCAGAGCGCGGAGTGTATATTATCGTTTGCAAAAGTGTGGATCGTGGCGGTCAGAACGGACCTCACCACCACTTACGGTATACATAGCCGTAAATGGCCAGCAATCCACAAAACACGCAATTTCAAGCGCAATGCTTCATATTTTGAGCTAAAGTTTAAATGTTAGATCGATAAAACTTATCACTATAATACAAACCTATTTTTAGGCCTTAAAACACGCGTTTTCGATCAAATTTGATGCGGTAAAGGCGCAAACTTGCTATCAAAATGCCGCCAGCAACACCCGATACAACTCTCGAAAAGATACGAATCGATTTGGAGCTTAAGATAAGCGTACCCAAAATATCAGAGAGACATAATGTTTCGGAGGTGTTGATTCGTCGGGTAAGGCGCAACTTGAAGGTATACGGGTCTATTAGAGCGCCGAAAACCGCGAAAATGGGCCGGCCCAAAACGTTGACAGAGATCATGAAGCTGGTAAGGTTTTTGACGCGTTTTCATGGCTGTTTTGGACTTACACACAACTCAGGAATTGATTGATGTTCTTGCAGCGCGTCCGACGCTGTGTTTGGACGAACTGGCTCACCATCTCTTGGTCACCTTCGGGGTTCTCGTCAGCGTGTCAACGATCTCCCGCACCATTAAAGATGTAGGTTTCACCCGAAAAACGGCGAGAAAAAGGTGAAAAGGTACTTTTTAATGGGATTCTTCGCTGACATTTCATTTGGTTCAGCAGCGGGCCGCCCAACGAAACGAGACTTAAGCGCACCTTGGTCCTCGTCTTTCCCAATCACTTTTAGATCATGTCACAATAGTGAAGGTTCGTGGCACCGAGGCACGTTCCGTCCCTCACATACACTACATCATGATTATAAAGGAGTCAGGCTGCAAGAGGAAGACGTGAAGCAAAGGCTCAAAGAGTAAATAATGACAAGATTTAGAGATGAAAATATATGGCGTCTATTGCATTTGAACCTACAAATCCCGCCCCCAAATTCGATATTGACTTCGCATTACGTCTAATGACGTGAAAACTGGCGCCTAAAGGACTGCTTCGCGACAATGAGCTAAAGTAAAAATCCCCATCAAAGGAAGAAACCCCTTGGCTCGAAAAATGTAGCTTTGAGCAGAGGATGAAAGGCCCATATCCCTGACCTGTTCGCCGTGCTGGAAAAAAATAAAAAAAAGGAAATATAAGGCTTATGAGATATAACGAAAGACTTTGTGAGAGTGGCAAGGAAATAGACATCGTTATGCCCGTAAGAAAAAGAAGAAATATGTTCTGCAATAGATGTATGTTGACCCATCCCGCTCAAAAGAATATGCCTATAACACAAGAAGAGTAAGGGGAAAAGAGAATTTTGATGACATGTAATGCTTTTGTTTCAGCATCAAAAAGCTCCCCAGTGCCAGCTGGGGTAATGAGGCTGGGAGGTCTTTCTCCAATTGCGAACGGTGTAAAGAATAAGCAGACCACTGCAAAGAAAAAAAAAAAAACAAAAAGGAACACATATGATATCCTACCATCACGACGCCAAAGAGAGCCCCTGGAAATATGTAGTGCCGTCAGAGAAAGAACGTCAATAAAGATGCTATAATTTCATGTATAGCTGGAGCGAGTGCTTATGCTCCTACAGCTTGAGGCTGTGGAGATTGGATTCTGGGCTCCTCTGCCGCAACTTGAACTTCGTCCTGCGGTTCCACGGGGTCATGGCAGATTTGCTCCAGCTCCGCAGGAGGCGGATCCAAAATCTTCTTGTCCACCTGTTGAGGCTCATCTGTCATCGTAGGGACCTCTGCGCCCGGAGAATCATGGGGCTTGAAATCCACTGCCAGGAAACGGGGGCTGACTGCTTCATGAGACTTTCTTGAGAATGCATCCGAGTGTCTTGTGTCAACGGCAGCAAGAGGAAACGTGTTCTCTGCAGGCGCGGCGCTCTGCGTCGTCACAGTGCTAGCCGTTCTCACAGACGAAGGCCTGCGCACCGATAATGTGGCTGCATCACTTCCATCACTCAAGGTTTTGTTCGAAGGCAGCCTCATATCATCCGTCTTTGACTGTTTCCGCATCCGCAGTCGCTCTTCAGGAGAGACATTCTGCCATTCTGCCCCAAAGGTAATAACAGAAGCTTTTTTGCCGTGGACAGTAAAGCTGCCCGAGACTCGGGGCAGACCCTCAATTTCCGTGGAAGGAGCACCATCCTCACTCGGCCCCACTCCAGAAACTGGGTCTTTACCCTTGCGGCTTCTGTGGTGGCTCGGAAGATGAGAATCCCTCAAGGTACGATGCAGGCTTCGCCGAACCTTCGACCGGCTTTCCGGTGACTCAGCGTCGTAAGATATGCTCGTGCGCCCATCATCATCCGGTCGCTTCTCATCAGCCGCGCCTAGCCCTGGTGTATTTGAAAGAGTTCCTTCAGGGCCAACGACCATGGTCTCGGCAGGCGCATCTTTGCCATCGTCTTGTCGGCCAGGAACAGGGGTTGGTGACTGTGCATTCTGTTCCAAGGCACTGGAGAACGTATGACTACTATGCGCGCTGGAGATCGATGGGCGGTGGGTAAGACTTTGCCGACTTGGACTGATGGTTGAAGGGAACTTAGCCTGCCCTTCGATTGACGCTCTAGGCATAGTTGCCGGCTCAGCGACATTTTCCGTGCGTGCATTTTGAGACCGATTAGACCGTGTCTCAAATTCTTCATCCACGCTGTGGAAGCTATCCTTGGGGCTGGCGATTGAAGCCGAAGTCTTCGATGCGGGAGAAAGTGGGCCGTCAATAGGTTTGACCTCCTCGCCAACGTGTGCAAGGGTTGCAGGCAACGCTGAAGCAGCTAGGTCAGAGTGAGCAACAAGTTGGTTGCGAGTTTGCATGCCACTCAGAGTGCGTCTTTCTTCATCCAAGTCCATGTAAAGTATTTCCCGGTGACATTTCAGTCGCCAAATTTCCATTCTGAGCCACTTGAGTTTAGCGGACATGCGACCAGCGCTGAGAATGACCTGATCTCTGGTCTTTGATTGTATGGGGGCCAGGATTTGGAGATGCCGCGCATTTCTCAGCTGGGCTTCGAGCTGCGTACAAATGTGGCCCAACTTTTCATCCATCTCCTTGATCTTCTGCGTCATGATCTGACGTCTCGCCGCTAAAATCTGCTGCGCGAGTGGGGTATCAATTTTGCCACTTGTAACAGTAACCTCTCCAGTAGGTGTCTGAATAGATTGCGTTGAGCCGGTCGAGTCCACATTCCGGACCGTTCGATTACGTTGCATTTCAGAATGCCCACCAACAAAGCCTCTCATGCGCACACCAGCCGTGCGGAACGCTGCTGCATAATTGAGTTTACAGAGCCAATCATTCATCTCGTTCTCAGTGTCTGCTAAGAAGGTCTCTTCGAAGCCCCCATGCCGGACAAAGACGAATGCATGTTTGTGCTTTTTATAGCTAGAATCCAGCAAGGCAACGGCATCGTCAGTCGACATTGAGGCGTCAGGTTTGAAGTGTTCTAGCGGTGGCCGAAACACCACTGGAGTTGTCGAATGACCCTGTTTGTGATGCGCGTCATGCTGATGGATTAAGTTCTTCACCCAAGCGGTGTTGCGGAAGAAATATAGCTGAGAACCCGTAAGGATCGCGCCCCACTCTTGCCACGGCGAGCGTGCCTTTTTCTTTTTGATGTCTTTTCGCCAAAGTATGCCGACTTTAGTCACTTTGATATCGACCACACCCGGGTGGGCTTCTTCAGGATTGGTAATCGTATTTGGTGACATGAAAGCTTCAGGGCGAGACCTAGCAGACATAATCTGTAGCACCCCAGACCTAAAAAAAGATCGATGAATGTTGGCGAGGTCTAGGCTCTGGGCAGTGCCCAAGTAACTGTACGGATCCTCCAATTGCATGACATCTTTTAATGTCGGACGCAGAATTCCGAGTTTGTTATCCAAAATCAGCGCGTAGGGATCAACTGGCTCTCTGGATGTTTTTTGAAAGGATAATTCACTGGCAGTTTTGAAGAGGGCCTTTCGCGGTCTTTGGGGAATGATCCTTTCCCCATTGACGTCCAAGTCATCTTCAACATGAATAAAGGGAGTGTACGAGATATTGTCATAGAAACATTCGAGGATATCGTCGGCAATCCCTTCACCACGAGTGTTCTTTAAATAGTCGCTCTTCTGCATCTTATGCTTGTTGTTCTTATTGAAAATGTCGGTATGAAGGATTAAGATGGAAAATGCAATGAAGTACGCTTGGTCTAGAGAAGCCGTTAGACAACATTTTGAATCATAAATGGGCCAAGGAAACATGGGGAAGGGGGGAAACAACTCACCAGGTGATGCATACACTCCAGGGTTGCATTCATGATAGCGATCCGCGAATCCCTGAAGCACTCTGTCGATCTGCTGAGTTTCCTTGGGCAACTCTACCTCCATGAGCAGTTTTCTAATGGCCATATCAAGTGGATCCTCAAAGAAGCTGAAGCTACGCATATAACTTCGGAGAACGGCTTGGGAGAACTCGTCGCCCGATTTGGAGCAGACGCTTGCAACCACACTCCGGCTCACCGCCTCGGTGAGTCGAGAAAGATATTTGGCAGGAGTGTCGTCTTGTTCTCGTTCAGGTATCGGCAAAGGATTTCGTGCGAGGCTAAAGGAATTCGACTTGGGCGTGGCCGTGCCAGACGGGCCCAAGCCAGAAAAGCTTCCGACCCGCGGCAGGTGCCCATCAGAGTTTTCTCGCACGCGGGTAAAAGAGAACAAGGCGCCAAAGCTGCCGCGGCCCGTTGTCGACGTCGAGGTACGGCCGGACGAGGGTCCCGGAGGGGTAGGCAGAAAACTATCACTGTCGCCGTGGCCTAGAGATCCTACCGTCGACGACCGTTCTCTAAAACTAGGTTTCGAGCTCGGGGGTCCTCCGGGCGAGGATCGTACCGAACGCGTCGAGGCTTTCGAGTCCTGTCTCAGCAAGGGCGGCGCACGAGCAAAGAAGCCACCGGAGGATGAAGCCGCCAAGGCAGATTGCGAGGGAGACGCCAGCGGCGAGCCACGGCTATTCGGGCTGCGAGACTCTTCGAATGATGGATGGAAGACGGAACTCGGAGGGGAGATGGGGGTGGCCGATCGATGGTTTGAATCCGAGACTCTAGAGCTACTGGACAGGCGAGGGGAGCGGTTTGGACTTGCGGACGAGCTCGGCGGAGGCAGCTTTACCGGGAGAGGGAAAAGAGGACGGTGCTTCTTGCGACGCGGGAGCCGGAAGAAGGTCGTGGTGGTGGAGACGGTGTGCGTGGTGGTCGTGGTGCTTGCATATGCCACATGATCGCCTGAACTCGTATCAGATCGGGAAGAGTCTGATAGACGTGAGATGGGCAGAGCCAAAGAGGAGTTGGATTCGTCTCCATAGGCCGGGGGTGGAGGGCCCTGTGGCAGCGTGGTCGAATCTCGATGCTGGGGTTGCCGAAGGTTGATGGCGGAGGTGCTGGGGCCGTCCGTTGTGGAGTCTCGCGGTGGTGCCAGCGCCACGCCTTCTCTCTTCCCTCTAGGCTCTGCGAACGAGAAGCGATGTCGAGGGGATGCAGGCGGCCGAGCGTCGCCGAGGCGTCGTGGAAAACCAGGCACTTTCAGCTTCGTTTTTCGTTTCGGAGGAGCAACATTTTGGTCCATTGTAGGAGCGGTGGTAATGATGGCAGGTGCTGAATAGAAAAGGAGTTTAGTATCTAGGTGATTCCATGCGCAATAGCATCAGAGGAGGGAGAGATGAGAACTCACTCGAGGGTACGTCGGGCACGGGGGGAACCGGTCCGGCGGCAGCAGCAGCAGCAGCGTGTTCTTTTGCTCTTTGGGAGAGCTGTGGATCTGAAGCATAACGGAGCTTCAGCATACTAAAACGCTTATGCTTGGAGGACTGCTCCTGGATTGGTGGACTGGGCGGAGCTCCAGAAGATGGTCTGGTCACATCCTCGGATCCGGAAAGGGCAGGCGAGAGGACATCAGTGGAAGGCGTGTCTCCTCCATGTTCCAAGGACGACGAAACTGGAGGGGTTTGTGAGCGCTGGCGCGGTAACTGTTCGCTGTGCCGAGGGTCTTGGTGCGAGGTCTCGACTCCGCTCTGATGGCGGACGTCCTCAGTGCTACGGTGGATGCGTAACCCCTTCAAAGGCATTATCCAAGAGGACATAAGCATAAATCATGAAACGGTCGTCATGAGTGCGGAATGGGCCCAGCCGGGGCGTTTGGTGCTGAAAGCTTTCTGGGGCGAGAGGGGTTGTTGCTTCAGTGCCGGTTGCGGGATGTTATTGCGTCAGGGCGAAGGTGCGAATGTGGCAGCAGCAAGGAATGAGCAGACGCGAAAGGAAGCGGTAGCTTGCTCAGAGTGACAGCCACGAACGGAAAGGCGATAGTTTCAAGACTGCTGTAAGTTGTGTTTGCCTTTCTATTCCGCATCGACCAAGGTGAGCAGGCAAGGGGACCAAGGGGATGATCGTAACTGCGAGGGAAAAGAGTAGGAGTTTTGTGTTGTTTCGTCCGAATGACCGTCTTGGCCCTTTTTCGTTTGTGGGCAAGGTGTTTCCAAGATTGGTGGTTGGAGGTGCGGTGGTGGTCAGAATACAGAGGTATCAAGTCACTTTGTACCTCACTGTGGATTGATTGATTGATTGCCGTATCTCGTCCAGGTACTACTCCGGTATAGTTGGCTGCAAGCTACAAGTACAGGCAAGATGCGTAATGATGCTGTCGTCGTTCTTGTTCCTTGTGTAACTTACGAGTAAGCAACAGAGCAAGAAATGGGACCTTTTTTCTCGTGCTGCTTTGTATCCGGGCGGGCTGACGTCTGAGTATCTTATGTTACTTTTTCTTACGACGACTTTGTTCCCTATTCTGATCCCCTTAAACTCAAACGACCCTCTCTCTCTTTCTCTCTCTCTCTCCTCTCTCTTTTTCCTGCGCTGTACTGTATCTAGTATAACGGGACCTGCCCGTTCCGATCCCTATACTTGGCTTGGGCCTGGGCCTAGGGCGGCGGGTCCACTGTTCACGCCCCCGGATGGAGAAGACACTTTCTGTACGCGTACAGCGACTTACTGATCGGATACTACTGCACAACACTAAGGTGGACCACTCGGCTATTTCCATCGGTAGGGAACTCTACAAAGGGGATTATGCGAGTGACTACGACAATCCCATTCATTCATTACTACCTACCTTAGATTCCTTTGGATCCTTTGGAGGAACGAGAAAGAAGATTTTTTTTTTGGCAGCAGGGTGATATTCAAATCTCGGCTCAGCAATTGAGCGTATGAGGGCCTATGGTATCGTAATAGCTCCCTAGTCGAAACGAAGCCATTGCTGATGGTCGAAAAGGCCTTGGGCTAAGTAAATACGCTATCTTCTGTTCTTGGGTGTCACTATCAGCCCCTTCTAGGATTGTGTGGCCCAATGGGTAACAAATCCATCTGAATTGGGTAGCCACGTCGAGCAGTCGAGCGGAAACCCCCTCGCTCCAGCTCGCCCCGCCTTCTCTTCCTGTCAAATGTATTGTTGCCGGTGAGGGGAGCACCGTAACACCATTAACATAACCGAGCACTTCTGTCTTCCGTACTCGTTCTAGAAGTGCCAACGACTCAAAGACCAAAGACCAATAGGCAAAGAGCTTCAAGAGGGCACCCAGTCTCCAAAGCAAATTTCAGTCTGCAAGTAATTCAAGTATAGCGGTGTGATGGAAATTTATATCTCTGGAGCTCGCCAAATAGAAAGATATCTGTACACGCTCCACAGGAATATTATTATCAAAGGGCAATAAGCAAGGTTCTCGACATTATCACTATCTTAGCTCTCTGCTCTCAGTCAGGGACCTAAACTTTGCTTCACTGCCCCTTGCCCAGTCTTTCCCTCTATCCCGTCTCCGCCACCACAAAAGTAAAGGAATTGCGACCTGGCCGAATTTCGGAGAGTTGGCAGGAGGTTTGATCCTGCTCGCTGAGCCGCTGTCTGCCCATAACTGAAGTACCTAAGGTAGAAGAGCGAGCCTCTGTTGGTCAAGGCAATGAATACGATAAGGCCATTCACTCGTTTCTCCGCCCTGCTTCGCAAGAAACCGTTTCTTATGCCTTCTCCCGGGCCACCTTTACCGCCCGGTATACTCGTTGATGAAGAGATCTCGCCAGTATACGATTCCAAGTACTTCTACCCAGCGAAGCCTGGAGACGTACTCGCCGATCGTTACCAAACCCTGGTCAAGATTGGCTGGGGCGTTTCTTCAACAGTATGGCTCGCGCGTGATTTGCAAGAGTAGCCTTCAATAATTTCTGTTCAGTTCGAAGCTTCTCCCTGTCTCTAACAAATATACAGGCATATTGAAGAGCCAGAGAGCGTCGTGACACTAAAAATCGCTAATAACAATGCGTTCTCCGCTGGTCATGAGCGCGAAGTTGAAGAGCATATTTCCACGACAAACCCATCACATCGCGGTCGCTCACTTATCCGAACATTATTAGACTCTTTTGAAGTGAGGGGACCAGAAGGTTCTTATTTATGTCTTGTATATCCGCCTATGAGGGAGCCATTGTCGATGTATCAGCGGCGCTTTGACGACAGAAAGATGCCACTGCCCCTTATTAAAACATACATTCGTGCTCTTCTTACGGGTCTTGATTATCTGCATAAGGAATGCAGGACGGTTCATACAGGTAGCTTCATCTTCGCTTTGCTTCCCGTCGGTAATACTGAGCCCAAGTGGCTGCCTAGATCTAAAGCTTGAGAACATTATGGTCTCATTCGAGGATTCATCTGTGCTTGCTGATTTCTTGGATTCCCAACTTGAAAAACCAATGGCTTTCAAGATTGATCCGGTGGGGCGACCAGTGTATCAGTCCCGTAATGACTTTGGGCCACTCAAAAGCCTGAGAAGTATACCACAGCTTGTCGACTTTGGCGTGGCAACCAGACTCGAGGAAGACGACGACTGGGGCGTTTGGCCCATTCAGCCAGACCACTTTCGGGCACCAGAGGTGATACTGGGGAATGGATGGCAAATGCCTGCGGATATTTGGAATCTTGGTGTTCTGGTACGTTCCGTTCTTCTGCAGAGGTGTTGCACCCACTAATACCAGACCAGTTGTGGGATATGATCGGAGGCAAAGAGTTATTTCGGCATATTCATGATCAAGAAGGTCGCTACGATGCTAAATTACACATTGCCGAAATGATAGCCTTACTCGGTCCACCTCCTCCAGAGGTCATACAAAGGTATCAGTATATGCGAGAGTACTCGTGGCCGAATCCTGTCAGACGAGAAGACAGCAGATTATGCGAGACCGCGGAGGAGTATTTCTGTGGGCCATTCTTTGACGAAAAAGGTATTGCTAGGTTTCCTATCTCGAACTAATTATTCTCAGACTTACGAGACATCTTAGGTCGCTCCCTCTACGAAGACCTGATTCCTGATCGCAAACTAGGCGACACAGCTTCATTCCTTGGGGGAGAGGAGAAGGAAGCGTTTTTGGATCTCGCCAAGGGAATGCTTGTCTGGCACCCAGATCTGAGAAAAACGGCAGGCGAACTGGCAGGGCACCATTTTCTTCAACCAAAGCAAACAAGCGCCTGATTTCTGCGAGCGTTTGCTCGCGGAATGACTCGACTTCGTTCTTGTTCCCAGTTTTAGCGATGCCATCAGATTACCGGTTGAAGCGTTAATGTAGTAGTCTTTTTGAGTCTTTTTGAGTCTTTTTGAGTCTTTTTGAGTCTTTTTGAATGGCATCTAATAGAAGCTATGGTAACCATTGATAAGTGCTTCCATTTTTGGTCCTGATCTCATGATTTTCAACTGGAGGACGTGTAGATTTCTTTCTAGCCTCGGCGGTGGTTAGAGGTCGTTGGACAATATCGATGTCCCCTAGCGTGTTCGCCGCTGCAGTCGAGGCACGGGGCCCTGATTCGGGTATGAGCCACCATAGGCGCTTAGTTCCCTTGGGTAGGTGGACCTGGTGGGTTGCTGCGTAGGGTAACCTTTATAGCTGTCCTAGGGGAGTAGCCAATTCAGCCATCAGGAAACGAGGAAAGTAGATCTCGGAGATCGCTTCCGAAAGCTCAACTCGTTGCGGGACGCTTCATCGACGCTACATTGTGCTCAATTAAAGGCGTAGGAGCTCAATTGTGAGCGTATTGCCATGCCAACATGCCCCGAACAAACCTAATTTGTTTGTTCGGCGCGCTTCTTGTTTTTGTGCTCGCTCCTTTCGCAGCGGCCGCACCCTCTCCCGCAGGCAGCAGGCCAACCTTTGCAGCATCAAGAATATCCAATCTTATCAATAATCTACATGTTCCACAGCGACCGTGGCTCGCATTACGGGACACTGTGATTCAGAAGATATGGAGATTGCCTGCTCAAAGTTCGGTCGTGAGTAGCCACCGTCGTGAGAGCCTCGTTGGCTCAGGGCCTCCGCCGGAGCTGGTGGCTCGATACGGAGATGACGTGGTGCTCCGCTTCAATGTGAGCACGACTGACGAGGCCAAGTCCTTGACCGAAGCTTCCACCGTTCTCTTTCTCGATGTGTGGGAGTTTGGTGAGAATTGGGTGGACATTCGGATCGCCAAAGCTGTGGTATGCTGTCGTCATTGCGCATTCAGCTGTAGAAATGAAATCAGTCATTGCTCACTTGCTCTTCGCAGATTCCATCTTTATTGGGCCTTCTTCCTCCGTCGCTGCAGCATGCTCATACGCTGTTGATGAACGATCTCGCTCAAGTGATCTATAACTCTTATCCGAAACCGATTCTTCCGGGCCACAGTCTGGCTTCGTCCCAGGACAATCGTATCTTTGGTCCTGCGCTCAAATCAAAGTCTGCAGTAACGGAGCAGAATGTTTTCTTTCAGGACTACCAGCCTCTGTCCGTAATCATCCCATGGATGCGACTTCTACGGAGCCTTTTTCCCTCCCACGTACGGATTATCGACGTTGGTGTGTCTTCCGAAGGCCGAAGCATTCCTGCCCTCCGCGTAGGAGTGCATCCGACCAATTCTCAGAGACAGTCGGATGCGCGTAAGACTATAATCGTTGCCGGTGGCTCCCATGCCCGTGAATGGATTAGCACTAGCACAGTCAATTATGTTGCCTACAGTCTGATAACTGCCTACGGAAAGGATAAAGTTATGACTGAGTTGTTGGAGAAATTCGATTGGATCTTCATTCCAACAATCAATCCGGATGGGTACGCATATACATGGGAAGTCGATCGACTTTGGCGAAAGAATCGGCAAATGACCAGTCTCCGATTCTGCCCCGGCATCGACTTGGACCGCTCATGGGACTTTCAGTGGGACGGTGAGCGTTTCAGAGGCAATCCCTGCTCAGAGAGCTTCGCCGGCGAGGCGCCATTCCAAGCAGTTGAGAGCCAGCGCATTGCGGAATGGGCAAAGAACGAGACAGAGAGTAACAATGTCGAATTTGTTGCGTTTTTGGATTTGCACTCGTACTCGCAACAGGTGCTTTATCCTTACTCTTACTCTTGTGACGCTGTCCCACCTTCGTTGGAGAACCTGGAAGAGCTCGCCATTGGATTGGCCAAGGCTATCCGACTTTCCAAGGGCGAGAGGTACGATACCCTTTCGGCATGTGAAGGAAGTGTCGCCATGGCCGGCAAGAAACCGGGAAGAATCTTTCCACGCATGGAGAGCGCCGGTGGGAGCGCTCTAGACTGGTTTTATCACGAATTGCGCGTGAAATATGCGTATCAGATCAAATTACGTGATACCGGAAGCTACGGTTTCTTGTTGCCGAGGGAGAACATTGTGCCAACGGGAAAGGAAGTCTTTGATGCTGTCAGGTACCTTGGTGACTTCCTTTTGGGCAACAAAGGCATTGAGTTGGAGGGCGACGCCTCGCAAGACTCTATCAAAGAATCTTTGGCGCCAGGCTCTCCTTCGATCGATGAGACGAGTGCTGCACTTGGTAACATGGCCGGCAGTGACGCCGAGGATGAGGGACAAGAAGAAATGATGGACGTGGATTGGGAGCTGCGGCGAAGGCGTAGAAGATGATGGCTGCAATTCTGTGTGGTGCATTTTTGATTTGTTCGACTGTTATACCTTCAACATATCTAAGCCATGGCTTAGCTTGACGACATTTGAGGCGTTTCATGGAGGATTTTTTTCCCGAAGATAAACTAATTGTTAATTGTCACTATTCTTTCAAACATTCCATTTACATTTCTCTATCATTGGTAGATAATAAGATTGTCATGATGGCATAGCTCAACACTCGGCCGGCATATTAACAAGAGATCTTTTCCCCCCTTGAGGTTTCTTCCATCCAATGGAGATGGTTAAAAGTAACGTTGAGTGTCCTCTGGTTTGTGATTGCGTGGGGTCCAACAAACGCAATCACACAGTTGTGAAAATGGCTTGCGTCTAGGCAAGTGGCTGATCCATATCACTCGTTGGTGATGTATTCGATATTGATCATCAAAATCCAGTTGGCAATGTGATGATGCAGAGTGCGTTGATGGGGCCCCTTTTTAAGAATCTCCTCTTAAAGCAACGGAATCTTCAATGGTTCTCAAAGAAAGGGCATATCTCGCTATATCACTTTGTTGTGACACATCCCACAAATGATTGTCAATAGGGGATTGTGACGATAACACTGTACTGATTTGGTCAAAGCACCCCTATATGAGTCTAGCAACTATTCTACCTGTAGCTTGTAATTCGTTACTCCTGTCTCTCTCGAGCACACTTTATCATCACAGCATTTAAGCGCGGAAAACGGTGGCGTCCGAGCTAAACCACAATCCCTGTCGATGTTGGTTCCTGAACGGCTCGCCTCGCAGAGCGCCTGGCGCTTCGTTGACCTCCCCTGCCAACGGATTGGTCGAGAGACCACTCTAGTATACAGCCTCCTGCAGAATCGGCATCTTTGAACCTATGGAAGAAGCTCAGCCATCTTTGACTATGATATATTCATAACATATCGCATTTGTCGTGCTTCAATGGCACGATAGATTTGACCCACCAAGCGTTCAAGCCCAACCACACTTGACGACACCATCTCGTTCAGCCGTCCGCCACGCGGCGAGTGATTATCCTCGTAAAGCCATGCACTAAGGACAAATGCTATGCTGATCTTCTCCAAGGTCCGAGGTCAAAAAAGCGAAATGCCCTGCAACGCGATTATTTAAAGTTGTGCAAGGCTTGGTGATCTCATGTTTATTGGACCCTGCACCCTGCTCAACCCCCCCCCCTTGCACCCTTGAGCGATGTTGTTCGGCAAGCACAGTTGTACTTTCTGGGAAAGTACTAAACTTTGAACCGTCTCTATTTGTGATGTTGGTGTTGCAATCTTCCGTAATGGTATTGTCTGTGCAGCACACCCATCTGCCACGCGGAGATTGGGCCTTTTTATTGCTTTTGCTTTGGTGGACGGATCGATAGTTTGTGCTATTGATATTCTCAACGCATCTCCTTCCTCTTGTCTTTTTTCCCTTTTCTTGTTTCTTCAGGACGGGTGCTTTTTTCTCGCTCTCCTCTCTGTCCTTCATTGGCAGATCTTTGGCATATCTTTGTCAGAGGAGAGAACCCATCTTCTTGGAATCCGCGTCTTCTTCCTCTTGCGAATATTACTATATCGTCTTTTCCCTGCAGAGCTTTAGAAAGGCTTAACTGACGAATGTCAACAATAAAAGAAGAGAAGAAAAAGACCAGATCACGCCCAAGATGTCTCCATCAAAGATCTCAAAAGGGATGATCTCCAACCCGGTGTCTCCTGTCCCCAATTATCTCGAGATGCAAAATCTACCGGCTTTTCTCATCCCCGCGCTGGAGTACATTTCACGCAAGTTACAGGAACGAGCTCTGCACCTGACACTCATCGTGAGTCGTGGCCTCACACAGGACCTGCAGATCATCTTCCCTCAGCGCCTCAGCAGCAAGACGCACCATATCCTTTCCAAGGCTGTGGCAAAAGCGTGTCTTAAGTTCCCCCTGAGCAGAACATGGCTCGAGACTCTACTACTTCCTCCTTCACCTACATCATCTCCTGCTCCTTCAAACACATCAACGGAGCAAAATGACAACTCTACCGAAAGCAATGGCTGGAGAAGGAAGAAAAGCCGATCCCGCGAGGCCAGCAAGCCCGAAGCCAATGTGGATGACGACCGTATCCACTCACATCTCGTTCGACGCTCTCTTATCCAAAACGAAGTCCTCTATTCGGCGGAGGGTCTTACATTTCTCGCCGTCGACTATCTCTACGCTCTCAAGTGCCACTTGCGAGACGTTGCATTGACCCAGTCCCCCGACGCTTTGGAGAAATGCGTCGAGGCACTGCACAAGGTGATAGCTTCTCATGACGGCCATCCCATCACAAAGAAATATCTAAAGCGTACCTATAAACACATTCACCTAACCGATGCCAACGACCACGAAGATGATCTCGAGAGCAACACGGCACAAGACGTCGAAGTAGCCGAGGATATGCTCATGCATGTAGTGCACGACGCATATCTTCTCAAGTACGGAGATATCGGAATCATGCTTGCTGAACCTGAGCCGGAAAAGGCACTGCCAGAGGCAGATTCTACTCCTGTACAGCCTCAGATCCATCAACCCACTGCATCCGCTCGTCGACCTGGGCCTCGCCCTCTCCCTCGTCCCGTGCCGCCTGCTGAGCAGTCTCATCCATCTTCCTCCTCCTCCTCCTCCTCCTCCTCCTCCTCCTCCTCCTCCTCCTCTTCTTCTTCTGCTACTTCTCTTCGAGATCATACCACCGCTGTTCCACCTCCACCTCCACCTCCGCCTGCATTTGCACCTCCACCCGCATTAACTTCGCTCGTTCCTGTGTCAAAGCCCAAGGCGACAAAGGCCACTGGACCTGACTTTGCTGAAATCATTCCTGAAGAGGAATACTACACCTCTCGAACCACGATTCTTGCCGCCAACAACAACAAAACAAATCCTTGCCCTCTCACCCAGTACACTACCCTTCTCCCCCACCTTGACGTGAATTATCAATACTCTTTGCCGCAACGGCAGACCTGCGACCCGATTACCCCAAACTCGCCGAGCCAGGTCACGCCAATTACGCGCACCGAGTGGAACATCTTGATCGGATTACAATGTTGAAGAGGGTCGTTCAAAGATCACCGTCTATCTTGTACTTCACAATTACTTCACAATTACTTTTTCTTTTCTTTTTTCCGGGTCAACTTCTTTTCATCATATTTATTATTAGTATCTTTTCATTTCTTTCCTCCTAGGCTTTTATTTATTATTACTATCTTTTCATCCATTCATTCATTCATTCATTCTCTCTTTTTTTTCCCCCTCTTTTCTTTCTTTCTTTCTTTATTTCTTTATACTAATTCTTTCCTTCTTTCTTCCATTCTTCCATTCTTCCATTCTTCCATCCCCCCCCCCCAACCTTTCCCCCGCTCCTCAAGATTGTAGTCAATTCAACCCACTCATACACTATCCACTCTTTTCTTCCCATCCACTGCCGCAACACGGGCTGGATTGTCTCAATTCTCATATTGGGCCTGTGATAATGTGATAATGTGACAATTTCCCTTCTCTCTTGTGCTCAACACATCAACACATCAACACAATGGACACCTCGCTGCTGCTTGAACCCTCGAATTGTCAACTTACAATATATTGACCCAGACGAAAAGTAAATAACCTATTGTCTGCAAAGAAAACCTGACCCAGCAAAGCCCCAGAATCCCAGAACTCCAGAACCCCAGAATCCAGAGCCCTCGTAGATTCGTAACCCAAGGGACCGACATGGATATAAATTAAGCACAAGAATAAATCATGATAAGATGATGACACTCTCTCCTTAAACGAAGATGGCTAACGTGACATTATTGGACATCGCTATCCTGAGTAATCTCTACAACATTTTTCGGGGTTTATACTTAATAATTAGGATATGTCATACTACTAGTACAGCATCACTTGCTTATACGTGTACATCTGTAATTCATCCGTAACAGGTATTCATACAATCAACCCTCTTAGGAGCCATTGATATGCTCATTGCTCTTCTCCTCTGCATGCTACCTCCCCCATTGATATGGTATATCTCTCCCAACAACAAAAAAATGAAATAAAACAACACAAATGGAAATGGAAATAAAAATATAAAATGAAATAAAAATAATAAAAGGGAGCCCGGTAAACCAAGACCAAGAAAAGGATCCAACCACAGTATCCTGGACCAAACCTGCATATTTGCCAAAAACGTAATATATACACTCACTTCCCTACGATGGGCCTGTTGTCCAATCATTCCTCATTCTTCATACTTCCCCCCACCGACAAACGCAATATTACTATGTTCCAGCTTATCCTTGATAAACTCATACACTGTAAACGTGACTGCCTGGCCGGGGGCGACGCGCATGATTCTGGGCGTTATGCCCTTATAAAACGCGCGCGAGCCTTCCTGCTTGAACATGTCTCGCGTAATGGTCGTGATGCGCGACATGGCAGTTTCGCCAGGCAGGCCTGGCGTTTTCTGCAGGCGGGTTTTGATCGTGTCAATGGGGGCGTTGGACAAGGGGCCCATGGCGCCAGAGATGAGACCGATGACCATGGTCTGGTAGGACGGCAGTTCTGTGTTTGCGTACGCGGGTTGTGCTTCTTTGAGCCATTGCTTGAAGTAGCTGTATGCCGTGAAATTTACTGTTGGCACCAGACGTAATCAGCAGAGTAACTTTTGGGGGGAAACAACATTTCACCCCGTTTGACTAAAAAAAAAAATAAAAAAAGAAAGGGAATTGAAAGGTGCATGGGGACAGCTGGACATAGGACAGAGGATATAGTATATACCAGCTTGATTTGTTCCTTGTCGCAGCGCTGTCAGTGTCACACCACGGTATAACGACCCAACGCCCTCTTCTCTGAGCAGGAGGAACAAGGCGTGTGCGGCGTTGCGGTATTTTGGAATGTCTAGTGGATCGGCCATCGAGTGATGTTGTGCTTGGAGTCGAATCTTGACGACTTCCATAGGCGTCACGACGGCCACGGCTTCTGTCACGCCTGCCAAAAGTCCAGCTGAAAGGAGTAACCAAAATTGCGTCAGTCAGTCTTCTCGTTCATTTACGCTCATACGATCACAAACAACAAAGGGGGATACGTTCGCTTTTCAAGGGAAGAAATTCTGCTTACCCAGAAAGGTCGCTCGTCCGCTGACGACTTTTGTCTCCTTATCTGCTAACAGTTGTTTATACCATTCGTACGAGGTGAATCGAATCGCCATTTTGGGTACGATTCCCGTCAGAACGGCTCCGAGACCTTTATATAATGCTAGTGGTGTTTCTTTGCGGACAATTTCCGCGCCAGTCTTTATGAATCCACGTCGTTTTGTCTAATGATTGAAACACGTCTTCTCTTAGTGTTTGCGTTTCTCGTGGATTATAGTGCTTGTGCGGCTGATGATAACCTACCCCTGGTGCTCGTCCCCGTCGTGACAGTTGCATTCGCACTTTTATCGTGTCTTTTGGATAAATCGTCAGGGAAAACAGTTATTTAGTTGACTTGAATAATATTGTCTCTCACCGAGCGGATGACATGCCAGCGCTTCCATCATACCTGCTGCTCCACCGGCTGTTTATGAGAGTCGCCATGTCAGAATCGTGTATCGATATCGCGCAGTTGCAATTCTTCAAGAGCTATTCCCACTCACCGATGAAATTCGTTGCAGCTGATGCTGGCTGCTTTCCATTTTGGCTTCTTCCCGCCATAATTACTCAGAGAGCTGCTGCGCAGCAAAATCACTCTCGTTACTAGCTTTTATACAGAGCAACCCAGATATCTGGAAAAGAATTACATGCGTTCTTCACCGACATATAGTGGGGAAAGAAAAGGAAATGAGGAATGACTCAATTTCTCTCTGAGAGAGAAAAAACAGCAGGACATAAAATCATGGGCATGTGCTATAATACAGTACAATCACAAGCTCCTCAAGCAGGGTGCCCGGGAAGTTTAAAAAGCAGCCTTGGGCCGAGAAAACCCCAGAGTCCAATGACCAGACTATGGCCCGGAATGGGAACACCTGCCGGGAACTAGGGGAGCATGGGGTAAAAGGGCAAAAGGGCTGCAAATGGGCGAACGGAACGCTGAAGATTCTGCCAGGCACAACACGGCGTCCAAGCACAGCGCCTCAAGACGAAAAGGGGACCTGAAAAGACCGATGACATATTATGGTCCTCGGCATGGCTGACGATGCGAAGGGACCAATAGCGAGACATTGCTATGACAAGTGATGCGCAACGACTCTTGTCATCGTATAGAGGAATAGCAAAACCGTTCAATAGGGCAAAAGCGCACATGGGATCTCAGGGTATCTTCGTCATTTGGTCGGTTGCGGGGGAATTTGGGGGGAGAGACCGCCCCGGTTAAAGGGAGGACTATCGCCTTTTCGGTAATACGCGGGGGTTTCTCCGCAATGCCGAGGTCCGCACGTGTTGTGTGACCTGCAACTGAATGGGGACAATAGTGGCTTTCTCCTCAAGAGTATTCTAGAGTACCTAGTTTGAAGTATGGAACAAGAATTTTTAGATACTAGCAAAATGGCGGATTTTATTTCTTCAATGCTGGGTTACTCTATTCTTTGCTGCGCCAAAATATAACACTACATGACGAGCTCATCGTCGTCCCGGTCGCTTGGGTCTGGCAAAGCCAGTCTTTTGTTCTTGTTTAGGATGGAATTCTTCATGCAATACTGATGCACTTATCTCCGAGGGTTCTGATGCTTCGAGCTGTCTCATTGTCAGTTCCAACTTTTTACAACACAAATTGACACCTCTGGACGGCCTTACCTTCTTCGCAATGACGAGACCAGCGTCTCTTTCGGAAAGAATAATCATGCTGGCACGAGACGTCGAATATACCATGCGTTCTTTGATCTTCGACGCGCCGGGGCACGTATATATGAAGACAATCGGCGAATCCTCCAAATCTTCCGAGCCCTTTGAATATCGATAGAATGAATACCGGGGTTCGCTGCTAGAGATGGTGGCACTCAAGCCATCTGGATCTGTAGTGTTTGTGTCGGCCAGCTCAATCGTTTCTCGGGGCACATCGATGCGCTATGAAACATCCCCAAAATTTAGCCCATTGTACGGAGATGAGGTGTTTAGCATCGATCCTTACCAATTGTACTAAATTGAACGATGCGCTCTTCAGGTTCTTCAAGGCGTTCATCGCCTCATCCGAGACAGGAAAGTGGACCAGCGACTTGACGTGGTTTGACCGTGCTGTTGTTCCACCGCTGATTTCCGCCTCGGCTTCCTTGACGATTTGCAGCGATTGCTCCTCCTCCGTCAGAGGCGCCTTTGTCTCGCCATGTTGATCATGTCTCTTCCAGCCTTCAGCCGTCAGTTCTTCCTTTGTTGTTGCAAATAGAGTCTCGCGAAATCTCTCCGTGCCCAGCTCCCTCACAAGAGTTAGTCTCGTAGAAGCAAAGAGCATCTTCTGCCGAACGTTTGCCGTGTCGGGAACATAAGTGACGGCAACGAAACCGTCAGGGGCATCGTAGCGGCGGAGAATCACGTAGGCAGCCTCCTTCTCTTTGAGCAATGAGTCGAGAGACGAGACGTCGGACAAAAAGTCGGGAGTCGTCAGAGGGATAGTCTGAATAGGGACGAGCTGTTCCCGGTCGATGCCTGCTAGCAAGCCGCGCTGAGAAGGTGACGACACAAGCTCATTGAAGGCTTGTTGGAGCTCCTTTGAAGCTAGCACATTGTTACTATCAGAAAAACTAAAAAATTTGAGAGTATTTCACTGACCAGAAATTCCTGACTGCATCTTGGACGTGACTTCTCGCTGTCCTGGTCGTAGATGTTGACAGCAAGCGGTCTGGAGGTTGTGACATTAAACAATGGTGGGGTAGTCCCGGCGACAGGGCGACAGGGCGACCGGACGGAGCTCTCGTTCGCGAGCCTCCGTTGCGCTCAAACTGGCTGTGTTGCTCCGAGGGCTCGTCACCCCGCTGTGCTGCGACCCTGAATTGCGCTGCACCATGCAAAAGAAATACGGGCTCTAATTGCAATATCCTATCCTTAAACCATCGAAAAGGATATGGAGAACCTTAAAATACCGCCGGGGACGTTTATCCCCCCATTGCGATTCGCAGTGGTCGAACCGCATCTTTATCGAGGAAGCTATCCCCGCCCATTGTACGATCTCATTACCGATCTTTCAAGGACTTGGGGAAAGCATGCTGACAGTGTAAACAAGGAATCTTGGATTCCTAGAATCACTTAAGCTTAAGACCATCATATCACTCACGCCTGAGCCATTGTCGCAAGACATACAGCGCTGGGCTCACTCCCACGATATATCCCTGGTTCACTTTGCACCAGTCAAGGGCAGCAAGAAAGAGGCGCCGCTTGACAACTCAGAGGCTACAAAAGTGGTGGAATTAGCTCTCAATCCAGAAAATGCGCCCATGTATATACACTGTCTGAATGGAAGCGGTATGTCAAGCAGAACCCTTCGGTGGGTGCGGGGCTTTTACATTGTATTATACTGACCAGTTCCTTGTTTGTTGCTACACAGAAGTTACTTCGATTGCAATTTGTGCGTTGCGGAAGCTTCAATTTTGGTCTCACCCCGTCATATTTTCAGAAATGATACGGTTCTCGGACATACATTCGTACTCGGAGAGATTTCTTGAGAATTTTGGCGGCGTAGATACTGGTGTTGATATCGTGATACCCAAAAGAAGAGTTGCTTGGCTTTGGCAAGGTCTTGTTGATGAAAAGGGGAAACTACCGGAAGCTTATACTGGCCTAAAAAATACAGCCTGGGCAATGAACATACGATACGAGGATGAGCAGCTAGAAGCTGAGCGGGTCGCGATCGAGGAGAAAGACAACGATACATATGAAATGACACGATGGCGATCTGGCGTAAACGGCATAACCATGATCACGGAGAATCAATCGACGGCAATTCCAGACGGCGACACTCCGATTTTATAGGAAATCAAGCTTTAGGGGGAAAGGTATCAATTCAACCGGTGAACGAAGCAGTAGTCCAACGGGATGCGATTATCTAATGTCATCCTGATGACGAATTTGAGTGCTCCATAGGCACTCCCCAAGGAAATAAAGAAAGCCAAGAAAACCCGGCAAAACGAACGAGGTAATGAGTGTATCCGAATCCATCCGGCCCGAGCGGAATCATTGAAGACGATAGAATGGAAATTGACCCGGGTGCATCATTGTTTCGGTATGGTAAGTGTGCTCCTGCACAATGAGTTTTAAATTGGTGGGGGCGCGGCGCTGATGATAGAACTCGCCATTTTAGTAATTGACGTAAACAAAGGATATCCAATGGCTAAAGGATGAGAGATTCCAGCGTACCTTTATCCCACTGGCCTTGCTTGTCAGCCCCCTTGGACACACTTTGAACAGTTGCCGCACTTCAGGCTACTGGTCAAATCACCCATGTTGGTCTCGCAGCGACAGCCGATTTTGTACGACTTGACGACTGCACCGCAGGAATGCTTAATGTTGTTATAGCACATTTTGAAAATAGAATGAATTGACGCAATTCAATCAATGCTGCTGTCTGAATGAAAGATTAAGAAAAAGGAATCAATTGCGACCTGGAAGAAAATATTTGCGCGATGTCGTATGCTCGCGTCTTGTGGGGGTATCTCTGAGGCAAAAGTTTTGCGTGATATCTATCGTCCGAGCTTCGATTGATGGTCGAGGTCTTCGTCGGAGAGAGAGGCACAGCCTGGTCTTTGATGATGAACTTTGTGTGATGGCAATAATAGTAGGAAGTTGCTGGTGAATGAAAGTGAAGGACTAGGAGGAAGAATTGTGAACGTTGGGTTCAACTCGACCGTCCGGCGGTAATTATGCGTTCTGGTCCCTGGAGAATTGAGAAACAGAACATGTCAGTTCAGTTCGGACAGTCCGCGACAATGTGATGCCCGACGGCGTGCCGAATGCTCGTGACAACTGCTGATTGCCAGCAATGCCAGTGTCCGCAAGGCAGTACCACCGGGCGTTTCCGAGAGCCAGCTCCATACCGTGTCTCCGGGATCCCCGCAGCGTTGAAGAAGAAAAAAGATGATGAGCGTTTTCGGTTGGTAGTAAAGGAGCGACGATGGTTAATTGTATGGTAGCAATGCAACGGGAAAAAGAAGGTAAAGTTTGCAGACGTTTCAAAAGAAATGGAAGAGGGGGTGGGTAGAAAGGGAATACGAAGGAGCCACATGCACAGGCAGAAAAGAAAGAAACTTGCTACGCCTCTTTTCTCTGCTAAGCCTTGCTGGACCAGGGTGGTCTCTTCGCTCTCTTCCTGGGAATATCATCCATCACGGTAGAGTAGCTCTAGAGGGCCCGAAAATTTCCCAAACGATGGGGCCGCGGGATGCTGACGCACACGGCGCGACGCCCTAGACGGCCCCAAACGCATAGACGTAGAGTAGACACATGAGACACTAGGTCGGTATCCGCACCAACGGTTCACCCTTTGACGAACCCAAAACCCAACCGGGGCGGCATGTCCGGCCATCGAACCTTTTGGATCCCAAGGGCGGTGTATTATTCAGTCATCGCCCAAGTGTGATTTGGGGAAAGTGCGGTAAAACGGTAGGCAACAGCCGGTGGGATCCAACAGGCGGGCGGAGCTACCTCATCGCCCCCATCCAGCCCTAGCCCGCTAAGTTTATAGCCCGAGACGAGGAGACAAGCCACCACACAGGGGGCCAGGCCATAACTAATGCCCAACTGGAAGAGCCAAACGAAACGTGGATCGTGCAAGTGGAAGTTCTAAACCCACCGGCGTAGTTTAACTGTTCACTTCTCACTCCCACTCCTGCTTCTACTGCGTTCCACGGACACGTTCCAGAACAGCAACAGACCAGAATTAATGTGCTCATAAATTTCCTTTTCCGCCCACTTATCGTAGATGCTCCTGGACATATATTTGGGCGTGTGTTAGGGTAGCAGTAGCACAAGGCATTCCCCTCGGACCAGAGAACTATTGCCAAAAAAAAAAAAAAGAGAACATAGAGAATTGGAAGGAAAACCATTCGACGTGCTTCACCGCCTGATCATCGATGCATGCTGTAGCGTGCATATTGTCTGCAAATCATCAGTCGGATCCCTGACCGTGAGTCAATCTTATCAGCAAGCCAGCCGCACCCTGCCGCATGTTCTCAATGCATGTCAATAATGTACCTTGAAAAGCCCGGCTTTTCAAAGCCACAGTAGATGCATATTAATAATCATAGAAACCGAATTGGAAAGCTTTGCTTTTCTTTCTTGCCTATCTCTTTCTCTCGATTACTGTGTCGTTCGCAGGACCAATCCTGTAATTTACGGCAGTATTGTCGAACGGGGAAATCACCCCATTTTCTCACTGGATCTGGTCGCTAATTAGCAAATCGATCTTGGCTGCTTCTCCACCCACAGGATTGACTTTTTTTGGATCACCAATAACAACACTCGTAATCATACCGAGGAGTCTTCCTATGACCAGGAGAGCGGAAACACGGATCTGTGTCCGTTTTCGGGAGGCGCATCCCGCGTCCGTCTCTGTGCGTAGCGAACCAGGCCCGATCGGACGCGACTTGCGACCTACAGTATCCCATAGTACAGAACATTATCATCATAGCACTTTGCGTTGTTTCAAATCGACATCCTTCTGGCGTCATGTGCCCTAGGATTGGCAGGCAGTCAAATCTAAGGAACAAGTCAGAAACTCAACACAAAAAGGCTATCATACGAGTATTGGATACTGACAACGGTTGAGATACCGTAACCTCATTTCATCGTTGGCGTAACGCTTGTTGTGGTGCCCGAGTGGTACTGCGAAGAAAGAATGATACTGATACTGTCAGGCTGCGCCTTACATGAATGACCGTTGATGATAACGAATATGAGCTCATATGCATATGAAGCTGCTTTCAACTCTTTGAGAGATTGTGTTGCGTCAAGTGTCATCAAAGAATGTAATGCACAATCCGAGATTATGAGGCTGTGGCAGGGTTGCATGCAACTACTGTAGCTCCATGTACAACAATCTCTGATCGTGCAGATTTTGTCAAAATAACGCATCTGCAGCTGATTTATGGGGGTGTGTGCCCTCTTGGGTTGACATGCGTGCGCCACGACGGCAACTTGTTTCAAACCCAATCTTATCAGTTGTTGCCCTGTCACTTGATCAAATGCATCAATTTGACTACTACTTGTCACTCCCAGTATTTGATGGCGGAGAATGTTCCGGAGCTGCCAGATGCGAGAGAAGGCATCCAACACTTGTTTCCTCTCATAGCATTTAATCTGCTACTATAGTCTTGTATGCCGTAACAGTGCTGCGTCCAATCGAATGGCTAGACGGGCGGGCGGGCAGTCGGGCGGGAAAAGGATCAGTAAGAAAATACGAACCCCACGGGCACCGCCACGAAAGAGGATCACCTCTTTTTCGTTTCCTGATCGATCATACCCTGTACCTATGGCCTTGATCTTAACTATTGACCACTAAACACTCAACACATCTGTCAAGTGCCACCAAATAAGGAATCCTCAACAACATATTCCCGCAGATGATGACCACATTTTGCTTACTTGCTAAATCGTCTGTGAGCTTGTCTCACGTCGAGTTTTCGCTCCTCTTTTTTTCCCCTCTCTTTCTCTTTGATAGTGATCTGCAACGCTATGATGCAATTTCTGTCTCCATGATCTACTCGCAAGTCCTTTCGGGGAATTGACTTTTTACAATACCGCCGTAGCATTTTCCGTGAGCATCCAGTGCAGTAGTATAATAATCCAGATGACCGGTTTATCGTTTTTTTGCTTCGGATAACTGGGGCGCTCAACGTCCTGTAACTAAAATGCCCAGCTAATCGGCTCTAGCTTCTTAACTAGCCGAGTTACGAAGGTACTGTATTCGTCTAGTAACCAATTAATTCGCGTTCTTGCTTTAAGTCAGGCACCTTACTCTTAGGTAGCTATTCCACCTATCCTGACTCTAGCAAAGAACGAGCCGTCGTTTCCCCTGAACTACCATCCATGTCCGCCACGATACGATCGCCGTCGGCTGGGCTGAAACACAAGTTGCAAAACGGCGGTACAGGACTGGACTCCGTTCCCTTCCCCTCGGACAAGCTCCGCTAATTGAACTGTGGAGCCTTTTACTTCTCTTCCTTTCATCTTTCTATCTGCCGTACGGAGCTCTGCTTTCTTCTTTTTCGCCTCGTTCCATATTCGCCTCATTAATATTTGACTCGAGCACACAAGCTCTCCTGAGTCCCAAATGGAAGATCCTTTTCTTTTTAGGTTTGCACGTACCACATTGCATCATAAAATCATAGCTTCATTGCATCATTGCACGCTTTCTCTCATGCTTTAATAATGAGGCGGTGAAGCAGGTTTACACTGCCAAGCCTCTTTTTTTTTTCTGTCTCGGAAATTTTATGTCCTATTTCTCTGTCAAGCCCCACAAATCCAGAGTAGGGAACAACATTTACAAAGTACAGCACTACAATATTTGTCTCGGTAATATATCGGAGTATAGCACAGTCCGATCGGAACTGCACTTCAGGCACCCGTGATGCCAAGAGACGAACATGGGAATACCCTACAATAGTAGTCTGCGATACGATGATAATCCCAGTCCAGCCAGGGGTATCCTCCTGTCAGTTCTAGAGGCTCTGTTTAGGCAACAACGTTTGACCTGATCAGAATAACGAGGCTGAGTAGGAATATTTCCGTACTGAAAGGATGAATGGTGAGATGGCATATTGAGCCAGATGATCCAATTTTGGTCCCGATAATGAAGACCAAATGAAATGAAAGGAAATAGCAGGCTCGACACTTTGAGTAGTCACTGCCAATGCTGCCACCGTAGCTCGTTGAAATTGTCGCGGAAAATATATATACTTTCCTACGACGCAAAGATTGTTGAGGGTCTGCCCGAAACGGTATCATGCGTCTTATCGATATTCCATCCTGGCCATATATTCACAGTACTTTTTAATTCTCCTCTTTTTCAAACATTTGAAATTCAAAATCGATGCCATTCTCAGAGATTATTCCCTCCGGAACGGTCTCGCCCACCCAGCGCTCTAGTTGCGCATGAGACGCTTTCCGCCAGCCCTCTGAGGCGGACATTTGGAGCGGGAAAAAAGTATCGCATTCAAAGGGCGTGGTGACCTCTGTGAGCAGCACGCGTCGCGTGTATGGGAGTTGTGCGGCCAGTCTATACATTTCTGCGCCGCCAATTACGAAAACTCGATCAATGACGGTAGTACTACCGGCAGCAGGTGTTTCGGGTTTTGTTGATGTGATGGTTGTGGTAGCGCCTTTTGAGCTCAGGCCCGAGCCATCTATCTGGCCATCCTGCTGTGCTCCTTTTCCTTGTGCATCATTGCTGCTCGGCGGAGTAGCGATATCTTCTGCTGCACGAGCTGCGGTGAATGGTCCAGATGAGTCTGCGGATGCCGGAACTGTAGATGCAGAGGTAGATTGCTTGAAGACACCAGTCGTAGCTTCATTGACGCTGAGCTCGCGCTTTTCGTTTCCTGCAACATTCTCATGCGTCTGTCCATCCTGATGCTCCGGTATGCACCTCCCTCCCACCATCTTCAAGGCCTCTTCCAGACTTCCAGCGGCAATGGCTCCCTCGGGCAAATTCCCTAGCTCGGCCGGACGCCGCGACACGACAACGTTGAGACGATCAGGAAGCGGGCGAAACCGGGGCGGAATACTATCCCACGTCTTGCGACCCATGATTACAGCGTTGGTGAGCTTCACGGTGCGGTTGCGATGGGATTGCAGGTTATGCTCGGGGCCGTTGTCGCTGGTGGTAGTATTGCCTCGTGGTGTCCGTTTTGTCACACGCGCAAAGTATCGCATATCGGAACGGAGTGATTGCCATGGCAGGCCACCTTTGAGGCCAATGCCTTTTGAGAGCGTCGCCGCAACGATGAGGGTAAGCTGCGGCGATGCAGGACATGAGGGCGTGTGCGGCGACATGGTTGAACCGAGGATTTCAGGCGGTGAGTTGGGTGTATATGAATCTTAGAAAATTTTATAGTGTAACACAGGCCAAATAATAGGTATCTTGAACAAAAAGGATTTCCCGGAGAAGTCGTGTATGTACGGGTTTGCAAGCTCAGGGTCTGATAAACTTCCAGCGGAAATCCATTTGTCTAGGCGGAACGAAACTTGACGCGTACCGACGCGACAGAGCGAATGAGTCGATTCTTTAACCAATCTAGGCGAGCCATCGCGGGGGATAATCTTTGGACAGCTCACCGAGAGCAGTATCTGGAAATCAATTTTGATCTGCTTGAATTAAAATAATTTCCCCCATTATTTGATCAAATCTTGCTTATTGGACAACCATTTTCGTCCTCTGTCTCTGCGACAAGGGCATGGCAATGACGGGTGGGAGACTCTTCATAGAGTATAATTAGAGGATGATTAGAGAACTACTTGAACACCAGGCTAGAGAGAGGAAAAGAGTCTTCAATAATTGTTCGCGATTTTTTTTGCTGCATCAACGTGAATATAGTACTCTGTCCATTACCGAGCCGTAAAATACTCCTATAGCGGCTTGGATAGGGGAATGCGGCGGCTAAATGAACTTGGCCACAAATGCGCTCTCCATTCCAAGATATGGCCGCATCTCTTCCGAGGTCTAACGCGTGAGGGTCGTTTTTACGGGTATGCAGACCTTCCTTTGACAAAGAAGCCTCTGAGAAAAGGACTCATCCATGAGAAATTGCTTAATTTATTTCCCCATTTTCACGATGACTTCCAGTCTCCGTATAGTCCGTCTTCGCTCTTCAAAAGCCGAGTGGCTGCCTCGCCAACAGCTTGAGCGTTGGTCTCTGTCGTGGCGGCAGCTTCGCTTTCACCGATGGTCTTCAGCTCTCCAAACAGCCATGCTTCCTTTAATGAGCGTGTTAATGACAACACGTCTTCCGCTGCGCGAACCTATTCATAGACACAAAGAGGCAGAAAGTCAGCCTCCTCCGTCACCGAGAGAGCGCAATGTTCCTATCGAAGTCGGAGCACAAAGCGTTTCATGCACGGGGTGGCGAATAAATTTGTTTTCTCCTCGGGACCCTGATAATCGAAAACTCACCAGTGCAGCAGTCTCCACTTCCATCTGGTATGCTTCCATGGCAGTGCCATTCCTGTCTTTGCCTTCGATCTTTATTTGATATCTTAGCATATGAATCATATCATGCCAATGCAGCGCAAGGAAGGCTTTAGACGAAAGAGGGGCTTGAAGAAACAATGGTGATCTGAGCCTCAAAACTCCCAGTATTATTTCCGGGATGGAAGACTAGATGGAAGGAAAAACTTACAGGCGCGAGAGCAATAATATTCTCAAATCTTCGTAGAAGCTGAACAGTATCAACTCCAACTCGGTCTAAGTTATGTTAGTCTAATCATCCGCTTCTTTCTTCTGTGTGATTGAGAATTATGATCGAATTTTCAGACAAAACTGCTTTTTGGATGCAATATATAGCTTTTGCAATCCCCTTGGCGGGGCTGTTTCGGTGTAGCTAGATATAGAACCTTAACCAGCCTCAAACCGCGATCAACAAGGACAGAGAAAAGGCACCCTAACCAGAGCATAAAAGACCAATCTGCAAAAGGATTCTCTAGAAAATACCAGACAAAATCTACCAAGCTACAAAGGAATAAGGAAATATTGCAATATTTCTTGACGAAGAACGAGTTGGAATAACTCACCCAATAGGACACTAGAGCTCCGTGCCGTATCAGCCATGATAAGGTCTATCACGAGATGGATGATCGTTATGGAGCATAAGCAGCAGTGGCTAGAAACTATACTATGACAAAGATACTAGGAGAATGATTATCCACTATCATGAGTTGAAATGTTTTATTGGGCCATGGTCGTCGGATTCTCCTGTCAGTATGCACCGATGGGAAGATCAGAGGAACTCCGAGCCGCCGACAGGCCGAGAGTACTACGTAGGTTAGGTAGTTCGCGTTACTACAGTAGTACGAATCTAAGCGAAGTCTCGAATGGCGATCGAGCAATCAGGACTAAATACATGTAGGCAAGGATATTAAAGCATTATATTTCATGGTTTCAGCATAGCCTGATACAATTATATGCATTACAGCTATATTAACTACAGGAGGGTGTACTGTTGAAAACATGAGGAAATGAAGGAAAATTTACTAAGTAACTCCACATATATATGCCTTGCAAGAGTTAGAGTTACTTTTACTTTAATATTTGTGCCTTGGAAGGTGAATACCTTCTTGTAGATGATATCCCTAGGCATTGGATATATAGAGAATGGTTTCTCAGCATTTTGAATGGCTAATTGTTCAGGATACAGCTTGGATCTTTTACATACAGGCCAAAAGCACTCGAGCCCCATGGAAGTTCCATTGTCTGGTTCGAGTAATATCCACTCCCCCCCTCTTTCTGCACAGAGAGCAGAAGCACTGTATACGAGTCTCTAGCTGGCATTATTAATTGCATCACCGAACAACCGACACGAATTTACTTAAGAAGCAGCTTTCCCAGAATAAAGCGATACATGATTCGGTACTAGAGAAGCATACTTTGGAAATTAACTGGTATTTTAATGCCACTGACTACCCGTCCACGGCATGGTATTAATATGACCAAACGATTAAAATATATTAATTTCCGTGACCGCCATGGCGTCATCTAACGATTTGGAAATCGTAAGGCGTGCTGCACAAGCGTCGCAAGAGCGTCGAAAAAAGAAGAAGGAGGAGGAGTCACTGAGGATGCCCAATGATGAAGAAGTCGCGGTGATGGAACGAGCGGCCACGAACTCCCAGGAGCGACGAGCGAAGAGCAGAAGCGGCCAAGCTGGAACGAGTGATAGTGGAAAAGGAAAGGGGCGATCGGCTTAAGTTCGGCCTAAGATTTACGTTAATCTTCTATTATCATACTGAATTCGACAATTACCGGAAGAGGACGTTATCCGTACATTATGACAATATTGTTAAAGCACGCTCCTAATTGTGACCGTAACTATGCATTTTTATTTGTTGCTTTTCTGAAACATGGTCTTTATAAAGGCCTAGCCTTAGGTAGGCTCGTATATACGAACCGATGGTTGCGAAATATTCGAAGTGCTCTGAGTTATATAACAAGGGGTGACCGCTACATTCTTGTTTTGGCTGCAATCAGACAACGATTTACTTCTTATTCTCGGACTCGTTATTATGGATCTCGACGCGCTCGCACTTGACAAATCGAATCATACCTTCACCACCTGGTTGACAGAATTAAAGAAACCTGAATCAATCAAATTCCTTGCGGGTATCGCGGCTGAGGTTAGAGGGGAACATCCATCGTCTTTCAAACTCCTGATAGGTGCCTTCAATGCTTGTCTAGTCTGCCACTTCGAAAATAATGAGGAACTCGATACTGTTATCCGTTTTCCTCAACCGGGAAGGGTCCGGTTTCCAGAGGAAAAGGTCCGCAAAGAGGTGGCAGTCCTGCGCTTCATCGAACAATATGCGTCAATTCCTGTGCCACGGGTCCTTGGTACGGGCAAATGCAAGCTAGGCCCCTACATCATCATGCCCTTTGTACCTGGCATCAATCTATCCGATGTGCTACAAATGTCAGAGGCTGAATTTGTGTTGAAGGACGACATTGAGGAAATCGTTCTTAAGAGAGCCTATCGTGTCATGGCGGATGTGATGGTCGAGCTTCGTCGCTTTGCATTTGACAGGATTGCTTCCATTACTGAGAATGGTAGCACCGAAGGTCGCCCACTGACAGGCGACATGGTGTTTCTGGCAGAATGTGGCAATATCCAACCCATCACACAGACAAATGAAACATTTTCATCCAGCCGCAGCTATCTCCAAAGTTTGGTTGCGCAGCTTTTTCGACAACTCGATACGCAACGCCATGATATTGTTGCAGATGAGGCCGACTGTAGGCGGAAATATATTGCGCGATGTTTATTCAAGAGGATTGTCGCATCACTGCCACTCGAACCTGATGGTCCCTTCTGCTTAGCATGTGATGATTTTCGGCCTTCGAATGTACTCGTTGATGAGGAATTAAATATCACAGCAGTCATCGACTGGGAATTTTGCTACGCTGGACCTCTTGAGTATGCGTATAGTCTTCCGTTCTGGCTACTCCTTCAACGACCAGAGAGATATAAGCCGAATCTGTTGACCTTCGAGGCAGTCTACAATTCGAGGTTGCCCATCTTCTTGGCAGCACTACGAGAAGCTGAATCGTTGGCAATTGAAAGAGGCACTCTGGCTTCCTCAGAGCGCCTGTCAACGATGATGGAGAGTGACGTGGCTAAAGACCGATTTTGGATCTTTTACGCTGCGAGGAACAACTATGCATTTGACGAAATATACTGGACATTTATTCACGGCAAATACTTTGACACAGAAAGAGAGGACGAATTGTTAGAGCACCTCTCAGATGAGGAGAGGCGAAACCTACCCGCGTTGGTTCAGCGCAAAATGGAAGAGCAAAAATCATCTGAACTAGCCGACTGGGAGAGCAACGAAGAATGGAAAGCAGACGGCCTATAATGCCCTAATAAGAGGGGCGTTGATGGGATCACGCTCGTCTTGCGCCATGTTATAATATTGCATCATATGAAGAAACCTTCGTTTTCTGTCTTTTTTTTCTCGTTATTGGTAGCATTAGCACTAGAGTCGAGATCGTTGCTCTAAGGTCTTTTGATTATTCCTTGTGACCTTCTAACGTTTACATTACTAGTCTGTGTTGTGAAGAATTGACGTTTCGCCTCCACCTGCATTCGTTTTAGCTTCCGTGAGTCCGAAGAAAGGGAGGGGTTTCCCCAGACTCAGTCGGCCCCTTGGTTTATTATCGGCTTATGTACTTAAAACCCGCAACAATCTGGGGAAACACTTGGTTGGCTTACACCGTCCGGCCCCAGACACACAAACACACAAAACCACCTCGGTACTCGGTTCATCCATCTGGCTGCATTGCATATGCCATTTTACTCTGTGGACGACTTCTACTCGGCATCATCAACGACCTTTACTTTCCCGACGTAATACATAGAGTCTAACTTCTCGTTTCCTTATATCCGTATTGACATATAGACCTCGGAATTTCTCGTCTCTTCCTTTCCCTCTTTGATATTTCTTTTATTGACAGCCTGGCCAGCGCCTTGGCCTTTGTTTTGTAATGTTTATCGCGCCTCTCCGATTTCGGTTCGCTGCTTCAACTCTTAGAACTAAATTCCCTGCCCCACCGGCTGCTCTAATCGTAAGATCAATATTGGTGCTGCTTCAAGTCTGTTCAGTGTTTGGCTGACTAGAGGTGCTCTTCAGACATCCTTCATGGCGCCCTCCAGAGCTCGGAATCATACTGCGGCTCTTCCCGCCGGTTCGTAATATCTCTTTTATTTCTCTTTGGCTGAAATGCTGCCAGGGCTCTGTTCGGGGAAAGGAGACCTCGCTGACGTTGGGTGTGCGAATATTTCTAGGCTATAAAGAGGACCTGTCAAAGGGTCCTATGCTTCGTTTTGAAGATTCACTGCCGCGCCTACCCGTTCCGACATTGCAAGAGACCGCCGAGCGCTACGTCAAGTCCGTACACCCGCTGTTGACACCAGAGGAATTGAACCGGACCAAGAGCGCTGTTGCCGAGTTCATTAGCTCAGGCGGCATTGGAGAAGAACTACAAAAGAGACTTGTTGCGCGTCGCGAGGATCCCAATGTGAAAAATTGGATTTACGACTGGTGGAACAATGCAGCCTATTTAGCCTATCGTGACCCGGTGGTGCCGTATGTCAGTTACTTTTATTCGCACCGGGACGACCGGAGGCGGCGCAACCCCGCGAAACGTGCGGCAGCTTTGACCACGGCCGTGTTAGAATTCAAGAAGCAAGTGGACGGAGCAACGCTGGAGCCAGAATACATGAAGAAGCTGCCGATTGCAATGTCCAGCTACGAATGGATGTTCAATGCTTGCCGTATTCCTGCAAAGCCTGCCGACTATCCTGTCAAGCATAGCCACACTGAAAACAAACATATCGTGGTGATACGCAAGAACCAATTCTTCAAGCTCATGCATGAAGTGGATGGTAAGCAGCTGAACACGAGCGAGCTGGAACAGCAATTTCGCAGAATCTACGAGACCGCCGAGAAAGCGCCAGCAGTGGGAGCATTGACATCTGAGAATCGGGACATATGGACAGACGTAAGTCCCATACGTGAAGAAGAAAATTAAAAGTCTCTGGATTGAACGGGTCATTGAATTGTTCTCTAGGCTCGAAATCTACTAATCGCCGCCCATCCGTCCAACAAATCGGCTCTCGAGACCATTGAATCTTCGTCCTTTGTAGTCTGTCTGGACGACGCGGCTCCAGTCACTCTCGAAGAACGCGCGCACCAGTACTGGCACGGCGACGGATGCAACCGGTGGTTCGACAAGCCTCTACAATTCATCATCAACGACAACGGCACGTCCGGCTTCATGGGCGAACACTCCATGATGGACGGCACACCGACACACCGTCTCAACGACTATGCCAACATGCTCATATCCCACAACAAACTGGACTTTGAGAACCCATCGATTCGCTCAAACCTACCAGAGCCACAAGTCATCAGATTCCACATTACGCCCGAAGTCCAAGACGAAATCACCCGCGCCAAACGCGACTTTGACCACGTCATGGGCCAGCACCAGCTCAAGGTCCAAGCATACCAAGGATACGGCACGAACCTGATCAAGCAATTCAAGTGCTCGCCCGACGCCTACGTCCAGATGGTCATCCAACTAGCGTATCACAAAATGTACGGCAAGAACCGGCCGACATACGAGTCCGCCGCCACGCGACGCTTCCAACAGGGCCGCACAGAAACCTGTCGGTCCGTGTCCGACGACTCCGTCGCCTTTTGCAACGCCATGGCCGACCCATCCACTCCGCCCGAAACATGCGTCGAGCTCTTCCGCAAAGCAGTCGCCAGCCACGTCCATTACATTACCGACGCGTCTGCCGGCAAAGGCGTCGACCGCCATCTCTTCGGCCTCAAAATGCTCCTGCGCGACGGCGAGGCCCTGCCGGCCATTTATCAAGACCCGGCCTACTCGTACAGCAGCCACTGGTTCCTCAGCACCAGTCAGCTCAGCTCAGAGCATTTCAACGGCTATGGTTGGAGCCAGGTCGTCGATGACGGCTTCGGCGTCGCGTACATGTGTCTCAAGGATTCCCTGCAGTTTAACGTCGTCAGTAAAGGCCTCGGCAGCGACAGGTTTAGTCATTTCCTCAATGAAGCCGCGGGTGACATTCGTGACATTTTGCTGCCTACTCTTGAGCCTCCCAAGGCAAAGTTATAGTTTTTCTAGTCTTGTTTTCTTTTACGCCTCTCTATTTCTTTTTAGCCCGCTTTACGTTTGCTTGCCTCGATGCGCTTTTACGCTTTACGTCCTGTATGTCTCTTTCATCTCTTTTGGCCTCTTTCATCTATTTACATCTCTTTATCTGTGTGCATCTGTCCACGTCTCTACTATGCCTGTTCTATGTTCATTAGGCAGGGCAGCTGTACCTTATTCTATTGTAGTGTAGTATTAGAAGCTGTCAAGTGGTTGATCCTCATCTACAAAAAAAGCATTTACTCAAGGACACGACGTGCAAGGGATATGTCACGACAAAATCCAATAAACAATGGCAATCTCATGTTCAAGCAATGAATAAAGTTTCATTAAGCCTCAAAGCAACGAGCTAAGCAGGTATCATTAGAGATAAATAGACCCTTGATATTTCGGGTGGATTTTTCAGAAAAGGAGGGGAAAACCGGTGACAAGGGGATATTTCACCGTATTTAGTAGTTGGAGTCGCCGTAGCTATCGCCGCTGCCTTGACCATAGCTGTCACCGCCCTGGCCATAGCCAGCCTGCTCGCGCTTCTCGCGGCCCTTGTTCTCGAGGCCGGAGTGGTGGAAGATACCACCGGCCTTCTCGAGGAACTTGCCAGCCTTGGAGTCTAACAGTAGAGAAACCGTGTTAGTTGGGGAATGCACGCGCGTACAGTAAATTAGGGGGGGAAACAATTATTCAGGAATTGTTAAGAAACGTACCACTAGAGCCGCTGTTGTCATAGTCGTCATTGTTACCGCCCGAAGAGCTGCTCTTGTTGCCATATCCGGCTCCACTAGTGGTGCCAGATCCGTACTGGTTACCAGAGGACTGGTTTCCAGATCCATAGCTGTCGTTGCCGCCAGAGGAGTAGTCATTGGAGCCGCCACCTAGGCCACTGCCGGCGTTGCCGGAAGAGTAGTCGGAAGATCCTCCTCCAAAGCCGGAGCCGGAGCCGGAGCCGGACTAAGCTATTGTCAGTAAAACTTGCAGTATTGCAGGTCCATCGGGAAGGCTCACCTGGTTGCTGTCGTTGCCGTAGCCACTAGACTTGTTACCACCATATCCACCGGAGGTGCTGTCGTCTCCGTAGCCGCTGCTCGACTTGTTGCCGTATCCGCTCGAGGTGTTGTCATCGCCGTAGCCACTGCTCGACTTGTTTCCAAAGCCGCTCGAGGTGTTGTCATCACCGTAGCCGCCCGACTTGCTTCCGTAACCACCAGAACCACCAGACGTGTTGTCATCTCCATAACCACTCGACTTGTTGCCGAAGCCACTGGAGCTGTTATCGTTCCCATAACCGCCGGACTGGTTTCCGTAGCTATCATTTCCAAAACCTCCAGAGGATTGGTTGTTACCGAAGCCAGAGGAGCTGTTGTCGTTTCCGAAACCACTACCACCACGGCCAGAGGACTGTTATCATCCAGAAAACGTCAGCACTTGGAATTGGTATTAGAGTGGTTTTATTGCACTCGGGGAATGTCATGTCACGTACGCCGTAGTTGTCACTACCTCCGCCGTAGCTGTCGTTTCCGCCGTAGCCGCCCTATGACACCGTACCAGTTAGCATTGATTCAGTTACGTGCGTAAGATCTCTGGACATTCGACGTCGTGAAATGCTGAAAAGAAGTAATCTAGGCTCAAAAGTGATTCAAAATTCCACAGGGCTCAAGTGACGATGAGCAAAGGTAGCTTGAAAATTAATCGAGACTCACCGAAGTGTTGTCGTTGTAGTTGGACATTATGACGTATGACTTGATACCTCAAGTAATGTTTTACGAGTTAAGAAAAGAGTAGGTAGAGAGATTCGTAAAAGAGCTTGATCCAGGTGGAAGTAAAATCAGAAAGGAAGAGGAAGAAGAAAGAAGCAGGAGAAGTGAGGTTCATATATATATGGTGGGGGTGGTGTAAGATGCGTTCATATTCTTATGACGAAATACTAGAGTGGAATGGCATGCAGGGCAGCAGGGTTACGGGGGGGGGGAGGGGGGGAAAGCTGATGAGAAGCTCCCAAGGTCAGCATTCAATTGGTTCCCCAGGTGAAGTGAAAGAAGAGAAGCGCCAAAGAAAAAGGGTCAACATGTAGAGCCAGGGTTTCCTCAAAGTACTCTGTAGCTCTGGACCCAGTCCCACATGGGGGGTTCCCCTCGAGGGGAGCTATGGAAAGTAGTTGCAATAGCCCTCAATGGCTTACTTGTCTGGGTCATGATAGGTACATTTGCGCTACACAGGGCGACGGATCCCAGCAGGTTTACCAGTAGGTAGTATATGGTTCGATCATTAGTGGGGTGGGAAAGAAACAGAGCGATCGAAATGACGGAGTCAGCGAAGAGGCAAAGCTGCCCGGAACCGCACTGGTGTCCCATCGGAGCACCGGATGGGGGGAGAGGGAAAGGGGAATGAATAGAATGGAGCTGGGTCGAGAAAAGTCGATCAGGGAAAAAACAACATCAAGGACCCTTAGCGGGATCGAATGGAGGAGACGACCCGCACATCAAGCCACCGTCAGCCCTTTTGACCCCGCTTTGCTCTTTGGGAGCTCGAGATAGGTTTCTATTCCAGGTAACCAGTAAACCAATACTACTGGTGTTCCCAATTCCTTGTTTTTTTTTTTCCCTTCCCCATTGCTTGGAATTGCCTTTTAATCAACTTGTTCCATAGAATTGATGTGATGGGCAGTTTTCGTGGCACAGCTTAACAAGTATATTTTGCATTGATGCCACGTCTCTTACGATTTTAAAGTCTAAAAGCTTGGTTTTTTAGCTTCAGCTTCACAGCATGCTAGGGTAAATGTAAACGGGGGCTCTCCATCTGATGCTCGACTGTGGCCATCCCCATGACGAATCATCTCTGCGGCAGCCATCCCGTGGATCACCTTATGGTTACGCTGAAACGGTCGGTTACAGGAAACTGGTTCTGTAGCACATTCCAACAACGAAACAAGGTCATAGCAATGCTTCTCAGGGCATAGAAGTAGCACATTAAGATATCCTGGAAGCTGGAGACATAGCCAAGTTGGATCATGTGCATTTACCCACCTGCATGTATAGGACCTACTCTGGCCAATTGATCACACCGGAGAAATTAATCGAGACGACTTTTATGGTGCTGAATCAAGACGAGGGGACGGAGCTGAGCCCGGGCACTACTCAAGTGATGCTGGTTCATCGCCGACGGGGAATAATGAGAAAAGCTTGTATCACCAACTGCCGCGTACATCAACTCAGTTGCATCATCGCAGCCACCGTCATCATCCTAATCATCCTACCCACGGCCCTTGCCGAGGTAGATAGCCGACGGCAGTTTCCGGTGTGAACAAGCGACTTAAGTCTAAGTTACTCCGTACCGGTAGCCGCGGTGTCTGCAATCCCACCACTTCCTTACCCATGAGCTCCCTGAAGGAATATATTCCACTCTCTCAAGGAATTGATATACTTTGTAGGCTCGTAGTTTTATTCTTTCTAGATAAGGTGGATATGTCATTGTGTCGGAATGTGGTTTCCAAGAGCTCCGCTGCGCCCGCATCCACTTTGGCGGCAGGACTCGGCCGTAACCATCTCAGCTGAAAGCCAGGGTCCAACGGGCCCCGCTTCCTGTGTTTTTGTCGAGCCGCCCTCGATCCGGCTCTGCACTGGTTGTTTTCCTTTACACACTCATTGCAAATGTCGTATCTGGTGGGGCTATACAATTGAACTAGCATCTCCTCCGACAGCACTAGGATCTGGCATCCCTCAAACTTGGGTACTGGTCCAACACATCGGAGACCCCGAACCTGTCTAAATCGCCCGGCACAGTCGGCCGAGGTCGTCTTAAATGAATGATCCCCTGGAAATGCCGAGGCTATCTTGATGATATCCAGTCCATTGGGTGATGGAAATTGCAATAGCCAAGAAGCTGACAACCAAAGAGGGAAAAAAAAGAGTCAGCACTAGGGTTGTTTCAAATTGTTTATTGTCAAGTAATCCGTCCAAATGCAAGGGACCAATCTAAACTGAGTGCTCCCTGTCCAAACTCCGCGCCAGACACAATCAATATGGCAAAAGACAAACGCGCCGAGATGTTGAGATGGAATAATCCTCCTTGAGACAACTTGCACCTTAACGCACGTATTTACTCTGTATCACCCAAGGTTAGTAAAATTCGGAAAGCCAGTATTAGACGAGAGAATGGGAAGATTGAATGCATTTGTCCCTACACATACCATGAAGCGCTTGTGGAAATCAGAACGAAGAAGATCCTGTATAATTGTCAGATCAATCACCAATATAAGCAGCATAATAATCAACGCAGAAAAGCAACAACAGGTTGATACTCACATTGACGAATTCCTTCTTCCGTTTATCCTCCGTCCCACGGGCCTGATTCTTGAACACGACATCGTCATCCCATCTTGAATCATCCGTTAGCATCAAGCCATCACAATCTGATTTCAAGGGCAGGAAAGACACAAGGGTGAAATACCTTCTCTTGACGCTAAAGTCCTGAGGGTTCAGTAATGGATTGCCGCGTGCAATGTCAAATTCGCGCTGCTCCTCAGCCGCCGCAGCTTTCTCACGTTCCTCTCGTTCCTTTTGCTCTGCTCTTTCCTTCTTGATCTTCTCGAGTTCTCGTAGTAGCTCTGCCGTCTCATCCTCTTCATCCTCGTCACTAAGGTGAGGTTAGCGGCTCGACCCAGTGACTGATCCCGCCAGACCCTTTGCTCCTTCGAAAAAACTAACCTATCTTCATCACTATCTTCACTCCCACTTATATCCGAGTCCGCGTCCATCTCTCGTGACTCTTCTAATATTCGCCTTCGTTTTGCTTGAGGATCCTCTTCCCCATCTGCGGCGTCTGCTGATTCGGGGCCGCTTTCAATCTGACGCTTCGCCGGTTCCGCTGGTATCTGTTCATCGTCGGCGCCGGCTATTGGTGTGCCTTTAACTTTTGCGAAATGCGCAGCTTCGGCTTTCAGAAGTTCCGCTCTGAGATCACGGACTTCGGCTTCTCGCGCTGAACCTTGTCCAGGTTGTCTGGGTCTTCTCAGCCACAGGATTCATATGCATAGAATACGAATACCCATACCGAAATTTGAGCTGCGTGTGAGCTGGTAGCAACCGTTGGTGGTAGGCCGGTCCCCTTTGGGCCTCCCTGCCTTGGGCCTGAAATTGTTAGTTGTTGCATTTGGCAATGGACAAATGCTGCCTACCGGGTCGAACGTGGGCCTATGAGCTATAGGAAGTTAGCTATGCATTAAATAAGCACCTAATTTAAGATGGTTCGTACCAGTGGTCATTGCAGTGGTCGGCGATTGTTCTGTTATTTGTTCGCAACGATTTAGTGGTCAACTCGAAAGAACCCACCGAATGGACGTCAAGCGTGGACAAGGCAACGCGGAAAAAGTAATTATCCGAGACGAAGTTTAGCCCGCGCAAAATGGACTGTAGGTGGCAGGTGCAGGCTGTGTCTGAACATTTTACGAACCACGAATTCTGCGCGGCTGAAAATGTAAAAAAATTATAAATAGAAAAAATTAAAAAATAATAGAAATGCCCCCTCTCCTAAAAGTAGTTTTTCATCCGCTTGTGTCTTTTTGTCAGTGCATTCGATCAAACAGCTCTCTATCCTAAACTCTCCACTGCAGGAGTCATAATTGTTTCAATGGCTCGTTCAGATTCATCGACAAACTTCAATTGTAGAGGCTCATTCCCATAAATGCGTAGCAAATATAGAAGTTGAAATGTATGTATATGGGCCACAGCTAATATATAAAGCCACGCATAATCGACTGCTGGCTAAAGAATGCAATGCCCAGAATACTCCGCTTGCTGTGCTTTTCTCCCTTTAATGCGCTGTAATCTTTGTGCTGAGGACTCGGTTTACCCGGAGAAAACTGACTTCATAAGTCTCTTCAAAGTGTTGAGAAGCACAGTGTCTTCCCAAGACTTGACTTTGCTTTCACCTCTCCATTCATCTTTACCAGTGCCTAACAATGGCCTTGCATCGACATCACAAACTGTTTTTGGGGAAGGAAGCTCTCCTGTTTGGAAATAGTTACGCACAGTCTTGGCAGTACATAGTGACGGTGCGCTCAAAGAGCAGTGCTGTAGAAGAGTTAGTCAATCAATATTTCTTGATATGTTCCCCAAGTACGCAAGTGAGGGATGGAAGAGAAAAACATACACCTTCGGAATCTTGCTGAAGGACAACTGAATTGGCATATCGAGAAGAGACATTGAAAGCGCTGGCTGTGGTCAGTTGAGTAAAAACCAAAATCTAGAGAATTACTCACTTGCGGAGAGGCGTGACTGGGTCGAGCGTATTACCGATCACTAGCATTGGGTGTGCCGTCTTGCCACCGAATGGACCTGAAATAAAATCTTTAGCAAAGTGTTCAACCAACAAAAAAACAACACTCGGTCGGACAGTTGGAAAAATACCAGTAAATCTCCACTTTGGCCGCGGATCCCACCCAACGCACTCCAGTCGGATATGTGCCCAGATATCTCCTACCCATTTGCTCTGACGACGCAGCTCACTCAGATATGATTCAAAATCCTCCCTTGTATCATCGAGCAGACTCTCGCCATCAGTGCAAAGAATACCTGCTTTAACTTCAAAATTATTTTCTCCGGGCCGCATACACCATTGAGAATAAGGTTCGGCGCGGCGGCATTCAGTATTGGGACAGGCGGGCGATCTTCTGCTGCGCTTGATTCTTGCCAAGGAAGTACCATTTCCCTGCTCAGTCTCCAATAGGATTTGGGCGACGACTGGAAACTGTTCATAAGGAACGTATAGGGAATTCATAATGAGAACCCTAGCATCTGTCCAGGTGACAATCTCGGCGCCTTCCGCAGCGTTGGCTGGTACCCCAATAGGCTGCTTTTTGAGCGACGACAAAACACGCTCAAACCGGGTTTTAACGCCTTCAGCTCCCCCTTCCGTATAGAACGGACAGTGATCTGGGCCAGCTTTAGAGCAATATTCGCAAAATTTATCGACGATGAGATCGGAGTCCTGGAGGTTATGAAGCCAGCCGCCTTGATAGTAGTCCGGCGTGTCGACAACGCCGTCGATCACGACTCTTCCAACGAGGTCAGGATACATTGCAGCAAACGTAGCGCCAATCACCGTTCCGTAGGAGAAACCCCAGTACAAGAGCTTTTCTTCACCCTTTCTCCAACGCGTCCGTTCCAGGATGGCCTCTCTGCTGGAAGCCATGCTCTGGTCCTTGAGAGACAATCGCGTCCCTGAGTTGGCCAAATAATGTCTGGCTTCCGTCTCACGCCATTCTCCATGGCGTTCAATGATCTCGACCATATCTCTTACCACGGGTGATGTATTCATGAAATTTTTGATATTTCCATCTTCGCCGTTAATCATAGAGCGAGAACAGCCCTCGCCAAGTGCCTTAGCCCTAGTCCAAAGAACATTTGAGAGGTCTTTGGATTCACCAATAATGCCCTCTGCTTCCAATTGCGTTTGCCAGACCTGCCTTGAGAACGCATCAGGAAAGCAGGAGAAATGAGGAGTAGTTAGATTGACACCTCGAGGGTCAAAGCCTATGATATCATAATAGAGTGAGGAGCTTGTTGTTATTTGGCTTGGGGATTCGGCGGCGTCGACAACTGTTTGGATGTCCCGACCTGATCGAATGGCTAGATATGTTCCGGAACCCCCAGGTCCACCTAACAGACACTCGTTGAGTAAAAGACCAATTCTCCAGCTTTTCCAGGGACGTCTCTATCATACCTGGATTGATCAAAACCGGCCCCCCATACCTTGAATCAGTTACTGGCACCTTGGCGGGTATTTTGACAATTGCAATGGCTACACGCGCTCCTTTCCCATCGGTGCGGTTCCAGTCCATAGGCACGTCAAGACGAGCACATTCCAGACCATCGTAGCACGAATGATAGATCAGATGACGAGTTGGCGTCACCTACTCGAGTGAGTGTCTATAGGGATAAAAACATCAAGAGACTTACATCATCCCACTCAAACTGTTCAGAGCATTTTTTGGTGCATTTAATATCCCAGAGTCCTGTACGGTGGCCGCTAGAGGAGGAACACCGGGCAACCACCCCAGTCCAGTCAGTAAAGTAGCCCAGTAAGAGCCAGGCCACAAGTCCGGCAATGCCGGCATAAATGATTGAACGACGAAGCATTTCCAGTCTACGCCGCCTCATCGATCTAGCCTCGTGATAATGCAAAGATACCCGCGGGGTAAATTCGTCTGTATTGGTGTTTTTTATTGACTTTGTTGACTCGTCCATGACGGTAGAGCTTTTGGAGAATGTGAAAAATGTGCAGAATAGAAAAGGCGTCAAGTGGTTATAGGCAGCAAACAACGCGCAAGCAAGAAAAGCAGTCCCCACCGCACAGAACAATCAGCTTGTGAAATGTCTTGGCAACACTGTATACCTTCACTATTCAAAATTGCTCTTATATCGGTTCATAAATACCTCAGATGAGTTGGCAGATACGCCATTCAAAAACTGGATCTGGATTTAAAAGGGATCATTTGACGCTCATTCAAAAGCTTCTTTTGCCTGTCGAAGCTTGGGCATTTGGTTACACCATGTACAATGCCAGTTACCCCTCTCAGGTGACGTCGCTTAAAGTGACAGGTAGCGAGATAGCTAAAAGACCCCTTATGTTCACCTAGTTTTCTCCTGAATTGCAGCCGTGACCGTTAAAGTGACTTTGGATGAGGACAACCGACTGATGGACTCAATTTTTGAGGATTGAGACAAGGGGGAAATGTTCAAGCCAGCTTCACGGAATCCGAGTCTACAGTACAGTACGCACAAACACGACACAAATATAAGGTAGCTACTCCGTAGTACCTGTTGGTCGCCGCTTGGGTTCTCCGCATGAGGCAGCGCCTGGCCTCAGTAGTCAGCAATCCTTACCAAGTCATCGAGGGGACGTTAAGATAGCTAACCACGGGCGAAACAGGACGGAAGAGCCACTAACATAACGGTGTCAGATTAGCCACCAAAATGGTACAGCCATGACAATTGACGGGCCGTGCCATATCGACCCCCTTTTTTCTCGACAGATTATCTGCCGAAGGAGAGCTTTTAAAGATTAACCTCGCTGCATTAAAAAGAATTACATGCTCGGAAAATTCAATCTCCATAGCAATGTTGGATTTCATAATCCAGCCTTGGTGCCAATAGGCTCCCCGTGGCCTGTCAAAGAGAAAGAAGCTACTAAAATAAGCGTGGCAAGGATGCGGCGGTTAACCAAGTGACAGTCAGATTGCTAGTCGTGTAACTTGGATGAGTCGAACATTTTCAACAGCCAATCAATGCAAATAATACGCGTCGATCAAGCAATGCACTTTGGGCAACTAAACAAAAAGGAAAAGCACCCTTCATCAGCGAGTTGGATCCGCCCCCACGGTCTGCTAACCCAGGAGAGTGAGCACTATCATGGCTGTTACTTTTCCTTTAAGCCATCCGCGACCCTTTTCTTTCCATGTTTTAGCAGCACTCCACGCCATTGTCGACGTTTAAAAATGGGTTTCCAAGGGCATCTGCAAACCCGCATTTGGTCGGTATTGTTTATCCTGCTCATATGTGATTTGGCCTCAGTGACAGGTTCCGCTACATGCTACTACCCTTCCGGTGATGTTGCGCACCGAGACATGCCATGCGATCCCTCTGCAAGACAGAGTTCGTGCTGCGGCCCGCTAGATATCTGTCTTGGCAATGGTCTCTGCTATGATCAAAGCAGTGATGGTCTGATATCAAGAGGTTCCTGCACAGATCAAACTTGGAACGACGGCAGTTGCAGTCATTATTGCGCAGATGGTAGGGCCATGTCCCGGTTACAATTCCCAATTCAACGAAATTAGCTAACCATATTCTGTAGATGCACCAAATGAAGGATGCGCTGTTGTGGTTTGCGCCCACAATGAATGGTGCTGTGGGGCAGGCTGCTGCTCAAATGGTACCGCATCAACTTTCTCCGTCGCCGTTGGGACCGTCATCGGCCGGCCTACAGACCTTGCCAATCCGAGCAGCACTCTTCCTGTAACAGTCACTACGACTGCAACTAATGCAGTCACGATTACGGCCTCCCCCTCAAATTCATCACATACGTCCGACTCGAGAGACATTGCAATTGGCGCTGGAGTAGGCGTACCTCTTGGCTTGGCTCTCCTTGCGGCTGTCGGTCTGCTCTTCTACCGCGAGCGTCACTACAGGAGGATGTACGCTCTCCCTTCCTCACCCGCTCCATATGCTCCCGGCCAGGAACAACCTTACGACATGTCGCACCTTAGGGTCGCTGAAGCCGACAGCATTCCCAGGCATCGGTCAGAAATGCCTGGAAGTCAACCGACAGTTACATATCTGAAATGATTCTAGGAATGGGCTTTCCGATTGAATTCATGATAGAGACGAAATTAGATTTCCCTCACGCGGTAGCTGAGACCGTATTAGCTGAAATTTACACACCTTATGCTTTCCAGCCCCGTGAACTCCAGGCGGGCTTATATTGCACACGAATCGGTGAGGACAGCTCGCGAGTTGCATTTGAGACAGAAACTCAAATTAATGCTATAAATACTGGATCGTAATATCTGCCTAAAAGGCTCAGAAGATTCTTCTGGAGACTGTTGAGCTTAATTAGTTATTATGAAATTTTCAAATGCCCCAAAGCAAATACAAGTGTTCAGAACGTGTCGGAGTAAACCGGCGCAGTCGGGGATACGCCGTAACAACTTTTCTCCGAGCCGAGACCTTCAAGGTCAAAAGTTCCCCCAGAAACTCCAAGCATGATATACATTTTATCGACTAAACCATGCCGCGGGAAGCAGAGCCCTCGCTCAATGAGCGCGCATTTGTGCTACAAGCACTGCAGGAGGACATTCGCATTGATGGACGGGCACTAGATGAGTTTCGAGGCATAGACTTGAAGTTCGGCCCCGAATATGGCGTTGCAGATGTGCGACTAGGGAAAACAAGGTAAATCACATTTTCCTTAACTTTATCAGAGGAGCGGCTCTCCTGGCGCTCTTTTTCGCACAGCTTTTGCCAATTGTAAATTTTCAAAGTTTTTCATGATTCTAGGCTATAAATCTTCTAGCTAACAATGATCAAATTTGCCTTTGAACAGAGTCATTGCTCGTATTTCTGCCGAAGTGACAACACCGTTTCCCGACCGAAAGTTCGACGGCGTCTTCACAATAGTTACGGAACTCAGTCCATTAGCATCCCCTGCCTTCGAAGTTGGTCGACAGACAGAGCAAGAAGTGATTCTCTCTCGGATCCTGGAAAAAGCTATTCGACGGTCGAACGCCCTGGATACAGAAGCGCTCTGTTTAATTGCGGGTCAGGCGGTATGGAGCATACGAGCGGACGTGCATGTTGTTGACCACGATGGTGGACTAGTGGATGCGAGCTGCATCGCAGTTATGGCGGCACTGAAACACTTCCGACGACCAGACGCGACGGTGTCGGGCGAAGGCCATTTGACAGTCTTCACCATGGCGGAGCGAGTCCCCGTGCCGCTCTCGCTGATGCACGACCCGCTATGTGTGAGCTTCTCTTTCTATCATGGAGGTGAAGTGTCGCTTGTCGACGCAACGCTGCAAGAGGAGCAACTGCGCGAGGGTGAACTCATCATCAGCATGAACCGTCACGGGGAAGTGTGCCAGCTTGCGAAGCTCGGTGGGGTTCCCGTCGATGCGCTCACATTACTCAGTTGTACAAACACTGCGTTGGTTAAGGTCAAGGACCTGACCGCTCTCATCAATAAGAAGCTCGATGAAGATGCTAAGAGAAGAAATCTGGGTGGTCTGATGACAGAACTCAGTGCCGAGAATGAGCGATGAACCCGTCTCAGCTAAACTTGCGGAAGAATAAAAAGCATTGGGGTATTGTGAAAATCCAATGCCTTTTGTATTGTGAAATCAGATACCACACCGTTTCTAGGCATGAGTATCAGAGTATACTCACCAAGAGCGCTCCCAACGATACCTGAGCTATGAGTGGGGACGAAGGCTTCAAAGCCGGGGCAAAAGTGGTGGATGCGTGGAGTTTGGGTTTGTTACATTCGGGAATCACGACGAAGCAGAATCAGTTCTTTTTCAAATGCTATCGAAGCGCTATGCTACCAGAGAATGCCATGAGGCCCACAACAAAATTTATGCTTGGAAGAAAATCAGCGCATCAAGTCGCTCCAAAGGAGCAGTTGTTAGTGATCAAAACATCGCCACAAATGGCATACTACCAATACAATGAATGAAATCGAAACGCTTATTCACATACTTTACGACTCCAATTCTCTAGTGTACTTGACAAACGCTTTCTTGTGAACCTGAAATTTTATTAGCCGATGACCTCACCTCGTTTTCCAATTTTGACTTACCAAGCCTGCATACTTTCCGTTTCGCAAAACGCAAATGTATCGCAGTCCAAGCTTGACGAAGCACTCGTACACCAGATCCATGGGTGATCGTATGTCCAATGCAACAGGAGCCTGAGCAATTTGTGAGTATAAAGACGAGCAAAAACGGAACACTTAACGTACCGGATCTATATACGGAGTGAAATCGGTGGGATCAGCCTCCTCGTCTTCCTCTTCAGCCACTGCTCCTCTCCATTGAACATCCGTGGCCATCAAACAGAGCGTTTCTGGGCCATCGTCGAGCTTATCTAGTGCAAATTCGAGGTCCGGCGCAGGTATCAGGCCGACAAGGATACCATGTCTAACTATCGGCAATCCTCCATCGAGTTCACCTGCCATATGCAGGCGTTCAAGCTTTAGGCGTAAGTCTGCAGCAGGTATCAGTGGGGAATCAGAAATATCTATGATCCGATCCCGCCGTATACGAGGCGTGATATCTCCGAGATCCGTCGTGAATATCGGTCGGACTTTATTGTCTAGGAATGGATATGAATTCATTGACGTCAAAAGATCCTGTTACATTGAAATCAACAGCGCGCTCTCAGGTTAATATATCCGGGGTGTTTGAGAAGGCAACATACATAAATGCTGAGAGGTTCTAGGGCATCTGCCGTCCACTTCGAAACAAGTACCGCGATTGAGAAGGGCAGGACATGGTCCAGACTGCCAGTAAGCTCAAACAAGATGACGGCCAATGCGACGGACAGTCTGGTGACACCGCACATTGTTGCGCCTGCTGCGACCATTGCATAAATACCTGGGGTGACACAAGATTCTGTGCCCTTTCCTTTTGCACAAGCACCGAAAATGGTCGTATTCGGATGCATCAGCACAATATATTGTACGGTATGGCCAACAATCCTGCCAAGCAGACCTCCGACGACCATCGATGGTACATAGATACCAGCTGGAACTTTTACTCCGAAAGTGATAATGGTGAGGAAGCTTTTGACAACGAATGCGATGCCAAGATAACGGATGACTTCAGGGATTTGTTCCTTGGAAGGACAAAGCCCCGATCCCTCAATACCCTTCGAATTGCATGGGCTGGCAAGCTCGTAAAGAAGCTCTGTGACGGCCAGCTTGGTATATCTGTTCCAGTATCCCACGAGCCCAGTTATGAGCGCCACAAGTCCTACTTCCAGCATTGGCCATTTTTTGATGAGCTTGATGCGGCGAAAGCTTGTTGCCCAGATTCTTGATGCTTTAATGAACAAAGCACCAGCTGCGCCTCCAAGCACTCCGAGAATAATGAAGACGATCATTTCAAAGAATTCCCAATCCGTCAAATAACGGACCTCAAACAAGACAATCTTGTTCGTGCCGTACGGGTTCAAAAATTTCAAAAACAAGGCAGCAACCTGATTCCCATGAGTATTGATTTCCAAAAGGAAAGAGAGCTTCCACCTAGAAGGACTTACAATGCAACAGAAAAAGGTACGAAACAGGGTTTTTGGTGGAAAATAATAGCTTTTTATTAAGTGTCAGTTTCGGCCAATAAGACAGGATTTCAACCGGAAACCCACCTCACTTCTTCCAGACTAAAAAGGACGCCTCCAAGTGGTGCTCCAAATGCCACAGCTACTCCACTAGCAGCACTGGCGCTGAGTACTTCACGTCTTTTGCCGTCATTGTGGTTGTATTTGGAGAAGATTCTGCAGGCAATGTTTCCAACGCAGGTTGCAATATGCACATATGGGCCTTCTTTCCCCAGGCTTAGTCCAGAGGCAACACTGAGGATCAAACCCAAAGTTTTAAGCACAAGAGTCTTGACGCCCAAGTATCCGTGCAGAACGAAGCCACTAAGAATGACTTTGACTTCTGCCACTCCGCTCCCGGCAGCGGCATAATATATCATGGTCGAAGATTGCTGCACTTCAGTATATTTTTGCCGAGGGCTTACACTTCCAGAGCCGCCAGAATCGTGCCGTCGATTCTCATATCGATTCTCTGCACCCAAATTCTCGTCCAGAGTCGAGAGGGAAACCGCTGACGGTACGACAGTTTTCGTACCAAGTGTTAAGATGCATGAAATAAGAGACAGGAAGACTCCTGCCAAAACATAAATGAAAAAGTCCAGTCGAGCGTCTTTAGTACGAGACGGCCGTAAGGCCTCGGACCAAGAAAGCCAAGACGGGCACACATGTTCATCCAGGCCAGCACAACATTTTTTCTTGGAACGGTACCAGCCAATTGTGCAATAGCCATCTTTTAGGTCGAATATCGGGGTCTCTGTGATGTCGACAAGATAAGCAATGGCAGCTGTTATGCAACCAATAATGGCTACAAGAATCCACCCTTGCGCTCCATCAAACCACGCGTATACTCTACCCCGCAGATCCTTCCGGTTCCGCAAATCTTTCACGCGAAAGGCATCTGCGATACTGTCGTGGACCCAGTCCGTAGACGTGAACTGATCGTACCATACGCGATCATCTCGGTAAAATGATATTTTGGAGTCCTCGAGATTGCTGTCTTGCCATCCATCTGATCCCAGCGCAGCAGCGAGCCGCTGTCCGAACGACCCTTTGCGGTGGTGGTTGAACTTGAAACGACTGTTGCCGATGTTGCTTGGCTGCCTCGATAATCTCTGGCCCGGAGTGGGCGGAAGTGTCCTATAGGCTCTGCCAGCGGTATCTCGTTGGCTCAGCAAGCTAGTCTGTTCGTCCGCAGCGCCTTTATTGCGCGGTCGACCACCACGCAGTTCGAGATCCGAAGCACGAGATGAGTATAAACGGCGGCTGGCTGTCGGGGAGCTCGGAGTTGCGCTTTGCTGTGAGGAATCGATACCCTCGTCGTTATCGGCCGGCGCATCTTTCCGAGACTCGCTCGGTGTTGTTGAAGACATTATTGAACACTGGGCCCGAACGCATGGGTATTTTCAAAATAACAGCAACGCTCTAAGGGATTCTCATTCTTTATTCGGAACGGCAAGGATACATATGCTCATGGGATATTTTCGTGGAGAGTAGTCTAGGCAAGGAATGAGCTGGTAATGAAGCACCGGACCGGGATGGGGCGCTGTTTAGATAACTGATGTAGGCTGTGGGGGAAGGTGGGCACATGGACAGCGACTTCCTCCGCAAATGTTTACGGATGTCTCAGCCAAGACGAAGTCCAAACAGAAACGATCGGCAGCGGCAAAAGGCGCAAAAAATAATACTATAAAAGCCTCCTGTGCTTACCATGACCCATCTCCACGAGGACAAAAATCGAGGTAGACGGCGTTGCGATATCTTGGGGGATAATGACATGCTGCGGGCTATTTCGGGGGTTCCACCTGTTCGGCTTACTCTACAGGTAAACCGACGACTTGGGTGAGACTTCACGCGAAGGCGGTCAGGGACTCATGTCGCACAGTAACCGTTACCGCAGTATGCGCGTAAAACGTTTGGCTGTTGCGATTAGGGACCCGTGGTAACCGGGCTTTACTACCACCCAAAAAGGAAAAAAATAAGTTACAGGCACCGGGATGTCGGGGGTTTGGCCTTAAACCTCTTTGATAACGGGCGGATCATTCGGCCTTCATTTTGGGGCAGTCGCTTAGTCATCTCCAAAGTCGTTGTGTTGCTCGCATCTAAATTCAACCAAACCTCCGCCAAAGGCCAAAATATTTAAAAGCTTTGGGATAACTTGCAGTATTCGATATACTTCTTGCGTATTGTTAAAATTTTAATTTTGCTGCTGCTCAACCATCTAGATAAAACAATTGTTCTCGTCGCTCCTCCAGAGTCTCTCTGTACAAATTGAACTGGGCCATGGCTTCATCATAGTCCTCATGAGAGACCCCGCCATCTGCGCCCAAAACCAGGTCGCGCAAGCTCTGAAAGTCGACTCTAGCATCTCCCCATTTATCTGCGACTTTTCTAGCTTCACTGATGCCCTCTTCTGTGAATGTGACTGGGCAGGCGACATCCAAGCCTCTGCTCAGACAAATGCCATCCCATTTCTCGTATATCTGGAGCAGCAATTCCTGAAACGGAACCGGTCCATCCTGCCAGATCCGCCCGGCCAAATGCAAGATTAAGATGCTCGGGTCAACACTACATAGAAACCTGGAACGCATAGCCTTGTACGCAAGAGGATTTCCAAGCTGTAGGCACGCCATCTCATAGAATTTCTTGAGTCTTTGGACGCGGAGTCTGTCCTTTGCCGTTTCCTTGTCGGCTTCGGACAGAGTCTCGTAATCGTCGGGCAGTTGCGGCATGATCGTACCCCACTCATACGGCTCGGTAGAGTATGCTATTGCGGGAAATCCGGCTTGCATGAAGAGAGGCGCGGCATATATTCCCTGCCAATCAATAATTCCAGTTATTTTGGTACGGTCCGTCTCGTCGACAAATATATGATCAAAATAGAGTTCTTCATGCCACAGGACTGCGCTGGTAACCTCCTCTACAGGCGGAAGAATGTAGGGTAGCAGTGTGAGATAGAGCTCAAGCAGTTGCACATGTATGTCTGGAGAACATAGCGATGTTTCGGTGAGTAATGTAGGACTTTGAGGTTGGTGACGTCCGATTTGCTTAATCCATGTAATCTCGCGCTTTGCAACGGCGGCAAAATACTCCTCTGCAGTATTCCCTACAAGTATATGAAGAAAATATGTCAGTTAGATTATTTGATCACAGTTGTTCATTGAATCATTGAACCATTGATTGAAGGAATTGAATAAGGTTCAGATAAGAGAACGGAAATAACCTACATGGACCACGGTCGATATCCAGATCTCGCTTTCCGTTCTCCCAGAAACAGTTGGCAGCGACAGGGCCAATGATGAATCTGGAGGTGTTCTTTGTAGTTGCGTCAGGAATAGATAAAGTACTACAATTATCGGTAAGCATCCCAGTGGGATGAGCGTCACGGTAGTATATGCTCCCATATTTTGATAATTTTGCTGCCATCAATTTCTTCTGTATTTCAACAATATTCTCGACGAGGTGAAAGCGCTCGTACTCTGGCATTTCTGGCCATACATCGGCCAATTGACGGCCCTTGACTTTTTCCATGAGCATATATTCCGCCCCGACTGGATTGGGAGATGAGGCCACTTGATGGCCCGTACTCGATTTAAACACTCGAGGAACTGGGATTTCCAAAATATTGCGAAGCTTTAATTTGCTCAGGTTTCATGAATTAGCTTGAATCTTGATATGAAAGTATGATTGTAAGATGAATAGTCGACACACGTACGAAATCCAAAGTAGCAGTCTCACTAGCCACGATGTACTCTGCAGGGCCAGCGATAGGGTGCGGTATCTTTGCAAGGACCTCTTCTCCATTCTGCATGCGTAGCAGGAACACCTTGTTGGAGTATCCTTCGCGGAATTTGGTGAGTTCTTTACAAGGAGAGCCAAGTGCATCACTAGCAATCCGTTTCAGCGCATCCACGTCGAACTTCACATATCTTTCTGCCAGTTGCCGTGGCTCATCGTACAGCCAACGGCTGGATGTGTAGCGGAAAAGGTCGTTTGATTCTTCATGATGGGCTAAAGGATGAGTACATTAGTTGATGATTTCCCAATAGCAATGGACGTACAAAACACACCCTGGACAGTGATCGATACTTGGTTTGGTGGGTTAGTAGTAGAGGAAAAAGGCTTTTGCACTCTCCGGAGTGGATTGACATATTTATATAGCTCTTGAAATCGTCTCATCTCGGATGAGTAGAAATTCAGCAAGAAATAGGCGGTACAGGAAGAGAAATGCTTATATTGCGCTGCTTGATCACTTGGAGAGCAGAGAGCAAGATCAAGTAAGATATTTTAGAGGGAAAAGTGGCAACTATATGAGTAGGGCTAATATCATTTCAAATCGGACGACTCGAATTGTCTGTGTCAGCTGTCTACAGTAGAAATATGCATAAATACACACAATAGTGAGCACAGGTGCACTCCATTGTTGCATGCCATCACTGGACGATTCAAATGTCAATTAGATCCATATGTCGGAAGGCTGATACTTGGTATATATACTTTACAGAGGATTGATGGTGAAGTTTTCTATCAAGAGTGTCAAGTACGCTTGTTGAAGATGTGCTGACTAATGATCAAAGTGCACAGGAGGTACGAGAGCTCGAGACATGGGAGCAGTACAAATAAGATTGATATTACCGGGATTTGGAGGTTTAATTCCAGGATGTCATTAATATATTCATGGGTTTAGAGGGACTATTCATTGAAATAAAAATCAATGACATTCTCTATGAATTAATTTAAATTCAATTTTATTTTTGAAATTTTTATTTGTTTTGTAATTAATTTGCCCACTATATTTATTGCTCATTAACGTTGAGTCCCATAAACTTTTCCAATAAGTATTTCCAACATGCTCCAGATTGAAACAAAATGTTTTCACATTGTTAAATGAAAGTTTGACATGTATCATCTTGTGCTCAAGGAATTGACCTTACGGGGAGGGTCCTCCCTGGCGAAGCCCAGTATAATAAGCGGAGTTGTGAGCGAGGAGGTAAGCGGACCCAAGTCCGAATCAACACCGACGGAGTACGTCATCTCCAAACCATAATAGAAATTTCGCAGAAGATATCAAGCTGTGGAATACAAAAATTTAAGACCATGGTAAGTCCAAAACCTTTACTTGTCTGATATAAAACTGTTTTAGTCCGGGAAAATCCTATCTACCGTACGGTGCAGCACAAACATACTATAACCGGTGATGGATATACCGAGTAAAGTGACGCTGACATCAAACACAGTTTCCCTACGACATCTTCTTTCTTTTCGGAGATTCGTTGACACAGCAGTCTTTTAGCCAAGCAAAGGGTTTTGGATTTGGGCCAGCGCTTCAAGATGGTATGTATCGGGGACCTTTTCTTTTTATTAAATTCCATCCAGTGCAATGTTTTACTCGATCCACGTCTTATACCTGCCCCATTGCATACCCCCGCTTTACAATAAATGATCTTAAGGTGCAACAGAATTATCCGGCTGACACAGCTTGTATCCAGCATACATTCGACGTCTTGACGTCTTGAACCGGGGATTCAGGTACTAGAGATACCAGCATTATTTGTTCCAGGCTATCATATCAATTTTATACTAAGACGTACAGTGGATACAACTCTGCCCATGCACTGAAAACTCTAGACAAAATTGTTCCCAATCCATCTCAAGGCAAAATTCGTTTTCTGGTACGGTAGTGAACAACACTCCTCCTGCGTTAGTATCATCCTCCAGGGATAATCTACGGAGCAATTGGTACGCTATTATATTCCATTGACTACTGACATTAAACAATTCTTCGTACAGACTGTCTTTTTGGGTGCCAATGATGCTTGCCTTGCTGGTGGCCCTACACGCCAACACGTTCCAATAGAAGAGTATAAGAAGAATCTTAAGGCCATTATTGCCCATCCTCTCATCAAAGAGCACAACCCGCGCATCATTCTCATCACGCCTCCGCCAGTCGATGAGTACGGCTTGACACGCACAGACTTGGCCAAGGGAATCACAGACGTGCTTCGCACTGCAGAGCATACAAAGTCGTATGCAGACGCTGCCAAGGATGTTGGTAAAGAGCTTCAGCTTACCGTACTCGATCTCTGGACTGCGTTCATGGAAAGAGCTGGGTGGCAGCCTGAGCAGGAAGTCTTACCTGGATCGAAGAAGTTGGGGCAAAATACGTTGCTGGCAGAGCTATTCCATGATGGTAAGTGATTCCTTCTTGGACGACGACATCGACTGCAAGAATCCTCCCCGTTGAGGTCTGACGATTAAACGCTGACTCGTGGTGGTAAGGGCTTCACTTTAATCCTCCGGCTTATAAGATCCTCTTTGATGAACTCATGAAAGTGATTGCGAAGAATTGGCCAGATCAATTACCGGAAAACCTTCCATTTGTCTTCCCTCATTGGGAGGAATTAACTCGCTAATACCCTATTTCCTGTGAAGATCTTGGAATATAATTTCTCGATCAAAGCAGAAACATCGATAGATGGATTTAGATTTCGCTTTAGATTACTCTATTGCTGCTGAAATGAACATTGACATCATATGGTTTTCGTACATGATATATATACAAAAGTTTTTTTGCGACATTGAGACTTGCATTAAGCGGGCGTGCTCCACTGATGGGTCCCGTGTTGCGATCTAATCACAGATATTTCTTCGGAGCGTTGGCGCGCCTGCGCTTATAGATGACATAAGAAGCTGCCAGCAGCAATTGGAAAACGACGACAATGAAGATGAGTAGACCCATCCGAGGAGCCGAGGACGTCACAACTACGAAGCAGGGTTAGTTCGGCACCCAACATGCGTGTTCAAATGTGTATCTAGTGGAACTTACTGTGGCTCAAAGTCTGCGGTAAGCTTTCCACTATACTGCTATGAGTATCTCTCAGAGCATCCTGCAACTTGGTTAGGTGCTCCTTGTAATCCTTGCCTTCAACATCTTTTTGTATTCTTAGAACAACATTCTCGATCGCCTGTAATCTTCTGTCCATCGTGTTTAACTGCTCATAAGGGACGCTCTTGCTGTTTAGCTCAAGATGACGCTCTTCCGCCTTGGAAGATATGTACGCGACTTCCTTGTACAGCCTGGTCATCTGGTGGTTAATGAGCTGTAGACGGTTGTGGAGGTCGGCGAACTGCAAGTCGGTCGAAATCGAGGAAGCAGCTTGATCGCCTTCGTCGCGGAAAAGAGTAGCAGCTTCCTCTTTGCTGGGCGCATCTGCACTGCGCGTTGTTGGGGAGGTGGTCGTGACGAGGAACTTGTTGACTTCAATGGAATCTGGATTCTCTGCCGAGGCTGCAGAAAGGCCGAAGCGGTAGTTTGCAGGGAGTCGGACCTAAGTAACTGTGAGCCATCCGGTAGTGCTCTGTGATCCTGTAGGGACAGACCTTATCTGATTTGAAGCACAGCTTATTGTCAACTTCCACCTGGAAAAATTCCGACGTCTGCTTGACCTGAATGTGTGATGGTCGTCCTAGGTTCCGATAAGGATAATCGCAGTGGCCAAATGCCAGCGAGTCGACGCTATGGTGGTTCTTGTATTCTGTGCTTCCATCGTTCAAAAACCCGCGGATACTTCCTCCCTGTGAGAGTAAGTCAGCATTGCTGCTATAGTTATGGCGCCGCAGATAATCCATTGTACCTTTCCCCCATACGGGTCCAACACCAATGCCAAGCCATCAAATTTACCCACAGTGTAGATGCTTGACGTGCCAATTTCCGACAAACCTTCCTGGGTATACCAAAGTTGAAGATTTCCATTTCCGCGGTCTGGGCCAGTGGCTCGAAATTCGAAGTCGACCGTCCACTCAGTATGGGGCTCCCTTGAACAGCTTGCGTCAGTATGCGTCGAGCTCAGCAGGTATCGGAATATACGAACTTGTTGACTGCCCAAAGCGCACCGCGGCGATTGCCAGGGTAGGGTGGAGTTAAGACGATACGGTCTGAGAGCTGTTGGAATATCATTAGTATTGCAACGCAAGCTTGGATCTTGGATCAAGAGAATGACAACTTACAATTTGAGGCGGATCACCGTCTCCTGAAATTTGCCAGCCCTCTATCGTTCGTTGATCGCGAGATATGCTAAGGCAGTACGATTCATCATCAGTTGGACTATATGCAGACTATGAACGAAAGCTTATCGACAATTGACATACCTCGGGCCATATCCAAAACTTAGTCCCTCAACAAGGTATTGAGCCCGGGCGACAGAGGACGCAAGAGTCAACCACAGGAGGGATCGCAAAGAGCGTGGCGAGGTCTGCATCTTCACGGTAGAGGTGTTAGGCGCTCTTTGGAATCGAAGATGAGTTTTGGCATCTACTATCAAGACGGGAGTTCGATAAAGTCGGGCAAAACACCGTGTTTCAGCTCGGTCGGCGGCGGAAGTTAAGGATACTCCTCACAATAGACGCTGTGGTCCAACCCAGTACGGCAGCAATGATGCAATATCGTAATTCCCTTGCTACCGATACCGCAGTCGAGGATAATTCAACACTGTGCCGGATTGTCACGTCCGAAAAGCGAACAGCGTGGTGAATTGAGCCGTCAGACATGACCATAAACAAAGTGCAAACTGGCCAAACTGGTAGCTCCGCCGTCGCCTCATTGTGCCCCTGTGGGGATGTTGGTCCCCTGAGCTCGCTAGGCCGACTTGTTCTAGAATAGGCAGTTTCCTGGTTAACTTCAACCCCAATAATTTGTTAGTCTCTTGGTTGTCATCTCGACAGGCAGCTCGATGATCTGGGGACAATACTTTGCAGAGGATTTACTTGAGCACATGTTCCAATGAAGACCAGGATCTAAGACACGATCGTGTGGATGGAACCATGGCTGAATTCTATCCCTCAATTTCTCAATGCGCTATCGTCGCCACGGCCTTGAAACTCCTTCTCTTTCCAGCGTAGTATGAGACACGTGGATGTGAATTATCAAAGCATACAAGATCATAAGTTGCTGACTTTTGCTGAACAGCAAATCCACCGATTTCGAGGTACATAGGAATTGGCTTGCAATTGCGCATTCTCTTCCAGTCAAAGAATGGTATTTCGAGGTACATTCAAGAGCAGTTCCCGTGACTTCAGTTGTGGAATTGACAGTCATTAGAAAACGTCCGAATGGACGCTGGATTACCCCCCTTTCTTCGCCTACTTTGAATGGGTGCTCTCTCAATTTGCCGCTTATTTTCATCCGAATCTCTTGGAGGTGAGCCAGCTCGAGTACGACAGTTGGCAAACCATTTACTTCCAGAGAGCAACGGTGATTGCTACTGAGCTTATTCTGGTTTACGCCCTCCATCTGTATGATCCCACCCTAACGTTTTCGCGAATTTAATCTCATCCGCTCTTCAGTTACGTTCGAACTTCACCTTTGATTGCAAAACAAACAGCACACGTGGCTGCATTGTCCATTTTGCTCTCCCCAGGCCTACTGATTATAGATCATATCCATTTCCAGTACAATGGCTTTCTCTATGGTATCCTTATTCTCTCCATTGTCTTGGCCCGACGACAGTCGACGCTTCTCCTGAGCGGCCTGCTTTTTGCGGCACTCTTGTGTCTAAAGCACATTTATCTTTACCTGGCTCCGGCGTATTTCGTGTACCTTCTCCGCCAGTATTGTTTGAGCCCGAGATCCATCTTCCGGCCCCGATTTGGCAATTGCGTGAAGCTGGGAACAGGAATCTCAGCTATCTTTGCCACCGCATTTGGTCCTTTCGTTTACTGGGGCCAGGTAGACCAGCTTTTGAGCAGGCTCTTCCCGTTTGCCCGTGGGCTATGCCACGCTTATTGGGCCCCAAATGTATGGGCTATGTACTCATTCGCCGATCGTGTGCTCATTCATGGTAAGTACTAGGCTGCATAGAACTGAGTACAGGGAATCTGACAATACTGTTTCAGTTGCGCCGCGGCTAGGTCTTCATGTTGATGAGACCGCGGTCCACAGCGTCACTAGAGGCCTTGTAGGCGATACATCATTTGCAGTGCTGCCGAACATACCGCCGAAGATTACCTTTCTGCTTACCCTCGCATTTCAGACGGTGAGATTGAGCGCCTGCAGTCTTCAAAATCTTAGCACCGATTTGATGCTAACTCCTGCCTAGATCTGCCTACTCAAGTTGTTTTTCCAGCCGAACTGGGAGACATTTGTGGGAGCTGTTACTCTCTGCGGCTATGCGTCATTCTTGTTTGGCTGGCACGTGCACGAGAAGGCTATTCTTCTGGTGATTATCCCTTTTAGTCTCCTGGCTCTTCGAGATCGACGATATCTAGGCGCGTTCCGTCCGCTAGCCGTGGCCGGGCACGTGTCTCTGTTTCCACTCCTGTTCACGGCGGCGGAATTTCCAATCAAGACCGTCTATACTGTATTTTGGCTCGTAACATTTCTTTTTGCCTTTGATCGGCTCGCGCCGGTGTAAGTTCATCTCATGCACCCTTGAGATTAGTGACCCTGGCTGACTAGAGTAGATCATCTCGGCCGAGGGTCTTCCTGCTCGACAGATTTTCGCTCCTTTATATCACGGTAGCGATCCCACTTATTGTCTATTGCTCCATGGTCCATGAACTGGTCTTTGGCAAGCGCTATGAGTTTATTCCACTGATGTTTACAAGTTCATATGCGGCAATCGGAGTGGTTGGGAGCTGGATTGGGTTCCTTGTCGTTTACTTCACATCATAGAATTTCATGCGTGGAACAGTGATACCAACTCCAATAGAAGAATTTATCCACGAAGAAGTCTGATTAATATTCCAAAAAAACTAGTTGTATCCTATCGCATACGCTGCTCGTCGTCGGCGCACTGTGAGCGGATCGGCGGCAGGAGAATGGATGAAAAAAGCGCGTTGTCAGGGGGAGAAGGTGTTCTGCAGACAAAGTGGACAGACGTAGAGAGACCCGGAAATGGTTTAGCTCCAATTTCCCTTCTCTGGGCCCCACGCGAGGCGATGCCGTGTCGACCAGATTGTGCCCACCGTTTGTTTCGCGAGAGGTAGGCGGTACCTCTTATTTTGGTGCAACAGGGTAGAGAACACAAAGTACCGCAACGCGAAAGGGTACACGCGCAGAAGAACAGCCTAAACTTTATTTGGAGCCAAGACCCACGACAACTTCTCCTCGGCCCTTCAAGATGTTTGTGGCTTGTTCTCTTGGACTCGGTTCAGTCTTTGGTAGGACAATGAATATCTGATGAGATGTAGACCTCCCTTGCTGAGCTGGATTGATATGCAATCTCATGCGCATTCAAGTTGAAGGAAAGAAACATTACTTGCTTAATTGTGTGGACATCTACTCCCCCGCCATGTAAACAAACCTTATCATGCATTGCTCCCGCCGCTGTGCGGAGCACCAGGCTTTTCTCAGTACAATTAATTTACATCTCTCGCAGACAACAAATAAGCTGATCAATCTCATATTTGGTCACGGGCTCGAATAAGAGCATTTTTTGGATCCCTAACAATCCCCTTTCTTTGTGCATCAAATCAACCAACGAGGAGATAGCATATTGATGCGCGAGATGTAAGGACGTCAAGAGGCGATCAATGGAGTCTGGAGTTCAAAACTGAAATAGATGATACTAAAAGTATTGTAGCAAGTGTTTTTATGGTAACTTTGGCTCATTCTTGTGATTTAGATCGTGTGCCTCAATGTCGCGCTCTATATGGCGACGATGGATGGACCAACCCGAGGGTGTATAATGTGTATTTAGAAGACACTAAAACGAATCCACAATTTATATCATAAATATTCACAATCTAGGGCTCATTTAAATGCGGTTGCGACTTGAAGGGAGTGGTGATCTGCGCGCTGGTGGTTTACAGGATTGCATCCACCTCGATTGAAGAGCGTCATTAAAGGACCCCTGCAAGCTACCCCATTTTTCAGGGACAGCTACACCATTATCCTTGCACTAAAACTGACAGCATTTATACTCATCTTGTTCGCATTTTACGGCGGAGTATTTTGAGTACTTGAATGGCACTGAAAGCTGCGTGGCTGGTAGATCTCGAGGGGGCCAAAACGAAGAAGCCTGATGGGTGTGGCCGTGGAGGGTGCCAAATGACGATGGACAACAGGTGGATGAGGAGGTTTACTCGAGATTTAGCGAGAGGCGGCCATGGATCAAACGAGTAAGCGAATCGCGCAGATGGCATGGCCCTTTACCGCTTCGGTTCAGAGAGACCGGGCTAACACGCCTTCCCCCGTCACTCCTTTAACCGGGGGTGCCTTTTTGGTCGTGGACGCCCCTCGAGCAAAAGACGCCGTTTGGCTCCGTCGGGGGGCCCTTTTTTCCCTCCCTCCTCTGGGAGGGCCCTAAACAGCCAGACAGCGCCCCCCCAAAAAAAGGCACAAGGAATTATCTGAGTGCCGCTCAAATCTCTTCGCAGAGGCCCGCGCTAATACGTCGCCAACAGGTACCCCATGTACACACCCCAATTACCCGTACCCGTGCCCTTGACCATACAGGGTAGTCCTATCACTTAATCCATTAAAGAAACGAATGAGGCTCCCTTCTCCGTTTTCCACCTCTTCCTCATCTTCAATCTTTCTTCACATTGACTCCGTCCTTGCCGCCATTTACCTACATATGTCCTGCCACGACACTGCGGGCATATTCCATCATTAAACAGCCTCCCCGATCACAGCTTTAATCGTTGATAAGGCCTCATCTGAATTTCTTTGGCTATCAGCGAGCGACGCGGTGTGATCGATCGAGAGGTGAGTTTTCACCCCCGCGTTCAAAAGGCGTGACACGCTTGTCTATGACCGGCGTGTTTCTCCGCCAGGTCGCCACCATGACTGTCTGAATTTTGATTCCTTGTTAAAACTTGCATTCATGCATGTCTTGTTTTGTTTCATTCATCGTTTTCGCCTTGATTTATATGTTTATTTCATTTTCATTGCTGCTTCAGCTTGCCACGGCTATGGCCAGCCAGACCCACATCTGATGAAACCTTGTGAGCAGAACTAGCCACGCGGTCTTACGCCAAGCTTCGACCTATGGCCATTTGAAATTATCCACCATGGTGAATCACAAGTCTTGAGAGATCTTAGCTTCTGACCGCTATCTAACTCTACTAGGTTTTGTTCAAACGAAAACCCGTTCAGTATCTTTCCCGCCCCCAGATCAAGGATGACAATGCCGATGTAAGTGTTCATGCCTTGTCTCATTCACAGTATTTTGGGTAATTGGGCATTCCGTACTAATTCACTGCTTAGGTCTGGGTAATCGGACAGACTGGAGAAATCTTTACAAATTATGGAGATTATCTCCATCGGTAAGTAAAAGCCCTCTGGCATCAATGATGGACATCCAACTGTGAATGTGCTTTTTTTTGTCAATCAATACTGACTGGACCAGTATGGACTTTTACAAGCAGGTTTGTCCCAGCCGATGTGGGCCACGTTCATGAATGTTTCCGACTAACTTTATGCCTTCACTTTGCCAAAAGAAACGATTCATTTGTACCATCACGGGCCACTCAGGTTTAACTTTCTTTGAGGCTTTGAAAAGCGAAGTAATTTCTTCCCTTGTCGAAATTTCTCAATCGATGAGCTGACTTGCTGTAGATGGAGGGGTCCAAAGATGTCGATAAGTCTTTCCCAGAGGCTTTGAAGGAACCGATCCTCCGCAGGGTTCAGTTCTCAACTGTATCTCGCATTGACTCCCTTGGTAAGCTTGGGCTTCTTCAAGTTCATCGCAGATGTTGCTAATATATGCATCTCTTACGTCTGCAGTTGACAAGATATATGATGTGGGTCACTTTGAACATTCCAGCTTTGGAGCTCAGCTTTCTGACAATCTTTAGGACTTTAAACAAGACTTTTATCCTGGCGAAAATGTCACTGTTATATTAGACTCGGGAGAACGTCTCAATGGCGTGGTCCGAGAAAAGGCAAAATTCCCAGAACTGACGAGGCCTGATGGCATGATAGAACGAAAAGCCTTTTCGAGATATTTTGTAAAGTTACTCAACCGACCTCACGAAGAGGCTCTTGTCGATGATGAGCACATCGTCCGAGATCGCAAGGCCTTCACAAAGCACATGCTTCGGTCCTTTATCAAAAAGACGGTGGTACGAGAAGCCTGGACTGGAGCCCCGTGGCTAGTAAAGGAAAGGTTTGCCAAGGATTATCGCATCGATACCAATATTCCAGCACATCTACTTCAGAACATCAAAGGCGCGGAGAAAAAGGCCGGCCCCTCCTCCTCGGGGCGGAAAAGCGAACAAGAGGCCGCGCTGCTCAACTTTCTGGCAGCTGCTGCTAAACTTCCCGAGCTAAAACCAGCACCGAGCGGATCAAAGGGCAAGCTCACGTTGGAACAAATTGCTAGAAACAAGCACGAGCAGTTTCTGGAATATCGAAAAGCGCTCAACGGGCACCCAAGCTTTTCTCCCGGCGGACAGCCCAGTACAACCGCGACATCGCCAAGTCAGCCCAGTAACTTTGCACCTCCGGAGCAGATGCTAGTAAAAAGCTCGCCGAAACCCGCGCCTCCACCTCCAATCAAATATCCGATCGAGGATCTCGAGATTATCCCACTCCGAGATGGCACCCACCGGCCAGCTCTCAAATATCTGTCTCACGACACACCCAGTACAGGAAAGAAATTTCACGGAGCTCACAAGGATATCCACATGAGATCAGTCGGCCCGCTGCTCGAGACTTGGGATACTATCAATGTTTTTTGTGAAATCTTCCCGATCGACTCGTTTACGTTTGATGATTATATCGAAGCTCTTCGCTTTCACTCCGACGAAGTGCAATGCGAACTCTTCGTGGAGCTGCACTGTGCTCTCCTCAAGGAATGTGTCGATGAAGAAGGCAACGTCCTCGTCAATATCCCAGAGGTGGAGGAGGACAGCGAAGATGAAGAGTCGGACAACGAAAGTAGCGCAACGCCAACACCAGAGCCTGAGGAGGAACCTCCACGCAGACGGACTCGTAGTAGCTACGCCAAAGCTGCCGTGATTGAAGAAGAGGTGAAGCGAAGTCCTAGTGTGGAAAAGATAGCGCATAGAGCCGAGGAAATGCTAGGAAATTATGGATGGATAGAAAGGCTGCAAGCGAGAGATTTTCGCAACGGAGGCTGGGAGATTATCATTGTCGGTTTACTGCACCAATTATCCCTTGACGAACGGCGGCAAAAACTCTGCGAAGAACTACTTTCGAACCTCGCTCCTCTCGACGAGGACGCGAGCCAAGAGACTGCACGATTGCAGTATGCTTATCTTGACATCAACCTGCGCATCCAGATCATACAGATACTTTGCTTACTCATCGTCGAAACCAAGAGCGTGAGGGGTTACATGGAGGAATGCAGCGAAGCTATGACTATGTTCCGCAAGGACAGAGTCAATTGGCAGCGTACTAGGAAGGAAGCGTAAGTCATGCACAGTTTTTGTACCATGCGTGCAAATCATCAAGCCAAGCTGCTAATTTCGAATTCTTGTCAATACAGAGCGGAGGAATTACGTGTGCTCGACGAAGTCCGACAGCAACTAATACCAGAATCGACCCCACCCGCAGTAGAAGCGCACACTGAGGAGAAGGAAGATGTCAAGATGACCGATGCCGATGACGAGGAACTTGCCGAAGAGGACCAGCAGCATCAGTCTGACGAAGGAGATTCTCAGGCAGTCCGGTCTCTTCGCAGAGCAGACGACCGTGCCGCCCAGAGGAAGCGCAAGCGAGAGGAGGAAAAGGAGAAGAAGGAGAAGGCCGAGGCGGCTGCAAAGCTTCCAAAATTATCAGCTCAAGCCAAGAAGCTTTTGAAAGACATTGAGAAAAAGAAGGATAAGATTAAGGAGTGTGAGAAGGCGCTTGGGACAATAGAAATGGATCTTCGGGAAGCCGACTGTTTCCGGACAAAGATCTTGGGAAGAGATCGATTCTGGAATCGATATTACTGGCTGGAGAGGAACGGTATGCCTTATGGCGGCCTTCCAGAGAGCTCAACCTCTGACGCCGGCTATGCGAATGGATGTATCTGGGTGCAAGGGCCAGACACGGTTGAACGCGAAGGTTTCATCGATCTCCCAGAAGAGGATAGCAAGCAGTATCGCAAGACGTTCCAGATGACGGTCGCTGAAAGGAAGAGGCTCGAAGAGGGCCATACAAACGTGTTCCAGGCCGACCAATGGGGTTACTACGATGAGCCTGATTCGTTGGACATGCTGATTGGCTGGCTCGATCCTCGCGGTCACCGTGAATTGAAGTTGCGCAAGGAGCTCCAAGCGCTGCGCGACAAGATGACGGAATGCATGAAGAAGCGCAAGGAGTATCTCGCGGCTGCCGAGGAACAAATGGCTGGCGCAGAAGAGCCCACGGCCCGAGTGTCGACTCGTACCAAGACGTACGTTGACACGACCGGTCATCGGTGCTTGGAGTGGCAAAACTCAATGGCGCTGGAGGAACTGGGCCACTTGCATTCGGAGCAGCCAAGACCAGCCAAGAAAGCCAGAAGATCGGATGGGACCAAGGAGATCAAAGCCACCAACAAACAAGGCAAACCTCTTGGCAGACAAGGAGCGCGTAACGCATCTTAGGTCGATATTGTTCTCCGGATCGCATCCCACAGAGACGCCTTTGCGCCTTTTGTTCTCAGGTGCTTTTCTTTCCTTTTCTTTTTCTCCTTTCTTTCTTTTTCCATCTTTCTTTCCCTATGGCATGGCATTGCTTTGCACTTTCACTTGGCGCGACATCCGTTTGTTGGAATTGACAGCCCCAGCGAAGAGCTTTTCTATTCTACGTTGCGGATTTCATCTTGCAAGCAAAGTTTTCAGGCAAATTTGTTGCTCTCTGATTGTTGAGGGGATTTTACTTCTTTTCCATCTGATCTCATGGTCTTGCGAGGAGTTTGAAGGGTAACTTGCATTACTCTCAGGAGCTTGGGCATTTCCCTTCCTTTTTTTTAATTATAATATTGCAAAGGGGATCTTTCCACAATTTAAATAATGGTTGGGATCTCGAGCCACAATAGAGACATTATTACAATACCATCAAGGTCCTCGAGAGTAAATTATCGAACTGGTGATACATGTGCATGTTAGCGCGGCGTCAATCTGACCAATAGAACCGAGTCTGGTAATCGGTTCTGGCTCTTCAGAAAAATGTTTGCGTTTTCTTATCAGCACCGGTGAACATGCAAGCTTGCCAAGCGGCTAGATCATAAGCGTACCTATTACCTATTACATGGTAGCGATTGCATTGCGATTTCAGGTACAGAATACTCTATCGCTCACCTCCGACCACAACAATGCCCCGCCTTTGAGGAGGGGCCGTATACAATATCTAAGGTAAGCTCTGTTACTCATACCCCGCCGTGGAAAATATGCAAATAAAAGAATTTATTAGACTCTCTCTGAATATTTCTTTCTATCTCCAATTTAGCATTGATTCTTACAATTTGATTCTAAAGGGACTTCTGACTCCTTTTTCTCAATGAGGCACCACGTCTGAGCTGACGGCTTCCATCTACCTCACTGTGTAATAAAAACACACAATCGCTGACGCTGGGATACCCCTCCCAGACCTGATTCGTATTCAAGCTCTGTTCGTATCGGCCTCGGAGCTCCGGGAGCTCTGGGAACAGCCATGGCCGATTCAGCAATATCCCTGATTGACGCCCCCAAAACACTCAAGGATCGTGCAGTCTCGTATCATGGCCGGGTCCCTGTCCTGCGGAAACTCCCGTTTCCCGCCGTGGCTATCATTCTCACCTTGATTTTGGTAAACGCTCTTGTTTGGGTAGCAGTTGGTATTGTCCTTGTAAGTTCTTTTTTTTTCTTGGTCTTTTATTTATTTGTGTTTTTTTTTTTTTTTTCTCATATCTATTTTATTTTGTTCTTTTATTATTGTTTTTTCATGTCCAATTCTGTCATATTTTGCACCGCAGAATTATGCGTTTGGCCACTGGGGAGAAATTGCATTACTATGTCTATTACTTGTGCTCATAATTCTTTGATTGTTTTTATTTTCTTATGCTTTGGTTGCATGCATATACTTGGACCAACTATTCCTGACACGTTGATAGCATTTTCATACGTATGTTCTCCTCAAAGAATTTCTGTCAGGGACTCAGGCTAGACTACCTAGACGGTCTGGAGATTTCTTCAGAAAAGAACATGTTATCTGACCGGCAATAGGGCACTCGTTTCTACAGCTGTGTTGTCATACACATTAGGTCTCCGCCATGCATTGGACGCTGATCATATTTCCGTACGTCAATGGCCCTACGTCTTCAACCTCACACAGTGACTCCAAGAGTCCAACCCACAGGGATCCAAGGATCCAAGGATTCAAGAAGCAACATTCATTGACAAGATGTACCTAGGCCATTGACCTAATGACTCGGCGTCTTATTGCATCTGGTAAACGACCTGCTACAGTAGGCACATTCTTCTCCCTCGGGCACTCAACGTAAGTTACAGCCTCATGTGGTGAATAACGTCCCCCTCCTCCTCCTCCTCCTCACATTCGGGATAGCCTCCTGCTGATACTCAGATCTATAAAACGTCTAGAATCGTCATCATCACATCAATTGTCGTAGCAGCTACAGCCGCAGCGATTAGTGAGAAATTTGACAAATACAGCCGCGTCGGGGGGATCATTGGCACCGCTGTCTCCGCCGGCTTCCTCATCCTGCTCGGCATCATGAATATCTACATTCTGTATAAACTCGTCCAGCAGCTGCGGAAATTAATTGCCTCTCACCCCGGCGAAGAAGAGGGGTTCAAGATCCAGGGCGCCGGGTGTCTGTTTCATCTTTTTAAAAAGATGTTTAAACTCATTGACAGGTTGGTCCTCTTCTCCTCCCTTTCCCTTCCCATGTATCCTTCTCCCTTCTCCCCTCCTCCCCTCCTCCCCACATCCTTTCCCTCGCTCCTCTCTCGGACTTCGATACGCCCCTATATTCTCCATCTAGCCTGGCCTACAACCGTCGGTGGTTAACTAACACAGTGGTACATTCTTAGTCCATGGAAAATGTACCCCCTCGGCGTCCTCTTCGGTCTCGGCTTCGACACCTCCTCCGAGATCGCCCTACTGGGCATCGCCTCCATCCAAGCCGCCAAGGGGACCAGCGTCTGGCTGATCCTGCTATTCCCCATTCTGTTCACGGCGGGGATGTGTCTGCTCGACACGACCGACGGCGCGCTGATGATGACACTGTACACCTCGACCTCGCTCGCGCGCGACCACATTGCCATCCTGTACTACTCCATCGTGCTGACTGCCATCACCGTCTGCGTTGCGCTCGTCATTGGCGTCATCCAGCTGCTCTCGCTCGTGCAGAACGTCGCCGAGCCCTCGGGCACTTTCTGGGACGGCGTCGCCGCCGCGGGCGACCATTTTGACATTATCGGCGGCGCGATATGCGGGTCGTTTATCTTCTTTGGCGCCCTCAGCGTCGTTTTGTATGGTCCCTGGCGGCGGCGCGTAGATCGGCGTCGTATGTCCCATCCCCCTCATCCTCTTCATCTGCCTCATGATCATTATCATGCCGCCGCCGACGAGGCCGAGGTTGGAACAGCTGGGTGCTCAGCCGAAGACGGTGTGGTTGGACCGCATGATCACCTGTCGGAAGCTGGATACTTGGATGCTGAGACGGCGTCGTTGGCGGGACTTGACCGGGAGCGTGACCAGGAGCGGGGACTGGAACTAGAAATTGAGCGCGAAATGGCCTCGGATGTAGCTCAGGACCAGAGTCTGCATGGACCTATCGCAGCAGCCACGCCGCGGGATAAGACTATGACGCAGCAGGATACGAGCAAAGACGGCAAAACTACAAAGACAAATGTAACTGTGCGATCAATCGAGGAATCGCCGGAGGAAGAGACAGGGCCAGGTACATCTGCACATGCACATGCAAATGCAACTGCAATTACGCCGTCGTCATCATCTTCTGCGAGATAAAGGCGTCGTGTTAATAAAAGGTGTGTGTAAAAAGACATACAAACAACTTGTGTTAGAAGAAGGGATGTTACATATCGGACATATAGTGATAGGAGTGGCTGTCGATACAATAAACTATACATTACATCTAACTTTCAATGACATCACTGAATGGCAAGCACGGAGCGGTATATTTTATTCATATATATTCATAATTGTTTCCCTGTCTACTCTCTATACTCATACAAAGTGACTTTTGGACTTTTAGACTCGTAGACTTCTAGTCTAGTCTCCCTTCTCAATCTCGTACACTTGTATAGAAATGACAACAAAAGGAAAAAAAAAAAGCTTTTCAAATAGAATTCCCATCGATCAACAATGGTACCGCAGTATTCCTTTTTCCATTTTCCTTTTTGGTTCAATACCAGCCACTTTATCCCGTTCTCTTCGGTGAGATGTATGCTGATATGCCAATGGATAAAAGAAGAGATATATGCAGGGTGAAAAATGAACAATGAAGATAGACAGATGAAACCAGAGATAGAGAAAAAAAGAGGAAACAAATGCATGAACATGTGCACATAACGAATGCAGTCATGGGATATGATGAACAAGACCAAACAACAACCACCTATTCAGACGACAACAACAATAACAACAACAACAACAACAATATCATCAAATGAGTCATCATCATCATCATCGTCAAGTCAAAGCAAAAACGAGCTTTGCGACAGAGAAAGTATGATACAAGAAAAAAAAAAAAAAGAGTCGGGGGACGGCGTGCGAGATACCGCATCTCCAATCATGATCTGAGGAAAGGGGGAAAAAAAATGCGACGATGAAGAAAAAAATAAAATAAATTTCAAATCACTGGGCATTGCTCTTGCATACCCAGGCATCGTTGCTGGAGGCGTTGTGGATTGAGTACCCAGAGGTGTACAGGCCGATACCGCAAATGGCAAAGGCAATGCCAATGACAAAAATGCTGGAGATGAACATGAAAATGTTGCGAATCGAGCTGAACCACTTGCCCTTGTTTAAAAAGAGCCAAAAGATGCCAGCCACGCCGTACGAGAACCACGACACAGAAAGGGCCGAGATGAGCGCCAAGAGGTCGTTGAATTGCGGTATACTCTCGGCAATGACAAAGGCAATGACCCAAGAGCACAAGGTGATGCCGACCCAGCTGCCGGTCGCGAGTGCTGAGCGTTTGGTCATGTGTCGCGTGCCTCGAAAGATTCGCACGTAAATGTACTTGGCTGCCACGTGGCCGTAAATAACGCCTGCAATGACAATCTGTTTTGAAAAGTTAGCAAGAGTGGTTCGAAGAGGGAATACTTTCTCGAGGGAATTTTCGCAAGAAAACGTACGGTTGGAATGGCAAGGCCCCAAGCAACCTTCATGACCATTGGTCCAGCGGATCCTATCGCCGGAGACTTGACTTCGGATCCGCCAAAGCGGTAGATGACAACAGAAGCGATCACATACAAGGCGATTTCACAGGTCTGGAGGAGAGTGACGGCCTTGGGCCAGTCCGTCGGTGTCTTCATTTCACTCATGAAGCCAAAGTAGCAAGCGTGTCCAGCTATCACGGGCGGCCAGGTTAGCGAGGTGGGAATATTGACAAAAATATGGACCCGAGCGTAAACTTACCATAGGCAAAGACAATGTTTGACACACTATTGAAAGCCTGCTGGAATGTAGGATGCTCAACCGCTTTCATGGTGTGCTTGCCGGGCTTCTCAATACCGACATCAATCATGGTCATCAAAACAGAGACGAAAATACTGATAAAGGCTGTATCGTTTAATTAGCCCAATTGTTCCCGAAAAAGAAAATGGCTTGAGATAATTGCCAGTAAACCAAACCTAAATAAAAGTTGAAATGGGGGAGAAATCACGTACAGGCAATGGAGAGCCAAGACATCTTCTTCAAGGTCCGCGGCAAGTCAAAGAGCCAAAAGACAACCAGACCGACGACGGACCATACAATCGTGCACGTCGCGCTGTTGGTAATCGTGTTGAGGCAAATGGTCCAGGTGAGAAGGTGGCTAGCCATGGAGAAGATGAGGTAGAGCGTCTGAGCAGCACCAAAAAGTTCCTTTCCAAACCTGCCCATCCCAAGGGGTTGAAAGAGCACCTCTCCAGCATCGGCCATGCTGTGCACGCCAGGGTAACGGATCTTAAATTGCCCAATGAGCAATCCAGTGTAGGTTGCCAAAATACCAAGACCAACAATGAGGATAACTCCAGGAACCATGCCAATTGTAGCAAGGACCGAAGGTAGCGACAGAATACCGAGAGAGATGGTCTCAGCAATCATGACTATTGAGGTCCAAGGTTAACGGGAAGAAGCATTCTAGAATAGAAAGAAGATCACTTACTCATTGACGCCTGCCACCATTCCAGCGTACGGTAGTTGACATCGCCTTCTCCCTCGGGAGCGAAAGGATCCTCATAATCTAATCCGTTCTCCTTGTACATTGACTCTTCCATGTTGGCAAACGAGCTTTGGGGAATTTGAGTAATTGAACCAGTCCGTACGTTGCCGTCTGGCGAAGAGGTTGACGACGATCCATCATTTACCATCTTGTTGTCGTGTTTAACATCCCGGCTGCTGTCATAGGGGTCTCGCGAGGTACCCTGGTCGGCCATGGTGTAGACTTTGCTTGAGAGGGAGCAAGCTCGAGGATGGATGTGTTGAAAGGTGGGAGCGGGTGTGGGATGAAGAGAGAACGGAGTTGGGGGGGGGGGAGGAGTGGTTTAAGTGCGAGCAAAAGGGAAATGACACGGTCTTCAACGGCAGATGCTTATCTTAACGTGTGAGGCGTGTGATCTCCACAATTTAATTCTGGGCTTGGCCAAGAAGTGAACGAAGAGAGAAGAGGAAGACAATGCCTCAGGACCGCGCAATTGATAAGCAAGAGCGAATGAGAAGCACGCGGGGGAAAGGCTGATGCGTGTGCTCGTAATTGGTAATTCTGACCCAGATCAGATCAGTCTATGCAAAGGAAGAGGGGACCAGTTGCAAGGGTTCCGGAAGAACAGAGAAGCAAATGAATGCTGAAAGCAGAGAGACGAGGGGTGGGGGAGGAGCAGAGTAGATTCGAACGAGAAGTGATCACAGAAGGAAAGAAATGGGATGCAAATGGTCTAACTAGTTTGAATCTTAACATCTAGGACTGGGCGAGGATGATCCTGGTTTTCAACAGCAAAATGATATCAGGGCAAGAGGTAATGGCCCAGTACCATGGCGGCGCATTCGGAACGGTGAAGAACCGTGACTGCGTATATTTGCCCGACAACCCACCGGGGCGAGGACGAACGCTGCGGACCAGACGGCATCTTTTCTGCGTATGTGGCCAGGCGATCCCTTTCTTCGGTGTTTTTCATTTTCGTGACCGGTTTGTCGGTTTGATGACAAGTAGAAGTTTCGAAGGATCTGTCGAAGAGAAGACGGAGACTAGTGGCAACGTCTTTGGTAACAGGAATAGATCTGTATGGCTTGTGAGGCTTTCTTTCCGCCGCTAGAAGGTTTCGAGAGAAAACTATGACTAAGTGGTGCGTACCTTGCGGCTACGACGGTGATTTTTCTCTGCCACTTTACTGGTTGTAGTTTAAACATTGAAGTTTTAAAGTCTTGGCTTCATGGGGGCTTTTCTTCGCTTCCGAGAACAACGGCTCTTATCTATCAACGATGCCTCAAATGGTACTAGTCAGTCCGGCTTTCGTAACTCATTTGAAGGAACAGAAAAGTACCTCACGGGGTTGTTCCTGCCAAGAGAACATTGGTTGCATCTGATTATGTATTCTGAATATTCATCAATCGCCGTTGCTTGCTAAACAAGAAAACATGTGCTTTGGACAATGTCTGCTGTAACGTGGCTCAACCGTATACGAAGTAATATATGGGGTATACCTCTCCCTGCCAGGTACTAGTGAGACCCAATGCCCAGTGGGATGACTTGCGCTAAGATCAGTCTATGGATTACATAACCCCAGATATCAGATGAGAGTCAGTCACGTGATGTCTACTCAATTACGCTCTGCAGTTCCAGGTACTCCAACGTAATTTTCAGACTGGCTCAGCCTCGTCACGTATTAGTCATCGTAGCACACAGTTGATTTGTGACGACATAACTTTCTTCTCAATTAGCATAATTTACACAATTTGGGCACAACTCTGCAAATACACTCAATACACCAACGCTCCCCATGACCTCAGACTAAGTTATTTGGAAGCCTTGACTACGCCATCATGCATCATCACAAAAGCCGAGCCAAGGTAGATATGAATATAAGACATTTATCCTTTTCCTTGCTCACCTAGATCAAACGATGCAAGAAACCAGAGAAGGAATTATATTAATTTCTACGTCATACCTTGGTTGATCACACTATATCTACGCGGGGCCGTTATCAGTCTCGGAACATTTGACCGAAAGAGCGTGGCAAGATTGTCGAATGCAAGATCCCCCCCCGGGAGCCCCTCTCCCCAGATCTCGTAATTGCACCAAAAGTGGCTTTTCACCTGAGCGCTGCCTTGGTTGTTACCCCACAGGACAATAGTATGGCCTCAGGTAAAAACCTTGGTTAGTATCGTACTTTAATTGCCGCGTTTGAAATTTCAGTATAGGAAGTGGTTTACATGCAAACAGAAGTAGCAGGTGTAGAAAATGGCACTTCTTTGAATCGAATTTCAATTCGGCTTGCATGCCTCTCTACATATGAATAGTTCACAGTAATTCCAACCAACGGCGAATGACCTATTCTGAAAACTCAAAATGTCATGCATTGTAGATATTCCCTTGCGGAGTGATTCTATGTATAACAAATAATAAAAATAGGAGATCGATGCTGATGCCCCAAGCGTAAGCATTTCAAAAAAAGACGCAAATGAAAATGCGCATTCAGCCATTGTAGAGTTTATTGCTGAAGTCAGGATATCCCGAAAAAAAAAAGGGGGATGGAGAATAAAAATGAAGATTAGGGAGAAGAAGAAATAATGATATGCAAAATTAAAGGATACGCCAGCTTGTTCGCTCCAAAAATCCAAAACCCAAATGTCATGTCGCCAAAGACTTTTTTTCGCTTCGTTGAACTTTTCGAACTTTTAATCTGCCACATGTCGTCGCGTCAGGGAGTTGAGAGCTGCGGAGCTATCGTCCATGGGTTGCTCGGCCATGGCAATTCGCGCACCTCCCAAGTCCATGGAGACTGGTTGTCATTCACGCGTTATCGCACCGGTGATTTCGACGTGATCAGTCGTAATGTCCATCATCGCCTTGCAGGGGCACCCTCGCTGATTGACCATCTTGGAGGCGGCGGGCGCTTGCTTGCTAGTTCCCGTCTCTCGTTTTCATAGTTGAGCAGTTGCTTCAAGCTGCTTTGACTGGGCGAGTTGCTCCCGGCGGCAGGGATCGTGGGTCGCTTTTCATAACTAATCTCGCCCTGGACTTTTCCATCGGACAACCTCGAGGCCGACGAGACGAAGGGGAGCGGGTAGTGTTGAGTGGGTACCGCAAACGGTTGTGAGCGTCTTCGAGCGGCCTCTTGGGCGGAAGGCACATAGGGTGTAACCAAGTCTATTGAGCGAGGGGATGCAGAGCTGATGGACGGGTTATGGCGTGGCGGTAAGGGCCGAGTAGAGAAATTGTAGCTGCTGCCCGAATAGGAGGACGCCGGCGTCGTGTGGGACAGAGAAGGTGTAGTTGCGGTCGACGAGTTGGCGGCATGGAACGGGTAGCCACCCACGTACGGAGTCGCTGAATAATGGAACAACTTTAGGTATTGTTGCGCCGCAGACTCCTGGCTCGACTTGGGACTGTTTGACGAGGACGACGGCGGCGAAGCGCACTGAGGGTAGAGGTTTGGCGGGCAAGTCCGAGCAGTCGGGGATCGCTGAGGAACGATATCGCGAACCGGCGGGTCTTCGAGGCTGAGGCTGCTGAAAGGAGACAGAGGCGGAGACGGGTCAAAGGCGAAAAAGCCACCAGCTTGGGAGCTGACAGTGTCTTTTTTGCGGCAACTGCACGAGAACAAAATGGTAAGCCTCGAATTTTGGGACCAAGTGATTGGACTTGCTCAGTGGAGAATTACCTTTCAGAGCAATAGAGGATTGAACTGCTCGGGACAACGATCTGCTTCTCGCATGTTGTGCTGTATTCATTTTAGATTAGCAATGAACAATAATTGGATTTACGCCGTGAGAACTCACCAAAACTGCAAGAAGCTGTTGGCCATTGCTTCGTCCTCGTCTCGCTTCTCCACGCCGCGACTCCAGCCGGCACCAGTTTTGGGAGGGCCTGTCGAGGTCGGCCTCCTGGTTAAAGGTGCTGGCTTGCTGGGACGGACATTGGGAGGATAGGAAGGCTTCCTCGGTCGCGGAGGTGAGCGAGGGTTAGTATGTTGTGAGATGTCTGTTGTAGTCATGTTTCGGACGATGCGACCGAGCCGTAGGTTTATACTACGGTGAGTCAAGCGATAACGAGCAAAGGGACCCTTATTTTTGGAAAGGGGGGTTGGTGCTTTGGTCGTGTGCGTGCCGTATCTATCGGCGGGTGGGCACTAAGATTCGGGCGCGTTGTGGCTGCAACCGATCAGAGTTGACTTGAGTGTCGAATCTCTTGCGATGCCCTGGAATCGGTAAGCCTCGGGAAGTGGCGGTCTGTAAGGGAGGAAAAAAGACGTCAGCAGGCGGCCCATGTTTACTCTGTTGATATGGAAAGTCAAAAGAATAATTTACAAAGTACAGGCGACGTCAATGCGCTTGTAGATGTGCTCGACGCCGAGAATGCGAAACCAATCCGCAAGCTGTTGGCCGGCAGCGTGGTCAATGTAGGACAGGAACGAGAGTCAGACTGGCGAAGGGAAGCGGTAAAGGGCAGGGAAAAAAAATGTCCAGGAAGAAGGTAAAATGATATATGTATATTCTACTGCCCGCGAATATCGTGCAGCATCGGATAGGGGCGTTACCGGAATGATATGTCAATTTGAAATGGGCAAATTGGACCCCGCGGACGAGTCGACCAGGCCTGATTCTGATAACGATGCCTTGATTATATTGCGACGGACAAGTGCAGTGGATATCGATCGGTGATTCTCCGATGAATGGTCGCTCTCGGCTGGGCGATAGGAGAGGACTAATGCACAGTGCAATACCTTCCTGTTTTCGTACTACCAGCTGAATGATGTCTTTAATTGGCGAATCAGAGGTAACAAAGGTACAGGCGAAGAACAAAACTTGGTCTTTTCTGCCTGTGATGGTGCGATCCAGGAAGAGTGCTTATCACCGGCCGGGCGTTGTCTGATAAGCTTTCAGTCGAAAGAGAGATGATCGTCGGATTCTGCAAGAAATGTATTCGGCCGTAATTCGATCGCTGCCAACGAACCTTGCAGCAATTATCGTCGTAGTGCGTCTGTAATCGCGAGATAAAGATTTACTTGTGGACAACGGTGCTTGTGTATTCTGCACGGGCAAAACCTCCCACGACCCGGGGGTTGGTGGCGAAGAATGAGAGGGGGTTTCAGGTGGAGGGTAAAAGGGCAACAAGAAGGGACGGACAGCGGGGTGGAGGAATAGTTTTATAAGTTTCAAGAGGAAGCCACAGCACGTTCTAATATGCCTACCGAATAGGCAGAACAGACAAGAATTGACCTTGTGGGGAACGAGCGGAAGTCAAGAGAAATACAACCTATCCCATAGCATCATAAAGACCCCAAGTGGCACGGGTAGGCCAACTTACGTACTGGGGGGGAAAAAGGAAGCGTAACGGCGGATTTACTCTATGGAACCGGGGATGAATCAACAATGAATCATGGGCGTCGTGGCCACTAAATTCGTCCACGTAGTGCTGATATGGTACATGGGAGGATTACTGCTCTTTGTTACCGCCAGCTGGGTGTGGATCACCTCATCACAGGCACCGGTGCGGTGCTTGCGTTGCTGCTGTCGTAAATTGGACCGAAACCTCCATCATGGCATGGTGGATTGAAGACATCTTATTGCACCATCCTAGACGCCAGAACGGCCCGGTCGCACATCATCGTTCGGCTCGATCCATGGTAGCTGGCTCACCAAGGGTTCGTTAAATGCCTTTTGGGAGGTTATTTCACAGGGTCCCCACGATAAGATCCGGGCAAAACTACCGACCGATGAACTCAAGCCCGCAAGAATACTTGCTCATGGTGAAGTAAGCTGATAGAAGGAGTACGTATTTACCGTCGACGCTTCTAAAAAAAAAAAAAAGGCATTCGGAAATCAATTGCAGCACGGTACTTGTTGAATCGATAGCAGTGCAGCAGCAGAAACTTTTTTTTCGAGAGTTGAAATTTTCCGTCGTCTTTCAAAAATGTTAACCCTGTGTTTTCAAGGGAGTTGATTATCGCCGAGAAAGTATCGGAGCAGTCCAAGGTACAGCTGCATGCTCGTTGTTGGCACCGTATCTCGTGTACCTCGTATCCCGCTTCTACTTGCAAGACGCGAAATTTAATCGGCATCAAGGTGCCCCTCACCTCCGTTATTTGACAACCTGGCGCCCCCACTTCGACGACCTTGGTTTTCCTTGTTCATTGCAGGCGCCTACGTGCCTTGCATTCTTTGCATGATTGGACAAGCGACGGGGGTGGACATCTTTTTTTCTCTATGGCAGGAGGAGCCACGGAAATATTTTTCCAGTATTAAAGCATCAAAAGCCCGCAATCATGCAATAGCCCTTTGGATTTTCGAGATTGCCCGGATGTGCTGGCTTGCAGCCGCAGCTCCTGCCTGCAGCTGCAGCATCATCCAAGCGAGCATCACTTTCCCAAAATTTCGCCCCTTCACTTGTTCGTTTCCAGTAAACAACATGAGAAGCCTCGGGACGAGTATTAGCGTCATGCAGCCGCGGGAAATTTCTCTAAAACGGCTCAGAAAAGGTGTATGCGTATTAAAAATTTCAATAATTTCTCCTCTATTAAGTTTTGCAAATGGATGGTGAAATATCAAATGATCATTACGATATTGTTTGCCAGATGCAAATGACCCTGCATGGTATTGACGAGATGTTTCTTGCGTTGCCCGTAGTCTCGAGGAAACATCCTTAAACCATGTTCGAATCCCTGAGACATAATTTTCTGCTTGTATCGTTCGAAAATCCAGAACCAAAGTATAAAGTGCCCAAGGCGTCCTGAAGCGATATTCATTGGCAACAAGACAAGGTGCATCGGAAGCCACCCTAGACGCTGTATGAAAAGATGCATGACAATCACACATGTTGCACGACACCAAGGTTCTCTTCAAAGGCCTAACATTCTTCACTTTACCGCCAAATCGAAGCGGCGTATTCGAGGAGATATCTTCATGTGCAAAGTGCCGTTCCAACAAGTTGTCGTTATTTTTCTAGCTTTCAATATCTGTCTAGGCTCTGATTAAGATATGCTGGGAGGCCGCTTGTGGCGACGACAATGCTAGACATTTCCAGTTTCTGCCAGTCCAGACAACATGCGTAACTCGCGCATACTCTACAACTGGCGTTTGGTGCAAATCCTCGAGGACACTCTGCCACGATTTTGATCACGCAGGATTGCAGCAGACGTACACTATAAGCCATGTACCCATACTCTAAATGGTTACACTATAGTAGAACTAACCTTGGCCCAATAATTCTATGACCCAATAACGAGCCCTGAGAAGGTTATGACTTCAATGACAAGAGCATTTGCGAGTCGAGAGGCCGAAGGAGTTGTAGTTCTGCATCCCGCTCGGCTGCACGCGCCCACTGGGCCCGAAGTATTTATTCAAGTATTGACCAGTGTCACCAATAGGCTACCAGTTCCGCGGTCGCTTGGACGTGACTCGGCGAGCCGCACATCCACTACTGGGGTTGGATTTCCCACCACATGGTACCTAGCCGATGTGGAGAAAGGGCGTGACCCAAGGGTCTTCGTAAGCTGTGAATGCGCTGCTGCTGGGGCAATTCGAGGGCATCTTTGACTCAGTACTGCAAGATAGAGAGACAGCATTTCAGACACCTGGCATCTACCCTGCGATCAGCCAATATCAACCCACTTTGCTTTCGGTCGGAGGTGGCGCGCCCGCATTCGTAGTGGAAGCGAAACGTTCGGGGACACCTCGAGCTGCCACGCCAGTCTGCCCCACATAACATCCGAGAAGACTACTCCACTGACAACTGCCGCCTTGCAGCTTCTGAATCTTCCGGTACGCGTAAGAATTCAAGTAGGGAAGCCCAGAAGCCGGGTCGCGGTACTTTGCGGGTTGCGACGTAATGACACAGAGTTCATGTACAGGCTCTGTGAACAGTTAGCGGCTCCATCTGCATGACTGAACCAGTATGGGCAGTTAAATGACTTACTCTGCAATTTTCCTAATGTGCGTTTCTGTTTTAACAGCACACGTCGTTGCAACTCCCGCTCTCGGACCGCAAGAGGGTCGAAATTTTCCAAGATAACCAGGTTGCGCGCAGAGTGTTCAACAACGGGCGGATCTTGCTTTGTTGCGGGGATCGTGGCGTCTGGACAAACTAGCGTTGCTGAAGACATGCTCCTCTCTGGATCCTGTTGCAAGACGGAATGGAAACCTTGTTGATGACTGCTTTCTGGTACCGAGACCGCGGTATGTATGCCCTCGCGCGACTCTGTTGGAGATACTTCGATCATCGGTTCGGTGTTCTGAGCATCCTTGTCCGTTGGATTTAAAATCGACTTTGCCTCTGAATTGGGGGATTGTTGTTCAGGTGCAGAATGTGGGTTTTCACGCGAGGCCTCGGCGGATGGTGTTGGCGTCGTCACGGGAGGTATTGACGGAGTAGGACCTGTTGTAGGTTGCGGTTTGCTATTAGGATCTTCTGGATAATGAATTCTAATTTTCTTTCCAAATTGTGCGAGCTTTCCATCAACCCAGCGGGCTGGACCGCTCCACCAGGTGATGACAGGCCCTTCCAAGTGACGATTTTGTAAGGCAGCAAGCCGCGCCTTTTGCTCTTCGGCGCGTTTCTTTTCCATCTCCTCCCATCTATTCAAGCTCTTGCTGTTCAGCTTTTCTGTCTTCTCCGCTTCAGCAAGTCGGTCAGCCTGCGTCATGGCTTTGGGCTTCTGCGTCTCCCTCCTTCGCGCGGCTGCTTCCATTACGGCAAGTTGCTGTAGCCTGCGCTTCTCAGTCTCCTTCATGCGTGCATGAATCACCTCCTTATTCTGCATTGTCAATTTCCTGGAGGATGAGCGTGTTGGTCCTTCGTCAGGCGCGGGTATCCATGAAACTCTTTCGGACTTCTTCTTCGGTCGTGGCGCGGGAGTAGAAAGCTGGTCTTCTGCTCCTGGAGCACGATCAACCCTTGGGTGTTTGCGAAGGGCCGGCGGCTTCAGAAAAGCCTCCTTTGCTTTTCGCTTTGAAGCCAGTCGCTCTGCTCTTGCTTCCCTTTGAAGCTCTTTTTCGCCTTCAAAGTCATCGTCCTCACCGCCTACAGGGCCTTGGTCTTCATCGTCCTCTGAAGAGGATTCGAGTTGAACATCTGATGCTTCTTCGTCTCCTTCTCCCTCAAATTCCACGTCTTCCTCATCTTCAGCAAAAAGAAGCTCATATTCATCGTCAACCTCATGATCTAAAAGAGAAGAGAGTCTGTTGCCGGCAGTTGAACGTTTCGCGCGACCGGCTACAAGAGACTCTATCGCAACATCTTCCGCCTCATTATCGCTACCGGAAGATGGAGAGCTAGAATACAATCTCTCTTGTTTTTCGTCGTCTCCTCGTGGTGTGAGGCCCTCAGACTCTTCTTTATCCATGCTGTGGTGCTGATGACGGGCTGCGGTTGTAGTCGCCTGAGGTCGGTTGTGACGCCTCGGATGTACATGAGCAAGCATGCCAAAGATCTCGGGGTTTCAGTGGCGAAAGCTAACCGAAGCACATGGCTCTAACGGCAGACAATGCCAGGGCTGGTTGGCTGCCGTCAACGACAGAACACATTACTTACCTGCTTTACATAACCTGCCTTTCCTACCTACCTAGTAATTTACGTGTTGATTCAAAGGATCAAGTTGTTCTACTAGGGACCTGACCCGCTGACCCTGCGACCTGACTAACGTTTCAGGGGGCCTGGTCCACATTATTGATGGTCCCTGTCTCCGTGTCTTTCCCTCTCGTCGATGCATCAGCTGAATTCTAGTTGTAAATGACCCAGTTTGTTAGTTAACCCGTAACAAAACCTCGGTTGCTACAGCTCAGCGCGGTACCTACTAGGTAGCAAACACCCTTACTCGTCCGAAAATGGGACAAAAATTCCTTGTAGCTTGCCCCACGCCCGTGCAGTACCTATAGGTACGTAAAACATCCGAAGGGGCTATCCAAAATGTATCAGAATTAGCAGATCGAAACAAGCCCTAATGCATTGATCGAATGATCTCAATCAAAATCTTTTTTCTTCCTCATTCATTTCATTATTCAAAATAATTATGCGCCCTACGTCTACTACGATAGCTACAGCTCAATGATTAGGATTTTGGTTGCAAAGGGACGCCTCAAGTGCTCTGACTCGGAAACGAGGCCAAAAAGTGGTCAAGAACCATGGCGCTTTGTGCCCATGGGGAGGGTGGGCAGGGACGGCTGGACCACTAACCCATTGGCGCACATTTTACCAGGTACTGGTACTAATTGCCAGAGCTAGCTTGGGTACTTGATTTTCCGTTTCTGGAACCTGAAACTCTACAACAACTCGGCCGAAAGGGAAGTAGTGGAAGCCTTTGATCTGGGTAACTTCGCCTATTGCGGCAGGGGCTCTTAGCAGGTCTACGATACTTAAGGTACTTTAGGAATTTCAGGCAGTAGGAAGATGCCGTACCTGCCTTACGGAGTATATTCCAGTTGTCTTCACCAAAAACCCTAGCCAAAGGTAATAGAGGTGATATGTGTCTGGTAACAGCGAACGCATGTGTTCATAAATATATAAAGAAACATTGAGAGATTTAATAGAGATTATGAATATTAGTGAACATGGCCGCATGGAACAGACCGTACGGTACGGTATAGTTATATCAGATTGCGAATGATCAATTCCTGCTGTCCGAGGTCCATGAAAAGCCCCGTGCGCTGTTTCAAGTCGAATCGCTGTCCTGCTACCTGAACACGAGCACAAACCGCCGCTGACGTAGAGGTACCTGTACTTTTCTCTGCCCCGTTCGTTCGCGTTCGACTTATCCACCCAACCCCCCCCCGAACACCCTTTTCTTCCCTTCGGTTTCCTCAACTTAGACATCTTTAGCCTTTCTCTCCTCGAAATCACCTTCGACCCCTTCACTCCCACGCTCACCTTCATTTTCTCGTCGTATCGATAGCTCAGAGGCGAGTTTCTGATCGACTGATGCATCTTTGAGATTTAGTCATCCCAAAGATCTAATATTTTCATTTCTCCAGGCCCACTAGATCGACTCTTGTGGTGTCTGTCTATTTCTATTCGCTTTCCCGATTCGCTCCCTGTCCTGTACGCTGGCCCTAACGAAATTCGGCCCCCAGGCCTGCACCGACGAGCCCCCCCTTGACCAAAACGCGCGACGCCTGTGGGCTTCCATAGATTTGACGATCGTCTCTCTGCTCGTCTCTTTTGCTAATAATACGTTTTGACCATCGAAGAACGGATCCGCTTCTTTTTGTTATCCAATTTAGTGCTCTCTTCAGTGAGCACCCTGAAACTAATCCCAGGCTGTTGCGTGGACCGCGCCGACTTTCGACAAGTTCGGCGAGCAGGACTCCTATCTTTTGCATCAGTTGCATCTTGGATACTGGAAGGTCCGTTGGAAGAATCTTTAGCATCTCCATCGAGAGGCCTAATCGGCATTTGACTGTGACTTTCGGCCAATACGAGTCACAGTTTGCAATCAATTCGCTAGGCAAAGTGTCCGTTGCATCCGCCAATCATCGCAATTCTCCTTGTCTTCTTTGACGCAAAACGCATACTTGTTGTTGTTCGCTGCAACACATATCCTCTGAAAGGTCCTGAGAGGACGTGCGGTCCCCCTTCTGTGATCGGTCATGGCTCCGACTTCGAAGCCCGAAAGCCATCTAAACCTGAGCTATATCCCACAATTGTCTGCCAGTCAGCCAAGATCAGGATCGTCTACAGCAGACCACTCTCCGATCGAACAATCCACCAGTAGTATGCTGAGACCTTCGTTCCTGAACACAAATGGATATCCCAATGGAGGAAATGCAGGAGGAACTGTGCGATTAGGGGCTGGCTCCCCTTCGCATGAGCTTGGCGGAAGACTCTACTCCAAGCGGTAGGTTCATGAATCCATGAGATCCTAAAACAATCGCAAAGCTAATGAGACCTCCATTCCCAGAGCAAGAGAAATACAGGCACAAGAAGGCTTGACCTCAAATTTTTGGGGACCCCCAACCAGCGGCAATTCGACCCCCTTGCGTGAAAATATCCCCGAGTCCCCCACCGGTGATGGGTTCCCTGATTTGGTCCCTCTAGAGGACCCTTCGCAGAGTCCAGCTCGCCGTGCTCGAGCCGGCACTGTGCCTTCACGATTTTCTCCCGGCGCCGCACTTGGAGGACTGAATTTACCGTCGTCACTCCTCCCGAAAACCTCACGGCCGACTCCAGCCAGCAGCCCGTTCAAGGCCGCCTCAGTGTCGCCTTCTGATCCAGCAGAGGTCGCGTCCAGCCGTCCAGTGGCAGCAAATTCTGCGTTGCTCTCGCGTCTTCGCGCTGGATCCATGCCTCAGCGCTCTAGCTACGTTACTCCATCGAATCCCTTTGGCTCCTCGTTGTTCTCGCCCTGGGCAAATGGCCGAGAGCGCGCGGCTACCGTGACCAGTATTCCGTCGTCCAACGATCCATCCTCCCCAGCACAATCATCCAGAGATGGCCTTCACGACGCCGATGTCCGTACTTTGGATTATTTGGGTTTGGTGGACACGCCGCAACAGAGCCGTGCCACGCTCGCAAAGCCTCCCATGGAGACCGTGCTTGAAGGTCAACGTGCCGCCGCAATGCAGCCATTTTTGTCTGAGCTCACATCGCTGAATCGTAACGCGAATCGCTTCCGATCATACTCTGTTAATGCAAAGGAGAAGTACGCCGAGGAGGAGGAAGATGACTTGGACCATATCGCTCCGTATGCTGGGCATCATAGCGGTTCTCTGACGCCATCGGCCGCATCGGCCGCCGCCGCGCTGGCAGCAACCCAAGCTCAGATCCACCAACACAATCTTGCTGTACAAGCCTTCGCCAATCATGCGTCTGCTAGTCGGCCACGGGCACGGACCGCTGGTGTGTTGGAGTCGCCGCCTCAGCGATCGATGCGAAGCTATCTTGCGACCCCATCTCGCCTTGAACAGAGCATTACGGCGGCGGATTTGGGTCTCACGGAGACACAAGAATACGACGATTTGCCTGAGGCCCTGAATGGTTTGCAGCTAGCGGGCGGAAGTGGATCTAGCCGCAACGACAGTGGAGACGAAGTTAATCTCGAGGGGCCTACCAGAGCGCTCTGGCTCGGCAGTATCCCCTCATCTACGACTGTCACTTCTCTCAATGCCATCTTTGCAATCTACGGAAACATTGAGTCCACACGCGTCTTGACGCACAAGAATTGCGGCTTTGTTAACTTTGAACATCTCGAGAGCGCCATCCAAGCCAAATCACACCTCAATGGCAAGGAAATCTTCCCCGGGGCTGGCCCCGTAAGAATTGGCTATGCCAAGGTCCCCACATCGGCATCCGGCACGCCTGGCCCGAGTGGAGCGTTTCCTTCTCCGAGCCCTGACCCGCTGTGCAAAGGCCAAGGGGAGAATGGTGTCCCTACTGCTGGGGCCGCTGTCTCTGCCATGCGTCAAGTAAATGGATCGCCTTTGGGGGGTACAGCGCCTACGCCCTCCGCACCACATTTGCGCGATATGCAGTCTGATATGCTCTCCATTGTGAAGGAGTTTGGTGCGACAGATGAGGATCTTGGCAGAATAGCTTCAAGCATCGAAGAAGCTATCGCATACAACGAATATGAGGGCGAGGTCCCTCCTGTCCCCGAGCCGAGTCCCAGTCGGACTTATGACGCCCCTCGTTTGAGGGAGATTAGAAAACGTCTCGAACACAATTCGTATACGCAGACGGAAATTGAAGAAATTGCGATTGGGATGCTGCCGGAAATTGCAGAATTATCGGCTGATTACCTGGGCAACACCGTCGTGCAGAAACTCTTTGAATATTGCTCAGAAGGCGTCAAGGAGGCCATGTTGGCCAAAATTGCGCCTCATCTTGCCGAGATTGGCATTCATAAGAACGGCACGTGGGCGGCGCAGAAGATTATTGACGTTGCAAAGACACCGACGCAGATGGCTATGGTTATTGAGAGTCTACGACCCTACATTGTTGCATTGTTTCTGGACCAGTTTGGAAACTATGTACTGCAATGCTGTCTTCGGTTCGGCTACCCGCGAAGCCGTTATATTTTTGAGACCATGCTTAGCCGTTTGATGGAGGTCTCTCAAGGCCGCTTTGGTGCACGCGCCATGCGAGCGTGCCTCGAAAGCCATCATGCCACAAAAGACCAGCAGCGCATGCTTGCTGCGGCGGTAGCCTTGCATAGTGTACAACTTGCCTCGAACGCCAACGGAGCTCTTCTTTTGACCTGGTTCCTGGATACCTGCACCTTTCCTCGCCGGCGATCTGTTCTCGCTCCTCTTCTGGTTCCGCATCTGGTGCATTTGTGCACTCACAAAGTTGCTTATTTGACTGTACTCAAGGTTATCAACCAACGTAATGAGCCCGAGGCTCGTGATGTGATCCTCAAGGCTCTCTTCTTTTCACCTGGAGATCAGGTATTGACGGACATCTTGCGGGACCAGACCTGTGGGCCCACGCTGATCTTCAAGGTTCTGACAACGCCCTTCTTTGATGAAAGTATGCGGTCTGAAGTCGTTCAGAATGTGCGCAATGTCTTGATTGGCATCAAAGCACAGCCCGCTCAAGGGTACAAGCGACTCATGGATGAGGTTGGCCTGTCAACTCGGGGCAGTGGCAGCGGGAACCGGGAAGCACCTAGCGGTGAGGCGGCTGGTAGTGAGCGCAGACGACCTAATTCGCAGCACAGTGGACACGGCGGGCCTGCCTCTCGACAAATGGCTGAGAGACAGTATAGCGGACAGTATTTCCCACCGATGGCTACGGCTTATGAGCAGCCAAATGGCCTTGCACGTAATGGTAGCGTTGATATGAACGCTGTCGCATATGACCAATTCGGCATGGGCACGCCGACCACTGCTCTCTACCCCGCCAGCGCTCACACGCCTTTGTCGCCCATGGCTTCTCAGCAGATGCAATATCAGCAAGCTCTGCTCGCGGCATCCGCTCGCGGAATGCCGGCACAGCCATTTTACCCTAGCGTGACTCCCACCGGTCTCGGCGGTTATGCCACGCCTCCTGGCTCCAGTGATGCTTTTCGGCCAATTCCAGGGCCTGGATCGCCCCTCGCTGCTCCACCCCAGATGGCTGCGTCACCTATGATGCCTCCGGCCGGCTTTTCTCCTCAACCTTATACACCACTCATGGGTGGTCAAATGCTTGGCGGTGGATACCAATATCAGTATCCGTTCATCCCTCAACAGGCTCCCCAGCCACAACAGATGTCCCATCATCCTGGCGGGGGAAGACGAGGAAGGGTGAGTAAAGTATTCCCATTCTGTCGTGCATTGGTAAGAACATGCTGACAAATAGACTCACAGCGCTAAATGTTACGACCCTGCATGTCTGTAAATTTTCCAATTTTGCAGGCTCGCATTGAGTTATCCCGCTCTGCTTCAGAGAAGCAGTAGTAGGTCCATTCAGTGAATCACCCAAAAGTTTCGTGTCTCTTGTTTGGTGGCAACCGGCGTCAAAATCTTCTTTTCAGACTTTTACGATATTCTGCCTTTTCTTCTTCTACTTCTTTTTCCGACGAGGGGGAGTCTTTGGAATGATGCGTGCATATTACATGTCAGATTTAGCATCATGTTGTTTTATCATGCATTACCTACTATCCTGGCTAGTCGGGAAAAACGGCTCTTACCTGCATTGCGTCTCACGACGTACTGAGGTACCTTTTTTTTTATTTCTTGCAAACCTTGTTCCATCTACTAAGCCAAATCATGTATCATGCGCGTTTTACTTATCACGGCTATTATACATCATCATCATCATCGTCATTATCATCACCATCATTATCCTTTGTCCATCCCCTATCCAAGTTCTTGCAGCAGACCTAACGATTTAACATGGAAGTACTTTAGAATGCTGAATGCCGAGAATGATATTTTGCATATGCACTTTCTTTCTTGATCAAAAGTGACCCGTATCATGCACAATTTATTTCGGATCGAGAGATGATGACATTTTTCCGCGCTCCTAATTCTAACGCCTCTTTGTCCACTCTCTGTCTCACATGACTAGTTTCGACACATCCCAAATTCCGACTCATAGGATAGGATGTTGTTACATTTGATTGCAATGCATAGTTTATCATTGGTAGTGGTTGTATTAATGTTTTATATCATTTATATCATTCATATATTTTATATCTTTAATATCTTATTATTTTTTTTTTAAATATATTATTATTTTTTTATTTTATACTTTCTGGTTTCTGGTTTCTGGTTTCTGATTTCTGCTTTCCTGAAATACTAATACGCTCTGCGACTCGCGGCGACGCTACACTACGCTATATATTAGCTGGCTGCTACAGACTTGAGTTGTAGCCCACCCCTTCTCCTTCCCTGTTTTTATATATAGCGTAGATGAAGATGAAATGAGGACTGAATACAGACCATGTGACTCAACGCCAGAGAATAATGATGTGAAAGGATGAAAAAGGGGGGGGGGAAATGTACCTATGGGAGGGATAAAAAGGGAAAAGAAAAGAAAAGGGTGAGAAAAGGGTGGAAAAAAGGTTGAAAAAGGGATAAATGAATATTGCTGGGATGGGAGGTTTGTATCCGTAAGAAGAAGAAAGAGGAAGGGAAAAGGAAAAGACGAAGACGAAGAGAAAGAATGAAAAAAGTAAAATGGGGGAAACAAGGGGAAAGGGGGAAAGTAAAAGAGGAGGTGATATGCGTAATGTCCGCGATGAAAGGGGGAATTGGTTAGCCGTGGGTAAAAAGGATGAGAGATGTGCGAGAGAGATGTTATGCTGAAGAGGTCCATGGATGGACCGACCGACAGAGGGATGGTGGATGGATGGATGGATGGATGGATGGATGGAGGAGAAAGACGTTGGGATTGTGGATAAGAGAGAAGAGAAAACAGGGCCATGGCCACGCGCAGTCGGAAAATCGGGGAGTATGGAGTATATAGATGGAACTGCGGGAGGGATAGATAAAGAGGTGAAGCGCGAACGGCAAAGGGCCAAGGTGATGAAAGGAAGAAAAGTGGAGAGGAAAAAGAGAAAAAGAGGTGGGTATAGTATATTATCGTTCTTATCATTCTTCATCATCCTCATCTTCTTCCAGTTTCCGCTTTGCCGGGACATGGACGTTGTTTTCATTATTGGGGCCCCGAGCATTCGCTGCGGCCGTACGACGTTTCTTCTCTTCGGCCTCGTGCCTGGCCTTTGCTTCTTCCGCGGCGATTCGTTTCTTCCACTGATCGCGAATAGCCTTTGCTGCGCGGATGAGGTCTCCCTCGGAGACTTTATCCTCTATACTCTGGATGACGCTGCGCACGGTCGAAATGTGATTGGCGTCCTTTTTGTCCTCGCGGAAACGGAGAAAGCGCCAACGATACGCGGCATCTTGGTAGCACTCGACGATGCGATCATCGAGCGGCACGCCCATGTTCTTCATCGACTCCCATTCCGGCGCTTCCATGTACATTGTTGCATAAGGCCGATTGTCCCCAGAACCGTAGTTGGCGGAGAGGCGGAAAGTAGGCATGGCATCGTAGTCTGGGTACGGGCTCGCGGGGCCTTCTTCCTCGTCTTCCGAGTCTGGTTCGCGCAGGGGAAACTCAAGGTTGAGGCGGAAATCGACCGAGTTTTCACTGGCTGGCTTCCACTTGAGAATATGCTCGTCGGTGCCGAATTTGTATGGTGTGTTGCGGCAGGTGAAGATCAGCCCGTCATTGCCGTGGGGCAGATGCGGTAAGATATCCCGAAACATCATCTCGATGCCGTAGCTAAATTCCATCTTTTTGAACTCGACTATGAACGGGAGGTATTGGATCTCTTCCGGGTATTTCTTGTACAGCTCCCGGTACGGATTGTAGACCTTGTCGCGGAAATACGCCAGCCGTTTGTCCAGTGTCCGGTGCATTAAGCTATTCCCGTCTATCATCAGGCAGTCGAACACGAGGTATTTCAACTGTTGAGACCCATTGGGCATCGTGTCCATGACCAGTTCGCCGTCGACGAGTGTTTTGATGTGGAAGTTTTGAAACGACGCATCGTTGGGCACGGGGAAATGCAAGCCCGGGACAAAATAGTAATCGTTTTTGCGGTCAATCAGGTAGTGTATCTCGCTGCCTTCGTCGCCTTCGGCGAAATACATCAGGCATCGGATGCCGTCGGATTTCTCGCACACGTAGTAACTGTGTAGGTTTGCGCGTCATGTTAGACTCCTTCAAGAAACTGCCCCTCCTCCCCAAAAAGAGAAAAGGACAAACGGAGGCAATTATAGCTGGTTGGGTAAGCAATTACTTACTCTTGCTTTTGTAATTCCAGGATATGATGCGCGCTGAAACTAACTGGTTGCGCGCCTGGAAACGACAGTGCTTGACGGCCGAGCAGGTCGGCGACTTCTGCACGGAATTGTTGCGCAAGATGGTGATCTGCCTTGATCCCAGGTATTTCTGGAACAGAACCCCCCATGGCGCGACACTCTGGGTCTTTCGGGAGACTTTCGTAAACCAGTATCGGGGCAAAAAGGCGTTCAATTTGCTAATGACAGAGGGGCATACGCGGGAGATACGGTTATTTTGTGAAAGTGCGTAGAGGGATAGGCAGCAGAGTTGTTGTTTGTCAAGCTGCGCGGTCCGTTTGCAGTCGAGTCGTCCAGAGACTGGAACCCAATCATCGCGGGACCCACGTCCGACCTAAATAACAATCCCTCATCGCAAAGAGGAACTCATACGATCATAACTTGCGGGGTATGATTGTCAAAAGAAACTAAAATGTTGGGTCGAGTAATTTTTAATCAGGTAGCTTCAGTATGATATTCATCGAAGAAGTAAATAAAGGCAACAATGCTTTTTTTTTCCTGCTTGTGACGTATGAATCATGCCAGTGTTACCCAGTTGCTTTTCCAAGACCCGTTATCTCCACTGCTAAAATGCGCTTCCTGAAGATTCTGGTTGCAGCGACCTGACCTTGTATCATTTCAGAAGACAGTCTCACAAAGATTTCAATTGTCCAGAAGATCGTAAATCGAATTAATATCCATCGCTCTTCAACACTTGGCGGTTGGCCCAAGCAACCTATTCTGAGGCAACTGATGCCTCAAAAACAATGTGATCGTCTAAGTACAGAATAATAATATTAAAATCCATCCTCTGCGAGAACCGTTGGTGACCGAATATTCATGAGTCACCAGAGGCCAGTAAGCCCAGTAAAAGTGCAATCATATGCTACATAGCAAGTGAGCCCAGCCGCGCCCTCCCGTTTCATCAAAGTTGTGTCAAAAGCAGATATGTATATCCTCCCACCATACCAACGCCGATTCCGCTTGTATCCGGACCATAGACCGTGCCAAAGAAAACTCCCAGCCTTCCCATGACGCCCGAAAAGCCTCTCACACCAGTTGAGAGTATCATTCGAATCAAAATAAAGATAGAAGATCCCAGCCGAGCCATAAGAAAACACAGCATATCCTACGACCCAGCCGGCGCTGGAGTGGCCGCCTTTTTCGAACCTTGGCCAGGAAGAATGGCCTTACTTTGAGACGTTACAGCTTGTTGCAAGAGCGACGGCCGTCGAGAATGTCCGCCTTCAGTGTTGCCCGCAGTTGCAGCACTGGGTAGCCCATTCGCAACTTCCGCGTCTCCGCCATTGACCGATATTCCTCGGTTCCCAGCATCACCGGCAGAGAAGAGACCCGATCCACGACTTCCTCCTAGAGCGTTCGAGAGCATTTCCTTCATGCGCACGTACTGATACTTGCGACGTGTGGATATGAGAATGCGCGATTCCATGGGGTAAGGCCGAGAACGTGCGAGCGCAGCCATGACATTGTCCTTTTCCTCATCAGAATCAACCGGTCCGGTGGCCTCAAATTCATCCTGCAGAGGAGCATTGGCATCAATAGCCGCTTCTATTCATTATGTCAGTTTGAACTTTACATCAAGTAGGTACTATAGGTAATGACTTACTCTGCTGTTTGGCTTGGTTCTTCTTTTGATATTGGGCAAGGAGCATATCGTATGGCAAAGAGCGTCCAGGAACTGCACGCTTGGCACCCATTGAATGACTTTTGCATGTCAAAGACCGCGCACACTGGGCTCCGTTGGGTAGTGGCACACCACATTGTCTTTCGACATCCACAGGGCCTGGGAAAACAACGTCAGCTTGTTTGGTCCAGGCAGCAGCTTTTGAACAGTACACATACCCTTTGGTTTGGGAACCTTTGGCTTCGGTTCGTCCTTCTTCTTTTTTGCCTTTGGAGCTTTTTCTGCATCTCCATCTGCTTTTCGCTTTTTCCCCTGCGTTGTAGCCTTGACTGCATTCTTCTTGGCACCTTTAGTTTTCTCTGGAGCCCCGTCAGGCTGCTCGGCGGATGCCTTGGCTCCATCGTCCGCTTTGGTATCCGCATCCTTGTCCTTCCCCTTGTCTTTTGTATCCTTGGATTCCTTGGCCTCCTTCTTCTTCTTCGCCTTCTCTTGTTTCTTTTGCAAGCAGTTGGCCACATGATTCGCAGCTACAGTTTTCAACACCGGTTTCTTGCAATGTTTGCAGACAACACAATCGGGCCGGTCCTCCATCGGACGGCCAGTAGGAAAGTTCGCGAGATCCTTCTCATCGAGCTGGTTAACGATGGAGCCAGGAGAACTGGCCGATTTGGTCGAGCTTGCATCTCCCTTCTTTGATTCTATGGGTCAAAGGAAACACGTGAGCAATTCAAGCGTGTCTTTCAACTTGGCCTTCAACGTGTTAACGTACCGATGACCTCCGAATTAGGATTGCCTGGCTTCGTCTGCTTTGGAGCGGGTTTCTTGATTTTGATGGTTCCCGGTGTTCGGTCGGCCTTGGTGAACTTGATGTTTGTCGTGTCGATTAGGCTGTTGTCTGATGTGACCGACGACGCTAAAGGCCAGATGGCATCAGCAATTTCATCATTAATTTTGCAAATCATGATAAAACATCAGATACTAACCTCTTCGACTGGCATCCTTGGAAGCCATGATGACTTGAGCGTTGATCTCGTCGGCCTCCCCAGTAACTGCAGCCTCTACCCGGACCGCGGTGTTATCGCCGTGATGTATGCGGATGTTAGTAAGGCCAACCTAAGAGATCCATAACCGGAACGAGTCCCGCGGGGTTGGGAAATACCGCTAGACCTAATCTGGCCATTTAATTACCTTGAACAGACTACACCAAGAATATCATCAACGTCAATAGAATTAATCGTCTATAATTTTACTAGTATTATAGTCTATGGTATCAGGCGTGGTATTTTGCAAGGCATAGGCTAGAATTTGTGCCTCCAAAGCCAAAACTGTTAGAGATGGCTACTTCCACCTTCTTTTCTTGAGCCGTACCAGGCACATAATTACAGTCAAAGTCATTCCCTGGCTCGTCAAAATTTTCTAAGTTTAGGGTGGGTGGAAGGATATTCTGGAACAGTGTTAGATGCGATTTTTTTTTAAGCAAGAGTGTTCAAGTGACATACCTCTTTTACAGCAAGAGTGGTAAAGATAGCCTCGACGGCCCCAGCGGCGCCAAGCAGGTGCCCTATGGCACCTTTGCTGCCACTTATGTTTACTTCTGACGGCTTTTTCCAACCATCTTCTCCGAGCAGCAAGCTCTTAATTGCAAAGTTTTCTGCAATATCGCCTATCCGCGTTGATGTCGCATGCGCATTTACGTAGTCAACATCGGAAGGTTTCACCTTAGCATGTTTAAGAGCGCGTTTCATTGCCAGGTAAGCACCTTGGCCGGATTCTATCGGCGCAGTCATATGGTGAGCGTCTGCAGAAAGTCCATATCCCTTGACCTCGGCATAAATACGAGCACCCCGAGCCTTGGCGTGCTCCAGTTCCTAACAAATGCTTTAGAAACAAGGTAAGCTTTCATTGAGGTTACTCGGAAAGACTCACTTCAAGAACGACAACACCAGCGCCTTCTCCGATAACAAACCCACATCTATCCTTATCAAAAGGTCGAGAGGATAAGTGAGGGGTATCATTGAATTCGGTCGAAAGGCTTTTGGCACGTGCAAACCCTGCGATGGCGAGAGGATGAATGCACGACTCAGCTCCTCCGGCAACCATAACATCCGCATCGCCAAAAGCTATGAATCGAGAAGCATCGCCAATGGCATGAGCCCCGGTCGTACAGGCTGTGGTAACCGCATGGTTGGGGCCCTGTAGATGAGAGTAGATGTTGTCAATCATTATATTCAGATACGGAATTGGGATGCAGCTCTGACCTTGAAGCCATATTTCATTGATATGTGACCGGCAGCCAAATTAATCAAAAGCTTTGGCACAAATAATGGAGAAACTTTCTTGTAACCCTGGTAAACAATGATGAGACTGGTTGCTGCCAAAAGAGAACGCCAAAACCTACTCCTTTTTCATATGCTACAGAGGTGTTATACACGTCGTCAAAATTACCAATCCCCGATCCCATGCATACACCCTTTAAGTGGCAGAATCGTTAGTAAATTAGAGTGGTGAGCTGACCCTAGTCTCGTTTGAACATACAGTTGCTTCTTGGTTTTCCTGACTTGTTGGCTTCCATTCAGCATCTTCTAGGGCCTCCTGCGAAGCTGCAATGGCATATTGCGTAAATAAAGCCATCCTTCGGTCCTCCTACGCTACTGTCAGCATTTCTGGAAATCTAGAACATTGCATGGTAAATATTTGCGCAAACTTAAACCTACTCCAGGGGCGAGCCATTCTGTGCGGTCCCATCCTCCAGTAGTCTTGCTACCAGTTGGGACCAAGGCTGCTACTTGGCTTGGGAGAGCGGCGAATTGAGGCCCTTTATCCTTTACAGAAACAATTCCGCAAGACCCATCAAGTAGACGAGACCACGATCGGCGAACACCTTGATATTTCAGAATCAGCTCCGCTGATGTATCAGAAGCTAGAAATAAAATCCAAAAAATTGTCTATACCAACTCCTAATGGTGTAATTGCACCTAGACCTGTCACTACGACTCGTCGCATGGCATTTTGTTGTTCGAGGTGAAATTTCCGCGTGAAATCAGTAAGTTTATTGAAAGCCACATGCGATAACTGAGCGTCGGCAGCTACGCCTACGCCCTGGGGAGCTCCAGTTGCCTTCGGTTAACTTTTAAGCGGCGGAAGTTAGACGCGATGCGTCAAAGCAAAACCCTTTAGCGAAGACAAACAATGAACCGCGAGGGGCGAATTGGTCACAACAACTCTAACTCCACTGCGGAAAGATGAATGAAGGTCATATGAGTTGACCTGTGACCAGGACGATGAGATATTGTCTGCAGCCTGAAACACATCCAAATATCTGCTTCCAAGACCCGGATGGCGGATGCTGATTCGATCACCTTCAAGAAACTCCCGAATTGACACTGTTGAGCTGAACGATCGGATTACTGTTTATTCTTTTGCTACCCTACTTCTTTACTAACTTTGCAGATTCCTCCGTTCTTTGCTTTTGCTTTAGTAGATCGTCAGGCGCTTTTATATTCGTTGCGTTCTTTCATTTAAGTATCCGACCCATCATATCCTGCTTTTGTGCCCATTCAGCCGTCATGATTTCTCACGGATTCATCGGTCTCTCGCGAACGAAGAAAAGACTATTATGCTCTTGTCCCTTGCGAATTGAGCTGTTAGTTTTGGCTAGAGTGGTCATACGCCATATGATGACGATACCACTGTTGACCAGCTAAATATTGGGGAGCTTGTCTCGGATTCTGAACTACGTCTGTTTGCTCTCTCATGGAGGAGTCGGAATAATGAGCATGATCATTTAGCTGTTGAAAAATGCCAGGAACTCTGCGGATCTGTGGAGCTTCCGCGAAGCGAACCCGCTGGCCGGCCCGTTCGTCGACTGCTGGTGCAGTTAGAGCCAAACGAGCTGCGGCATCCCTTCCACCCTTCATAGCGCTTGGCAAGGAGTTCTTTGTGTCAAAGTCTTGGGTTTGCATGTGCTCTTTCAGCTTGTGAAGGAGACGAATATGCTCCTCTCTAAGTTCCATCAATTTCTCCAATCTCTCCTGTATGGCATCTAGGGTGTCCGGACCTTTATTCGTTTTCTCAGCCATCAAGGCACCGGTATGCTCCAACTCATCAGTCTGGTGCTTGATATGGTCGTCAAGGGCGTCATAAATGTCGCGAATATCATGCAACCCTTCTGAGAGTTGTCTACCCTGCCAGTCCTGGTCTCGCGAGGAAACATTAATCTGATTATCAAGCTCGTCGCCAAGAGGATGGGAGAAATCGGATATCTCAGTGCTCTTTTGAAGATTGGAGTGTTGCTCAAGCGCAAGATGTCCCTGATAGTCCGGTGGAAAAGGTACGTTGTCAGTAAAGGCAACGCCTGCAAGCGGACTTTCGAGAGCTTGGCGCTCCAACGCGGCGAGCTGGGGTTGCTTGAGGTCGGTATCAACAGATTCCAGGCCATTCACGTGGGTTTCATTGATAGCATGGTGCTCTGAGTCATGCTGCTGCTGGTTAATTGGAGCAGTCTGCTGTTCGGCCTTGTCATAGCCTGGCTCAGCAGGAGTGGGAAGAGTGTTGGCGGAAGTTTCTCTCACCGGCTATGGCAACACCAATTAGCACTTCATCGCTAAGTTTCAAAAGGTTCCGGGAATAGGAACATACCGTTGGAGGTGGGCCATCATCATACTCGTCATAGATTGATGGAGAATAGCATATGGGGTATTCTTCAGCTGTGGTAGGAGCCGGAAAAGTCGGAGGAGAATCATCGACGGTCTGCGGCTGCATCAACTGCAAGTGTTCACGCTCTTCTTCATGCTGTTCATCGCGAACATGATCGATGACGGCAGCCATGGAAGCGATATGGCGCGGTTGCTGAGTGACAGCCACCTGGACCACACGACCATATCCCCCGTTGCGGCAGGGAGCAATGATTCCATGACTCAGAATGAGCGCTTGGGCCTGAGGCGGACCATACACGCCAAGGGCAGCCTCATGAGGAAGGGGGACGTTCCCATTGTTCTGACCAGAGCCATTCACATTCTCATTAAAGAATCGAGAGCTGGGTTCTGGACTTTGCCACGCGAGAACAGTTCCGGTTGAGGCCTGGCCATCACTACGGCCGTAATACGGACCCGGTGGAAAGATGGACGAGGAAGGTTGAGGCGTGTTATCCTTGGCAGCTCCCGCTCCACATTTGTCAATCTTGACGCCGAGAACCGCAGACACCTTTGCAGAAGTGCCCACGGGAAGCAGCTTGTGTTTAAAGTCATTCTTTTTGCTGCTGCTGTCATGACCGCTGCCAATGTGCAGTTTGCTCTTGATTTCAGCCATGAACTGCTTCGATTGCTGCAAGATGTGCTTAGCTCTACCTGAAGAAGGCGCAGGATCCGTATACGCGCGATTTCTTCGGTGAGCTCTGCCTTCGTTCTGATTGACTTGGTTAGCATCCAGAGGAACAGGAACATAGGTCGCAGCGGCAGCACGCGAGACCGGCGGAGCAGGCTGGACAACCTGAGGCCTGCGAGGCTCGAGGGGAGGAGGCGCCAAAGAGTCCATGAACTCGACCGGAGCATAAGAACGAGAACGAGAACGAGTACTAAAGCTAATAGCTGTGCCTCGACGATGGCGCGGCATCATGTCTTTGTGGTGACCGTCGTCAGCCTTGTCTTCGTTGCCGTTGCTTTTGTTATCAACAGTCTCAAAACCATCCGAGGCCGAAGTATTGGCAGGCTTCCGACTGGCCTGTTCGGAAAAGGCATTACCTGGGACAACAGGCATGTAGGTACGCGACCCCATTGATCCGGCCATCTGAAAACGAAAATACCAGAGCCAAAGGGGGGAGGGGGGAAAAAGTCAATTCAGGAACGATACTCAATGAAAGGCAATCATCAATGTGATTCAAGAAAAATAGAGCGGTGGTGGGTAAAACGGTGGTGATGCTACCCGAGATGGGGCGTGGTGGAGATGCAGCCGTCACAAAAAGGAGACAACAACAACAACACCTAAATACGAGGATCAAATGTTCCGTGTGGGAAAAGGGTTGCTCTCGGCTGGTCAATTGCCACGGAGACGGCTCCGGCGTCGAGTGACTGGAGAGAAGATACTGCAATCCGCTATCGTTCAGCGCACATGGAAATGGACTGTTTTGACAAGTTCACGGGTCTCACGTCTTCGTCGACATATCGACGGAATCACTCATAACTCTTACGACAGTGTGTCAACATGGCCGCAGATGCTCAGTCCCATCCAATGCCTCAATGCTCTGCTACGAGAGCATAAACCACGGGGATCTCTGTATCTCTGTATCTCTGTATCCCCATGCTCAGCTCCATGGATTCTCAAAGGGGAAAACGGGAAAAGAAAAGTCCTTGGAGTCTTAGGTATCTATTCCTGCAAAATTACTACCGATTCGATCACCACTGTGATAGGTTTGTTGATTGTTTTCACAGACTAGAACCGAACAAACACGTGTTTGTAATAAATCCCATATGCTATCGACTCTTTTCCCCTCTTTTCTTTATTTCTTTCTCTTTTTGTTCTGTTTCATGGATATCTAACAAATTGACAATAACTCGTAGCCTAGATTAAACAGACAGACAGGAATTGTGCTATACCCTAGATAAAAATAATAGAAATGTATAAAAATTAGAAATATATATTTGCTTAACGTTATTCTCAAGACAACAACAAAAATATATTTGACAGCAAGCATGTAGTCAATTCATCAACGATAGTGAAATAAAGTAATGCTAATGGTAATGATAAAAAGAGCTTGCAGCGTTTAGATTCGCAGCTGCCAGCTTCTTACAAACATACCTGAAAGGAATAAACACGTGAGATGCAAAAAAGAAAAAAAAAATAAAAACGAATAAAAAAGGAAAAAGGGAAAGAGAATAAAAGGAAAGAAAAGAAATGAAAAGAAAAGCAGAGAAGAGAAGAGAGGAAAACTTCCGGTTCACCTTCCCCCCTCTCATCCTCCCCTTCTCTTACCCCGCCCTCCCCCGCCCCTGCGGCTCAATCACGGCTCAATCAAAACAATAGTCTTGCATTTCAGAGTTACTGGCAAAAGTCGTGGTAACAAAGAGCTTGGCTGCTAGTTGAACTTTGTCGGTATTTCTTTTGCATAGAATACAATTGAAAATGATACGATGATACGAATGAGGAGAGGAGACTCAAGATACAGCACACAAGGAAACGGGGACGAATCAAGGGGCGATTTGCTTGCTGTTTTGAGCTGCAGAATGAGGATATACTAATTTCAAAGGGTTCTGGCGCAGAGAGAAGAGCAAAATAAGAAAAAAGAAAAGAGAGGTGGGAGCAGCGGGGAATGGAGAGCTGATGGGAAACAAAGTGGGTTCGCGTTTGTGCATCAGATACAATAGTAGACAATAAAAATGGGAGCAAGTGATAGTGTAGCGGTCATGGCAATTTCCCTGAGCCATTATGATCAGCGCATCCATTTTAAAATAAACTTCAAGCACACCCAGTGTCGTCCTTACGCGCGCCGATTCCCCCGACACAATCTCGTAATAAATCCACCAAACCAGCCCACGAATACCGTTCGCCATACCGCTTGGAAAATGTTCAAATGCTTATTGTTCGGAGGAACGTAGACGGGACCAGCGCCATTCGGCGACGAGCTGGATTCGCTACCAGAAGTTGCCTTTCGTTGACGGAGAGTGGGCTCACTCGAGGCTGAAGGAGCATCAGGACCAGAGTTTTCATCAGTTCCATCTGTCTCCGCTCGTTGTGCCCTACTCGGTGGAGGTTGCTCCGACACTGGGCCATCGGCCTTGTGCGAATCGGGATCCTGCTTGCGGTTGGATATTGTTTCATTTGTGGCCTCTCCTGCCAAGCCATCACAATCAGAATGGTTACCTTTTACAGTGTTCGCAGCCTCTGGCAAAGCAAGAGGTGGAGCATCTTGTTCCTCTGGAATGGACAGTAAGGGAGATGAGCGCTCGTTTGATGCAGAGGATGCAGGTACTCGTGACGCCTGCTCGTCCTTGTGCGGCAGTAAACTATCTTCCCGCTGTGGAGTCAGTGGAGTCAGCAGACTCAGGTGATCTTCTTTTTGCGGAGTCACCGGAGTCAAATGATCATCACGGTGATGGTCCGAAACGTGGACGGGGGATATGGGAAAGCCTTCCGGTAGCGTGTGATCCTCATTCAAATTGGTCGACAGGGTACGAATACGGCGCAAAATACCGGCACGCTCAGTGGGAAAGTTCTCCAGCATTGGATCGTCAAAATCCTCGTCTTCGATCGTTTCCTCATTCAAACCAACACCAAGTTTTGACTCAATATACTGCTTCGAATCCTTCGAGTCAAGGGGACTCAGACATTCGTGTGCAAAAAGAGGGGCATGTTCAACCCGAGGCGAATTAGTCCCAGAATCCTCTGGGCCAGAAGATTCCATGTTAGTGGGAAACCCGTTGGTTGGATTTGCAGCTGCCGACTCCTTCTCATCTTTTTCTTTCGCGCGGGTGGTTTCTGCTGCGGCATTCACCAGTTCCACGGAATCAGGAACCGGTGCGAGAGAGAGCCGTTGTCGATCCATCCTGGACAATTCTGGCGGGCCTTGTCCTGATTTTTCTGGCTTCACAGGAGCGTTCGCAAGGGCCGCCGCTCTAGCCGCTGCCTGTTCAATCAGAGTCTTTGAAGTTTGTTTTGATGCACCAGGCTCTGGCGTTCGATCCAGACGTGCAGCGACATCGGCAACCTCGGCCGCTGTAGCTGCAACTTGGGCTATCGGCGTGCTCGAAAGACGCTCTGGCCTTGCACCTGCTGGTCTCGGGGTCGCGCTACTTGGCGTCCGATCAAGAGTAGCAGCAACATCAGCAACCTCGGCGGCGGTGGCAGCCACTTCGGGAATCGGCGTGGAAGAGAGTCGTCCCGGGATCGCGCTGGCAGGTCGAGAAGTTACGGGTGTCTTGTCAAGCAGTGCTGCAATATCGGCCACCTCCGCAGCGGTAGCGGCAACTTCAGCAATAGGAGTCGATGACAATCGCTCGGGCTTCGTGCTGGACAGACGAGAGCTGCCAGGCTCCGGGGTCTTGTCAAGCATGGCCGCCACATCGGCCACTTCTGCAGCCGTGGCAGCGACCTGTGGAATAGGTGTAGCGGACACATTACGGCTTGAAGTGTCTTCAAGCCACGAAGCCTTTTGGTTTGCCTCTGCCTTTGGTGAAATGATGACCTTGTCAGGCTCTGCATCCATTGCCCGCCGCTCATGGGCGAGCCTCTGGGTAAAGGTTGCATCTGGGCCCAGATCGTCTCCGTATGCCGGCTCGTTGCTAACCTTTTCCACCACCAGTTCGGGTACGTGTTGCGTATTTGCCGATAGAAGGGCCTTGTCACTCTCCTTCTGTCCAGTCTCAGAGTCCGACTTTTCCACGCGCAAAAGGTTATTCTTGTTGCCAGCGACATCAGTTGCTATCAAGAAAAGTTAGTCTCTTTTGTTTCTAGAGTTCCATACATGCAAGTACAGAAATGAACGGGGGTTGAGCTTGTACCTGTTTCGGTGGCTTCGTCCAAGGCCCACCAGTCTCCATGCCCTATTCGAAACTTGTATTGCCACTCGCCCACTGGAATGTCAACATCTTTATGAAATCGATATTCTGTGGGGCCTTGGGCTGCGTCTGACTGCAGTTGGGTATACTGCATTTCCTGGGGCTCCCATGGTGGCGTAGTAAAGGAACCCGCCACAAAGACGGGAGGCTGCGTTCCGGGATGGACGAAGGTGATTTTCACCATTTTCACACTCTAGGTCGCTGATGATATACTGTTGGTGGTTATTGCGAAAGGACTTGAGGCCCTCGCGGCCTGTTCAAAGAAAGGGGAGACCCTGATAAAGTAAGAGGAAACACAATCGTTAGCGCCACACAGACCCCCTTCCAGGTTTGTCTCCTCTGTGCATAATTGAGAAGCCAAGGAGGGATTCTGGAGACAATTGATCCATCTAAGGGCGACGTACTAATTGTGGGCAAAGCTGGAAGAGCAAAGTTGAAGAACCTGTGTGGTCGCCGCTGGGGCTTGAGTACGTCGATTGGTTGGCGAGTGATCCTGGGTAAATATTTGAAGCTATTGAGCGTCGCTTCAGAAGATGATGAATGAAAGAGAGATTAGTAGTAGTACTAGCAGTGAAGGAAGAAAATGTAAGGATAAGAGGATGTTCGAGATGTCAAGACGGAGAAAGACAAGGGATCGAAGATCAGATCACCCCACTTGCCAGTTAGGTAGGAGCGCTGGGATGTGGGAACTGGCGATTGCAGGAACGTTGGATCAGTTCAATGCATCACCGACACTCAGCATTTGTGGCAGGAGCGATTCTGTCAACGCTCTTCTTCGCTGCCAAGTCAAGGAGGCGTCAAAATCATACAACGTCAATCAGCTGCAAAGGTGCTTTCAAGAAAGCTGTGTATTACGAACAGATGGGGAGTTGGATGAGCTATATTCGTCTATCACCTAAGGTGAGTTAAGCTCCCTTGTCATTATAATGCATCATCTCCTCTGGGAAAGGTTCCTTGACGTGTGTGGGGAGAAGTCGTTGTGTCGTACCAGTGACTGTGCGCAACAGTGACATCAGAGGGGAGCGAGCCAGGGGGGGGCCAGGACATGATTCCATTCCGGTGGTGCTAAAAGCAAGTTCCGGAGACTTTGGGGAACTTGCCAATAATTCGCAGCAATACGACTAAAAGTATTCAATCTCACCTCACTGGTCGTAAGCCGATTGAATTGCGTCCAGACTTGACCTCTTCTCTGCTCTGTTGCCCTTCGGCCCCCCCGGTGCAGTATTCTTGTTGAGCGCTAGTCAGTAGTGTGGCGTGGAGGTTCCCTTTCCCCAGCCTTTCGACCCCATATGGCAATGTACATTCGGTACGTACTCTTGCCGTATGTTCGCAACTGAGGAAACGTCGTCCACATAAGTTACGGAGTATTGATGATTCAAGTAAGAAGATCAAGAATGAAACTCTTTTAGTTCTTTTATATATTTTCTCCTATTGAAGCAAATTACGCACGAGAAGGACGAGCAGTGATGCTGGCATGATGTTTTGGCTACTGCAGTATACCTGAGGTACAACGAGTACCCACTAAGTTAGCAGGTCCCCTAACACGAGACGGTCATGGCCTTGGCGAGCAACTTCCCCCCGCCAGGAGGGAGAGACGAGGGAGAAGTGGAGGTTCGGCGTGTCTCGACTCAGTACCTCTGTGAACCTCATCTTTAAAACCTAGGTAGGTACCTTATCTTTAGAGACAAGTAGTATATTTGTTTCCAAAATATCGACTGTCAAAACATGGCGAAGCTATTGAAGCCCAAAAAATGCCTGCTAGAGATATACAGTCAAACTAATCACTTGATCGCTCGATTCTTGCTATTTCCGCCTTCTGTTACGGTGATGAAGTTCAATAATAATAGCGACGCGCCACGTGTGGTCCCCGTCCCTACGCCTATGCTCCTTTGGGCTGCAGAGAGACGAATTTGGGTTGGAGGGGACTAACTTAACTGACCTACAGTAAAGCCAAAGCCATTCAAGCTTGCACTTCCGTCCTTCTGCCTCTGTTTCTTCTTCGCACGAAATCTAACTCTAGGGCGAACTATACGATGCTAAAGCGCATAACACCTAGGTGTCGTCATTGTTAAACTGGTCTTCTGCGCAACAAAACTAGATACTCTGTGGATAGAAGGTGAATAATTATCTTGACGAGACTCAGAAACCGCAAAAGAGCTAATTCGTCCAATAGTCAGGCAACATGTCACATACCTCATGCAATCGTTCATTACATCTTCATGACAATTGAAAAAAAAAAAAAACCTCTTTTGATGTCGATAGAAAGCCCGACAGTTATGTCATCAATGATCTCGGAAAAGCACCCAGCTGAAGCTGCCATTCCAACCTGCAAAATCAATCGATTGCATGGGTGACTTTGCAGGGAGCCAATCGCCGGTATCGACGGCTACCCTGAGTACCCAGCCCAATGAGGCTGCAGTAGCAATCAACCTAGCCACCCTGCCTCCTGTATTTGTCCTGCCCACTCATCTCACACAGTCGGAGCTTCACCGAGTTGAAGACCAACTGGCCAATGCCAATGCTCCGCTTACCTACGACATTGAAGAGGCCAAGCTCGTCCTGGGCAATGTAGGCACCAAACGGCGAGCCGAATTTGAGCTGCGCTGTAGGAAGCTTTGGACCCAGGAGGTGGCCACAACCAAGCGGAGCTTAGCCACTGCCGATGAGAAACATACTGAGCCTGAACCGGCGCAGAAGAGGAAACGTATACAAGAACCTGCCGAAAAGGAAGATCTTCCAAGCGACCCAAGCGTCTCGGAGAATGCCTCAAGCATAATACCCGATCAGAATGCTGGGCCGGGGACAAGAATCCACGAAGCAGAGGAACGCGAAGCACCGTTATTCAAGAACCAGGATTCAATCAAAGTAATCAAGCTGGATTGGTTTACCAATTCTGTAGACTTGGGCATCTTACTGGATCCCGAGCCGTATAAAGTATACGAAGGCATAAAGGTTGAAAGACCAGAGAGTCTCTTAACCTCCAAAACCCTCCCCACCGCACATGTAGCTTCTACTGCTGCCCAGTCCATTCGATCGCTGGCGGAGAGGAAGGAATTGTCAAAAGGGATCCTCGAAAGAGCAAAGGTCGACCTAGATGATACACCATCAAAACTGGGCGGCCTTTCTCAGTATGCCACCGCAGGAAGCGATCCACGCCCTTACAACCATCATGCCCGTCAAAGCGGTGACCACGGTTTCACCAGACCCACCCATCTTCTCCGCCAGACGACGTCTGAGCATGATGACGGCTCCAGTAATGAGCTCCCGGAGATGCCAGCCTGGGTAAAGCAAGGGCAGATTTATGCTTGCCAGAGATCCACACCTCCTAACCCACCAAATAAAGCCTTTATTGATCAACTGGAGAAGATCAAACTGGCTAGGATCCTGATCAATGACGAGATAGGCGTACGCGCGTATAGCACTAGTATTGCATCTCTCTGCGCCTATCCGTTTAGTCTAACTACTACCCGCGAGATCCTTGCTCTTCCTGGCTGCGATGTGAAAATTGCTCATTTATTTCACGAGTGGAAAAGCAATGGCGGACATATCCGGACAGTTGAGGAAATCGACAAGGACGAAACGCTCAAGGTTCTCAAACTCTTTTACGACATATGGGGTGTCGGAGCTACAACAGCCAAAGAATTCTACTACGATCGGGGCTGGCGGGACCTTGATGATATCGTGGAGTATGGCTGGCACGACTTGAGCCGAGTCCAACAGATTGGAGTAAAATACTACGACGAGTTCCTGAAAAAGATACCCCGACCCGAAGTCGAGTTGATTGCCGACAAAGTCATGGAGCATGCCCGACGTGTCCGGGATAATGACATGGTATGCTGCATTGTCGGTGGGTATCGTCGTGGCAAGCAGGAGTGCGGCGATGTTGACATGATTGTTTCCCATCCAGACGAGGAGAAGACACTTGGAGTCGTCACGGATATTGTTGCTTCATTGGAAGCAGAGGGCTGGATCACGCATACTTTGACTCTTAACCTGACCACGTCAAACAGAGGCCAGCAGACATTACCTTATCGATCTAACAAAAGTGGCGTGGGCTTTGATTCCCTGGACAAAGCTCTAGTGGTTTGGCAAGACATTAATTGGTCAACCAAGGAGAGCGATCTCGCTGTGAACCCCAAGGCGAAAAATCCGAATATCCATCGGCGGTTGGATATAATTATCGCTCCCTGGCATGCTGTTGGCTGCGGCATTGTGGGCTGGTCAGGCGGTACCACATTTCAACGTGATCTTCGGCGTTATGCTCGCAAGGTCAAGGGCTGGAAGTTTGATAGCAGCGGCATCAGAGATAGAGTGACGGGCGCAATCGTCGATGTTGAAGCTGTGGGCGGACGGAGCAAAACTTGGGAGGAAGCTGAGCGCAAAGTGTTTGCAGGCTTAGGTCTGGAATACAGAGAGCCGTGGGAGAGATGTACCGGTTGAATAGTACCCGGTAATATCCTCTCTCTCAAAGGAGATGATTTCAATTCATTTTGATTTTGGAATTTATACAGCGTGATTTGAAAATCCGCCGACGTTGAGCCTTTTGGATTTGATTGACTTGGGTTAAATAATGAATCAAGATTTGATGTTTCATTCTAAAATGCATACTGATGATGTGATGTGGATTTCCACGAAGCATGCCTCACATATGAGATCGCGGATTAACTTACAACAAAAGGACCAGCGACACATGCGTCGCTGCAGTTCCGCACCAGCTGACTTACCCGCCGTAATTTACGCGCTAATTGGAAGCTGAGACCCCTCCGCGACACGCGAATTAGACGCGACAGCTCCCAAACTACCGTGACCGCCAACGCCAAACTCGACTTTGTGTTTCCCTAAACCCCCCTGTCATTGCCTACCTCCAGAATCCATGCGGCGCATTCACTTTGAAAAATAAAGGAGGAAGTGAATAGTATTAAACAAAAATTAGAAAAGACTTCCCAAAGCTTTTGCGCTTCGGAGCGCCGAAGATGCCGACGAGGAGCCGTGCTAGTGCCGCTGCAGCGGCCGCAACAACAGAAGAAACTGAAGCCGAGCCAGAAATTCAAGAATCACTCGGCCATTTACAGTTCGATGAGCCATTGACATGGCGCGCAGGGAAAGCTATTCCGGTCGCCGAGCTTCTGCGACGGCTCCAGGCGCTGTCAAAAGAATTGCGGGACATGGAACAAGAGGAAGCTGAGCGAGATTCGTTTACCAAGGTCGCAAAGGAGCTTGCTACTCATAATCTTTTAACACATAAAGATCGCGGCGTTAGGGCATGGACTGCATGCTGCGTGGTGGACATTCTGCGCTTGTGTGCGCCGGATGCGCCTTACACCGGATCGCAATTGCGAGTGAGTTGCCCAAGAGACCATATACGAAATTGGTGAGCTAATAGATCGCCTAGGACATCTTCACGCTCATCGTGACATCGATCTTGCCAGCCTTGGCTGACCCTGCTGATCCTTACAATACGCAACACATGTATGTCTTGCAGTCGCTAGCGCAAGTCAAGAGTATTGTCCTGCTTACGGATATCCCGTCTTCCGACTCCTTAATCCTACACCTCTTCACATCATTCTTCGATATCATGTCTGGTTCTTCGAAATCATCATCTGGAGAGGAGTTGGGAAAGAATGTCGAATATCACATGACGGCAATTTTGGTGATCCTGGTTGACGAGGCAGGCAACTTGCCGGCGGAGGTGATCGACGTGATTGTCGCTCAATTCCTACGAGCGGACCCTCGAGCGATCGCAGCGGGAAATAACAACGGCAATGGCAAGAACAAAAAGTCTGCAGCATTGGCTGTACAAGATGATAAGCAATCCACACTTCTACTAAAAGAGTTGCCCCCCGCCTACACAGTTGCCAGAACACTCTGTAATTCGTGTCCGGAGAAGATGGCACGGTATATTAGCCATTATTTCAGCGATGTCATTGTGGATGCATCAGCAGCGCCGAGCGGAGAAAGCAATCCGAAAAAGCCAGGTCGCAAGAGAAATGATGAGCAAGCGGATTCCGATGAAGACGAAGGACCAAGTGGTCCTACCGAAGAAGATCTCAAGGAACTCAACAAGGCGCATAGACTCCTTCGAGAGCTATGGCGAGCTTCCCCTCCCGTGCTTCAGAACGTAATCCCTCAACTAGAGGCTGAGTTATCGACGGAAAATGTGCAACTCCGACTGCTCGCGACTGAGACCCTGGGCGACATGGTTGCAGGCATCGGAGCTGCTGGCCCACCGCAACCTCCAGTCATGGACCCGGCTATCTACCCTCCTCCAACACTGACCACTTACTCCGACGCATCGCCAAGCCAAAGCATCATGAACGTTCCGTCTTCCCCCCAGCCCTTTTCCCAGACTCATCCTGCAACATATAGTAATTTCCTTGCTCGCCAGCGGGACAAATCGGCCTTGATTCGTGCCGCGTGGACCACTTGCATAGGTTGGATTCTCGCCACCTCTTCAGGCGGAGTAGGCCTCAGTCCTCAGGAGGAACAGACATTGGTGGACTGCCTCGCTCGTATGCTGGTCGACTCCGACGAAAGGGTGCGCATTGCCGCCGTCAAGGCGGTTGGGGTCTTTGGCTTTCGGGATGTTGTTCTTAAGCTCGGATCTAGAGGTGGGGTAACTGACCAAAATTCCGTGCTTTGCAATATTGCAGAGCGAGCTAAAGATCGCAAACCTGGAGTACGCGTCGAGGCCATGACTGTTCTCGGACGGATTTGGGGCGTTGCTGCTGGGGAAATCGCTGCTGGCAATGCTTCTGTTGCCGATGTTCTTTCCGGCATACCCTCGAAACTTTTTGAATCTTTCTACGTTAACGATCTTGAAATCAATGCCTTACTTGATCGCGTCATCTTCGAGCTTCTCTTACCCCTCAGCTATCCTCCAATCAAGGCGAAGGGTCACAAGGCTGTCAATGGAAGTTCGCAGAGAGTCAAAGACAGCCAACCCAACGAATCTCCAGAGATAAGTGACGCTGATCCCGACAAAACTCGGGCTGAGCGGATTCTTATTCTGGTAAAGGGACTTGAAACGAGGCCGAGGACTGCCTTTTTCGCTCTTCAGTCACGGCAGGTTGTCATGGCCAAAGTGATGACTATCTTCCTAAAACGCTGCGAAGAGTATAACGTGAGTTGCTGATTTAAATATTATCAACACCCTTGTTGCTAACAATATATAGGGTGGTGTCATTGATGGCAATGAAGCTGAGATTAAGTCGCACATGACTCGTCTGATTGATTACTTTGCAAAGACTTTTCCTGATTCTGTGAAAGTCACGGCCGATCTCTGGAAGTTTGCTAAAATGCATGATCGGCGAAGCTACCAGCTTATTCGATTCTGCCTTGCGCCTGAGAGCGACTATCGAACGGTTTATAAAGCTATTGTAAACAACCCCTAGCAGACTATCACCGTGGTGCACTTGACTGATTGATTGTTTCTCTTAACAGCGCGAATTCTCCAAGCGAATCGAATCAGCTCCGGGTGCTTCAGCGGCTTTGCTTGAGACTCTGGTACCGTTGCTCTACCGGGTCAGTTTGCTCGTCTTCAACAAGAGCCATGTGCCTTTTATCATGGAGTACTCCCGAACCGATCAGCGCAGTTTGGGCGGGACAGCCCATGAATTGCTCAAAGAGATATCAACAACCACGCCCGAGGTTTTCCGGGCACACGTCAAGGAGCTGTGCAAAGTCCTCCAGGAGCAAGCTCCTTCAGCCAAACGGACCAATGAACCAGGCGCTGTGGATACTCTGAAAGCATGCGCGACTTTTGCGGCGAAATTTCCAGGAGAAATGCCAAAAGACCGAAGATTTATGCAGGCTTTACTTGATTTCACACTCTATGGATCACCTCCTCATGCTGCCAAGCACGCCGTATCCATTACGTTGGCAGTGTCCGACAGAAAGGAAATGTACGTGCGAGATCTTTTGCAAAAGTGCACCAAGGACTTCAAATACGGATCGGCGAATTTCCTTGCTAAGTTGGCCACGCTGAGTCAAATCGTCCTTATTGCGCCGAAGGAAGTCGAAGAAGAAGGAGACGCCATCGTCGATATCGCCATTGATCAAATCCTTCTTCGGCAAGGAACCACATCCACAGAGACGGAAGACAAGTGGGACGACGAAGTCACGGACGAGCTGCACGCCAAAATGTGGGCTCTTCGGATCCTTGTCAATCGACTGCGCTCCCACCCGGATCAAACCACCCTCAAAGAGGTCTCGCAGCCCGTATTCAGATTACTCAACACTCTAATAACTAATCAGGGAGAGCTATCCAAGAAGAAGGATACTCCTCCCGCCCACAAGTCGCGGCTGCGCCTTCTCGCAGCACAATTGTTTTTGAAGCTCTGCACAAATAAGGCATTTGACGACTTACTCTCCGCCGAGGATTTCAACAGACTGGCGCTGACCGCGCAAGACGCTCTGTTCCCTGTGCGCCAAGCTTTCATCACCAAATTGCGAAAATACTTGGGACAGAACAAACTCCCGTATCGCTTCTACTCGGTTGTATTCCTCATGGCATACGAGCCGAACGAGGAATTCCGGGAAGAGACCGTCGTCTGGATCCGCGCCCGGGCTGCCATTCTCAACCAACACAAGAGCACCGCGATGGAGAGCGTGTTTGCGCGACTGATCAGTCTGCTCGCGCATCATCCAGACTTTGGCAAAAGTGATGAAGACTTGTGTGATTTTGCGCGCTATATCCTTTTCTATCTCCAGCAAGTCGCGTCCGAAGAGAATCTGTCGTTGATATACCACATCGCGCAACGCATAAAGCAATCGCAAGACGCCATCGATGAGTCTAAAAGCGAAAATCTCTACTATCTTTCTGATCTCTCCCAGGCGGTCATCAAAAAATACGAGGAACTACATGGATGGAATCTCCAGACGTGGCCCGGAAAATTACGCATGCCGGGATCATTATTCAAGCCGCTGGATTCGCGCGACTCTGCGCAAAATATTGCCACCACGAATTACCTCTCTGAAGACCTCGACGAGCTGCTGGACAGGCTTGTCAGGGCGGCAGTCAGAGGTAAATCGAAAAAGGTAAGCTCTCCTTGATGTCTACATCTTTCTACACAGAATGCCGCCTGTCCCCAGTTCGCCATACACACCTCTCCGCCCTATAAGCAATTCGTGAACCATGGCTAATAGATTATCCGAAAAATACAGCGCAAGTCCGAAGCCGTCGACGAGACAACCGCCAAGAAACGTCGAGCAGCAGTCTCGACCCCGTCGTCAAAGCCAAAAGCACAGCCAGCATCGACGCGGAAAAACGGCACCAAGACGAAGAGTACCCCTCGCCGATCCCAACCAAAGAAGCCGAAACACGACTCCCCGCCGCCCAGCGAACGTCGACGCAGCGCCCGCGCTGCGGCCGCACACCGCAAATCATACGCCGAAAGCGATGGAGATGAGGATGAAGTCATGCATGAAGAAGATGATGATGACCAAGGGGAAGAAGAAGAGGAGAAGGAGCTTGAAGAAGAGGACGAGAATGAGAGTGAAGAAGAGAATGGAAATGAAAGTTCGCCCCCAGGAGAAGGACACGATGACGACGATGACGACGGGGCACTCAGTGATCCTCCTGACTCTGATTAGTCCATCAGTTCATCTTTTATTTCGTTCCTCTCCTTTCGTCTCCAATTCTCATTCTCATGCCCTCGTCTACAAATATCTTCCTGCCTCTCTTCATTTGCCCTCTACTCCTGTCTTCTTTTTCCTGTTCTCCTTTTTTTCTTTTTCTTTTTTTTACCACCTGCGTCAACATTTGCATTATCTTTCTTCTGCCCTTCCCCTTTTTCTACTTCTTTGATGCCTGGTTTTCTTGATACCAACCGAGTGTGTATCTCTTACTTTTTCTTTTCTTTTTTTTTTCTTTTTCTTCATTGCTTTCTCTTTTTTTTTTTTTCGTACAGCGTGTCCTCCGTTTTATCCCTTCTCCCGACTGCGTCTATCACATTACGCACCACTACCATCATCATGCTAATAAAAAAAGTTTTTCACTTTCATTTTTTTTATTTTTCAACATTAGCGCCCGCGAATTTATGCACCATTTTCTTTATCATTTCTCCCCTCTCCCGCTTCGTTCCCCGCCCCCTACATTTTGTTTAATCGTCCTCAAAGCTTTGCATATATGTTATTTATCTCCTCTGGCGTGGGTTTTCGTCGTTGTATTTTTTACGTAACCTTCTCAGCTGTTCCTTATTTATTCCCTATTCGTAGGGAAGTAGGCGCAGAATGATGAAAAGAAGTAATGAAAGGAAGTTGATATATAACCCTTGTATATTTTATTTATTGCGTATCATGTATACTGTATCATGTATCAAGTGTCATGTGTCATGCATGTGTCACGTCTCGCATACATGACTCTTGCAAATACGCTGCGTGTAATGTCTGTCATCATCATCATCATTAAGGTCGTAGCCGGAGTGAGTGTCGCAGCCGGAGTGAGTGTCGTCAAGAGAGAGAGAGAGAGAGGGCTAATTGAGCACTATTCCACAGGTGGATAAAGAGCAAAATCTCAATGACAGTTACTTCTCTCACAAAAGTAACACCAGCTACAGTCAATAGTTACATGATAACAACGACAATAACAAAAATAAAAATATGTGCATGCAATATGCATTATGAAATTAGGAGTATAGAAACTACCTAGGTAATAATACTAATAATAATAATAATAATTATAGTGATGATGATGAGGGTCCATAATGCAAGTGGATGAGTGGCATGAGGGATAAAGAATATAGGATAACGAAATGAGTAATGAATATAGGATAACGAATAATGTATAATGAATAATGAATAGAATTGTTGTTTTCGCACTTGTGTAACAGGACAAGAAGGACAAGTAGGACACGTTATGACGGAAGTGACAACCTGTCATAAGAGCAGAACCGAACGAATGACGCAGGAAGAATCCACCGGATAATGAACGGGAAAGAAAAAGGTAAGAATATAAAGTTAAAAATAGAAGGTGGACAAGTGAAGAAGCCCGACTGTGCGCCTATGACCGATTGGAAAAAAAGAGTGTGCAATTGTTTCTAAACAACCCCCTCCCGAGACGCAACGCGGTGATCGGATTAAATTATTCCTTTTTATTCTTCCTTCCCATCAAACACAGCAAAAGAACGAAATGATATAAAAGAGACAAAACGTGCCATTCAACTTGTTGATCATACCCGCTTAGGAAAAAGAAAGAGAGAAAAAAGAAAAAAAAGAGGGGGAAAAAAAAAGGAGAACCCCCGAAAAGCCTTTGAGAAATAGCGCCCCCCGAGAACCAAGCGCCTTGAAATATACCGTCGATTTGCATACGAGAAATGAGCAACTCTTCGCAAATGATTCAATGATTAAGAAAGAGCGATGAGGAAGATACGTATTGTCCCATTTAAGCCTCCAGAGAAGAAGTCTCCAAGCGACGACGAATGAGCTCTTGGAGCATAAGTAAAGTGTTTCTTTCTTTGTCGGAGACGGGACCGGCTTCGGACTGGCCAAGACGAGAGTCAGAAGCAGGAGGAGAGGGTGGAGTGTTGGATGCCTTTTCAGCCGAGTCTATCATTAGCGAAGCCACATCAGACGGAGCTTCAGCCTGATTTTAAAAAAGCCATAATGTCAGCAAAGGGAGACTTGGGAGAATTTTTGAACAAAAGGGAGAAACTCACAATCAAGGTGTTGATGAGATTCTCTACGGCATCAGCGCTGAGGCTCAAGTTGCTGCCACAACCAGAGAGCTGTGCAAGGTTCAAAGCCAGCTGCCGGTCGGCAAAAGATCGCCTGTCAAATTCACTCTTGATCTTCATTTGAAGCTCTGCCGACACGGGCGGGTTTGCTTCAGAAATGTCCACAGATCCAGGCCGCGTAAAGATGGACGGCCGTATTTCAGTCCAACAAGTTCTGTCTCTTCCATTAGCAAATAACGAAAAATCAAGGGCCAATAAAATGGAAGAAATCACTTCACTTACCGCTTAACCTTGTCGATGAAATCCAGCTTGACACCTCTTTCCGGGAGACGGTAGACCACCCCAAACTCTTCCTGATCGTGAAAATCGTCCTCGTCGCTCGAGTCGTTATCAATCTCAATGAGCCCGTTGTTGATGAACCCACGTCGAAGGGCTGGATCCACAATTCTAGCATTCTTTGGTCGTCTGACCTTGTGCATTCTACCAATGCCAGCAGTGCCTTGCTTGGCATTTTGGCGGACTGATGGATCAAGAGCAAGCAGCTCATGATCGACATGGTTTGGACACATCCAGTTGTGCTTGGACTTTCCGTTCAGAGCCTTTGGAGGGGGATTGGCCATAGGAGGGTCCAAACAATCGAGATGCCACTGCAAACTGCAAAAGTCGCATGGAATAATTTCTCGGTTATTGAGCGCCGATTTGCCACAGCGAAAACACAAAACATATTTTCCCTTTGAGTCCCTCAATTTCAAGAGGTCAGGGAATTCTTCATAACCCCCACGTGGTCTTTTGACGTTGATTAGCCAGGCTGGTCCTATTATGCTAAAAGAGCACAAGGAAAATGCTTTAACTTACTTGGATTTTTGCGTGACAGCCTCTTCGTATTCACCCTCGTCGCCCGTCCTGACCCCTTCGAAATACTCTCGGATTTCTCGAGGGAGGTTGAAAGCCACAGGATTCTTCTTCTCCAAATTGCCGAAAAGAGCCGCAAATAAACCTCTCGAGTACTGTGTTGGCGGTCCCCTCTTTGACTCGCAAATGAAACAATACCAAGAGTCATCTGGAGGACGATTGGGATCTAACGGAGGATCAAGACAAGTGAAATGGAAAGATCTATCGCATCCATCACAGCAGAGGAGATAACCACTGCCTCCACAAGCCGAACAGAATTCATCGTTTTCCGACTGTGGCGAGAGAGTCAGCATCTCTAATATTCGGCTAATAGAATCGGACTTTCATCATGTTCGATGCATATAGAGACGTGCCATCGTGGCAGCCCGGGAAACATGAAGGCTCAGGGATATGGAGAAAGGAAAATCTCAAGCGGGGGTAAAGCGGGATGCCTTACATCTTCATTTTCATCCGTGGGCCCATAGCCGAGCGAGTTTCTTGCCGCGCCACCTCCACGAGCGATGCCTGCGATAACACCCGACTTCTTTTTTGATGGCCTGAAGAAGCATGAAATAGTTAGACTTGAAGAATGATTAAAGTCGCAAATTATTGTGAGCGTGTAGGCAATAAAAATTCAAAAGGGCGCGGGGGTAAGGATAGCAGCACTAAATCGTAGGAGCACGGCCAGAGACAAGCCCCGACACGAAGAACAACAACTGAGACAATCGAAAACAGAGAACAATAATGAAGGATCTTGGCAAGGAAATGATTCAACACGTACGACATCTTGATGCGAGCGCCTTTTTTGTTCTTCTTCAGTGGACGCCCACCCAAAATTGGAGTACTAGCTCGAGAGGCGCTCCCTATGAGAGCCGGCGCCGGCGAACGAGGGCCACCAGTAACGGACGAGGATGGAGATTGGGGCTGCTCCGGCTCATGTCTTGCAGATTTTCTGGTGCTATTTCGAAGGCGAAGAGTCTGCTTTACTGTCGGAGCGTTTGACGGTTTCGTCGTCGGGGTCACCTCTTGCGAATTCTCTTGCTGAGGTTTTGTTTCAACTCGGACATTACTTTCAGTGACCTTGTAGTCATCGAAGGCCCGTGACATTCGTTTGCGCTTTGTCATTAAGGTGTCATCGCTATCGGGCTGAGTGAGCCCAGCGGCCGCCGATGACCGCTTGAGCGAGTTGCTGGTTGGAGGATTTGATGTCGAGAATAGATCGAGTTTCGGACCGGTCGCCGAGTGAGGCTCGTCGTTGTTCATTGGTGGGCTGCTTGCATAGGTCTCGGCAACCTGTGCATTACCAGGTTCAGCGTCCATGGACGCAGTAAATTCATGATCCATAGAAGTCATGGATGACAGCGACGAGGAGCTTGATGCACTCTTTGACCGCGTCAAGGGAATATTTTCTTGAGAAGCCATGCCGTTGGCCTGACGACGTTTTCCGCTGCTTACGGACTCCTTTTGGTTTGACTTGGGCTTGTCTGACTGGTTGGGGCCCGTCGCTTCCAGTGGGCTCACGTTATTTCCAGTAGCGGTTGTTACAGCCGAGCGTGAACCCTTCGAAGGCGACTTTGAGGATTTGGTGGTAGAGTGTGCCTCCGCCGGCACAGAAAGACGACGACCACCATTAAGCGTAGAATTTTGACTCTTGATTTGCTTTCTTGCTTGAGTGATGTAGGCCTGAAATTCTCCCGTCTGTCGCGGTGTCGACCGCTGGCTCAAGACCGCGTCCAGGAGATCAGCCAGATCTCGCCTTTGTAGGCTTTCTGTGTGCAGTTGTTTGATTGCTAAGCCGAGCGCCGGGTTTCCAAGCTCAGAAGCTCTCCTGACCGCGGCTTGGACAATCAGTTCAAGTTTCGCCCGACCAGCGGGAGTACGTGAATCCGGAGCCTTGACCTCTGAGGTGGAAGCGATCGATGTTTTCGCTGCCGTCACTGCTTTCACCCCGGAGCCAGGACTTGGACTAGGTGGGAAACTCCTCTCAGCCGCCTCTTCTTGCAGTAGAGATGTTGCAGAAGGTTTCTCCTCAATCTTTCTGGACTCCGATCTCCTAGTATTGGCAGAGGCTGAGGAATCAGGGGTTTCCGCCCGCTCCTTGGCTGCAGCAGTCTCCCTCTTTTTGCCACGGATTGCCCGTCGAGGACCTTCAATCTTGACTCTTGCCTTCACTTTTGCACTTGGAAGGGCTCCCAAAGGGGCCATGTGTTCTAGCACGCCATGTCTTTCTAGGCCTTTGTAATCTTCAAAACTGGGGGCAGGCTGACGCAGCGGCGGTTCGACCCATTTGTCTAAAAAGGTCTTCTTCTCTTCTTTTGGTTTATTTGCTGCAGATAGAGATGCATCTTTCTGACTGGTGGTGAAGGGGCTCGACATACGAGACGATTTGCGGGTAGGTCTCGTCGAGGCCATTGTGACTGACGCGAGCCCCAAGCCTCCCGTGAGAGGGTTTGCAATGTCTGTTTTACACGTAAGCATCATGTACATTCGCGTCCATAGAAAAGGGATTCAGACTTTCTAACCCACCAAAGAAAAGTCCGGTGGATATTTCCTGACCGAGCAATTTGCCTCGCGATGCGTGTCGCGTCCTCTGCCTTAGAGGACTGATTTAGGGTGATGGAGTTGGGGGAATCGGAGCAAGCGAGGAAGCCCGCCCAGGGGGGTTATTACCCGCGAAAGGTATGGGATGCGTGTATGGTTATACACTCTCCCTATAGAATGACGACAATAAATTTAGGGATTTTGAGAAATTCTTAGAGAAACATCCTGGAGAATATCGTGTGTAGATATCAAATATGCACTGAAATCTTCTCCAGATCTCATAGCCAAAGCGGGCGGGAGTGCGAGGTTAGCTGCCTCCGGAAATGGGCTCAGACTATCAGAAGGAAAGACAGCAGTCCTCGCATCCAGTTAATGGGAAGCATAGTAAGAAAGAGATCACCATGAGACATAAGAAGAAATTTCTTGCGTGGTAATAATTTTTGGCGCTCTCCAATATTGATTTCCTATGACTAAGCGTGGAGGAGGACGACCCTAACCTATCAACGAATATCAAACACGCTGAAAAGGATCTATCTTTAAAAATTCTTGGCTCCAGCACTTCTCTTTCTTGTTTTTCCATTTTGCATGCTGAATGGCGTATCTAATCTTCTACCACCATTGCAAATTCGACTTTTTAGGCCGACAGGCTCGTGATTTTGAGTGATTGCCAGAAAAGCGGCCCCTGAGAAGTAAAACTGCCGAGGTATTGACAGAGATCAATCAAAATGCTGTTTACGCTTCCGTCTTGCCTTCCTCCTCGCCGGCCTTCTTGGCGGGCTTCTTCTTCTTGTTCTTGCTCTTGTTGCCAGTGTTACGGGCAATCGGCTGCTCAAGAATCTTCAGGACCTCCTCATCCGTAATCTTCTTGTCGGTCTTGAATGCCTCCAAGTTTGGCGTCGGGGGTCCAGTAAGGCGGGTGATGCCATTCTTGGTAAGGGCTGGAGAAATGTTAGTTTTTCTGTTTATCATTTTCGAAATCACATTTGCGACTTGGGCTAGCTTTTTGGGGGGGCGGCAAAGAGGAGGCCGTCTCAACGAGTATTCAATAAATCGCAAGACTTACCAACAGTGGAGAAGACACGAGCGACGTCGGCGCCATCTTTGTCGCCAACGACTTCGTACTGGCGGACGACACCGGTACGCACGCATTCAACGACACCAACCTTGGCGGCTCTTTCATCATCAAGCTGCCGAAGGCTGAAGGGGAAAGTTCCAAACTTCTTGACGATTTCGGAGAGAGTAGACCGGGAACTGGGGCGCTTGAGGCCATAGGTAGTGGTCGTACGACGGTGCAAAGTGGCACGGTTGTTGAGGGTCTTGACCTTGCCGGAGCCAAGGCTGACTCCCATTTCGATACCCCAGACCTCGCCAACGTCAGGGGAACCCTCTCCCTTGACGCCCTCACCGGGTGCAAGCACGATCTTCTTCTGTCCCTCAATCTCGTTGCGCTCGAATTGCCAACAGGTTGTGCTTTCGACCAGGTTGCAGCCGAAGCTCTCAACCACCTTCTGCAGAATGTTGGTGATCTGTGATTGAGAAACGGGTTTCTGGGCCGCAGCCTTCTTCTTCTCTTCCTCGGTTCCGCTAGCCAGAAGGCCAGGGGGAACGATCAGTCTCAAAAGGACCTCATTGGCGTAGTGGCAGGCGAGGAGCAGGTTAGCCTCCTGCTCAGGATGCTTGTCGCCCTGGTTGCTCTTGGATGGAATGATGATGGTGTCGCAGACAATCGTACCAAAACCGTCAATCTGAGCACCAAGCTGGATCTTAATGGCGTCTCCAGCCTTCAATGTAACCGCAGCCTCCTCCGCATCAGAAGCCAGGGGAGTGTAGGGCGTAACATAGGAGCTTGGAGAAACCGTGGTCGGGTGAGAAATACCTGTAAGAACAGTGTTACTTTTCGCGCCCATTTTCCGATAAATTATTAGATGGTCTACCCACCCTTTGCAATTTTCTTTCCCTTGTAGACCTTGGCGATCTCCTCGTCCAGCAGCTTGTCTCCGCGCTGGCAGACACTCACAATGGTTTCACCTTCAACGCACCATCCTGCCGAGAAGTCAGCAAAAGTGTCAGAAGCAATGTCGCAGAAAATTAGACATACCTGTGACAGCCTCGAGGACACGCTGCGAAATGGCGGCAGCAGTCTTGTATTTGGTGAGGGTATCGGGGTTGTTAAGGGAGTAGTCTAACCGACATAAAAGCAACAATTAGCGCTTTGTAATGGCAGTGATAGCTGTAATGGAAGCTTAGAAGTCTTACCAATCTCCTTGTTTTCCACCTCTTCAGCCATGGTGACGGTTCTGGGGGGGATCAATGTAGTTAATGTGGATCGAAATGTGCACACGAGTTTGGGGAAGAAATCAATCGGCCGGTTGTGTGCGCGAGAGCGAGTGACGAGTTACCTGAGCAGAGGGGCCAGGACGTGTGGGGCAGTCCCATACGTAACCGATGAAAAAGAGTTCAAGGCAGAAGAGCTTGTGCAAAAGACCGAATGCAGAGGTACAATACAGAGAGCAATGGTACCTGTACTGAATATAAACTGTTCCTGTTTGGGAGCTTCAATAATAAAAAAGTGATCAACTTATGCACATTTTCTCACACTCTTCCCCTGTAGTACCATTACTTCTGCTGCAAGGGGTAGCACAGGACTACATTCACAGATGAACTCAGACTCTGAAATAAGCTGGGATTTCGTCGTCGCATCGTAGCCTTGTGAATTGCTTCACACTTCGACTGTTCATTGTGTGCGAGCACTTTATCGTTGACAATCTCCAGCTACAAGAAGGTGAATACGAAAATAAATTTCTCTTCACATCATAGGCATTATGAAAAGCTCACCTCTGCCCATCGCTATCCGTGTCATCGATCACAATATTCGTTATGCTACAGGACGTCCCTTCAAAGGAGAAGAGGATTGGGTGAAGCGCAAATCAAAACTCATCGCGGAGCTTCGATTTCATACTCTTTATAATCCTGAATCGTTCATTTGTCTCCAAGAGGTGCTTCACAACCAGCTACTAGACGTGCTCACAGGACTCAATGCTGGATCTTCATTGAATTCACCATCGTTGACGTCAGAATCTGACGCCTGGTCCTACATAGGAATAGGAAGAGACGATGGCAAGGAAGCAGGAGAATACTCTCCAATCTTCTACCGTCCCTCTATCTGGAAGCTAGAGCATTTCGAAACTATATGGTTGTCGGAGACACCTGAGAAACCGTCAAAAGGTTGGGACGCCGCATCCACACGAATCCTCACCGTTGGAGTCTTCCAACATTACGCGAGCCGAAAGCGGCTGGTTGTGATGAACACCCATTTGGATGATCAAGGTTCTCAATCTCGCTGCAACGCCGCTAAATTGATCGTCAAGGCAATCCACAAGCATACATTTGATGGTAATGGTCGAATTCCGCTGCCAATTGTTCTCACAGGAGATTTTAATAGTCAGCCCCATCAAGAGGCCTACCAAATTCTCAACGACCAGTGCTCGCCCATCAGCGATGTACGAGGACTAGTCGCCGAGGGTGGGCTATACGGGCATGAAAATACATTCACAGGCTTCGGGTTCGGAAAAGAACCGATGAAGAGGATTGATTTTGTCTTTGTGGGGCCAAGGGATTCGTCCGGCAATGACTCGAACAGTGCGAGCATCTCATGGCAAGTTTCAGGATACGCTGTCCTCGAAAGCCGGTTCGAAGACGGTATCTACAATTCCGATCACCGTGCGGTGGTTGCGGACCTCTTACTGACTGCTTGACTGAGCCTGGCGATGCTTTCATGTTTTAAATGTATCATTCATCTTTTGTTGAGGCGTTTCTTGAAGTAAGCGTGGACGATTTACATGAGGGCATACTATTGTGGGTGCAACATAAAAAGGCGCAGAGCGATTCTCGAGAAGGGCCGAACGAAACCCTATTGATTTCAATGGCCCCTCCGCATCGCCTTATATAAAGAGAAAAAAAGGAGCTTTGTGTCTGTCCAATCGGAGCCAGACGGAGGATCAGGCGTGTGTGCGATTTGGCCTTATTATTCCTGTGACTTAATGAAATATAATGCTAACGATGGGGTGGCCAAGGCAAGTCCCATCTTTTCGATTGATACCGGAGTTTGGGGCTGGCACTAATCCATGGGCAGACCCAGATTCCGTGTTGTCGCGGTGAGAAGATGCAGATTGACCCTATCGATTTGATTTGCTCTGTTGCGGGCCACCAGACTTGCCCAGACCGGAGCAAAATGATGACGAGTGGCTCATCGTGTAATAAACAAACCACTTTCATCATTATCATCGTGAACATCATCTCTTTACATCTCTGATTCCCATCCAGTATCATCATTCTCCTGTCGTCGATCGCTTCTTTTGTGACTTTTCCCTCTCTCGCCTTTGCCCACTGCACTATCCCTATTTGGAAAAGGCTGGGCTCCATTCGGTCCGCAATCAACGCTGAATTCGCGAACATGTGGTCATCTGCCTGCAGCCCCAGTCGAAACCCGATGATTCTCGTCCAAAGGACCGGGAAAGGAAACACGGGGATCAAGTCCACCCGCTGCCCCCATCCATCGCGACGCGTCTTGCTTTATCTTTGATCCTTCAGCCTCCATGGCCGCCGCCGGTGCTGCGGCCGGGGCTTCAGTCGCTTCAGGGTCTGTTGAAGATGGCCAGAAAGAGCAATCCACCTCGTCACCTATCGCACCCAACGAGGCCAATGGCGCGCCTCAAGCTCGAAAACGATCTCGATCAGGCACGAAGATTGCATCTCAACCCGTATCATCAGAGCTCGCGCATCGTCCCCGACCGCCGACGAAGGAATTACTCCTAGATCAGTACGTGACCCGCGATCAGCTGCACACTGCAGCGCTCAACACCCAGAATGCCGCGCAGGCCGAACTTTTGCGATTCAAGCGCGAAGAGGTAGACTTGTATAAATCCTTGCGCCAGGACCGCCAACTTCATCCTGGTGCTATATTTGGCAGTGGCTACGCAGGGTATGGTAATGGCCACACGGATGACAAGCCTCGTGTGGTCTACCCGCTTCATAGGAAACGGCCAGGTGGAAGGAGGACTCGGGAACTGCGGATTTCAAGGAAAGACTTGGCAACTCAGGCTGAGCAATTAGAAGAGCTGGTTCCGGTTCGACTGGACATTGAGTGGGATAAGATAAAACTGCGAGATACCTTCACGTGGAATCTTCATGACCGTGTCATCAAACCCGAATTATTCGCCGAGCTGCTCGTTGAAGACTTCAACCTGCCCCAGGAGATCTCAGGTCTTATGGTGCAGCAGGTTGGTCAATCGCTTGCAGATCAAATCCAGGATTTCTACCCTCATGTCTATATCGATGAAGAGGCCCTAGATCCTCATCTTGCTTACTTTGCATACAAAAATGACGAGATGCGAATTTTGATCAAGCTAAACATCACCATCGGACAGCATACGCTGGTTGATCAATTTGAGTGGGAGATCAATAACCCCTTGAATTCTCCCGAAGAGTTTGCCAAGCAGATGACCAGAGATCTTTCTCTCACGGGGGAGTTCACCACCGCGATCGCTCACAACATCAGAGAGCAAGCCCAACTTTTCACAAAAAGTCTTTATATCACTGGCCACCCATTTGATGGTCGGCCAATTGAAGACGCCGACCTGAGAGAAGCATTTCTGCCTACCCCCCTTCCTTCTGTCTTTCGGCCGGTCCAGGCTGCCAAGGACTACACGCCATATCTGTACGAGCTTAATGAAAACGAATTGGAGCGGACAGAGGTATCTCTGTCAAGAGAGCAGCGACGCCAGAAGAGGTCCATCAATCGTCGTGGCGGTCCTGCACTGCCAGATCTTAAAGATCGACAACGAACTGTGCGAAGCCTTTTGGTCTCGACAGTGCTGCCTGGCGCGGCTGAGAGCGTTGACGAGAGCAGAATATTCAAACGCTCTGCTGCTCAATTAGGAAAGGGTAGAAGAGCAATTACTGGGCCCCGAGATGAGGAATCTGAAGAATCCGAGAGTGAGGAATCAGCGCCCGATTCTCCGGCAACATCATCCCATATGCTTTCCGGTACTGCACGCACCAGAGGCATGCGGGGTGCTGCGTCCGCCGCTCAAGCAGCTATGCGAGCTACGCTTGGACGTTCGGCAACGCCCGAAGCGTCCTTACTCCATCACCACGAAACAAGAACTTCGCGGCGCTCTGGTAGAGACTACCGTGACGAGAGTGTCAGTGAACCAACAACACTCGTCGTTAGGCTTCGCATTCCCAGAGAGCGTTTTCGGCAATTCTTGCGGGAGCAAAAATCAAGACAACGTGGCGACCAATCGACAATGGGTCGTGGTCAACGCGCCGCATCTCAAAGTGCTACGCCGCAACAGGGGACACCTGTGCCGGGTTCGATGGGACCTCCACCCACTACACCAGCGATGCATCAGCAGCAGCTTCCTAATCAGCCTTTGGTCGCAACTCCGCAAATGAATGGGGGCACTGGTGGTACAACACCACAGCAGTATGGTATTGTAGATGCTACCCATCCTCCAGTAGCTGGCCAACCAGGGGTAAGTCTTTAAGAACACCTTCATCCATAAGAACAACCTTATTACATCGTTCCTATTCCCGTGCTTTTTGCCCTTTTAAGTCCTTTCTTCTGCCGTTGCGGCGGTTTTTGTTGTACACCTTCTGCACGTATTCTTTTGTATCCTTCTTAAAAGTCATCACATGAAATGATCTGAGATCGATATCTTTTCTGACCTATTGTATCAGCCTCCACCTCCCGCCTGGCTCACCGCTGGCTTAACCACGCTCCAATCAAGGTATCCACGCGATATGTTTGAGGGAACAATGCGGTATACGGCTGTGGACGCCTTAACAGATCAACCTCTTCCCAGTAGCGCTTTACAAGCCGGGCAACCGAATCCTCCAAACGTCAAGTACCAATATTTCCCACGTATTCGATGTCATGATTGCCCAGGAAAGCTTTATACACCTGGTCCAGACATGACAGTTGAAAATTTCGAGGTTCACCTTCGGAATCGACAACATAGAGAAAGAGTGGAGCGGAGGGTAAGAGGATTCTGAAAAGATTGGGGGGAACTGGTACAGTGAATTATAATCGTCTTCTTTAGCGAGCCTGCACATTATTCTCAGAGCTGCATTATTCTGGGGTCTCGGGTGTGGTTAATGGGAGATTTAGCAATGGCTGGCGTTTGGAATCTTTTTAACCCCAAAACTCTTTGTATCTCTTCTTCCACCATTCAATAATTCGCTTAGCATATTCTGAATCTTCTTACCTGTTGATTATGCTGCTTTTTTCCTTACTTTTAACCTCTCCTCTTGTCCCAACGTTGAACTTTCTATTCACATTATCATTCACAGCGCCTAGCAGTTGGTGAAATAGATAACAGCATCAAGAGTCAAACTGGCCAATTCGAACAGTAATACCCTAGTATTCTGAACTTGTGAGCTTGCGTCCTCAATCCTGGTGTGTCTCAACCGTGATATTCTGGCTGAACTTGTCTGTCTAGTCAACCTGCCTTGTATGCATCATGCGTGGCAAGAAGAAACCTCAGCTAGAACAAGACTCGCACACAACAATGGGACACAGTGGAAAGTCTAAGGAAACAAAAGACAGAGACGGTGGCTCAACCTTCAAACCAGCACCAACTACGCCAAAGAAAATTATACGTCGTCTGCCAAGTGGATGGAATGTGACCAAACTCGCGCTACATCGATCAGCAAAAGCAATACTGCCTTCTCCAGCTCCTCCCCTTCCTCCTACTCTGTATCATCAGACAGAGTGCTTTTATCAACTACGCAAGATACAATCATCTCTCTCGGAGCTGGAAAGACGCTTCGGTCCAAATATCGACCGACCGAGCCCAAAACCTTTCAGGCTGATGGGCCTGCCAAAGTTTATCCGGCAGCGGATCTTCGACTTACTCATCGTCTCCAATGAGCCTTTGATGCCGTATCAACATAGCAAAAGACTGCCACAAAGGGGAAATGCCAGATGTCAGAGCTCATCACTCAATCTCTTGCTCGTCAATCGAACAATCTACCTTGACGTGCTTGAGGAACTCTATGGAAGCAACCATTTTTCATTTTCCTTTCCAACAACTCTGTTGTTATTCCTCAGTACCATTGGGCCACGGAATGCACAGCTTCTGCGTCACTTGGTGATTCGGTTCACACTGGCTCCGCCTGATGGAACTCTTGCAGGTGAACCTGGGGATGCAGATGCCACATATGAAGTCAGGAGAGAAAGAAGTGGAATCAGAGCCAGAGGCGTCGGAATGGAGATGGAGACAATGGTAGAACGAAACGGACCATGGGCACTACCGCAATTGCGCAATTTGGCACACTGGTTGTTTCTTTCTCGACTCTCTCCCTTTCCTTCCCCAGACCCTGAGAGCCACACGGGAAGGGTATTTGTGGGGTCTCCGAATGCATTTGCTCAAAGTAAGCTCTCTGCGGACTGTGCCAAGGGGAGCACTGATGATCCTTCTGCGCCGTTTTTCTGGCTAAAGCCAGGACCTCGAAAAGATGTACAGGCCAATCATCGGGCTGCCGTCGCAGTCTTCACCAGAATGTGGGCAGATACACTAGGAGTGCTTCTGCCAGGGAACATTATAGCACAAATGGCAGAGTCTTTGGTTACAAAGCATTCTTCTGTCAACAGTGCACGAGCAAGCCCACCTCAATCTATTCCTATGCCGGTTTCTGTGCCACCTGCACAACCAATTGCAAAGGGGCAGCAGTCCTTGTCATCCCCGCATCTCCCCCTTCCGCCTCCTCCACCAACTCTTCCCGGGGCTCCACCAGAGCTTGCACGTTCCAGCTGTGCTGCAAAGCCCGTATCTGAATTTTCATCATCAAAAGCCCCTCTGCGAGCCGGGATACTGTTACCACTAGAAAGCATATCAGGGGAGGTACCCCCGCCATGCTGGTCAGCTCCCGGAGATGAAAAGCCCATGGCACGCCCGCCCGTGCGTTCATCTCGAGGCTACTCGTCTGCCAACCCGCCGTTAGGAAATCTACTAGGTGACACAAGTGACAACAAGAAGAGGCGAAGCAGAGAGCTCAAGGGAAGATCAAAGCGACAAAGCTGGCTCTGTTCCAAGCTGAAGACTATGCACATCGTTTTTGAAAATAATGCGCGTTGTCTTCGGGGATGCTGTAATTCTCGCGATGTCTTGTCTCGAGCTTCGTCAACCGTCCCCGCGGATGTAATTTCGCAATTTCTCCCGCAATTACATGCAGGTAATACACCGCAGGCTCAGGGCGAAACCGATGGTCAGCAGCATCGATTGAGATCACAAACATCACGGCCAACGCTGCGCAACGCTCCAAGCCATGGTTTTCTACGCCATTCTGCTGACGCCACAAAACTGTCTGTCCCGCAACCTAGTTTTCCCGATACTCATCGTCATCCTCAACTCCAACATCAGCCGAGTCTACCTTTGCTGAGGCACAACCCGAGTCAGCCGGTTCTCAGGAAAATTTCTGACCCGATTACTTACTCTTCTTCCCAGTCTGCTCACCGGCAACAAGCTGGTTTTACTGAGGCAGCTCATTCCAGTATTCCTGGCTCTGGCTCGGGCCCTGGCTCGGGCCCCAGCTCCGGACAGCCATCTCTTAGACCAATTCTGCGATACATGTCCAGCCAGCCTATCATGCGCGAGCGCTCTACTTCGAACACTTACCGGAACCCTCGCACTCCAATCTATGGCAGTGGCCCTAGCAACGATCCACTTCCCACCACTGGGGCAAACCAACCACCCCCGTCGCCGCAGGCTCATTACCGCTACCCTGAACGCAGTGATGCTCCGGGACAATCGTATTCCCCGAGAAAGCCAGAGCCTCAGCCTCGTCGCCTTAGCGGGAACCTTCAGGCAAGTTCAGCTCAGAGAGATTTGCCTAAACGGAGTCAGGGAGTACCTCAACCTCAATATCATCATGCAGTCCAATACCGTGGGCCAAGACCTCGTGTGGCCAGCGCCGCATCTGCCCCGGTCGTTCCTATGCATAGTAATACGGCTCCCCGACGAGCAAGTGATGGCAGTCAGACGAGAAGTTCCGAGGCAGCTCCCCAATTTCCCGGAATCGCTCCCATCTACGGCGCCGGTCCTAATCTCAGCGACGTGCATAGCTCCGGGGCGCTCTCCGATACCCCTACAGGGCCGAGTTTTTCCCAAGTGCTCACTCAACTGCGGGAATTAAACGTGGAGGTATTCTTGTCTGGCATGGCCAGGAGACCGTCCTCACAATATTGAGTAGAGTAACTCTTTCTGCTAAAGCTGGATGCCCGCTCCACTAAAGTCGATATATGCAATTTACCACGACTTTCATCTAGTTCGCTTGGCTTATTTGCAAGGAACCATTCGCCATTTTATCAAGAACCCAGCAACTCGAAATAACTACAACTAACCACTACATGCAATAGCGCGCTCTCCCTTCCTCTGCTTACGAATAAAATGAAAGAAAGCGGACGCACCACAGAGCTCATCTACCGAGCAATGGCCTTGCGAGCTTGCTCCGGCTGCGGAAAAATGATCAGTGTTACGGACAGCTATCGACTGAAAGTTCTAGCGGTCTGATGTTGGATACAATCATGCCATCGGCTTCAACATTTCCCAACATCATTTACTCTATCTCGCGTTCTCGACCTGGAGCATGATCTGTCAAAAATATCTTAAGAAATCTTACAGCACGTATTTATATTTTTATTTATGTGTTTATTTTCTTCTTCTCCCATCTCTCCTTTCAAGATTCGGAGTGAACATATTTATTTGGGAATGGCTGAAGGCAGCCTGGTTTCTACTTTTCTTTTTCCCCCTTTTTCCCTCTTACATTTTCCTTTTTACTCGTGTCTTCCTTTTCGTTTGTTCGTTCTTACTTCTTTATTTCTTTCTCTTTATGTTTGTCATTTATCGCATTCCTCAGCTTCCCCACCTACAACATTGCTCTACCTTAAGCTTTATACTCACTTGGCTCTTTTCCCGATTTTCTTTCACATTGTCTGGCTCCTTACCTCGTACTGGCTTATCTCGCGGCGTTTCTTTGTCACGGGCGTTACAGTATATGCACATAAGTTTACATAAAATAATTTGCTATGAAAAATAAATTTCTGCTAAAACCTTAAGCCATAATAGTGATAGAGATGACGGTCATGCAGCATGCTTCTTTTAAAGCCTTAAAAGAGACCCGGATACGTGATGGAAAGTTGCAGCAGAATAATTATATAGAACTTTGAGTTAAAAAAAAACCATGTATTATTAGCGTCCAACAGATCAGAAAACTGTCTTTTGCGAATTGTCCGGTAGAAAGACGGAAGGGGAGACATAAAGGAAACAATAAAAAAATAACAAAATAACAAAATAAAATAATTAAAAAAGAGTCAAAGGGGTAAACATGAATTAAGATAAAAATAAAATAATTGGATACCAACGAGCGTGCTAAGAAAGAGTTTGAAATTTCAAGTATTAAATACAAAATATTATACTAATATAAAAGGAGCAACGACGATCCATATAAAAATCTAATAGATTTCTAAATCGTCAAACTCAACAAATAAACAGTTTTGCGAGTGTGACAATTGGGACTGTTGCTGCTGCTGCTGGTGCAGGTAGTAATTATCGTGGTTATGATGATTCCTGCGGCGCCCATGCCGTTGAGATGTTGATGCTGCACCGCCACCACCACCAAAGCCGCCAAAATTAGCCGGCCGCGACGCGTACACGCCGACGCGTATGGCCTTGTCTTCCACGCCCCAGAAAAACCACGTCACTTCGCGCAGTTTCTTCCACCCGAGCGAGCCGTCCAGGAAGTAGATCCAGAGCGCGTAGCCAATGCGCTCGAGCTTGACGCGGAGCTCGTGCTGCGGAACCGAGACCGAGACCGAGGACGGATACCCGCTACGGGTACTGCTAGCAGAAGGGGTAGAGGTGGTGCATTGTGTCAGTGGGGCAACGGCCCAGTCTGCGCCATCCGAGGTGGCGCATACCGAGGATGCATGTACTGCGTTGTTGCAGAACTCGAAGCCTGCTTTGACCCATTTCGCTGCAGGCATTGGGGTGACATACGGGGGCGGCGGTGAAGTTGAGGTTGGCGCTGAATCGTTATTCGTTGTCCTTGTTTCAGTAGTGCTATTGGCGGTCTCAGTTCCTGCTGCTGTGCCTGCACTACCAGCCCGGCTCCGTAATGTGGAGCTGCTGCTGCTGTTGTTACTGCTATTGCTGTTACCGCTGGAGCCGTTCCGCCCCGGACCTGAGACTGGGACAGAATGAGATACAGACGAGGGCGGAACGGGCTCCGTGCGCCCTGTCGGCAACCCAGCAAAAATGACAAGACCGCCTTGGTCCCATTCCAGCTCCCAATCAGCAGTGACAGTCACCTCGGCCGCAATGAATGGTCGCCGCAATGCAGTGTAGAGAATCGGCGCAGTAGAAGTGTCTCGTGCTGGGGGCTTGCGCCAGAGGTCTGTATTAGGAGGTGCTTGGAGGGAGAATGAGGCCATGCATTCTGGAAGATCTGATTGGGATGTCAAATTCAAGCCCATAAACGATGAACGCGCCGGAACCATGATTGCCTTTTTCAAAAGTAAAGCTCGACAGGAGATGTCGTTAGCTGCTCCGTAGCGATGATCGGCAATGCTGCTTCCTCTTTTCTCTCTTTGTTTTTCCTTTCTCTGATGCTGCAGGCGTGTTTTGGGCATCAGGCCAAGCAGGTCTCAGGATAAGAACTTTTGGTCCTCGAGTTCCCAGGTATCAACACGGAACCGAGCTAATACCAGTGAGTGTGGTGATAGTCCTCGTGCGAGATATTTGGCCCCGTTCGGTATTCGGTGTCCGCGCGCGCGTGACACGGATAAAAGGTCACCGCATGGGCTATTTCCCAGATACCAATCAATCAACAACCAATGCTGTGGAAACAGCAGCAATGGCAGTGGTCCTGGTGATGGGAAAATATCAATTCATGCAACCACCAATTGAATCCGGGACCCTCGGCTCCGTCACAGATGCGTCTTTGCAACGACAGAGTACTGCATATAGATTAGCATTCCGTATCATCATGGCTCGAGACGCACAGGCGCTTAGTGCTGACATGATGGATGTCCGTTCAAGCGAACAGCGCAAGGTGATGGTCGGGAAACCAATGTCTCAGACCTGCACAGGACTGGAATCGCGCCAGAGAGGGTTGCTGACTGGTGATCATGGCGATCCAGCATCCGGGAGACATGGCGGTCCCCCTTCGTGTATAAATACGCGGCAACTTTGGCCCAGCTGCCCTTGGTGACGCCGCTTCGCATTTTCAGCGAGGTTGCAAGGGCCCCAACGCAGCTGAGATTCTGCCGCCACAAGCTCGGACTCGCGTGTCAGAGAATACCAAGCGGCGTATCGTCCCGGCTAAGGCGCGGGGTCTCCGCTGGCAGGGTCCATCGCCCAAACTTCGTAAACGGAGACATCGTGCCCCGACATCCCTCCTGCAAGTGGCGATGACCTGAAAGGAAATAAAATTATTTTGGTAGGGGGAAAAAAAGGCGAAGCCACTCATAGTGCTAAAGTAATCAGAAGACGTGCGCAATCAGCCGTGACAGCAACTGACGTGGCATCTCTGGGAAGCTCGAAAGACTGACTTCGGAAGCTTATAGTCAACAAAGTTGTACATGGGTATTTGGATGAGGGGACAGAAACAATAATTTGACTCGTGTGCGGTGTCCATTTCCCACGCTGGGGCAGTATGCAAATCATGTCGTGTCCCCATACTTTGGACGATGGATACCCAAGACTAGGGTTATGGACATGAGTTGTCAAGCGTCCAGACGATTGATTCTAGTCGTCCTCGTTCCGATAGGTGACCAGAGCACTTGCATGTATCCTTGACCGCGTTGCCTTACCGTGGTTTTGCATGTAATCTCTTGTGGTATATGATGTGTTTCTGGTCGAGCAGAATATCTGTGCTGTCGAGCCCAGGTAATCATTAGTGTTCTAGCCCAGTGAGCACCTCGTGTTCTCCGCTTTTGGGTTCATATGGAACTGCTCAACGACCGGCAATGCCCTCGCCTTGGACCGGAATCGCTTTGCCCCATAGAAACTTCAGAAGACCCAATTGGAGAATTTGCAGGGAGGGACAATCTTCTGCATGTGTCCGACATTCTTAGAGTGTTGTCAGCATGCACGCACGACACGATCTTGGCTAGTTCTCCAAGGGTCAAGCATCGGGATGCAAACATAGGCTTGCCAGTAAGAATGTAAGAGGTGAGCAGATTGTAATTCGAGAAACTGCTTGCAAGGAGAAGTTGAGTAAAATAATGGGGGACCTTTCCCCGTGTTTCGGGTTCGAGGGATGATTGTGATGCAGCATGGCACCATCGGCTTCAACGCAGTGCGACCGCTTCCATTCGTCTAATGATACCGAATTAGACAATGAAGACGTGTTGACTATCGCCGTCCTTGCATACGGCAATGTGAAATCGTTGAGAAGGTTAGGTACCAGACAAGCTCCAGCCGCTCATTCAGGAGCTGGAATCGAACATTGTAATATCTACTAGAGGGGATAAATCGAATCCTCGATTCCATTGTCACTGGGTCGCAATTGTATTTGGCATTGCTTTTGGCTAAGGAAGAAACGCTCTCAGTGAAGACCAAGTTGAATCACTCGCGTGTTATAATTCATCCACAAACAGGCAAGTTTTCCCAAGAAGCGTTAAGCTTTCGGACCCGAGTAGCTGCACTGTCAGAAAATTTTCCGACTGATCCCGGATATTTCTTCAACTCCATCTGCCTTTAGAGTTGATATTGTTAAACCAAAAGACGAAAATAACCGATTATCCGAACGAAAGATGTTCCTGAACTGGTGCATCTGCAACAGGAGCTTCGATCAATAGAGCATCTTCGATGCATCCACCACTCGTGCTCTTTCGGATACCGAGACACAAAGCAAGCAAACAAGATGCAACTTCCCTCATGGATCCTGAGAGAGTTCTTCCGTCGAGTCATTCAAGGCGTTTCATAGAACCATGCATTGGCCGTTATATGAGAAGCTTCATATGACGGCTGCGCTTTTGCTAGGGTTACTTGAGAGGGTTATATTGATGCATTAATTATTACAGTCTAATCGTGTATGTACTGCTAATTACTTCTGTGTCGTGCAGCGTCGCAGGGAACCTGCGAGCCGCAGAACTGCCAGGGTGCCGTCCTACAATACCTGCTCGTCCACAATGAGAACTTGATGCGCCGCATCCATGATGTAGTAATGGGTCGTCGAGAGATGAGATATTGATGCTAATAAGCTGATACCAGAAAAAAGCTGATGCCAGAAAAAAAAAAAGGAATTGGAACGCTAAAGCAAATGAAACCAGAACAAGAAATATGCAATGCTATTTAGCGGTGGGGCTGTATTTGCTCCACTGCCGGATCTTCTTACCGTAGAAAAAGAAGATGATCGGCACAGGAGCCATTGCGACCAGCAAGAACGCGAGAAGGCTCGTGGCCCATGCCACACCCAAGTTGTGGAACATAGGGGCAGCGAACAACGGGAAGCCGGCTCCTGCTGCAGACCGGAGAAGGGTATTGGCAGCAATGGCGGAATTTGCGTGCATCAAGTATACGTCGATGAGGTAATTGAGACCCTTTTCATGGATTAGCAAATCTTCAATTTTTTTCGGTGGAACAGGGACCAGCAAGCTCACCTGCATGAAGATCATCAGGACACCCATGCCAATCGGGATGCCAGAAATCACTTGGGGCACCCAAAGGATGTGCTTGTTGCTCGTCCAAGCGAACCAGAAGAGGCCCGGAGGGAAGATGATAGCTCCCAGAATCATGGGCGGCAAGCGTTCTTCCGGAATGACGCGTCCGTGCTTCTTCATCTTCCGCGCAAAGCGGGTCTTGGACGTCCAAGCAATGACACCGCAGCCTAGAGCGACTCCGATACCAATACCAAGAAACGGCAAAGCACCAACGCCCTCATTCCAACCCCGCTCTTCCTGGAAGGAGATGGGATAGGATTCAAAGAAGAGATACATGATGCCATAAATGAGTGCCAGGTAGATGGTCACAAGAATGAGAATTGGTTCGTAGATGAGCATTTCTGGGTGATGCGTGAGTACGACTTCCAAGGATCCAAGGGTATGGGCAATAACCACTTACTGATTGGAATCAAGAGATATTTGTTGACCAGATTCTTCATATCAAGCTCGGTCTCGTCCAGCTTTGAGCGAACAGCCCAGTTCTTCGTGGAATATCGGATCCGTTTGGCTCGCTGCTGAAGAAGGACAGGCCCATAGGATTCCGGAACCAGGAAAATACCGAGAACAAGCATGAGCGCTCCGATGATCAAGGTGATATATGCGGTCCAGCGCCAGCCCAAGTAGCTCTGGGTAATGAAACCGCCTAGAATGGGACCGCCGATGGGACCGATAAATGTTGCACCAGCAAAGACACAGAGTGCAACGCCTCGATCGACCGGGCCCCAAAAATCCGCAAGTGCACCACCAACGATACTAGACAGTCATTAATAAGAGTGGGCACCAGATGAAACTCAAATGAGAACTCTTACGCTAAGGGTGCTGAGCCAAAGAGCCCACCAAAAAAGCGACACAGCATGATCGTTTGCACGTTTTGAGCAACGGCAACGGGGACCTGGAAAATGACGAAAAGGATATACCCCGCAAAGAGCGGCTTCTTGCGGCCAAAGAGCTCAGAGAAAGGACCCCACATGAGTGGGCCAAGTGCGAAACCCTGACGGATGTTAGTAAATGATCGACCATCATCCCTTCTCACGGATAATTCAAGCGAGTATTTAAAAAAAAAATATACCAATACAAACAAGCTGACGCCCAGTGTCATCACCTCGGTCGAGACGTGGAAACGAATTGAAGTAGCTACGATAGCCGTACTGAAGACACTACTGGCGAAGGTCACGCAGAATGTCATCATACCCTGAAGAATGATGTCAGCTTCGAACCAACAGAAGGAAATGATGAAAGCAAGAATGCAGAGAGGGAATACATACCAACATGATGGTAACCCTCCATTTTTTGAAGAGGGGCCAATTTTGCGGATTTCCTGGATCATCAGGGCCATCCCACTCTATGACATTGGGATCCTTGGCAGGCGGTGCTGGTGGTGGAGGCTCCACCGCACCCTCTTTCTCGACGTCTGCTTCGAGCTCCTCCTCCTTGCCCTCTTCGTCCAGGGTCGGGTCATAGGAGCGGTCTTTTTCGAAAGGAGAGTCTGTGGCTGTCTGTCCCTGGAGGGTCTCGTCGGAGCTTTGCTCTATGGGATTAGGCGGAGTTGTCCTGATAGGGTCGGCCGACGGCGCGGCTGTAGGGCCTGTCATGGCGAAGACCAAACGCGTCGATTGAGGGATGCTCAAGTGTTAGTCGGATAGGAATATTCTCCTTGTTGAACAATTGAACGAGTTGCGCGGTGGCAACGTGATCTAGTTAATGTTTACAATATATTCTATGGGGAGGATCGGACTTGGTTCGACCGTCGGGTATCCTCGTCTGTATGTACAGTGTAGATCTGATGGCCAACTTGGATATGATCTCGCATGGGCAGAGGGAAGGGTTTGGCAATATTATATGCCAAAAGCAAACAAGTTAAGAAAAAGAAATCTGGGTTGAGTAAGCTAGATTTCTCGGACATGTGGCACGCTTATGACCGAGATCCATCGTTCCAGCAGCCTTACTGTGGTGAGATTTAGATGGGGATCCCTGACTAGCAAGACGCACTGGTCACAGAGAGTGACGCAGACGGCCTGACGGGGTTCAATCTCATTATTCATCCGGGCTGAGACGCTGCCTTCGCACCTTGAGAAAGGCCGACCATCCGACGGCGCGATAAGATTCTAGCAGGGACACCTACTGTAAAGTGGACGCAAATTGGCTATATGAGAACCGGTGGCTTACCGTTGTTGTCCATGGTGATTTCCTTAATTCTACTGGTGGTGCGGGAAGTGGGAGCTAACGAAAGACGGCGCCAATAGTTGACGGGGAAGATGACAAAATCATTAAATGCTCCATCAGAACTAAGTCACTGGCTTCGGTATTAATTTGGGTTAAGTGCGAAGGTTTGTCTGACATTTTAATTAAATTGTTGTCCCTTCGTATAGAAGCAGATTCGGCTCTTGAATTCTTAAAAGCGGATGATGGTTTCGTTTCTGCAGTGATTTTCATTCGATAAGCTGCCAAAATTCCTTCTTCTGTTTCTGTTCATTTGCACCGAGCACGTCCTCATCCAAAGCGAGAAGCGAAGGATTGAGATTCTTCAGTGACGTTTCGGCAGTTGGGCTGAGCTTGTGCCTGCGTGTTGGCGTGTTGTGTGGGCTTCATGATGAGGTAATCATGCCGTTTTGCTCGCTCCTCGGTACGGAACCAGATTTCACCCGCACCGATGGTACCGTACCTCTTGGCGTTTTCTCATCCTTTTAGCGGATGAGTAACATCTATCGACATGAATAAAAGGCCTTCTCAGATTGCATTTAGTTGGTAAAGCTTCTGTTGTTCTTAGAGAATAAAGTTTTTAAAGTACATTGCCTTTTCCACTCTTGAACTCTATATAGAGGCACAGCCACGTTGATTTGAAATCTCCACTGTCGCCCTGGGGCTGGTCCCCTCAGTCGATGGTTCGTCTCTCGTCATCCTCGCTAATACTGCCGTTTCTGGAAATACACTGCAGCATCCAGACATCACGCAATATTCGATCTGCCTCTTCTCTTCTTTTACCTTGACCGTGTTCAACGTGCAAGTGACGAAGGCATTGTGTGTGTAGAATATGGTGGTGGGATATGATGGTGAGATGGGTGGCTGCTTTGACGTATAACCCATTTGTGATTGCTGATTTGGCTACATGTACAAGTATTTCAAGTGTTCTTGATCCCATTTGCCTTTTCGCATTGCAAGCTTAAATGTTATTTTCTTCAAAGGGGAAAAAGAAATGATATTAAATAGATCTCCGCACTGACTAAGTTTGCAGATCATTACACTTTGTGGAAAGAACTGATCCTCATTCGACATGGTTACTAGAAAGAAGGTCGATTTGTCTCAAACAGGAAAGCCGAAGCGCGGAGAATTAACTACCTAAGGTATCGATTGCACCGGTGCCTGCCTTTCCGCCTCCGCGTCTCCAGTTGGGCATTTCACCCAAAATCCAACTTCTTTTATCAGATCCGAGTCTGCTAACTACCTTACTTACCTACGTTAACACAATACACGGATAAAGTGACTAAGCAGCACTGATGTATGAGGATTAAGTTTCCTCGCTCGACTTACTAGGCAACGCGCCCTTCGTCTGATGGGGCAACTCTCTCCATCGCTTTCCTCCGCTGTTCGGCCCGGTTGATAGGGACCCTGGCTGCACCACAATGCATGTGCAGGGGAGCCCGAGTGCTCCACGCCAGCCAACAGTTCGCCATGGACCATTTATTTAATTTTCTAACATCTTCCTTTCTTCCCCCTGGTCATTTCTAAACATCTTCCACAACCCGTTTTCCTCTTGTCGACCGCGGGCGGGCGAAAGATTTTTTTTTTTCATCCCCCGATCTGACTGCTGCCCCTCTATCACCATGATACGGCTAAAGCTCTCTCATGTATGGCTAGCGCTAGTGGTTGGCCTTGCCTTCATCTTCGAAGCAGCGCTGGCCCATGCAGACGACAGCTCTAACCCCGCCTCTGATGAGCGCACTCAAGATGAGATTCTTGTCGATCTGGAACGTAAATGGGGAACAGACGTAAGTTAATTGAGTGAAGAGCATCTGTTCCGACCGAAGGATTACGTGCCAAGCACAGCACGAGGCGATAGTTGTTATCGATACATATACTGACTGGCTCCAATCATAGTGGGGTTTCTCCGGCATCTCGACTTTTGCTCATCTTCCTCACGTGGTATGTGCCTCTATCAGTTACTCTGTTGGCTACAACTCGAGTTGACCGTTCATCGTGCTACAGAGATGTTTGACCCATCCCGAGACCGCCTTCGACATTGGTATCATTGGTGTGCCGTTTGATACTGCTGTCAGCTATCGTCCTGGTATGTGAACTCTTTCTGCCCCCGCGCAGCCTTAGAATGGAAACGTATCCTTCCCCTTTAGAAAATCTCTTCTAACGACTTCAATAACAGGAGCTCGCTTTGGCCCTCGCGCTATCCGCGCTGCATCCGCTCGTCAGACCAGCTTCCGCGGCTTCAACCCCCGTGCTGGCATGAACCCATACACCTCCTGGGCTAAGATTATCGACTGCGGCGATGTGCCCGTGACCCCCATGGACAATGGTCTGGCGCTGCACCAGATGACGGCCGCCTATCACGAGCTGCTCGCTCGCCCTGCGCTGGCGCAGTCGCTGCCTCGTCCGCGCTTGCTTACCCTTGGCGGTGACCACAGCGTCGCCCTTCCTGCACTCCGCTCGCTGTCCGCTGCTCACGGAGGCAAGCCCATTGCCGTCGTCCACTTTGACGCCCACCTCGACACGTGGCACCCCAAGAAGTACCCGTCGGCGTGGGAATCGGACCAGGCGAGCTTCAACCACGGCAGCATGTTCTGGTTGGCCTCGACCGAGGGTCTCATTGTCAACGGCTCCTCCGTGCATGCCGGCCTGCGCACCCGTCTGAGCGGCGACGGCTGGGACGACTACGAGGACGATGACCGCCAGGGCTTCTTGCGCATCTCGTCGGATGATATTGACGAGTTTGGCACCGCCGGCGTCATCAAGTCGATCATTGACCGCGTCGGCACCGAGCAGCCCGTCTACTTGAGTATCGACATTGACGTGATCGACCCCGGCCTTGCTCCTGGCACTGGCACCCCGGAGCCCGGTGGATGGACGACTCGCGAACTGATTCGCATTCTGCGAGGTATCGAGGATCTCAACATTGTCGGCGCCGACGTGGTCGAGGTGTCCCCCGCTTATGATGGCAATGCCGAGACCACGGCTTTGGCGGGCGCTCAGGTGGCCTACGAGGTCTTGACCAGCATGGTCAAGGGCGGATTGAAGAGAAACCCGCCCGTCATTGCTGCTTCGGAGCAGAAGGTCGTCAGAGATGAGTTGTGAAAAATAAGTGTATGTGTGAAGAGGAAATAAGACCATCTGCTACTTCCAAGTAGCATTTCTACTGTTCGGGCTCCAGCTATGGCTTTGATTGAACTGGCCTTTATGACGATGATGATGATGATATTGATGACGATGTTGGTGCTGTGGTTGTGGTTTCTAATACAAGGCTGAAAAGGGTCATAGACGTTGGGAGGGGTATAGGCCGGACTGAGAGATCCTAACATGGAAAAAAGGAAAATGCATATAGTCATATTTAATAACGGGGAAAGAAATAAAAGTTGAATTAGGTGAAAATGAAAATTTACATAATCTATTCGATTATCCCGGAGTACCAGGAGGTCGACCGTAACTATTCTGATTCTCTGCACAAACAAAAGTCGATTGGAGAAAATGGTGAATAGAAAAGGATTCAGAGAAGAAAGTAAATAAAAAAAAAGGAAATTAGTAAAAAGAAATAAAAAAGAAAATGGGACATCATATGGTAGGACCGCTACCGACAGGCGCCGAACAAATGTAGAAAGTTAATAAGAAAAAAAAAATAAAAAAAATCCCCACACAAAGATATAAAAGTAGAATGCCGCAAGATACCCCCTTCCTCGGGAAAAAGTGAATGGTCGAGGGTACCTATTTCCGGGCATGATCAAAGAAAACTAGGATATCTCCTCCTCTCTGCCTCTCCACATGAAGACGTCGTTTGCTGTCCGACCCTCTCCCGCCGAATGGCTCTGCTTTTCCAGCGATGCATGAGATATCACCGTCAAAGGTTTCGATTTGTCTCCAAAGGCAAGAATTATTACACCAACTGCGGTTCCATGACATTGAACCAGGCCATTTCGTAGTATCGGGACGGACGATAGCATACTAAAGGGTTTAAAGAATGAGGCACGGCTTGTGAGACTTCTTCGATTTGGATGGCGGGGGTTCTAGAGCCGCCACGATGGCCTGTGTTGTTAAAAATTGCACCGGTTAGCAATCCTTCGAAACCGGGAAGATTTCGGTATCAAGAGTCATACCTCATCAAAGACATCCTTCAAATTTCGTTGCGTGAGCGCAGAGCACTCGACATATTTGACGACTCCGTCAAGTCTTTTGGCCATGTTGATCGCATCTTGCTTCTCTATGGGAGCCATCTTTTGCTTGGCCAGCTTCTCCCGCACAGCAGGGTCATCTCTCAAATCGATCTGAGTACCGACAATCAAGCAGGGGACACCGGGACAGTGGTGGCGGACCTCGGGAAGCCATTTTTCCTTGACGTTTTCAAACGAAGGCGGGGAAGTGACAGAGAAGCAAATCAGGAAAACGTCAGTCTGAGGGTATGAGAGCGGGCGGAGGCGGTCGTAGTCCTCCTGTCCGGCGGTATCAAAAAGTCCCAGGGTGTACGGCTCATCTCCAATCCTACAAACGATATCGAGTTTTAGCAAGCATTCTTCAAGGATGCATTGGTGGACGTGCTGACCGGCGCTAGAGCCTGGCCTGGAAGTTGGTTGCGGAGATGCGTTCTTGCAGCCAAAAAGCGTATGCAGGATAGTTGAAGGATCTAGAACGGCAGGATTGTTTGGGGTGCAGTAAAGGAGAACTCACATAACCGTCACCGCATAATTGTCGAACACAGTAGGGACATATTCTGAGGGGAACTTGTTGGTGGTGTAGCTGATAAGCAAACAAGTCTTGCCGACAGCACCGTCACCCACAACGACACACCTATTCGATGAATGTGTGAATTAGTGGGGTGTGATCCAAAAACACGAGGAACTGAAGGATGACCAAGACAGGCACGAAAACAACCAGGTTCGGCCCTCATTATTCTGCATCATTTAGAGCACATACTTTATCGTGGCAACGACCATTTTGATTGATAGGAGCTAAATTGCAAAGAGTGAAACTAAACGTGTGTGTTTGGCACGGAAAGACGAGAGTTCCTTCTGTGCAGCCTTGTCGATCGACTGGGTTCGAGACAATATGACGAGCACACCACGTTGGCAGGGAAGGTCAGGTTTTGGAGATGAGGGACTGGTTGGAAAAGTTGACGCAGGACTGAGGTCTCTGCGGGTTAGCCAAGTCTTGACATGAAAATTCCAAGTAATCACAGAACTCACAATTGTAAAGAAGGCAATATTCCGTGTTCGGGCTTGAGTGACAATGGTTTACCACTTCTTGACTGCCCAGGGGGGGGGGGAGAGGATCGTCGAAGCTTGACCGCAGGTCGGGGTCGAAATTGAGGAGAGGCAGGGCTTATCGAGGGATATGCCGCAACGAGGCTTCGGAAAGTAAGAGGGAGAAGGAGAGGGAGAGGGACAGGACAGCTCAGCTCAGCTCCAAGTCCAAGACCCAGCGACCGTCGATATGCTCGACAACCGTGGACAGAGCAGAAAAGAAAGGGTAAATGAGCACGCCAAAAGAAAAGTCAAGGAGGAGATACAAGAGGGTCCTCAACAGTCGGTCGAGATTCTGGAGATGATCAGGAATCCATCCAAGCGGCCACCAAACGGGTTGACGAATAAGAGACGGAGATGGGACAGAACCGAGGGCTCTGGCCAAGGGACCGCGACTCTCGTGCGACACCGGCGTATTGTCAAGCATCTATCGCGAACATTTGAGAACTTGAATATCTTCTCGTCTACTACCGCGCGGGTACTTTTATCATGTATCATATAGACGCAGCATGGAAGTACTCATCGACCTTCCCAGTCTCCACCTATTGTTAGGAATGAAAAGGTCAATTATTAGGTACACACGGTTGATAACTCTTGTAAAATACCCGATTCAATGGCCTGCTTAAAAGAATTGCATCATCATAGCTATGTCTTAGCTTGTAAGACTTCTACAGGGCATGTCTCTTTACCCACCCTAACTAAATTAACCACCACTAGGGTGCTTAAGGTACCTTTTAAGGATGTTCTTTAGGTACTGTATTGCTGTATTCTGACAGTACACTTGCTATGATACGCCCAAAGGTTCGGTTTCAGCATAATGGAAGCTAACCCGATCAGTACCAATCAGTACCTCTTTGGGCTGGTTGTTACAGAAGACCCCAGGTACCTGACAAAAGTACCTAAGGGATCCCGCTTTCCAGGAGAAGCTCTATTATTCTCTCTCTTCTCTACCAACGCTCAGAACCCGCTAACATTTCCGGGGATATCTGCGATTGACAAGATTGTTCGATGGTTCACCCTTTTTGAAATTTGCTGATATGCCGCCTGCATTTGTCTTGAACTTCTTACATCGATGCAACATCTCTATAATCGAATGTAACTTTCATCTTTTTGAGCATTGCAACCATTTCAATTGACTTTGAACCTTTCCGCACTCATTGTTGTTGATTGTCGGCGCTAGCACTTCATCGTATATCTCAACTTTTCTTATGTTTGTTTACATGTTTCCTTTTCTTACCAGAAGTGTATCACAAGTTGTCACCAGCGAACGAGACAACGTTTAGGTGTGAACATTGAGTTTTGCCAAGTAAAACGGGCTGCCGTCATCTGGTGTCGCTAGTGTTTCGTATGCGGCCTCCCTTCAGCAAGGTGCAGGCCAAGCAAGGAGCAATCCCTTCGACGATGACGCCTCCATCTGCTCTACCCGGAGAATTTGCTTTCCTGTTTGCCCCGGCAGCATGGAAGATAAACCTCAGGATGGCTGCATAACGGCTGCAGGCTTTAATTTGTTTTCCTGTCTGCTGGAATAGGCCCTCCGCCTTCGAAATTCAAACAGATGAGGCATCGTACTTGTCTTGCATTTCCCTTCCAGAGCGCTTTTGGACTCATGGATTGCCAACGCTTCTGTGTTAAGACCAGTCTGAATTGCTGAAACAAAGCGAAAACGGCCGATCACGCCGAAGGTTTTTTTTTTTTTTTTTTTTTTTTTTTTTTTTTTTTTTTTGGAGGGGCGTGGTTCTCATTTTCGAAAACAAATATTTTCTGTAAAGAGATTCGCCCCTCCCAGCTTTTTTCCCCCTTCTTTATAGATATGAATATCAATCATTTTTTTTTTTTTTATTTTGAGGCATCTCGATTTCTTTCAAAATTCCGAGAATTTGGGATACAGAAATGATTCTATCTCAAATAAAATAAGGTCGAAACGCGCTGCATACTTCGGCAATGACAAATGAATGCTGCTAAGCACACATCTGGGCATTCTAGTTCACAACTTTCATATTCCCGGAGAGAAACTTTTGCATTCTTCAACAGTATCCTACTTTTACTCACCGTCTATGATGTAACCATCAAAAGCAACATCTCAGAGTGCATGCAGCTGGTTCAGAACACTCAGGATGTATGCATACGTAGTTCAACCCGCTGAACGCTCCATCGATACATCTTGGGATTCTGAGCTACCGAAATGGCGTGCTTTTGCTTGTGATTTATTTGAAGTTCCATGATTTTTATGTATTTCCAATTGTAAGGGCTTGACGAAAATCCTGACTCCTGAGACACATTCAAAATTCAAACCAAACTAACAGTGCTTCCCAATTAACACACAAAAAACGTAGCTATGTCGTGCTAAATTCTACCCTGTCAATACCATCATCAACATAAGTCAACCTAGTCTCGGCGTCTTTCAAATATTTGGAGTAACTAGCTCTACATACTCAAGCACTGACTCTGGAATTCAGATAGAGGCTATACCACCAATGTAAGGTCGATAGCAACTCAAAAGGATAGATATGGATCAGAACACACTCTTGGAGACTCTTTATATTCGAGCTTTGCCCTAGGACACAGGAGCTCGGGGATTTTGACTTGACTCAAGGTTGACGTACCAGTGGCAGCAGTGTGGCTGCTGATGAACAGTGAACTGCTAGTAGATTAAACTGCTTTTTTAAACGGCTCGTGGGACAAAAGGAAAGAGAGCCAAGCTCGTTGTGGAGCGGAGAACGAGCATGAGGAAGCTACCTCGTCTCTGACATTACTATGGCGGATTATTGCGTTTATTGCTGCAACTGACTCCTCTGATTGTGACTATTAGACGTATTGCCTTTCAAATCTCCGACGTAGACTGACGTCCTAGCTCCTGAACTCTGAACCATGAATCCTGATAGACCTCAACTACGCACTCAATTTACCCGCTTCATCTGCACAATGATGGGCGATATTGGATAATCTAAGCATGATGACATGCTTGAAGACATCATTGAAGAGAAATGCCTCTTGTCGATCCTCAAGCAGACCTCTTGAATCTCCGAAAAGTTCAGAAATCTGGAAGATTTTCGTCGGGGCGCCGAGCTTTGGTAGACACCATGACCAAGATGAGGTATAACTTCCCCGCCAAATCTCACCGACATGACCATCTCACCGCCGAATATCACAGATACCATAACTCACAAAAGACTGCCTTGGCGAGCCAGAGTCGATATGCACGGATGCAGATACAATCTCGGCTTTAAGCTACGAGGGAGCAGTTTGATGAAACCAACGCCAGGCACATAACAAAGAGATGTGCATACGTTGGCGGAAAACAGAATGAACTTTCAGCAATGAGCCAAGGCCCCACCGGCTTCTGCAGATAACCTGCACTTGAGTCCGAGGTGATGTCGTACAAAATACAGCGCTCGTGCAATCAAAGGTAAGTGGAAAATAAATGATATGTTACGGAGTCTAAAGAAAGCAGGTCCCCACCCAACGGATGAATTGGATCATAAATTTAGGGAAAAATTAGCGGGCAGACGCCTTTCACCACATTGACCAAGAAGCTCACTGGCCGCTTTCCAAGAAGGCGGTCTGGAGGTTCATCTCAAGTACAGTCACAACACCTTCCTGAGGAGATACCTAGCCACTTTACACCCGTTTTCGTCCCGGGACCCCGGTCGGCGAACTGCTTCTAAGATCGGACGGGAGCCAAATCGAATTTCCCCCAGGTACTGTTGATGAGATACTGTCGGTACCCGTCTTCGTGCGAGGTTTCGCAATCACTCAAGCTTGGTACTGTCGCTTCTTCCAGACGAAACCCGGTTTTCTGGAGTGGCTTGCTATGATCGAGGTGGGGAATACCATTCGCAATCGATTCTCTGCTCGCGCCGATGCGCAGAACTAATTGCGAGGATAAGGACTGGATCAAAGTTTGTGGGGCCGTGTCGGGGAGAAAGCAACTACTAGCGAATTGATTTCGAGAACGCAGATGGCCCCGTAAAGCTGCTGCAGGTCAGGGATTTGCGAGCCACAATGAGCCATGCACGATTCGCTACAAACCTACGATCATCTTCGTGCTTTCTATGGCGTCAAGATATCCGATTGTCTAGGCTCGGCCTTGTACTGTACAAGAGATTCTATTACGAGGATTGGCCGCCCACGACTCATGAAGTAGTCCTGCACAACAGCATCGACGTTCAGAACTGGCACAAGCTCGCGGACATAGGGTTGGATATGCTCTCTACCAATACTCCACGTGCATGGGTAGAGCTTGCCAACTCGAGACGCCACGAATAGGTCGTCCATGAGGGCTTGCCCGCCTCCCGAGCATCTGGCCATCCCACCCTCTCTCTCTCTGACGCTTGAGTTACTCTCCTCGCATTTCGTGCCGATCAAATTACTGCCGAGTACCCCGGTCATAACCGGGGTATCGTAATACAACTAATCTAGTACTTGACAATGCAGGTCAGGTCTAACTCCCTCCAAGGCATTACCAGCCTCTTGCACTCCAAGGACCTCTGCCTGTTTCCGTTCCAGGACGGATGAGGGAGAAAAGGCTCTTTACGAAAGCTGAGTGGGATGAAGATTCGCAAGGTTTACGGCTGTTAAACAGACTACATGTTACGTCTATCAACGTCGACTTTAAATGGGGCGGACGCTACGAGCCCCGAAACACCACTATCTCGGTTTCCATTCTCGGCCCGAGACTGACAATTCAGGGCCGCTGGCCACGCCATTTCGTGAAGATCGTCTCGATGTCGTGCATGGGGCTGGGCTGCTCCAGGCCTCCCCAAATCCCAATGAAAGCCGTTAATTTCAACTTGATCCAACAAATCTACGACCTTCGCGCCGCGGGCCCTTGTTGTCCGGCCGTTTGCCCCAGCGCCTGCAAAATCCGTATCATGGCAATCGCGTTAGGCAACCGGAGGAACGTGTCAATACAGGTGGGAGCTTACCAATGTCGGCCGTGAGAAGGACCGGCATGGTGGTAATGTCTTTGAATTGAGCTTGCAATTGCTCGAAAAGAACAGTCTGCCATGCGAATCATTGGCGTAATTGAGAGCAATGTCTGAGAACTCGGCAGGACGGTCGCCCTCGTGACTGGCAACCTTTACAACACAGTCTCCTCACAAACTACACTAATGTCGACTCTCAGGTAATAGAGTTCAGACGGCCAAGCGAAATGCCCGTGCGCGCGCATCGTTCGTAGCACGACAAAAATGACAGAAGCGATGGAGTCATCTTAATATGCACCACTCGCTGTGGAGTTGGCTTCAGCCATACTCAGATTAGGTCTGATCGCCATCATGCATTGTGCTCCCAGGCCAAATACCCTCGAGACATGCACTTCGCTGCTGAAAAGCAAGCAGATCAATTGCAGTTGCGCTGTTCTTGAGATAGCAAATACTTGCGAGGAGCGACACAGACCAGACAACCTCTGCTGCCAAAGACGAATCTCAACAACCTATGGGAAGGTCTCAAGCTCCCATCAATTTAAGATCCTTATAGGCGCCCTGTATCCGTATTATCTGACCATCGCGTCTCATCTCCGCAGAGGCCTCCTGGTGTACTGTACCGTACAAGGGTGGTGCCCGGTTCTTCCTACTATTGTGGTCATAGCATTGTTTTCACTAACGCAAGAGACCCAGCGCAAGTACTTGTTTTCTCTTTCAAAAAGCCACAGAAGAGATGATTTACATCTTTTGCGTCTACTTATTGGCACTACTGACGGACATATATCTTTATTTCAGTGGAGTGTTTCGAGCATTGCATCTGCATAGATAATTACTTGTTGCATATTTTGGTTTCAGTGGCGTGTGCGAAGACGGCTTGACTGCCGGCCACAATCCTGCAACGTGCGCCCCCCAAGATGCCAACGTTCGGCGGTGTAGGGTTTCCCTTGCCGCCAATCACCGTTGCTCTGGTTTCACTTCAGTCGTTCTATGATTAAGGTTCAGTCATCGTCTGCATGGCTTAATGAATGCCCGATGCCTTGAGACTTTCTCATTGATATTCATATCTGCAAATGCATATTGGAGACTGACTAGTCCAGCAGCTACATTTTAGACGCTTTTTGCTCCTGACCCGCATTTACGGAAACGTCTAATGGACGATCTTTCCTGAGCAGACGTCAGGGATTGCTTGCCACACCAGCTGCGATTGGGGTCTGATGATCGAATTTCGATCTAGCTTGCCAATGAATCGCGGGGATTTGACTGCCTAGCAGCCGGTGATGCCTTCCGACCTCGAATTGTTGCACACCGAATTTTAGATTTTGCATTGAATGACCGCTCCAGGATTTTGGAGCCGCGGTGGATTCCCCCCGTGCCCCGCAGACACTTCCTCCACTATTATATATAATTGCCGCCCAACCTTGGCCAATTCTTGCTTTCAACGTATCATCAATTGTCAAATCCTCACTAGCTTCGTTGAATTAAAATTGTTTTTCCCCCCACTCTTATACGCCCTGCTTTCCTCCCTCGTGTTCGAGATGCGAGATACCAAATTTGAATGGTCTAGGACATCACAACAGAACCAAGGCCGTAGAGTTACTGTTGCACAGCCTTCAACGGGACCGTCCGGCCAGGTGATGGCAATTGGAAACTGTCTGAACCCATCACAGAGCAACAGGATCTCAATCTCGCAACAATCAGTGGCCTACAGCCAATCCAGGTACCCTAGTCCTCCTGAAACCCCGAGGCCGGCAATACGAACGCGAATGGAGTTGCAAACACCAGTCCTACCTCATCCGGGCTTGGATGCGCGCTTGTACCAGACTCGAGAGCCTTCTAGGGCCGCGGTCGAGGAGCATGACCGGGAGTTGCGTGAACCCCGTCCAAAGTATACCGCAGAGCAATGCTATTTCATCTGGTATTGGCGGATCGACAAAAAGAAACCGTGGGAAGGACGAGAAGGAGTGGGTGAAGGCGTAGGCGATGGGGTGGTTGAGCGATACAACGCCTACTTCAGCCCTCAGCGCCCATGTCAAGGCTTGCAATGCCGCTACTATCGATTCCTTGAGGAGAAGAACGTGCCTCCCATTCGCAAGCGTTCAAAGTCAGGGCCAGATCGGTTTATGCCCAAGTACGGCATGGTCGAGTTCACCAAGGGAAAGTTAAAATATCCTTGGATGGAGCCTGAAATGCTAGTTTCTCCACAGGCTCAGAGCATATCGGTAAGCTCCTGAAGCGGAAGATATGTTTTTACTGACGTTTACTGACGGTTCCTAGAGGCCATGGGAACTTTGAAGGTCGAAATCAACCTTTGCCATCTGTAGCGGGCAAAAGCACCCTGCATTTTCTTGTCCGTATTAGCGGGACCTACGTGATACATTCACAGTGCAAGCCATTTCAATATTCCCCTCCCAGAAAAATGATATTTCTTTATTGTTTAATTCCTTTCGGACAAGACTCTTCTGTCCCTCCTTTCCAGGGGCGTCTTGCGCAACGAGGGCAGATCATCTCGTTTGACAGTTCAATACCATTTCTTGTTAAATAATTTGAGGAGGTGGTCGGTCATCGATTTCATGATAAGACCTTTATTTAAAATGTATTCTCCACGTTATTCTACTTCTCGTGCCTATCATAATAGATCAGGTCGCGGCCTATGGATCAGCCGCCAACCCACGCTTGTGAAGGCACAAAACCCACACAGTTTTTATGGGGAAACATCCTAACATGCCACGTTCCGATAAATTGAAGCGCTTGAAAAGTAGACCAAAATGAATACAGCGCTATGTCAATATTATATGGCTCTGTATATACAATTTAAAAATTTAAAAACGAAATAGTTTTAACCAGAATCTGGCTACAACATGTTTCCATATGTTTACTCCTTGGGCTCGCTTGGGGGATGGGTTGGCGGGAATCCATTAGTCGAGCCGTAACGTCACAGAGACCAAACAACTTTCTCAGCGTGATACGCGGAGGGTCAACAATTGATCGTCAAGATGTCTTTGCCGCCAGAGAAAGTGTGCGTAAAGCGCAAAAAAGGCGAGGAACCTGTCGATGCCTTATGTGAGTCCTATTATCGAAACGAACCCTGAGTAGTAAAGTGGTTGGATTCTTGCGTATACCTGCTGACGCCAATTTCTCAGACATTCAGGCAGAACACCAACAGAAGAAACCACGCTTTGCAGACTTTGTCTTTCGCCGTGTTCAGGGTGACACGGACGTGAGTCTAGATACGGCACCCAATTCCCAGCATAAGGCGCTCAACCAGTCGAGTACGCATGGTCGGCAACAAGTCCCAGTGGTTAAGACGACTGTGGCAGAACCTGAAAATACTCCTGCAACCATTCCCAAAGCTCGTGACGATCCCACTACTCTCCACCCAGACAATGGCCGTCCTTCCACACCTGCAAGTAATACGACGTTATCATCAGCTTCGGCCCCCACTCTTTCGCCTCCGAAGCCAGAGTCGGAGAACACACTATCGCCTCCTGGTCATCCATCATCACATGTAACTCAGCCGAGATTGTTTCAGCTTACTCGGCCAGCACACGCGCATTTTACGCAAGGACCCTCTGGAGGCGTGCAGAAACGCAAGCGAGGAGAGAAATCCGATGTGGCCGTGTTTATCGAACGGCAACGGGATCTCAAGAAGCCTCGAAGTCTTCTGAACCTCATTGGAACTACAACGCCTGGAGCACAGTCACAAACTTCTACAAAGATCATTGATCATGAGGCTGTTGAGAAAGAAGAGGAGACATTACGACCACGAAAGCGACCAGGGGCCAGCGCAGAGGAGAAGAAATGGCGAGAAGAAAACTGGAGTCAGACAAAGCCCAGGATCTTGGGAACTGCCCAACCCTCGAAACAAGGTCAGACTGTCCAAAGCAAGGCCAGTGATTGGGACTATGAGTCGAGTTGCCTAGCGGAGCAACTCCAGGATGTTGCGCTGCAAGAAATCCAGAAGTTCCAATCTACTCAACCGTCGCCAGGCGCGAGCCCTAAGCTGAAGCTCAAGCCTAAGGTTCCGGCACTTCGATACAAAGATAGGCATCCAGAGGAGAGAGAAAAAGTGGAGCAGCACGATCCGTTCAATGAAATGGAAACTCACACTAGCGATGACGAGGATTACGTTTATGATACTTATATTCGTCACCCCGGACTCGCTGATGGGTCTGATTTCAATAACATGATGGGATCAGAGAAGAATATTGGTTTTTTGGTCATCACGGAAGAGGATCAGCCCATTTGGGAAACTTACGCTGAAGACGAAGACGATAGCGATAAAGACTGGAACAGCGAAGAGGAAGATGAAAATGGTAAGCTCTCTTTCCTTCTCCCGCTCCTGCTTTCTTCCTTCTTTTGGCTTGTGAAGTTAGTACAGGGATGCAGAATACGCCATTTTCTTTGCATTCTTCTGTATCAGGAAGCTGACTTGTTTTCCTTAGCCGAGAATTACTACGCAGCGGATTACCCCGAGGAAGAAGTAGATTCTGAAGACGAGTTTGACCGAGGAGCGTACCATTTTCGTCAGGGTGGCTCAGACGAAGAAGAATATGATGCCGACAATGCCGCATGGAGCGATGATGACGAAGACATGGTTCGTTACCCATGGAAACGACATGCCTGGTCTACCAGCGCCGGAAATGGGATGCACGACGATAATGAAAGCGATTCGTCATGAGAAGGTTCAGCTCCCATCTTGCCGTGTTTTTGGGGCCATTGACGAGCATTTTTAAATCTGTGCTCTCAATTCCATAATGGTCGCTTTGCAACCCTGATTAACGCGAGTTCCTCAATAAAATGATAACGGGCACTCCTAGAATCCCCTCTCACTCAATCATTGCCCGGGTCTAGTGGGCCGCACGAGTCCAATTCTGACCTAACGAGTCTACTGCTCAGGCGTAATGACTTTCTAGACTAAATAATTTCCATGACTCAAGGGGAATTTTACATCAAAGCTTACTCCTCACGCCGAAACCGGGTCAACTTGGACCAAAGCTCCCGATTAACGTTCCTATCACTTCTTCATTGCATTTGTGGAACCTGTGGTAATACTCTTGTATTGTACAATCATTCTCAGCGGAGAGCTCACTATCGATTGTCATTGAGAAAGAAATGTCCATCAAAGGGAATCTTTCGATTCGAATAAAGGGGTTTATAAGAATTTATGATAATGATATGTAAGCAGCTAGAGAATTGTATTTGCGCGCTCTGCACAGCAACCTTGCCTCGCCAAGCTAAAGATGAATATTTCGGCTCATGGCATGTTCAATCAAAGAAGAATATTACCAGTATGGGAGGAGGTAGTAGTCCAGATACAAATGTAGTTTACAAAGAAATGCCCGACGAGTGCGACGAACAAATCAAGATATCATGAGGTGGCAGGAGAAGTTAATTGAATGGCAAAAGAAGTTGGCAATAAAAGATAAAAAATTAGAAGAAAAAGGGAAAAAAATAAAAAAAAATAAAAAAGAGAATTAAAAATAAATGATGTGATGGAAAAATAGACACAACGAAGCAAGAAAAATGGAGGAAAGAAGATGAATTAGAAAGTGATCAAGATTGAAAAGTCGAAATATTTATTTACTGAGCTCCTGCCTCTTCTTCGGTCCAGCGGGGAAGTCCGCTTTCACCTTGGATGGCAAGGCCGTAAGCGTTGGGCCCAAAACCTCCAAAAACGGAGTTCATGCCGCCGAAGCCACCCTGAGATTGCTGCTGCTGTTGCTGCTGCTGTTGAGAAGATTGATGCTGACCAAAGGGTCCTTGAGAGAAAACGGGGAGACTAATTGCACGAGCGTGCTGTCCACGTGCAACGTTGAGGTTAAGATTGGAAGGCGGCGTCAAGCCAGGACCGCTTGAGGCAGCAGAGGCTCCGTTAACGCCAAGGGAGTTGGAATTTCCCTGCCCCTGCTGCTGAATAGATTCCAAGTCACCACCAGCTCCGCCATACAGAGCGGCTTGCTGTGCGGCCAGAACCTGTTGCTGTTGCTGTTGAAGAGCGAGTAATGTGTAAGGATCCTGCCCGGGTGCCGACGGCTGGCCTTGCTGCGCCGATACTTGGCTCAAGTACAATGTCAATGGGTTACTGTTGCCCGCATTGAGGACCGTTGAAGGGGTAGGAGCAAATTGTGACTGTTGCTGGCTGGGTCCTTTTCCGGAGGCAGCGCCAGTGGAGCCGGCGGCAGGGGACAGGGCTGAGCCGGTAGGGCTATTCGCGGAGCCTTGGCTCAAGCTGGGCTGCAGACCGCTGGCAATCGGCGGAGGAGATGCAACGCCGTCCCGGCCACTGGGAGTTCCAGCTTGTTGGGAACCCTGTTGGTTGTTGCCTTGTCGAGGAGGGTTGCCGCATCGGTCTTTGCCAAAGTTGACCTTGAACCGCTTGTATTCTTCACGGCCGCGAATACCTTCAATAGCCTTGATCGCGTTGGCAATGTTGGTGAAATTTACAAAGGCGCAGCTCTTCTCCCGCAAAGTGTTGACAAGCTCAATTTCACCGTACTCTGAGAAATCCTGTTTCAGGCGCTCCTCGCTCCATGCCTCGTCCAAATTACCAATATAGACATTGCGCGAGGCACCGCCGCTCACCGCCAGAGCAATAGCCGGAGGCAACGCTCCGGAATGCTTTCCCCAACCAATCTTGAGCCTCCGATTGTGGATCATGAGGCCTTGTAGGTTGCAGAGGGCATAAAATGATGCGGCCGCAGTGGGGTCGATAAAGGTGACAAAACAAATGTGCTTATCGGGAATGTATCGAATATGGTGAAGAAGTCCGCCTCTAACAACATTGCAGATCTCCTCAATTGTAGTCTCAGGGTGAATATTACCGAGGTATACGGTGCGATTGCCAACGTTGTTGACCCCACCAGCAGAGGTAGCCACTGCCGCCGCTGCAACGGATTGTTGTGCCAGAGCATTCGAGATCAAATCCCGATCCGTAGAGTTGAGTGCGTGAGCGTATCCCGGAGCAATGCCCAGATATTGAGCAGCATTTTGCTGTTGCGTCTTGGAAACGTACGCGCACCGATCCTTTCCATAGTAAACGCGCCTTGGGGTTTGCCACTTCGCTTCCTGAGGCAACTGAGAGACAGCCTTGATGGCATTGCCAATCGATAAGAAATGAACAAAGCCAATGGCCTTCTCTCGAACAATCTTGATGGTATCAATGGGGCCAAACTTGGATAAATCCTCCCGAATCTCCTCCTCGGTAATTTCCTCTGGGAGATTTCCCAGGTAAACATTTCTTGAGGCTCCAGACTGCTGGACCGCCAAGGCTACCGAGGTCGGAACCTGCGAAGGTTTGCCCCAGCCAATCTTAATATCCTGGCCGCGAATAGAGAGTTTCTTTAGTATGGCATCAGAGTGGAAGTGGGTTGCTGAGTTGCTGTCCAAGAACGAGATGAAGGCGCAGTTCTTATCCGGCAGCAATCTCACTGACTCAATTTGACCGCTTCTCACGTGGCCCAAAATCTCCTCTGCAGAAGTCTCTGGGGGAATGTTCCCGAGATAGACGGTTCTACTAGTCCCTGACACCATGCCCGGGGAAATCTGTACCGCACCGGCTGGGCTGCCAAGGGATTGACCTCCAATGCCCGTGTAACCACTGGGAGGAGACTGGGGTAGGAATTGAGAGGTACCATATCCGGTGGGTGAGACCAGACTCTGGTACATCTGAGGAGAAAGCGAGGAGTGCTGCGCTTGAAGGGGGCTTCCAACCTGCCCCTGTTGGCCTTGGTGTGCTGAAGCTCCATTCTGCTGTGTGAAGCTCGAGAAACTGGGAAACTGCGGTGATGCAAACGTCGAGGGGCTGCCTGGCTGAAAGGGACTTCCAAGGAGGAGCTGAGATGGCAGCAGTGGGGTAAATTGCATATCGAAAGCGGTTCCTGGGCTTGTCAAATCCCCAGCGCCTTGGTGGCCGGCTTGACCGAGCGGTCCAGTATTGATTGATGGAACATTATTGGGCCTTCTAGGATGACGGTCCGCATAACCGGAGAGTGATGGCTGGTTCGAATTGAAGGCGCCGTGAGAGAATCCAGTGTGATCAACGTTCCCATTTGCTTTGGACAGGGCATGAGGGAGTCGGCCACTCGTGGCGGAAGAGCCGTCAAGGTTCTGCATTCTGAGCAGGTGCGGAGGCAGGACAAAGGCGTCCCGAAGTTGATGCGATAGAACAGCCGTGGTGAATTATAGGTATGCCCGGTGCGTGGAGACCGGACGAGAGAATAGACGGGAATTTAAAATTTGCGGATGAAAGTCGGTGAGTTTACGGCGCCAAGGAAGAGTTTATCTTGATGCTGCTCGCACTCCGCTCGTATCAAAGAGTAAATAAGTTGGAGCGGGGTCTGCCAAGTGAATTTTGCGTCAGTGAAAACATTTGGACCTCGCACTTGTTTTTGAATTCCAGACGATTAGATACCTAAGTGGTCTCGGACCTAGCTAAAAAGCTGTCGATTATATTGGGGTATTTTATAAAAGGGAATTCCCAAATGCTGAAAGCTCTCTCGAAGCAAAGAAAGGAAGAACCGCAAACCGCTTTGGAAATTTATAAAGGGTTGTTTATATGATCCAATCAAGCCCGCGCTTGAGTTAACAGGGTATGGGTGAAGGAAATATTGTTTATGCGGAAGGTTGCAGGAGACAAAAGGCTCGTTGAATAAAACAATGGGCGAAAAGATCAAGCCGGGACCAAATAACGAGGCCGACAAGACGAATCAACGCCTCTTAAGATTGAGAAAAAGTGATATTAACGAAGGCCGAAGAATGGTGAAGGAGCGCAATCGACGCGATACGAAAAAAAAAAAGTTGGAATGAAATGCTAGATAAAGAGCGTCCGAGAAAACAAAGGTAAGACGAAGGAAGTGAGCGATTCTGAAAATGAACGTGCGAGAGAAAGAGAGGAACGGAGCATCTGGCTATCCGCCAGAGCTGTCAGGGCGAGGGAGATGAGAATGGAAATGAAAGAAACGCCCGTTGGCCCAAAAGGGATAGGGGTCAATATTGAAATTGATTTAGCAAGAGGGCGCGATGCTCGAGTCAAAATCATGGCAGGTATTGTTCATCCATCAAAAGGGTACAGAGTACTCAGAGATCAACGAGATATTGCACCTGGAAAACTGTACCTTGAACAGAGAATTAATCTTCAGAGTACCTGAACCAGGTGGCTGGACCCGTTCAGACCCTCTCGGTCCCAAGCGAAAAAGGGTTGCCGCTGTAAGTAAAGACGTGCGCGACCTCTGACCAGGTTGGTTAGCCGCGTGGGACTGGCGAGATTGGACCTTTCAGGACCCTCTTTTTGCTTCGTTCATTTGGGGTGGCCGTCGGGGAGTGATATGATGATCTATTCAATCGAATTAAATCATCATCTCCTGCGCAGTGCAGTACAGTATCAGCATCCCAAGACCTGCCATTTCCCAGGCTGTAGTCGGATTGAAACACAAACAGCATGTTTCGCTCAAGTGGTTTAATAATGGCATATCCGAACACCCCCTGCTATCAATATGACATTCGTGATTAATGAGGTGATGAAGTCGCTCACAGTGGAGACAAGTCCCAAGAGACCTTTCAACGAGCTCATGCAAAGGCTGGCTGCTTGCACTGTTCAATATCATATTAGCAATACCTTTATTTCCATCAGCGAGATAACCGTAAAATGCATGACACCCTTATGGGGATTGGCAGATTGTATTCCGGATCTGTTCCTGATTGAGTGCTATCCTGCTGATGGAGAGGCCGCAGCATTGTTTTCACTCGTTTGTCGACGGATCCAGGGGTTGGTGTGAGAAGGGTGGTCCCGATTCTTGTTGGTTCCTGACTAGTCCTGGGCGGTAAGGCGGCGTAGAAAAGGAAATTACAAGTCGTCACCGACAGGCCTTTCCCTGGATAAGCTCTGTGGGTATCCCCTCGTATCTGAGACGCGAAACGAAGCAGCTCGCTCCAAAAGGAGACGCCTTTCAACATTGCAAACAAGTGAATAACGATCGACAGCAGCAGCTTGAAAACAACTGTAGTCTATCCAGCGACTATTTCTAATTATATGCGCTTGAAGGCGCGATGGAAGGCGCTATAGACGGCGCCTGCTACTGCAAACTACTATATTTAAAGTATTTTTTCTGCAGATTGTGGGTGGGAAGTACTTCTTTAAAAGTAGTGCGTGGAGTCTACGGAGCAAGAGCTGCACGAACAAGCGACAACCAATCAAAGATCATGACTAAGCGATTGCCTCTCCAGCCACAGGTATCGGAATCAAAGTGTGGCTTGAAAATAAAGCTGTGGATGGTCAAGCCACAGTCGCCCCTCGGTCGGACTTTTTTGAGTCACCCACCACGGCCACAACCCCTCCAACAAAAGTTAATTCGCCAGGCAAAAAGTGGTATCCTTATCTAAACACACCATTCATTGCCTTTGGCAACCTCCCTTACCCAAGGCAAAATTGGAAGATTCGGATACGCTTCACCATTTTTCGACCTTTCATTTTCAATTTTTTTTTTCTGTTGCTAAAAGAGTCAATCATGGCGGCTGTGACTCCCAAGACCATATACGTCGACGAAGACGTGGGCCGCGACGCCGACAACGTGGCCGGTACTCAAGAAGATCCTTACAAGACCCTTTTGCACGCCTACGCTCGACATGTCATCTCTCCGGAGGGCATTTCATATGCTACCCGCAAATCGGCAACCGGCGATGGAGATGACAAGCTGGACTGGAAGCCTGCAGCCAAGTCAGCTCTGAAGAAGGTGGCCAACCTCTACGAACAACAACGGAAAAAGGCCGCTCGGGAACAGGAGCTGCAGGCTGCCCGCGAGAAGGAGAATGAGAAGCGTAAGCTGGCTTTGGAGGAAGCCAAGAAAGTCATCATTACCGAAGACAGCAGTTTACCAAAAGCCGTCAAGATCAAGCTCGATGAGAAAGACCCCCAGGTAGTCAAGCTGCGGCCCGCCTCGAAGGAGTCTGATGAGAAGGGAACTCGGGTGCGCGTACTTGGACGTGTTCACCGTCTGCGGTCCCAAAAAGATGTTATCTTTGTTACGCTCTACGATGGCTATGGCTTCCTCCAATGCGTTCTGACTGGAACACTCACGAAGACGTTCGATGCCTTGACCTTGACCCAGGAGACCTCCATGGATATCCGCGGCGAGATGTGTGAAGTTCCCCCTAAGCAGCACGCTCCGGACAACCGCGAATTGCATGCCGATTACTTTGAGGTTATTGGCAAAGCCGCTGGCGCGGAAGAAGCCATTACCACTCGCGTTGCCCCCGACGCCGATCCCCAGACTTTCCTGGATAACCGTCACCTCGTTATCCGTGGTGAGACCGCTTCATCAGTCTTGAAGGTTCGCGCGGCCGTACTCCGCGCTTTCCGCCAGGCCTACGTGGAGACCCGACTTACTGAGGTCTCTCCTCCATGTATGGTGCAGACCCAAGTCGAGGGTGGAGCAACCCTCTTCAGCTTCGACTACTACGGCGAGCAAGCCTACCTCACGCAATCATCTCAGCTCTACCTTGAGACCTGCTTGCCCTCCCTCGGAGATGTTTTCTGTGTTGCTCCCTCTTTCCGCGCCGAGAAGTCGTTGACCAGACGCCACTTGTCCGAATACACCCACATTGAAGCTGAGCTCGATTTCATCACGTTTGACGACCTCCTCAATCACCTTGAGACCGTCATGTGCCGTGTCATTGATCTCGTGCTCGCCGATCCCGAGGCTGCCAAAGCTATTCAACATCTCAACCCCGACTTCCGCGCCCCGCAGCGGCCATTCCTGCGTATGAGGTACTCTGACGCAATCGACTGGTTGCGCGAACACGATATTCCCAACGAGGAGGGCGAGCCTCACAAATTTGGCGATGACATTGCTGAAGCAGCCGAGAGAAAAATGACCGACATCATCAACCGGCCAATCTTCCTGACCCATTTCCCTGTCGAGATCAAGGCGTTCTACATGCAAAAGGAGCGGGCTGACCCTCGCGTAACCGAGAGTGTCGACTGCTTGATGCCTGGCGTCGGCGAGATTGTCGGTGGCAGCATGAGAATCTGGGACTACGAAGAGCTTCTCCAAGCGTACAAGCGCGAGGGTATCGATCCTGCCTCATACTACTGGTACATTGACCAGAGAAAGTAAGTGCTATCAATGTGTTTTCAAACATTGCATGAGTATTATCAGGGGATCTAACTTCTTTATAGATATGGTACGTCCCCTCATGGCGGTTACGGTCTCGGTCTGGAGCGTTTCCTCGCCTGGCTCTGCAACAGATGGACTGTTAGGGAATGCTGCTTGTATCCCCGATTCGCTGGCCGCTGCAAGCCTTAATTCTCTTCATTCAACGCCAAAAGAACCTTGAACCAAATATTTCCATCACTCTCATATTACACCATTTCACGTGGCTTAGACACAGCTCAACGCTATAGATTTAGAAATATACCGAATGAGCTTACGAATTCAATGCATTGTTCCACTTGCTTTTCTAATGACACTTCGTTACTTGAAGTAGCTCAACCTCGTTTTGAATCTACCGCCCAGACACGCGAGAAAACACGCACGAAGCTTTTCGCGCATCTTTGGCATTCTTTAATGGTATTCGTAGATGTAGCTTACTACTCCTGCCTGGATTTCCTCAAACTGACTTTTCTCATGCGTTGTCGCCACCCAACCTCCAATTTAACAATTGTCATGATAAAATACATTACTGACTCTATTGCATGATTGTTCATCTATATAGATGGAAACCTCGAAAAACCAGATTAGAGTCAAACAAACGTGTTTTCGGTTGCTAAAACAAATAAACTACATTAAAAAGAACAGAATTGCAACTAATAACGTTCCTAGATGCATAGTCTCTACGCCTTTTCCCAAAGAAAGCGCTTGATTGGGTTGTGCCCCTTTCATAGATTCCATGGGTTTAAGGCATAAAAAGTTACCGTCCGGATGGCTGAGAATGTTGTCTTGATGCGCCTTGTCGCTAGAGAAAAATACGGTAAGTATTGGCGTTATCCTGTTCACAGCGGAGGCAATAGCCTGGCCTGATAAATTATAGGAGAACATTGGACGTAATTCATTTCTTTTCGGTAGAGTAGGCCAACAATTTGAGGTGGCGTTTTGCTCAAAACTGATTGGAGATGAAGCATTTGAGCCGGTGAGAGCTATTGAAATTTCAGTCAATTCTAATAAATCTGCATGGGCTATAAGGTACATAAATGCGTGTTGTTGAATTTAGACGCAAAGAAATGAGTTCGTGTTGCGAAAATCGACGAGGGAAAAGATTGATACTTACGCCTGACGTCCAAAGTCTCCCAAGTTGAATTTCGTCCAGCAGAATCTTGGCAATACAAGGGAGCATTTTCTCGAAGCTCGGTTCCCAGTGCGTTGCAGATGTTTAAACTGGTCTCGTTGTTCTGCGCTTTAGACAAAAAGGTAGTAGCCTGATTGTAGAGTGCTTGAACACAGGTGCTTCCCAGAGTAGAATTGCATGAACTTGAATTGAATAGAGGGTTGTCCGGCGGATCAAAATCGGGGAAAAAGAGAGCACAGCCTTCATATGGTGAGGATTTAGACATCAAACTAAATCCTGGAGTGCTGCCAAAGTAAAACTCTTTTCTGATGGTTTGGGGATGTTCCGCAGAGCCCTGATCAAGCATCTGTTGTGCGACTGTCCACGTAATATTTTCTGTGCTGAATGGAGTTCTGTGGGAGGCTACTCCAATCGCATGGTAAGTTTCATCCGCAACACTGCACTGTGTATCATAATTGGCTTGTGGACAGCCAACTTGGTCACAGCCAACGAGATTGTCGCCAATCACTGGCGCTGAGGATTGAGCGTGTAGAGGAACGATGAACGAAGAACAAAGTATCAGAACCAAAAATGGGCTGCTGCCGTATTTCGAAATCATGCTGAGAGATTGAGCAACAAAAGATATACTTTCAAGATGCCAGAGCGCAGACTATTGAGATGAATAGGACTAAAATGCTCAAACGCACCGGATTGTAAGAGCTCCGAGACCTGGCAGGTGAGGGGAGCACTTAATTTATGAAAGCCAAGCGTCTCCACCTTACCCAATCAATACCGTTGAAGAAGGATTCCAGAATTGGTGTCATCTTGCAGAAAATTGTCAGCCGCGAAACTCCAGCATTTGGACTTCATGCTCTACCTTGAGCTGGGGTTAAGAGGACGAAAAGACCTCTATGAGCCGATTGAGCCAATCACAGAGATTTAGGCAGCTGGGCCGACTTCGGATAGAAGGCGATGTGAGATAGAAGGCAAGAATGGACGGAATGAGGGGTTGAGCGCAAACAAGGGCGCAGAATCTTGTATCAGCAGTTAAGGACTCGTATTTCCACTGTGTGCATAACTGTTTTGAGGGGTTTCTGTCAGAGGAAGTTCCCTGTCGGTTGTGGCACAGCTCTCGACTTTCGGCCTTCTTTCCCCGTGGGTTTCCCCAGCATTCTGGCCCACCCGTCCGCGCCAAGGGCGCCAAGCAACTCTGCTGGTTCAAGAGCGCAATAATGCCATTCCTCGCGGCTCATATCACGTTGAATTCTACGCTTGGCAGACGTTGCTCTGCTGTTTTAAGTCTTAGGTGATCGGGCGCTTTGACCGCGGAACATCATCCTCCCGAATGTTGGACCATATCATTTATTTAAGACATGGTTTTTTCACACAAAAATTGTACGCAGGAACCGATCGGAAAATCGGTAGCTTAACACATCATGGCTCATTAAATGTTACATTTGTATCTCAATAATAATTATACATAAGATTAGAATACCCTCTGTACTTTTAGCCAGCCGTTTAACCTTAGCGTTATAAGTTCTGCTAGGTGAGTGGATCCATCTGATTCTATAGCTAGCATCTCAGCATCCCGGAGAACACTATCAATGTAGTTACCAGCTGCACTTAATGCCAAAATATGAGCTATTGCAGCATGAACAGCAAGCAAGCGTGGTGATGGTGGGTCAACTGTACGGCCTGGGCTTAAAGAAAGAGTTCGTGTTATTGGAAAGATTGGATGTCGAAGAGGGCGCTTGGTTTCGGTTGAGTCAATCTTATACGTGTGTGGAGTAGCTGGATCTTGCGTTGCCTCAAAGAATATTTTGAATGAACCAAACGACCGGTGATATTCGAGCGTGAGTGTAATTGCATTCTGTGGGGAATCGATGTTTGGCCCGTCGATTAGATGGATTAATCCAGAGTCAAACATGTTAATTATCTGAAGTACAGCTTTCTTTGCATCAGTCTGGAAGGAAAAATGTTAGTACTCGCATTCAGGAATCCAAGTACAAGGCTTACAAGTTCGGTGGTGCCCGGAGAAATAGACATTATGGAATGGGGCATAATATGTGCCACTTCAAGTGGCACTAGGTGATCCCACGGTACATTCTGAAGAGGACGCGAATCATCGTCCACAGCACTTTCAGCATCTCGCTTCAAACGTTTCGTTGCCTCGTCTCTGTCAAATTTGTATGTAATAACACAACGGTGTCTATCACGGGATAAACATTGCTGGCGTAGATTCGAGATTCGCTCTGTAGTTCCTAAAGGAATGGAGGTCTGCATGGTAGACAGAGCTATCGGTGTCGGCTGAGGGGTCTTTGCAGATAAGGCTTTAACTAGATTAGTGGTATTAGCGTATTACCGCGAAATATTTGGTAACTATCAAATCTCTTACGTGGCATGAAGAAATTATTCAAGAGAAAATCGGCAAATGAATCAATTTTGTGAGCAAGCAGAAGCTGATTCTCGTCATTCCACAAGGTAAAGACGTGTGAGAGGATAGTAGCAAAGCCACTTTCCGACCCCTCAAGATTACTGCTAGATAGATTTTCGTTGATATAGTGAAAGAAAATAAACAAGAATTCATCTTTTGATTGCATGTAATTGTAGGTCATGTGTATCAACATTTTAGAATTGTATGGCTTCCGTGTGGACTGGGTAGGTTCATACCGGTCCATCAATTGTTGAAAAAGGCTTCTTGCTAATTTCGATTCGGATTCCGTGACCATGCATGATGAAGGAAAACCCAGAATGTACTTCAAGGATGAGTGATGACGAAAATCAGCCATTTGAGTCTGTTTTTGGGATTGAGTGTATGCTACCAGAAGCTAAACTATAGAATAGATACCTCATGGATGACGTGGAGTTCCTGCTTATGCTAGCTTCACTACTATAATAGGCGAGTTTGTAGCGAACGTAGATCATTATTAAATGACATGTTCTAAATAGAGAAAGGGTGAATAAACTCAACAACCAAGAATTAGAGTTTAGAGAAATAAAGGGAGCAAATCCTTCAAAATTTCATTGCACAATCATATTAGAGACAGCTTTACTAGGTTGTAATCTCTGCTTGATCTCATAAATTACAAAGATGAACCCTTATAGAGCAGATCAGGAAAAGGTCCTGTAAAGAGATGGTTAGGCCATGTACCATTCGATGGTCGGTAACATCCTTGCTGGGACGATTTTAAGCCTGACCAAAACTACATTAACTCTATATAATTCAAGGAATGATGGACCAGTGGAGTGCAAAGTACCTAAAAGACTGGCAAGATGACTTTGCTGGCGAGCCCGACCTCGTCGAAGATCTCCACATCCAACGCAACCTCCTAGAAGCCTTAGAAGGACTCTATCCCTCTGACTCATCTAGCCAGCAACGTGCTGCATCATCAATTGCCACATTCGTCAAATCAAAATCAGATCCAGAGGAATCCTTGATCTTATTTCAAGCTATCTTACTTGATGCTGCCACTACTTCCCCCCTTCAACCACCTGATCTGGCACAGGTAGTCGTCTCGTTCACTTCACAACTCCCTGGTCAAGCATCGAAAAAGTTTTATTATGAAATAGCATGTAGTGTACGAGAAAAGTTCAATGGTTAGTTTCTTTCCATAGACCTATCTAGGAAGCTCTTTGTTAAGCTTACTCCAATTTCTTTGTTATAGGGCCGGAGAAGCACAATAACAACGAGAAAGAAAAAACCAAATCAATCCAAGCCTGGATTCGTCTCAATGCCTTTGTTGCATATCTCACTCAACTACATGCATGTTCTCTTGAAAGCTATGGTCTGTGGACGTTCTATAGAGTGTTTGACGAGGAAAACGAGAGATTGAGACGCGAGGAACTAGACTACCATGTTCCAGCTGCTGAGGCATGGGTACAAATCATGGGAGAGGAACTTTACCAATGGACGAAATTGGATATTGATCGAGAGAATAAGAAAGACAATCAAGCTTTGGTTGATCGGGTAAGGTGGGATCGATGGAAGCATGGCTTTGCAGACTGTGCAAGACTGGAAGGTCTGAGAACAGAAACAAAGCTAGCAGCAGAAAGTGCATGGCGCTGTATGAACAACCTGGAAAGTAACATGTGATCTGCTAAAGTAAAAAAGATCCTTTGGTTGGAATAACATAGTTTGCATTGGCGCCTTTCCGACTACTATATAGAGTGAATTCATCAATAAAGACTAGGTATAATGCAACTGGACAATTACTTGAAAGTCTCTTTCCACAGTCCCGATAAACAAAACTAACCTATGCAAGAAAGGCCGAAATTAATACTAGCGTAAGATGTATAGACCGCCCCGACCGACCATTTGGTCCTTATAGCTTGCGCCGCCTGTCCTAACTCCAGCCTTATGGAGTGGTACAGCATCCATGAGCTTCTGGGAATTCTGTCGAAAATCAACATATCGGTCCGTCGCCGACCGACTGCTTTGAGAATGGTTGATTTGATTGATGGTCGCTTCAGGAGTCCACGCCGGCCTTTCGAGGCTGCGATGGGTTATTGCAATATCTCGGTGAGTTTCGTGAAGGAATGCTTCGATCCTGTCGTAAGAGATGAAAGGCCGTAGAAAGCCCATGATAATCAAAGAGAGCTTTGCATCAAAAAATTGGTGACCTTGAAAGTCGTCAATCAAATGGACTTTGATTACCTGACGGGGCACGACGTCCGGTCCATTGTAAGGGCATTGAGCGACAGATATGATTGCTTGTTTCCATCCTTCGAGAAAGTCTTTCTTATCACGGGACTTTATAAGGCCCCAGCCAAAATATACGCCGGAGAGGCGAATGTAGAGGCTTTCAGGCCGAATACCCAGATTTGCTGTTGGAAATCCGAGCTCTGCAGCGCCCCGCCCTGTGCCCCGGACTATTCCACTCTCTAACTTTAGCGGATACGGAGATTGTGGACCGTTTTCCTCTCCCACAACGCATGCCCTTGTAATTTCATTGTATGGACAGGATAAGGCTTGTTTCACTGCATCATCACGCCGCGTATCATATTGTTCATTCGCTGCATCTATTTTGTTGCTCATTGCACTTGCATCATAAGCAACTGATGCAGTTTGTGTGGCCCATGAGGGCGGCGCATATTGGGCTGCTTGGCTTGTGATGGGGGAAATGGCATTTCCGGCAGCGCCTTTCGCCATGCTCGATAGCACATTGATACCAACCTCAACGGGTAGCGTTGCCAGGGAGGAACCTTTGACAGAGCTAGCGGATGTTGACGTCGAGGCCAAGCGAAACACCGGACTAGGGCAGAGGACTGATCTATCGTTGCCACAAGTCATGACAATACGGTAGTATCCATCCTCGGCCTCGGCCGGAATGCGTAGGACATCTGTCTCTCGGATTTTGTGTGTGCGGGCTTCCTTGGGCGCTTTTTCCAAGAACCTTTTAATGTCACGTTGCCAGGCACGTTCATCTGTTGGCGGCAGCGCTGAAGGAGTCGCTCGATTCGTAGGAGTCACATTGATCCAATTACCATTGGTCCGGAAAAGACCTTTGACCTTCATTCCAGCTTTGCCAGTCCAGCCTTTAAGTTGCAACCACAGCCGCCGATCGGCTGGTAGCGGTTGATCAGAGAAAATAGTAATGGCAAGGGACGTGGATGGACCTTTGTAGAAAACGAGACCATGGGAGTGACGCAGGATAGTAAAATGCTTAGTAGACTCGTGCGGATGCGTTACCAAGCCTCCAGCGAAGTGACGAGCCTCTTCCATGGCATGCTTCCATTTGGACTGGTCCGGCGTAGCAGTCAGCCAAGTGCTCCTGTTTAGGGAAATGTTCCTTGGCGGTGGCGCTGAAGAGTTAGGGTTGGCGCCGGGGAAGGTGGTCTGATGGCTTGGGCCCAAATGGAGGTTGTTCGTCTGATCTGCCAAGGCATCTTCTTCTGCAGATGATCGATTGATTTGTGGTAGACTTCCATTTGTATAGGGCCCATTTCTACCACTTGCGTTAGACATAGGTAAGGGCCTGTCGGCTGGCCTCAGCGGTGGATCCGTGGCCGAGGGTATCTTGAGTCGCGGGAAGCCTCGTTATACTTTTCTGTTGAGCATCATTCTTTCAGAAATTTCGATGGGAGCTCAGGACTTCAGTCGCAAAATAGAGTCTCAAAAGCATTTGATTAATAGCAGAACTGTCAGCAACAAAGGTCCTTCAATTTGCAAGGGTAAGGCGGAGCCGGAAGAGGCGAACAATTAAACAGAGATATATCATCCATGAGCAATCGCGTTACAAGATAAAGGAATGAGCCGGGCAAGTCTCTACTGGAGTGTAGAGCGGGGAGTGAAGCAGGGGCAGAGATATCAAATGAAGGGGAGATAGGGTTTGTCCATTGACGTCAGAAATCTTGTACGACTTCTGGTTTGCCGATGGCTGCGGGATCTATCCCTCCGGGGCAAGTCATAGCAGCGCGAGATCTTGAGCAATATTAGTTTGACAGAAGGCGTGCTTTCTAGCTGCATCAGGATTCGCTGAGGACGGTGTATTAACCATCATACATGATCCACATAATATTCTTGACCCTATTCGACATTGCGCCAACTCTGTAGAAGACAGTAAATGACTGGCTAACAGCTGCGCCATATCTGGCCTTGAGAAAAAAAGGCTCGGGAGAAGGGAACTGGAGAGGAACGCTGTGACTTTCATATATAGCAGTCACTCCATACAAGCGCGAGTAGTGAGGGAGGTACTTCCGTTCAGGCAGCAAATGATTCATCCTTGAAGGTACCGAAGTGAATTTCCTTATCAGGTAGTATTATTACAGAATAAATCATTAGGTAATCGTCATAGCAATCGCGTCGCGACTTTCCCTCTACGCGTTTCCCCGTTAATGATCATCTTTTCCATGTTGTTACTTGCTGCTTGCAGTTGCTGCCTAGCAAATTCAGAGCTGAGGGGATGCGAAGTTATATCTACTTGAATTCTACCCGGTCTTTGCTACCTAAAAATATAAATTATAGGCGACCATACAACCTCCGACCTTTTTTGGCGCCTCCCTTTCCCTATCCGCCCTGGCCCCGTTTGGATTATTTGCAATTGCATAACAGACATATAGCTGGATACCAGACGGCTATGGCTCCAAAACAAGCCACACTGGGGTACGTTAGATCAGCACAGCGAACTTTGGAGTGCGACACCTCTATTGGACTTCTCGATGATGCGAGGATCTTGACGATCACAATTAACTTTTGCTTTTTAGCAAGTTCTTTGGACGGCCCGCCGGATCGCAGCCAGCCGCTCCACGCCAGTCGAAACTTACATTCTCCACCAAATCACATCAATCAGCTATCGATAATCCAGCTGATTCGAAAGTCCCAAATGCAGAGAACCTTCAGCCGAAAAGAGATACAACTGCTCTCGAAGAAGAAAATGGACTGAAAACCGATACGCACCAGAATATTGCAGCAGTAAAAGCCGAATCCGATCAAGAGACCCCAAGTGTATCTGAGGTAAAAAGTAAGAGTAACGTTTGCGTGTCATTTTCAGGAATTGGATGGCTAATGTAAACTTGGTGATCACAGGCCCCTCAAAACGCCGACGATCTTCGTCTAGATCTTCTTCTAGATCTCCCAAACGATCATTAATCAAAGAAGAAAACACACCGGATCGCGATGAGGATGATGAGGAACCAGCAACGAAACGGCTGCGGCGAAAATTACCCGAAGAGCCTCAGAAGGTCCAACCAAGAAAAGCTAAATCTGCGGGTACCGCAGGCAGAGATCGTCGTCGCAGCCAATCTCCTTCAAGCCAAGCAAAACAACAGACAACACTGAAAAATGTCAACGATGTGTCTGCAGCGATGGATACGACACCAAACCTTGTACCCCCCGTTGAAGAGGACTCTGCTTCGGAAGCGGAGATTGAGAACGACTCGGAAGAGGAGGATGTTAAGCCAGAAATCGCCGAAAAGGCGCGGGAAAAGGTCCAATCGACGCTTCAAAACAGTGGCCAAGACCCTTACCCCGATTGGAAACCAGGGGAGCCGACGCCATATGCGGCGCTATGCACGACGTTCTCTCTCATCGAAATGACTACGAAGCGCTTGATTATCCTCTCCCATTGCTCACTCTTTCTCCGTCAGGTTCTTCGTCTGACACCTCAAGATCTTCTCCCTACGGTGCAATTGATGATCAATAAACTTGCCCCGGACTATGCCGGTATTGAACTCGGCATTGGGGAATCGTTGATTATGAAGGCTATTGGAGAGACAACGGGAAGAAGTTTAGCTGTTATCAAAGCTGATCAGCATGAGATTGGCGATCTTGGCCTTGTCGCAGCAAAAAGCCGATCGAATCAGCCTACCATGTTCAAGCCCAAGCCTCTAACAGTGCGGGGCGTGCAGGAAGGTTTGATGGCGATTGCGATAACGGAAGGACAGGGAGCTCAGGGACGCAAGATTGCGGGAATTAAGAAACTTCTATCAGCCGCTGATACAAATGGTGCAGGCAAAGGCTCCAAAGGGATTGACATCACAAAAGACAAAGGAGGCCCCAGTGAGGCTAAATTCATTGTGCGGACTCTTGAGGGGAAGCTGAGACTTGGGCTCGCTGAGAAAACAGTCCTTGTTGCTCTAGCACAAGCCATGGTTATCCATGAGACACAAAGCAAAGGGAAGAAACTTCCAAGTACAGACGAACTCGCCCAAGGTGAAGGAATATTAAAATCCGTTTACAGGTAAGAATAGTTCTATACTCTATCATTAATTTGCTGTAGCTGAAAGATCATGATCAATAGTGAGCTTCCAAGCTACGAGGTAATTATCCCAGCAATGTTGGAGCACGGTATCTTCAGACTACGCGAAAACTGCAAGTTACAGCCAGGTGTGCCTCTCAAACCCATGCTTGCGAAGCCAACAAAAGCCATCACCGAAGTCCTTGATAGGTTTGAAGGTAAAAGCTTTACTTGTGAGTACAAATACGATGGAGAACGGGCGCAGATCCACTACGTGTCGCCGGATTCGACCAACCAATATCTGGTCAATGGTCCCTCGGGCAAAACGCAAGGTCATGGCTTGGCAGCGATATTCTCAAGAAATTCGGAGGATTTGTCAAAAAAGTATCCGGACGTCCTGGCAAAGCTGAATACTTGGGTCAAAGAAGGAACACAAAGCTTTGTTCTGGATTGTGAGACTGTTGCTTGGGATATGGAGAAGAAGAAGGTGCTCCCTTTTCAGCAGCTCATGACGCGAAAGCGAAAAGATGTCAAGGTTGAAGATGTAAAGGTAAAAGTGTGCGTCTTTGCATTTGATCTGCTATTTCTGAATGGCGAAGTATGTACATCTACATTCATTGTAATTTGCAGAGTAGCTAATACGACATAGGCTCTTGTCAAGAAGTCTCTCAACGAGCGTCGAGATCTGATGCGAAACTCATTTTCAGAAGTTGAAGGAGAGTTCTCCTTTGCTCAGTTTGGCAATACGAACGACCTAGAAGAAATTCAGCATTTGCTTGACGAGAGTGTAAAGGCTTCATGCGAAGGGCTGATGGTGAAGATGCTCGATGGAGAGGAGAGCGGTTATGAGCCAAGCAAGCGAAGCAGGAATTGGCTTAAGGTACTCTTTTCCCTCAGACGTTACCAAAAATTCATTTCTAACCCTTTCATATAGATCAAGAAGGATTACCTTTCGGGCATTGGCGACTCGTTGGACCTCGTCGTGCTTGGCGCATATTTTGGCCGAGGAAAGCGTACTTCTGTCTACGGCGCCTTTCTTTTGGCGTGTTACAATCCCAATTCGCAACAGTACGAGACTGTTTGTAATATCGGGACGGGATTTTCAGAAGCAATTCTAGAAGAGTTTCATTCCCAGCTTTCTCAGTACGCCATTGATCGGCCAAAGCCATTTTACTCTCATTCGAATATTGTCAAGGATCAGCCGGACGTTTGGTTTGAGCCCAAGTTTGTCTGGGAAGTCAAGACAGCCGATTTGACTTTAAGTCCTCGTTATAAAGCCGCTGCCGATCAACTCAGCGACGGCACCGGTAAAGGTATCAGTCTGCGTTTTCCGCGCTTCATAAAGCAAAGGGATGACAAGAAGCCCGATCAAGCGACAAGCAGTCGAATGGTTGCGGAAATGTATCGAAAGCAAGAGAGTATCACAAAATCTCGGGGCCCTGCCGTCGACGACGACTTTGAATACTAGCTTATGCGCCTTGGCATGTCGAAGACATATTATCGCTCCGCCTGGTTCCATCGGACATGTATAGATTATCCATAGTTTCGCCCACGATAGCAATGATATGATTTCTCTTTCACAAGCATTCGCACGTGGGCTCGCGAGCTGCAGAGAGCTAGTGGCATCACAATACTCTTTACCCCTCATCAGACCCTGTTTTTCGTTCAAGCCAAGTTAGCGAATGTTGTCCGAAGAGCGCGGAGCTCTAGATCGAAGTGGCAGTTTATGACGAGCTGGTTGTTTGACCTGCCGAGATTAGCTTGGCTCGTGGGCAGAGCGGTGTGCGGACCTTAAAGTTTAATACGCTTATCTCTCATCACGTTGTCTATCGCAGTCTCCTCATGCGACTTTGATGGAACTTGAGACGCCACTTTCTGGTGATCTGCAGCGCTGGAGCGGATAAGCCAAACTCAAAGGAGAAGCTCGTTGACGCCCTCAGGGTCCCTACTCGTCAACTCGGCTGTGTCAAGATTCGGCCGCCGCGGGCCGACCCACACAAAGTTACGCCCTGGCCCTGTTATTCAGGCACGAGGATGTGATGGAACTGCATGCAGACGGTGATCGTTGCCATGATTGAAAGGTGTCATGAGCGACAAAAGAAGCAAAATGTTACAGAGCCAATATTGCGCCACGAGAGCCACAGAAAAGCCATTAGAGGGCGACGAAAAGTGGAGACTGAAAGTGCTTCTTTACCTGGGCTCCCGAAAAACATAAATTCAGCCATGTCGCCGACCCTTTGTTGGATTTCTACGGTCGGATTCGAATCTCAAATCAAGAGGAAAGCCTCGTTACGCCTTCGTTGAATTGTCCCCCTTTTTCTTCATTGTCATCGACCTTCTCATCATGAAGTTTTCCGCTTCCTGTGTAGCTGCAGTCGCCGCTGCATTGCTGTCGACTACTCGAGCTGCACCATTAGAAGAGCGCGCATCGACTGTACAGGGCTTTGACATTTCGAGCTACCAAGGTACTGTTAACTTCGCTGGTGCCTACGATAGTGGAGCTCGTTTTGTTATCATCAAGGTAAGTGCCTAGAATTCGATAATAACGCTACGACTTCCAGACCCTGTTTTCCATCCAGCCACATTCCATTGTGGGACTTTCATTACACAGATATTAATACATCTACATGTTTAGGCTACCGAAGGGACTACTTATATCGATTCCGAGTTCTCCAGCCACTATACTGGCGCCACTAATGCGGGTTTCATTCGAGGTGGCTACCACTTCGCCCACCCCGATTCTAGCTCTGGAGCCACCCAAGCCGACTTTTTCCTGGCTCACGGCGGTGGATGGTCTGACGATGGCATCACACTTCCCGGAATGCTGGACATTGAGTACAACCCTTCAGGCGCAACTTGCTATGGTTTGAGCCAGTCGTCCATGGTCAGCTGGATCCAGGACTTTGTCAACACCTATCATAGCAAAACGAGCCGTTACCCCTTGATTTACTCTACAGACGACTGGTGGTCTACCTGCACTGGTAACTCCGCTGCTTTCCACACCACCAGCCCGCTCGTCCTGGCTCGCTATGCCAGCTCCCCTGGCACCATCCCTGGCAGCTGGCCTTACCAGACTATTTGGCAGAACGCCGATAGTTACACCTATGGTGGCGACTCTGATCTCTTTAATGGTGATTTGACAAGCCTTAAGAAGCTTGCTACTGGTTAACTTAAAACAATAGCAAGTTTGATTAAATAATACAAATATAATTATATTTAATTACTTGATTTGTTTATATATCATACCAAGTAAACAGGCATTCAGCCTTTAGCATAGACAAATCAAGTAAGACCTTCGTTGGAAGAAGTACATTTGCATCAGGAAAACCACCCGATTTCCTTCTCTGATCTAAAGCTCATCGTAAGCGCTGGATGGATAAATTCTACATCGATCAATCTCGCTAGTCTCAATATCTTGGCCTGAGAAAGAAAATCTATATCTTGGTGGCTGCTACACATCTCTCATGTACCTGTCAATAACTTTGGAGCATCTGCTTTCCTTCTCTAAAGTGTGTAAGGTGTAGAACCCAGCTGTTCCGAATGTTTATAGGTCGCTAAATGAATAGTTCGGCTCATTATGGATATCGCTGTACTCAAATTTCGAGAAGTTCGAGGATGTATATTTTCCCTGGAACGGCATATTGGCGGGTCATGTACTAGGCAAGGCATGGATCCTTGGAGCTCTGAGGATCAAGTGTTTGAGGGCAAGCCGTCTAATTCATGATCCGATTCAACACATGCAACAAAACATGTTCTGGTAATTTCCAGGACATCGTCCCTGTATATGTAAGATTGGTCGTCATGTTTTGATATTTCCCCATCCATTTGCTCTAGCTCTGACAGCCCCCAAATCATCCATATTCAGGATGTCGACTTGCCTTTCGATCAAGACCCTCCACACGACCTCTCGAAGGTTTGGTGGTTGTGAAGGCGTATTCCAATATCTGACCATCAAGCCTCTAGCCCTAGCTTGCTCGATTTGCGTTGCCACCATATCCTTCATCTGTGGAGTCTTTGGCGGTGGAGTAAATGGTTCGCGGTAGGAGTACAAAACAGCATTTTTGAACTCAGTGGATGCGAAATACGAGTTCGAGGCATTGTATACATATTTGAAAGGTTCTTCATCAAAGTTGTCGCTGGCGGAGACCAACTCCTCTAGGTTTGCATCCCAGAAGATGTCTCTGTGTGTTTCATTAAGCATAGTAACCGACTCAAATGGAGCGCTGCCTGATACAACGATGGTCAGGGGTCGAAGCACCCTCTCTGTACCATTCCAGTAAGTGAGGTAGTCAAGATCACGGAGTGGTTGTAGTTGAGTATATAACTCCCTAAAAGTCTCTGGCCCCGAGGTCTTATGATCAATAAGGAGGACGAGTGTCTGGTGAGGAGCGAGGTTGAAGAGACCCCGCCAAGTGCCTTCAGCAACATTGCCGTTCTGTACCTCGATCATTCTTTGTAAAGGCTCCAGGTACATCGAGCGCAATGTCTTGCTATGTTGTAAGCTGGCTGATGTGTGCCCAACAAGAAGATCAGAGTTACGTAAATGAATGTCGGCCTCAATACTGATGCAGCCTGAGCCAAGTGCCTCGAAGAGAGGAATACGGCGCGAATAATCGTTATGTGAGTGTACGGGCACCGGAAGAGCGTTGCGGATGAATGATTGGCGATCGTGGTCCCAGATGGACGGGCTTTTCTCGTCGATGACTTTGCTGAATCTAATGTCGTACGGGTCGTTCGGTACGCGAATCATACCATTTTGAAGATATATTATATATGCAAATTGAGTAACACATCTGTGTAACACGCTGGCTCAGTAATCTATTAGTGGAACATTTTCTGACATACTCACAACAACGTCATAAGCCAAGCTATATTCTTCAACAGGTCAGACGAAAGTTGACCCTTGCGCAGAGGAAGGGGGATCTTCCAAAGACGAATCACACGTGATTTTCTCACTGGCTGTTCCGCACCGCGGTGCTCGAGGTCCATATGAATATATTGATCCGGCATCTCGTTAATACTAGACTCGCTATCGCTAGAGTTGGAATTCGTGGTACCTCTCTCTTTCCAAAGGGCTGTTATCGTACAGTTGATTAGAAAGTACAAAGCGAAGAAGTAATGGTGCTCGTGCTCTGTTCTGGCTTGGGATGCACCAGCGATGGAAGCAAAAGACAGAACCAGTGCCGCTGAGCCTAAAGTCTGTTACGTAAGAACTGCTGCCTAGTTTAATAAGTACCTCATACTTTTAAGATTTTAACTAATAGACTGTGCTATGCCAGCAATGATTTATATACTCCGTCTAGGTTCCTTCTAAATCTAGCCAGCCAATATGCTATGTACGCTGAGCATATGTATTATTGATACTTAGCCATAAAGCGAAGGAGCATAACAGAATGTAATGATATTAATGTAATGTATAAATAAACTAAGCTATAGGCACCTTAGTAGGTGACTACAACAAACAAGCGAGGTGGTCCAGCCAAGTGACTAAAAGCGGCCATAATCACGACCAACAGGTCATCTCCGTTCAACTCGCATGACCTAAACTCTATACCTGCATAATTTTCCAATGCTCAACATCTAATTGATATTAATATCTCTGACGTATAAACTCATTTGAAGAGCAGCTGAAACAGAATGGAAAACCAACCAAGAGCCCAAGAGTCCAGAAACGAGCCGACCGGGGTGGATGAAAAAAAGTAAGCACTTCCTGTGATATTACCCGAGTGATTCTCACAGGCAAAGGTTGCGCAATCGGCTTTCGCAGCAAGCGTTCCGCAGACGCCAAAACGACCGCATCCGGGAGCTTGAACAGCGGCTCAAAGATGCCAGTAGAACAGACAATGAGCGTGTCTGCCACCTAGAAGAGGAAAACATGCTCCTTCGCAAACAGCTCTCCACATTAGCCAGTAAGCTAGAGGCTGTGCAAACCACGCTTCGAGGGCTTTCAAATATGGTGAATAGCACTCTCCAAGGCTATGTAAGATTCCCTTAGTTTCTGTTGAAAAATCTCATTTAACCTTTGTACAGCCAGATTCCATTACCAAATCGTCCACTCCGGGGCAAACAACTACGGAAGGACCATCTGTCAACAGCCCATCTGAGGTGGATCGGGAAATTTTATCAATTGACGACGACCAGCATATTTTCTCTGCCTCACTTATTGATGTAGGGCTCAAAGATAATACTTCTAGTTCCAGTCCTCTTGGGTTCAGCACTATACCCCTCGCTTCATCCTCTGGGCCACAGCATTGTGATGAAACATCTATTGATATCGCGAGTAATTATCAAGACTTTGACAGAGCAAAGTTGGGTCATACAAACTCATTGATACATGCTGTGAATCTTCCTTTAGAGTTTCATGGCTCGCCCTTTATGGAAAATCCTGTACAAGGAGTTCCTGGCATATGGTCCTACCATTATCAAATGGGACCTCATAACTATCAATACATCATGGCCAACATATCCAGCCCCGGGAGACATATTCACAGCTCAAACTCTATATTCTCTGACCACATCAATGCATTGCATACATGTATTAAAAGGGCATGGAATTTTTCTCAATTTTCGGATCTTCTAGAATTAAAGCTGTATGTATTCATTCTATATAACTAAGATGAAAAACTCATTCAACGACTAATCTACTACAATAGGTCAAAAGTCCGTCTTTCTGTGTCTCTCATGCTGTCATTGTTCAACAGTCTCAATCGACCGCTTGCCTTGTCGTGGTACACACCGACCAAATTCTACCATCACATCACGAATCTTACCCTATGGCAGCTCTGCCCAAGCCGAGAGATGTATATGCAACTCCCTGCTCGGTACCGACCATCTGCTTTACAGTTGACAGAAACATACCCTCCCATTATTGATTGGTGCCCATTTCCTTCTATCCGTGATAAACTCATTTTGTTACACTCTGCAAACCCCTGCATTGATCAAATCATTTGTGATATTGCTACAGCCTATGTTGTTGAAACTGATATTTCCAAATTGATCTGCCACGATTACCCTGAAATCGGCTACGTTCGAGTTTGGGAGCTTATCCAAGCAATGGGAGAGGCTGAAAATGAGCAAGTAGACTTTGCTCAAGTCATGTGCGAGAAGCAACCTATCGCGCAGGATTTGCAACCACAGCCGAGCACGGGGGTCTGGCAACTGCCAGCACCTAATGTGGAATCTTTGTTCGGGAATGAAAATTATGCCCGTTTAGCATTCAAAGAGCTGCATATGGATGATGGGGTTAGCCATTACAAGTTGGATCCGCTTTTGTTTAATAAATATCCTGAACTTTTCGATCCCGAGGAAGAGGCTATGGCTGTTGGTACTCCCATTCGATTGTCAAACTGGACTGGTATTCCTGTCCCAAAGGCCCTCGATGATGCTACTTATGCCATTTATCGACATTTTGTAAAGTGGACATCAGATGTCATTATCTCTACTTTTTGACACTTGTATATTCTAAATGTTTTAATGATTTAATATATCATTCTCGCTCTATAACTATTAATAAAAATCTTCCAAGTACGTATCTAAGGATCTAGAATAGCCTGCAAAATGCTAGTTGTTCATTGAGTCATTTGAGCAAACCTGCTGTTGGCACGTATCCAGGGCCCCTTTTTAATAAGTATAAAAGGGATTATAGCCATCATTATCGAGAAGAAACCTAGTAACGAGCTTGCCCAATTAATGCCTAGTTTAGTATACATGGGGTTGGTGGCCAAGGGAAGGCAGACGGCAAATATAGATCGCAACGTACTTGCTGCTGCTGCTGCTGAAGCCGAGAATTGCTTATATGCATCCGTGAGGTAGTTGATGAGAGCAATGAATATTAGCAAGTAGCCAAATCCGAAGAATATTCCAGACATCATTGGCATTACTGGATTAATAGAAAGCTCTGCAGACCAACCTAGCCAAAAAAGAGCTATTGGTATTGCTAGAGCTCCAATGCAGGCAAGTGGTAGACGGCGGTACTCTTCCAATTGAGCCCAGGTCAGTCCAGCACTGAAAGCATTCGTATGGTACAAGCTGTATAAGAAAACAGTGACGAATGCTATAACTGATCCAGGCAGAACTAACAGAAGATTAAATTCCAAACTCGTTAAAGTGGGAAAGGATTCTTACTTGGAAGAAAGGCTAGTCCGGATACACCAGCTGACAGGCCATATAAATCTGTTGACGTTAGATGCAGGTTGAATCAAATTGCGTGACAGGAGGACTGACCTTGGAAAACAATGGGATAAGCTTCAAAGAAGAGATACAAAATTGCATAAACTAGAGCGAGGTACATCGAACAACAGAAAACAATTGGCTCGCGGATGAACATGATAAATGGGCGACTGAGAACGGTACACATTCGATTAGAGATATACTGCTCCTCCGGGAGCCGGCCTGGATTGTCCAGGCCTGCAATTTGTTTTTCAGTGTCGAACTTTCCCTTTCTACCATGCAAAACTGGCACGTATGTCTCAGGAATGGTAACCAGGAATGGGAATCCAGGAGCTGCAATGAGAAGGCCAGCCCAGAATGTCCACCTCCAAGTAATGGTTGAGATAAAGCCCGAGATGATCGGTCCTAAAAGAGGTGGAAATGTTGTTGCAAAGATAAACCAGGACATTGCTAATCCACGCTGATGGGGATCCTCATAAATGTCTGAGAATAGACCTCCCAATACTGCATTCGGTGCTGAGCCTCCCAATCCGCAGAATAGTCGAAACACGAGAAGGGTTGGAAAGTCAGGTGCCAATGCACACGCCATGGTGAAGATGAGATAGATGGAGAAAGTAATCACGAGGACAGGTTTCCGCCCAAAACGTTCGCTCAACGGACCAAAAAGGATAGGACCTGGAGATAAAACCAATTGAGTAAGCTTTATGCGTTACAATAGTCAGGAGGGGTGGTGTACCTATCGTAAACCCAGCCATATAAAGCGAGGTCGGAAGCACCATCTGAATGTTCTCTCTAGGAATGTGAAAATGGTCGGCGATCTCATCGTGGGCTCCAGACGCAATGGAAGATCCCAATGAGCTGTTGAACACAAAATATATACCTGCAAAAACAATGTGAAGCTTTCGTTTCTTTCTTATTTGTATCAGTGTGACTGCTCTCGATCTTAATTAAGGTTTAGAACATTTTACCTGGGAGAAATCAAACGGGTTTGTCAAATCTCTTTTAAAATCAGTATCTCGGGTGCCCCATTCCCGTGGACTGCCTTGTAACGTAGTTGCCATTCTATGTCGCCTTCAAAATATTTCCTCAAATTGCTAGCTTGAGTAGTTTGAGCTTCGATGACAACTTATAGCACTAAGTCTTGACTATTTAAGTTACTTGGTGGATCTGCATTTTATCCGAGAGGGGTATTGTTACTAATTCGAAATTACTGCTGACTGTGGAGCAATCAGGAATTATACCAAAAATTCTGGGATCAAGCAACACTGACGAAAAATCATTCGCCACGGTACTTCTCACCTACTAATTTTCGGGACAAGTTCACTGCGGGCCGTTCATACTATATCAGCCCGATGACCGAGCTGGATACCCATGGGGAGAATAATTCGGGTCACGAAGAACTCTATCTCTACCATTTTAGCATATAATCAGACATTGTTGATCCTGTCTTCAATAACATATTTCCGGGAAGCTACGTTATTTATCTCTATCATGACAAACAATCCAAGTACCATCTATGTTCTTGGCCTGGGAAGTATTGGGTCATTTATTGCACATTCCCTTTGTTCCCTTGTCAAACCACCTTCTGTCACGCTTCTTGTTCACAGACAAGATCTCTACCAAGAGCTTGCAGCAAAAAATTGGAGGCTTGGCCTACGAGTCGGAGAACGTGGTTCTTTGGAAGAAACATCTGGTTTCAATGCCGAGATGCCTGGACAGCAAAGCTCACCTTGCGTCGATCAAATCCGCTACCTGGTCGTCGCAGTCAAAGCATCAGCGACAGTCACTGCTCTTGAGCCATTCAAGAACCGGATCGGACGAGAGACCATCATATGCCTCTTTCAAAATGGCCTGGGACAGGTGGAAGATATGAACGAACAGCTTTTTGTTGATCCTTCAACACGACCAACATATATGTTTGGTATAATGCGCCATGGCGTCTACCTGAAATCTTCAACTGAGGCTATACTATCAAGTCCAAATGGATGCGCCGAAGTTGGCGTTGTAGGAAGCAGTCATGGTTCGCCAGCGCCAAGTCCGGACAGGTTCCTGATCGACGCTCTTCTCCGATCGCCCAATCTTCGTTGCACGGAATTGAAGTGGGCTGACCTTTTGCGAGTCCAGCTACTCAAACTAGCGGCGAACTGCGTGGTCAATCCTTTAACGGCTTTACTGGACATCCGCAATGGTGATTTATTAGACAACCCCCATCTGCAACCTATACAGTGTTGCCTATTGAAGGAGATCTCGAACGTTTTTGAGAATCTCCCTGAGATTCAACACCTGCCACGTGACTGTACAAACTTCTCCGTCATGTCTTTGGAGGCCGTTGTGCAAGACACTGTGGAGAAGACTGCACAAAATTCTAGCAGCATGCGGGAGGATATTCGGAAGGGGAGGCCGACCGAGATCATGTTTATCAATGGCTGGGTTATTAGGAGAGGCAAAGATTTGGGAATCGACTGTATTGCCAACATATGTTTGACACAAATGATACTCGCAAAGAGTCAAGAACAGACTGGCATTTCCAGATCAGATAGCTGAACAGAGCTTCATGTCAGATATTGTTTATTACTTTATTATTATTATAGAATGGTCAATTTGAAACTAGTAAATGAATGTATTGTGGCTACATTTGGTCCGGTCTTAACTGATGTCAAATTATTCTTAGAAAAGAATATTGCAAAGACAAATGAGCATCTTGTACATGGGTAGACCAATTCAATATTCAAATGAATAAAAACAAGATAAGACCCCCTTCCGAGTGTAAAGACGGGATTAGTACAGAGTAGGTTCCAAAATACAGTACTTTGAACGGGAATGTTAGGGTGGCACTAGTAAAAAACTACTATGTTGGTGTAATTGGTTGACATTTCAATTAGTAAGGGTAGTCTTAGCAGCCCCGCCAATTACTAAAAGGCCACTGACTAATATTCAATGAAACCTTATCAACTACGGGGTGAGAGAGCTGGAAATGACTAAGGGAACGTTTGTAGGAGCTTTTTAGTAGGGGAAAAATATACATATATATAATTTTAAGACATTAGATAGAATGTTGTAGGAAATGCTCTAAACAAGGACTGTCACGCATTCTTTATACAATTTTGTTGATTTTTTTAATCCTCCAACAATAGGCTCTATTCGGGTCAAAATCAAAATGGAAACCCCTCCACCTCTAGCAGAAAAGATCCTCTCGATCTCGGACCTCGAGAGATCAGCCTCGAAGACCCTCCCCGCTGCAACGAAGGGTAGGTTTGTACGCTTTCAGCAATGTCTCCATATGGGAATTTTACCAACGGGAAACTTACTTTCATCATCTAGATTTCTATAACTCCGGGGCGACAGGTCAGGTCACCGTCCGGGAAAACTCATCCGCATTTCAAAAGTATCGTCTTCTTCCACGTGTCCTCAAAGATGTTTCGGGGATCAACACAAAAATATCCCTTTTCGACAGAGAAATCGAATTCCCCCTCTCTGTGTCTCCTGCCGGAATTCAAGCTATGGCCCACCCCCAAGGTGAATTAGCAACAAGCCGGGCATGTGCCCGAATGGGTGTCAACATGGGAGTTTCATCCTTTGCAAATCACTCTGTGGAACAGATTACCGCGGCCGGAACTGAAGTCGGTCCTATCGATCATGTTATGCAGCTTTACACAATGACCGATAGAGATAAGCAAGTGCGCATCATTCGACGTGCTGAAGCCGCTGGCTGTAAGGCCATCTTTCTTACGGCAGACAGTCCCGTGCTAGGGGTGAGGTATAACGAATGGAGAAATGGATTCCAACCCCCCGATGGTATCTCCTATCCTATGCTTGAAAGGTCTAGTGAAGATATCCGGAAGCAGTCACACGATGATGGCTTTTCCTCTTTGAACTCGGACTCTCATTCTTGGGCCGAAGTCCCATGGCTACGGAGCATTACAAAGATGCAGATTTGGATCAAAGGTGTCCTTACGCCTGAGGACGTCGAAACCGCTATCGAGTATGGTTGTGATGGTGTCATTATCAGCAATCATGGAGGTCGTCAGTTGGATGAGACTCCGGCGACTATCGACGCACTACCCGCCTGCGCGAAGGCTGCCAGAGGTCGCATTCGCATTCATATTGACGGCGGAATAAGGACCGGAAGTGACATCTTCAAGGCACTTGCTTTGGGAGCAGAGTGTTGTTGGGTTGGCCGTCCTATGCTTTGGGGATTGGCAGTAAGTGTTCTTTGCCCTTGTACTACCAAGAAATGGTAATCCTAAGACACATGCTAATGTCTTTGGTATTACTAGTACGACGGAGAAGCTGGGGTTCAACTCATGCTTGAAATCTTAAAGCAGGACTTCAAAAGATGTATGCAATTGACGGGTTGTAAATCAGTATCAGAAATTAGTACTGCAAGCCTTGGACTAGTCTGTACTAATGGACCATTGGCAAGGCTTTAAAGGAGCTATTATAGTAATACCTATAGATAGGTATTGAGTAGTATCTTCTAGATAGTTTTTGTTAGTATATTAAGGATAGAGTATTTGCTAAAAGTAGTAAAAACAAGTTGAACGGGCGATTCCTGGGCGCTGGCCGCTGGGAGCTTCTAGTCCGGCGATCGGATGGTCCCTATTGAGAGGGTTAGAAGAATTGAAATAATGGGCTGGACTCCTTTTTAAATTATCTTGATATTCGAACGGGTTTCCCATTCGATTAAATAAAACGAATTAATATTAATAATTTTTTTAAGGGGAAAAAAAAATATTGGTATTTATATATGAATTACTTGTATAAGAGTTATTAACGGCGGTGGATAAATAGGGAGGTTCAGCAGCCCAATTTTAGCGTGTTAAATAGAACAAATTAGGTAAGCATTATAAAACTAATCCTAAATCAGCCTTAAAACAGTCTAAAAATTTTAGCATTTATATATTTTTGTTAGGGTTAGGGTTAGGGTTAGGGTTAGGGTTAGGGTTAGGGTTAGGGTTAGGGTTAGGGTTAGGGTTAGGGTTAGGGTTAGGGTTAGGGTTAG